TTCGGTAAGTTGAGTGTGGCTGTAAGCCAACTAAACTGCTCCTCATAGCGTTCTTTCCAGCGTTCCAGCCGTCTATCCTTGGGAGCTAATTATGGTGCCATTTTTCTCAGAGATTGTTTCACTTATCATTTGCCTTTCGTCACTTGTTTCCCTGAGGAGTCTAAATAGTTGTCTGGTGTTACGTAGTGTACGAAAGGTGTGAAAGAGTGTATTAACTGTACAATACAAGAGTATATACGAAAATGACTAACATACATGAACCAATAAGATATACTAGTTTTTCTTTTCACTATTGGGTTCTGATTGGTTGTAATGTCATGTGACAAAAGGTCATACATTATTTATTTAGTTAATGAACAGACAAAGCATATTGTGAGTTATAATGGGATATCGATCAATATACACATAGCAAAATATATCAGACTGTCAAAACAAAGCAGACATCATGTGACTACATATCAGAATCACCCTTTAGTTCATCCGAACTACAGTCTGTTGGGGCGTAAGCGGAGACTACGAAAAGACAACGACGAGTAACGCCGTCATTCTTTCTTCTAGCGGAACCGTTCAGACGGACCGCACATATACGCCTATCTACTGGGATTCAGTCAAGAAAAGATTTTTCTGCTCTAACACTCAAAGCTATCCCTACACGTGCAAGTCCTCGCGAACTATCTGAGGGGTCTCCTGACACCCTTAAAGCGAATTTTGCAGATTCACTTTGTTGGCTGGGTAAGGTTAAGTGAATGACCACACTCGGGTCTTCTATGTGTTTCTCCAAAACACAGCATACATCCATGGCTCGAGATGCTAGAGTTCTTGTTAGTGATGCCTGTTGTCCGAAATGCAGAGGGTCCTGACGTTAAATGCTCCTATATGAAGTTGGTGATGTGGCTTTAAGAGGCTTTCGGGGTTGTTTTTATGGCTCTCATCGTTGTTTGTAGTCACAGAGTGAAGATGCCTCAGTAACCTGAAGAATAGTACTAACTGTAGTAGGGGGTAAGATGATGAGGGTGATGTGGGTAAAGGAGAATGATGCTCAGGGAGGCTTCGTGTTCTCTTGGAAGTGTGTGTGGGTGGTTGTTACTTCCCGGCTGCCCACACCGTGGAAGTTGCTTGATTCTTCGGGTACATGAAGAAGAAAGAGAGTTAGTGTTGCGTGACCACAGAGCCCAGGGAACGACTGCTTGTGGTCGGCCACACACGGCCTGTATGAACTGGTTTCTGGGATTGGTTCCGTATTAGTAAACTTACCGCCTGTTACGGACCATCGTAGGTGGAGTTATTCAGGATGTACAATTTTTGAGTTCGACCTTTTCTAACCCTCTCTCTAGAGTGGAGAGACAGCATAGCTGGCATGCTGGTCATCTGGGGAAACATCTTACTGCTGCTGTTACATCCCTGTTCCACAGCAGTACGACTTCGCCCACAGACCCCCAGTATAGTGTAAGAAAGATTCTTACACGATGCCGGTAACTGCTTTTAGTCCAATCACTATCCTAACAACCTTCCTTGCATGGTAGGACCTGCAGAAACAATAGTTCCAAGCAGTGTAGCTTGTTGGGTCATTGCGGTGTGCAATTTCGATCACCACGTCAAGGTAGCAGCTATCGGTCGGGAAAACAGCCCATATTTTTAGTCACGTTTAAGGTCGTCTAGGTCAGCGGATAATAGGCTGTTCTCACTGGTTGTTGGTTTTCTGAAGGTTAAACCTTGAGACAAAGAATTGTCCAATGAGGTTATTCTCTGATCACAAAGTAAGCTAAATCCAGTTTTAGTTCCGTTTAGCTTTATTTGGACCTTTGTCAAAACAAGATGGGAAGTGTTCAGAAATTCGAGGATGAACGTGCCTGATCTAGCTCCGCACGGGAAGTTAAACTGGTGAATACGCATGGAAGAGGTGAAACAGGGTAGTCTGTCTTTATTTCTTGAACTAAGTATTGGTCAGCTAGTAATTAAACAGCATAGCTTAGCTGCATTGCAAGTCTTTTTGAAGACACTTCTCAAATGCTGTGATAAGATCTCACTATTGACATCACCCGTGAACTGTAACCTTAAGAAGACTAACTTTTCGGGGATAGTCGGCAACTTCAACTTTTTACTTTCTGAGTTCATGTATTTGTTCACGATTTTAGTTGGACATCCGTTTCTACTTAGTAGATCGTGAATACAACCGAGTTCTTCGTTCATTGTCTCATTTGAAGAGATAACTCTAACCCGGTGAACCATATGTCAACAGTGTCATCTTATCACAGTGTCTGAGAAGCGCCTTCAAAAGGACTTTCAACGCAACTAAGCTGTACTGTTTATTCACTAGCCGACCAATACACAGTTCAAGAAATAAAGACAAACTGCACTGTTTCACCTCTTCCATGTGTATTTACCAGTTTAACTGCCCGTGCTATACACAGCTCAATACTAGCTCATCTCTTCGATACTGGATATCAAATCGACTCTAACCAAGCTTCTAAATCCAGATTTGACGGATAAACACTCCTACTTCTGTAGCCACTAACCTAGAATGTTGTTTTCAATTTGGGTTACTTCCTATCAAACCAAGTCTATTTACGACTACTGATAAATCTCGTATCACACGCCATACTAGTTGTGTGTCTAATTTTGCTGTTCTCTTAATTTATCATACTACTTCAATTGGTATAATGTATTAGAAAAGTCAATGATTCAGTATATGTAATATACACGTGTATTTCAGTCTCTGACGTCGGTGTGGTGTTTTGCGGCTTCATCAACAACGATGTTTTACACTTGTGGAGTGAATGAGACAATCGACTGTAGTCTTTAAAATCAAGTGGGTTGTCACTTATTAAGATAGTATCATGTATATATTCTAGTAGACAGTAAAATAAAGATTTAACAGCTGAAACACATACACATACACTGAGATTAGTATTGTGTTAGATATGTATATCAGTTGGCATTTGTCACTTTCCGCATCCACTCCATCTGCCTTCGCAGATTCCCAACACTTCTATTCTATATCTTCTCATTTCTGCGGCTACCTGGGCAGCCTTTCCAGTTTCGTACATTGTACGAACATTCCACGCCCCCACCCTTATTTTTGCTTTCATCGAAAGAAGGCACATATCTGACCAGATTGCAACTCTACGCGTCATCATCATCGAAAAAAGCATGGAATGACAATCAAACCTCTACCTCAACTTTATAGACTTTGAGAAGGCCTTCGACAGTGCAGCGTTGACCGTGAAGTAAGTTTAGAAACTACTCGAGTACTACGGCGTACCCCAAATATTCATCAACCTTATTCAACAGCTGTACGACAACGGAACATGTCAAGTGGTCCACCAATGATATTCCTAATTGTTGTGGATTGGATTATGCGTCAGACAGTGAGTGGGAAACGAGAAGACAGGGATATCCTGGACTGACGTGTAGAACCTAGAAGACCTAGATTTCGCGCGTGGATGATTTATCTTTGATGTCACACAAAATCGAAGACTTACAAGCGAAAACCGACAAACTGGTCGAAGAAGCAGCCGGCGAAGACAGGACTCCAGGTGAACAAGTCGGAGGTTATGAAAATAACCAACCAACAACAACAACAGCAACATCCAGCGCCAATTACCATCAACTGGAGGGATTTGAAAAAGGTTACTTCATTCACTTACTTATCTAGGGAGCATTGTCTCAACTACAGGAAGTCGGAATGGACGAGGATGTCAAATCGAGCGAGAATCGGGAAGGCGAGAAACACATTCATCAACCTGAAACAACCAATCTGGAAATCTTCGTCACTCAGCCAGCATCAACGACAAAATTCGGTCGGATTTTCAATACAAACATCAAGTAAGTCAGTTCTTCTATACGGATCAGAAACTTGGCGAGCGGGCGTGTCATAAAGAATATTTCCAACAACCTATTGCAGACCTTCATCATCAACTGTCGTCGCTCTGTACTGAAGATCAGATGGCCGGGCCGGAAAGAATCACCAGCAAGAAAATAAGCCTGTGAACAAACAAAAGAAGAGCCAATCGCCCAACAAATATGCAGGAGAAAGTGGAGACGGATAGATTGGACACTCGCTGAGGAGGTCGCTGGGTGACATCGCGCGCGCGTCAGGCCATTGCTCGAGTGGAACCCGAAAGGGAAGCGGCGGCGAGTGGGACGTCAGTGCAAGGGTGACATGGAGGAGATCGTGTGAACCGGAGTTGAAAGAGTATGGACTAACATGGATGCAGGTGAAAAGTACAGCAGAAGGAAGACAGAAACAAGTGGAAAAGTCCAGTTGAAGCCCTATGTTCCACTAGGAATCCAAGGGAACAACAATAAGAATAATAGATATTTATATCTATCAGTTTCATCATTACTATTTCTCTTATTAGCTAACTGGGTCACGTAGATTTGATAGTTGTTCATCTTAGCTAAATTCAGTCCTTTTTGTGCAGTAAATACTATTTGGGTACAAAGTGTAATCAGAAAATTGTAATTCTGTGTTTGGTTGTTAACTTGACACCTAAACCTTTACCCCATTCCCAGGTTTACTATAGGCCAATGAACAAAAGGAGGTGTAAGAGTCGTGCAATTTCCGGTGAATGCATACTGAATAGCGTTTTAAATTTAACTTATTGTCTGTCGTCAAATGATGAGTACTATCACAGTGATCTTGACCTGTACATATATTTGTTTATCCCACTTTTGATAGGTTCATATGTTTTAAAAGTGGGTCTGTCAGTTCAAATAACGCTTAGATTTTTTTTTTTGAAGCGTAGTTAGAGGATACTGTTCACAGGAGAAATCGTAAATGTTAAATATTTGTAGATGTATAAATTAATGCTTTATGTTCTGCTATCCTATGGGCTCCACGTAATGAGGATCACTGGCTCTTACACATCAACTGTGAAACGCTACTATTCACATAAACTTGTAGAGTTTCCAAGTTATATTGTTCTCTTAATTCAACGCTATACAATGTTTTTAAATTGTACTTGTAATATTAAAAGTCTTATTTCTCTCCTCTGTAGGATGGATTATGTAAAGAAAAGAAGCCATCTGAGGAAGAAGATTTAGAAAGGGAATTGCATAATTTGGAACGTATCTGCACTAAGGCTATTAACAGTAGTCTGTTGGAGCAATCTCAATCTAGTACAATTGAAAAACAGCATGGTAGGTTATCACTCATCCGATGATGGTGATAATATATTATCTCTTGAATCTGAATTCCAAGTGCATATAATATTTCCGTGTTTGTTGTTTTAATATATATATATATATTGTCGGGAATCCATGAAACTTTAAGCATATTAATCAAGCTAATTCCCTATGCTTATCACAATAAAACTTCTCACCCTTCTTATAAACCCGGATAATCAGTGATTTGCACTATTCCGATGAAGCTATCTCTCATTCACAGACATCGCCTAATCCCTTAAACCAGACAACAGTTTATCACCACCGTCTTTAAACACCTCTGGGGTTATTCATTCGGGTCCTACTGCTCTGCCTCGTCTCAGATTAGAGAGGGAGAGAGCCTTTGTCACCTCTGCTACAGATGAATGACGGATGTATATATCTTATTCAGGTAGGCGTTCAATGCTGGTCAAGTTAAGCATAGATGTAGGCCAGTTATTTTACTCCTCAAAATATTTCCTCCAACATTCCAGTCGTCTACCTTAAGAAGGAATTAACGTGCTGCTTTGCCTTTGCAACCTGTTTAGTTATTTGTCTAATTCTCAGGTGAAGAATTTCTGAATGAAATCAGATGTTAGCGTAATAATCAAAGCATGGTTCCATGTAGGCAGATACCCAGAGTTTTCGAAATACAATATATGCTTTCCTTGAAACAGTAAGTCGTCGTCTGTACAATCAGTGTCCCTCAAACTTTTAAACCGAGTAAATTTTCGGCTTCACTCTTCTAGGAGCTTGACTACCAACCACTGGGTCCACCTGCAACGTAGCTTTCATAAAATAGGTGTGAGAGTACCTTACTATTAACTAAATCAAGATACATGAAATTTTATGAATATTACTACATTAAAAAAAATTGATTACTTATTTTCTAACATTTTAGATGAATCAATTGAAAATCTCAAACATGACAAGAAGAATACTGAGGTAATTATGCATATAGTCTGTTATTTCTTGATATTCAGTTGATTTGATACTTTTATACTTGTAAAGCTTTTTGTATGTTGTATATATGTTGGAGAGATTAAACTGTATCATTTTCATTAGTTATCATGAGATACTGTTCCACATGAACTGATAAGCGTTTATTAAACCATTGAAGTATTGGTTTTGTAGGGATTTTGTTTGATCGGTTGGAGGATTAATTTTGCCTACAGATTTAGTCCTTCCTCAGTACTGAAGATACACAGTCCTGACTTAACTATAGTTAAAAACAGAGTGACTTGACTTAAACTTTATCTGTTTCTAAAACATAAAATAAGGCATACAAGGCATGCTTTTCTTGGTGTAAACCAAGAAAAGTATAAAACCCATTGTCACTCAAGAAAAGACAAAAACGTACCGAACAGTATTGAAGGAACGGGCAAAATGAACAGTTAATTAATTACATATACACACAATAGAGTGATACGAAATAAACAACACTCAAGGTCACGTCACGTGGTGTAAGTTACATTAAATTAACCAATAATCGCGACAAAAGGGTCACATAATATCGATTAGCTGTCTATCAAACTATCTATCTGTCGCGATTAACAGGATTTCATCATGAGCTGACATCAGTTAGAGAACCACTTGTAAACCTGGGAGTACTTAACATCTGTTTCGTCTTAGTTTTGGACTCCTCAACTGTGTGCACCCACCATCAGGATTCGAAACAAAGACCTGGTTACAAGGTGGACCTGTAGGCTATTAAGACACTGGAACCTGATCCAATGGCGCACGAAGGTCCTGGGTTCGAATCCCGGTGGGTGCGTACAGTTGAGGCGTCGCAAACTAGGATGAGGCAACTGTCAAGTACTCCCAGGTTTTCCAGTGGTTCTCTAACTGATGTCAGCTCATGATGATATCCTACAACCAATAAACTATTGAAAACTAAAGAATATTAAATTATGGGGGCGGAATTCGGATTAATTTAATTTCAAATTTTATATTTCGTTACGAATCAACATCAGTTACTGTAGAGATCATTAAGAACTAGACTGCTGTTTCATCCTACTTTTGGCGTTCTTCAGCACTGTGCACTGACGACCCCACCAGAGATCGAACACGAGTCCTCCAGGTTACGTTACCAAGCTCATTGACCATTCAGCCGCTCTGACCGGAATTTAATGACCTGAGAATTCTAACTTTATCAACTCGTAATATAGTGCTACTTTCATTAGTGTCTTCGAAAATCATCCACTTCATCTTGACATGTTGATGATGTTGGCTCCTGACGAAATCTAACAATTGAAATTAATCCAAATCCCCACAGGTCCCATAATTTAAATATCAATCTGTAGATCACTCATGCCTTTTAGATGGGGATGTCCTGAAGCTGTGGTAAGAAGTCGTTACCTGTGGTATCCACCATGTGAAGGCTGTCAAAAACAAAACATACATCATGTGACTACATATCACCTCCCCTTTTGAGAAGATTGATGATTAGTAGCGTGTTTTCTTGGGGGTTTATCTGGAACCTTTGAGCTTGTTGTTGACGTCTGTCGTTTCATCTGCCTGTTGCGTTTGCGTCTTCGGCTTTGTCCGGAATTGTCTGACATTTTCTGCTTCTTGACTGCATTGCATAGAGAATTTAGTGGGACATCAGCCAGATGCAAACGGTCGAACCAATCAAGTCCCAAAAGATTTAAATCACTCTAGGGGACGTAACAAATTCCTGTGAATTTGGTATTGTGGAAAGAAGCAGAACATTGGAGTTCACCCATTAGTTTGAGGCGCCCACCACAGGCGCTGAGAACAGTCTGAGAAGTGTTTGTGATAGGTGGTCTGCCAAAATAATTCCAAAGTTTCTCTGATATAACAGTAGTATCAGAGGCGGTATCTAACTGCAGACGTGCATCATGACCATTCATCTGAAGGTCAATATATTTCCGCATAGCTGGTGTCGTGACTTGACAGGTTGCGCGTAGACTCAGTGATCTCCTTGGAGATTTAGGACCAACAGTTTGTCGAGCTTTCGCTGGATTACGTGGCTGACAAAAACCATTTTTATGACCGATGATTTTGTACAGACAGGACTTTACAAAGTGCCACGCGCCACAATGTCAGCATGGTGATGGAGGGGTCTTCTTCGCAGTATTTTGTGAAGTTGGACGAGTATGTGTAGATTTACGTGGAACATTAGGAGAAGGTGGGTCAGGAGTAGATGATGAGAGATTTTTGCTCTTTCGTAATGCACGAATATCAGAGCTTCTCGGAGGTGTTGATTCGACCAGGTGTGTGTCTTTCTGCAAATTAATCAGCCGTCGATATTCATCAGCTATGTCATGTAGAGTTAACTTAGGATTTCGCTCTAGCTGATTGAACAGTCGAGCTCGAATATCTGTGAAACGAGGAGATTGAAGACTGCATATGAGAATCAAGGCTTTGAATTGATCATCAGTTAAGGACCTGAGTCGAAATCTCTTACATTCTCGGTTGACTGTGCCAACGTGAGTAAGAAAATCATCATTTTCATTCATTGTCAGCTTGAGGCAACGATAACGTATGTTGAATAATGAGGAGTGGTCTTCAAAATGTTCACTCAGCAGCTTTATTGTATCATCGAAACACTTGTCACGTGGTTTCTGGGGTAAAATTAGGTTGCAGTACCGTTCATATTCTGCGGGACCCAATTTACGTAACAACACTCGCACCTTCCAAGCATCGTCTTGTGAGGCGGGATCAACAGTGAATAAATCCTCATAACGTTGATATCATGTGTCAAAAGCGACATTAGCCTCTGGGTCATAATTGAACTGTGTAATACTATTCACAACTCCGTCGACAGATGGTAGCATGGTATGATTGGGATTGCTTGAAGGTGAAGCTGGACCAGTCTGTTGGTTGATCAGCATTTCCATTAATTTCATTTGTTGTTCAAATAGTAATTCCAATTTAGAAGGATCCATAGTTTTCCCCGTCGCCAATTATGTTATGTACTCGTCGAGTAGTTTTCTGTTATGTACTGCTGAGTGGTTAATAGTCCTGATGCGGAAAGGCGGAAATCAGAAGACCACCTCGTTCACGATGATACTTGTATTTCCCGAACAAGGAAAATAATGACTGTCACACAAGTGTGTGAGTGAAGGGTACATAGTGTACGAAAAGTGTGTGAACAAGTATACAATGCAAAAGTATATATGAAAATAACTAAAACACGTGCACCAATAAGACAAATAGGTAGTTAACCTTACCCTCATTGGATTCTGATTGTTTGTAATGTCATGTGATAAAAAGGTCATACATTGTTTATTTAGTTAATGGACAGACAGAAGCATAATGTCAGTTATAATGGAATATCGATCCATATACACATAGCAAAATATACCAGACTGTCAAAAACAAAACACACATCATGTGACTACATATCAAAGGTGGCGCGGGATACTCATCGATGGTATTGGTTGAAGGTATCGCTATATCAAGAATTAACGAAGTTAGGATTCACTTGTTATTGAGTACCGACATAAGTGATTGAATCGTCAATGAACATAATCTCGTAACCTGTAGTTCCAGAGTTCAATTCCTTGTGCGTTTGTGGGTACACATCGTTGAAGAGTCTCATAATAGGACGAAATAACTATTCAGGAGCTCTCTGGTTTTCAATGATCTCTCTGACTGATGTTAGTCCATGATGAAATCTAATGATTGAAATTAGAGAATATAGTGTATCAATGAGTATGTCCCTTCCTAGCCAGAATCTCTAAATGGCATACCCTTCCGTTTTAATGTTAAATCGGAGTAATGCAGATGTAGTCAATCACTCCTACTAGTGCATTAGAGAATATTTGTTTTGTGCTTTAGAGGACTAGAGTAAATTACTCAATGTATTGAAAGTAACTCGCAGTTGGATTGTCATACCAATATCTGTAAGTTATTCATTCTTTGGTTTTTTCCCCATGCAATATGACACTGCTAGTGTGTGTGTGTAATTCATTCAAAATTCATTTGTGTCGAGATTACAATGTAATATAACTTAACCTTTATGCTTTTCAATGCATTTATTAGTAATCATTAGTACTGCAACAGTATGTGCGGCAACATTTAGTATTCTTGAGAGATTATATATTCCAACAATTGCTTTAAAAAACAGTCATTTTTGAAATATAAATGTCTGTGTCTAAAGAATTATTCCTTATTTTTCTTTTACACACTAGAATACTACTGAAAATGAGAACACTGTTAATCGACGAATAACTCGTAGGTCGTGTAAAACAACTGATACAAAAACAGATGAATTTGAAGATGATTCATGGTCGATTGAAGAGAATATTATAAATTCATCATTCCAAAATAATAGTAATAATAATATTAATCCAGATTCCACTTTTGATGGTTCTGAAGCAAATGATCCTCTAGTCTCTGGTGAGAATGACACGCAAATTTTACTACAAGATCAGCTGGAAAGAAAAACAAACGATTATTTGCACAACTTAAATGCTCGTGATGCTTTATTAAAATCTAGTTCAGATGATGATGATGACAGTTCCGGTGAAGGTGGTAATGATGATCATGCTGTTGACGACGGCGACGACAACGATGTACGAGATGATGAAAAAGTTGCAGATAACCTCATCAAGAGGAAGAAACTTACACCTGATGCAATAAATGGTAATAGCGCCAATGATAATAATATTACGGAAGATGTCACACATAGTAGTGATTCAAATACTTCTCAGAAGGAGACACCTTCATGTGCTGATGTAGAAAAATCTCTTGAGTCATCTGATCCCTTTGTACGCTTAACGCGGTAAGTTCTCGTATTCTGTGTTTTTGATGACTGCCTACTTTCCCTCCTTTAACTTGGGGATCTTCGAAGTCCATCACAGCTGACGACACAGTTTGATATATAACGTTCTGACTTTCTCTGTATAATCGGAAGTTTCATTTGTTACACTGATAACACACACACACACACAAGTATCTAGATACGGAGTTTGTAGCTATAGGCTGCTGTCAATCTTGCAGCAGTTCTTTCTACTTCAACGGTACTAAGCAAATACTACACTTTGAAATGATGAAGGAAATTAGTCACTCAGTTTGTATATTGCTGTATTCTCTGGGCTTTTTGCTTTAATGGCAAAGACTTCATTTTACTTCGAGATGAATATCTTCAGCGTTAACTTAACATTATATTTTGAGAGGAGTTCATCCACCGTTGACCCTACCGAGTAGCATATACTGCCCCGTCTCAAACTATTGCATATATATATATATATATATATATATATATATATATTCTGCTTCCTTTTTATGGTGACGACTAGTGGTGCCCGTCAAGGATGTCCATTATCCCTATTTCTATTCAACTTCATCATAGATGTACTAATGGACTTAACCTTAAGTGACTTCAGCGACTCAGGGATTGACTTGCTACCAGGGAATAATCTCGTTGACGTAGAATATACAAACGATATAGTCCTTCTAGGCGAGGACGCTGGTAAAGTGCAGAGTCTTCTGAACACCTAGTTTGGGACTCTTCATCAGTACGCACCCACCGGGATTCGTACCCAGGACCTTCCCCTAACAAGGCGAGCTCGTATACCATTAAGCCACTAGGACCCGTTCCAATGGTCCTTGAATTCTAACTTCTACCAATTCACGATATAGCGCGACCGCTAGCCAATGTCTTCAGCGAGTATTTGTCCTCACGCCCAACCCGTCCTTTCCATCCGTCGTAAGTGTTGTTGAATTTTCCAGATGTCGAAGCCGTGGTAGAATCATTTTCCAGGTGATTAAATAAACAAGCCTCTGTTATGGACCTCATCTGCTATACCTATTTCATTAGATTTCAAAATTATCATAGGGATAAAGCTTAGACACTGTAATAGAGTATAATTTCATTATGGGTAAAATTTACTTTGATAAAGTTATACATATTGTTATGCAGTAAAATTCACTGATCACGTTTCAAAAAGAATTTATCCAAGTATGCAAGTTGTAATTTGAAATCAGAAATAATTCGCACCCAGACAGTAATAAAATCTCTTAAACTTACCCCGGATATTCGGTTTTTAATGCCACTGCCAACATTATAAATTGCTGTATAACATATTTCACCAAGTTGGTATTTGATAAATTTCATTTGTAAAGAGTATATCTGTTTGAAATCAGGTGGTATGTCTAATCTCATTTTAATCTCAGCTAGTTTTTCTGTTTCCGCTGTAGGCTCTACCAGCTGTATTGCATAGGGTAACGGTGACTCAAAAAACAAATAAAAATTTTTTTACATAACAAGGATGATTAGAACACAGATTGGTTTGCAGTAGTCTTATGCTCAGACTCTACTGTTGAAAAAATGCACTGACGAAGTAAAATTATACCACAAAGTGTATCAAAGAACATATAAAACAGGAGAAAGTAAAAGTTTCTACCGTTTCTTTAATAATAGTAATCACTTTATTCCACAACAATAACAATTTACAGCATGGAATTTTCAGCGTTTCTTTTACATATTGCAATGGTTTAGCTCTGTTTATAATTATATAAATGTATAAAATGTTAAAATATTGATAGTTAATAGGAAAAAATAAAACCCCAACAAAATCACACCATTGCTAGGTCATAGTGAATAATAAATAAATAATATAACAAATAACACATGCATTAATATGCATCATTACATTTTATAGTTTAGTTAATGATTCAAAAGTTGTAAAAGTTCTTTTCTGATATTTGTCTCTTCACACAATACTCGTGCCAAATATGGAACGGTCGAATTTTTATATTTTGTAGTACGAGCATAAATGTTTATAAAATTTCTTCTGGTCTTACCCGAAGAGATACAAGGAAACAATTGTGAATAAAGAGGATGTTCACTATCAGATAAGATAACTTTAGCTAAGTGTTTACAAGAATTCATATGCCTATTGACAACAGTGTCATTTAGTTGAGTCAAAGGGATAGCACTGACCCTACTTACAGCCCTCAATGTTCTTCGTAGTATTATATGATCTTTCTTGAGTAGCCCAGGGAAGAATAATGGAGAACAATAAAGAATGATGGGCAAAACACATGAATTAATAAATTGTATGATAAGAGATTGAGTTATACCTGAGTGTCTCAACTTCTTTATGTAATAAGTCAGACGGAAAACTTTCTTAGAAACTATAAGAATATGAGACGACCAGCAAAGGTTTGACGAGAAACTAATGCCAAGATAAGAAACACTTGACTTACTCTCTATCATGGTACCATCAATATTACAACAATCATGAGATTGAATCAATCCATGCATGTCTTTTTCACTTCTCAAGCTGAAATCAACAGTGTTACATTTAGTTGGATTTAGTTTAAGACCATTTGAGCCAGACCAATCCTTAACTTCAGCTAAGAAGCCATTCATATGGGAACAATCCGATGTGGAAACTACAGGGACAGAAACGGTCAGATCATCAGCATACTTAATGAAGTTAACTTTGGGTGAGTTCGGAAGGTCATGCAAAAAGAAAGAGAAAAGAAATGGAGAAAGTACTGCACCTTGAGGCACACCACTTTCAGTTAGCTGAGAAGTGGAGCGCTTTCCAGCCAAAACAGTATGCTGTTTCCTATCCTTAAAATAAGAAGACAGCCATCTAGTTGCCCAGGACTCTGTTTGTGCTGAAATCATCTTTCCTAATAAAAGTGTCCTAGGAACAGAGTCGAAAGCTGCAGTATAGTCTAAAAAGCTGTTCGAACGAACTTAGCACCCTTATCAAGGCAGGAAACAATATTGTGGTGTAGTACAATGGCTGCATCTAATGTACTTCTTCCACACTTATAAGCAAACTGCTTAGGGTCACTAAAAGCTTTTAAAGAAGGTTTAAGAATATTCAAAAGAAGTTTCTCCATAGTTTTCAAAAAAGGAGATGTTATAGCGACCGGTCTAAACTTTATACCTGCTCCAGAAGATGATTTCTGTACAGGTACAACCTTGATTTCTTTCCAGTCAGCAGGTACCGTTTCCCTGTTAAATGATGCGTTAAAGATTTGAGTAAGAGGATGACACAAGATGTCTGCACACTTTTGAAGAAGAATGCTTGGTACACCATCTGGACCAAGGCTGTGTGTTGGATTTAATGATTTTCTTTAAAACCCGGAAAATGACCATTTTCTTGACTAGGTACATCAGGTACAACCATATTAATTTGTTTCTTGATAAATGATTTGTTTAAAGCATTAACATCAGAATAAGCATCAACAGACATTTGTTTTTTACTTGTAAGTTTATTGAAAAGTTTCCAAATGTTTGAAGGATTTTTACATGATAAAAATTTTTCATTATATAGTCTGTTCAACCTTTCTATTTCAATTTTTATAAGGGTGTTTATTTTACGGACACCAGTATTATCACAATTCTTATACAACTTCTCTTTTTGTCTTCTAAGTTTTTTCAGTTGCACAGAAGAGATTCTGTCAAATCTCGAAAACAGTGTTTCATATGGACAGCAAATTTCCAAACAAAACTTCAGATAATCGGTTATATTAGAGACAGTAGCATCCAACTTATCGTCAGTAAATAGTTCCCAGTTGGTATCATGCAACATGCTTCTTAATGCTAGAATGTTGTCATGGGAATATGAACGTTCATGTATCTTCTTTGTTAAATGACTAAACAATTTTCGTTGTAACTTGCCGTACACTTTCGGTAAAATACGAATAATGCAGTGGTCAGAATTTAGCAAAGGAGCTCTCCTTCGGGTTTCATATACATCACGGTCATTTATGAAAACCAGGTCTAGTGATTTGTCCAGACGTGTATTAAACTTGACTAGATTCTCATGACCAAGTGAAGTAAGAAAGCTGTGATCACATGAATTAAAATCACCACAGACTATAGACAACGAGTTTCCGAATGCAGGAGCAGCGAATTCAGTAAATTCATCTGCAAACATAACTATATTAGAAAGGCTACAATTGGGTGTTATGTAAATATTTGTTATGTATATATAAGAATATTTACTTAAGTGTTTTGGGCGACACCTGACGGTTATGCAATCTATATTGTCATTAGAATAATTGAAGCAAACGTGATTTGATGTAGACCAACTTGTGTTTATAAAAGTGGTTACCCCTCCTCCATATTTTTTCTTAGAACTTTTTCTATCTTGGCGAAAAACTTTATATCCATTTATTGAAACTAGATTATCATCATAATGCTGGTGCAGCCAAGTCTCTTGTATTGCTAAAACGCCAGCATTTCGATAAACATTAGAATACATTAGGGATTGGAAATAATCCATTTTGTTGGACAGGGATCTACAATTAGTGCTACCGAGTTCAGGAACAGTCATTTGATTAATTTGTGTAAGTTTCAGTGCACGCTGCCAGCCACAGTGATGCTTTTTTCTCAATTTTTGTGGATGATACAAGGCTTTAGGTTGTAATGATTTTAAAAATGCGCGATTATATATACTACGATTAGGACACATTATTGATAGATTAAAACAAAATTAAAAGAGCAAACCAAAGCAATTTTGCAACAAGGGCTGCCTGCTTGAACATAGAGCTACCAAAACTTCCACCTTACAACATTTTGCAAAATTGATTTGGTTTGCTTTTTTAATTTTGTTTTAATCTATCAATAATGTGTCCTAATCGTAGTATATATAATCGCGCATTTTTAAAATCATTACAACCTACCGCGTTGTGTCATCCACAAAAATTGAGAAAAAAGCATCACTGTGGCTGGCAGCGTGCACTGAAACGTACACAAATTAATCAAATGACTGTTCCTGAACTCGTTAGCACTAATTGTAGATCCCTGTCCAACAAAATGGATTATTTCCAATCCCTAATGTATTCCAATGTTTATCGAAATGCTGGCGTTTTAGCAATACAAGAGACTTGGCTGCACCAGCATTATGATGATAATCTAGTTTCAATAAATGGATATAAAGTTTTTCGCCAAGATAGAAAAAGTTCCAAGAAAAAATATGGAGGAGGGGTAGCCACTTTTATAAACACAAGTTGGTCTACATCAAATCACGTTTGCTTCAATTATTCTAATGACAATATAGATTGCATAACCGTCAGGTGTCGCCCAAAACACTTAAGTAAATATTCTTATATATACATAACAAATATTTACATAACACCCAATTGTAGCCTTTCTAATATAGTTATGTTTGCAGATGAGTTTACTGAATTCGCTGCTCCTGCATTCGGAAACTCGTTGTCTATAGTCTGTGGTGATTTTAATTCATGTGATCACAGCTTTCTTACTTCACTTGGTCATGAGAATCTAGTCAAGTTTAATACACGTCTGGACAAATCACTAGACCTGGTTTTCATAAATGACCGTGATGTATATGAAACCCGAAGGAGAGCTCCTTTGCTAAATTCTGACCACTGCATTATTCGTATTTTACCGAAAGTGTACGGCAAGTTACAACGAAAATTGTTTAGTCATTTAACAAAGAAGATACATGAACGTTCATATTCCCATGACAACATTCTAGCATTAAGAAGCATGTTGCATGATACCAACTGGGAACTATTTACTGACGATAAGTTGGATGCTACTGTCTCTAATATAACCGATTATCTGAAGTTTTGTTTGGAAATTTGCTGTCCATATGAAACACTGTTTTCGAGATTTGACAGAATCTCTTCTGTGCAACTGAAAAAACTTAGAAGACAAAAAGAGAAGTTGTATAAGAATTGTGATAATACTGGTGTCCGTAAAATAAACACCCTTATAAAAATTGAAATAGAAAGGTTGAACAGACTATATAATGAAAAATTTTTATCATGTAAAAATCCTTCAAACATTTGGAAACTTTTCAATAAACTTACAAGTAAAAAACAAATGTCTGTTGATGCTTATTCTGATGTTAATGCTTTAAACAAATCATTTATCAAGAAACAAATTAATATGGTTGTACCTGATGTACCTAGTCAAGAAAATGGTCATTTTCCGGGTTTTAAAGAAAATCATTAAATCCAACACACAGCCTTGGTCCAGATGGTGTACCAAGCATTCTTCTTCAAAAGTGTGCAGACATCTTGTGTCATCCTCTTACTCAAATCTTTAACGCATCATTTAACAGGGAAACGGTACCTGCTGACTGGAAAGAAATCAAGGTTGTACCTGTACAGAAATCATCTTCTGGAGCAGGTATAAAGTTTAGACCGGTCGCTATAACATCTCCTTTTTTGAAAACTATGGAGAAACTTCTTTTGAATATTCTTAAACCTTCTTTAAAAGCTTTTAGTGACCCTAAGCAGTTTGCTTATAAGTGTGGAAGAAGTACATTAGATGCAGCCATTGTACTACACCACAATATTGTTTCCTGCCTTGATAAGGGTGCTAAGTTCGTTCGAACAGCTTTTTAGACTATACTGCAGCTTTCGACTCTGTTCCTAGGACACTTTTATTAGGAAAGATGATTTCAGCACAAACAGAGTCCTGGGCAACTAGATGGCTGTCTTCTTATTTTAAGGATAGGAAACAGCATACTGTTTTGGCTGGAAAGCGCTCCACTTCTCAGCTAACTGAAAGTGGTGTGCCTCAAGGTGCAGTACTTTCTCCATTTCTTTTCTCTTTCTTTTTGCATGACCTTCCGAACTCACCCAAAGTTAACTTCATTAAGTATGCTGATGATCTGACCGTTTCTGTCCCTGTAGTTTCCACATCGGATTGTTCCCATATGAATGGCTTCTTAGCTGAAGTTAAGGATTGGTCTGGCTCAAATGGTCTTAAACTAAATCCAACTAAATGTAACACTGTTGATTTCAGCTTGAGAAGTGAAAAAGACATGCATGGATTGATTCAATCTCATGATTGTTGTAATATTGATGGTACCATGATAGAGAGTAAGTCAAGTGTTTCTTATCTTGGCATTAGTTTCTCGTCAAACCTTTGCTGGTCGTCTCATATTCTTATAGTTTCTAAGAAAGTTTTCCGTCTGACTTATTACATAAAGAAGTTGAGACACTCAGGTATAACTCAATCTCTTATCATACAATTTATTAATTCATGTGTTTTGCCCATCATTCTTTATTGTTCTCCATTATTCTTCCCTGGGCTACTCAAGAAAGATCATATAATACTACGAAGAACATTGAGGGCTGTAAGTAGGGTCAGTGCTATCCCTTTGACTCAACTAAATGACACTGTTGTCAATAGGCATATGAATTCTTGTAAACACTTAGCTAAAGTTATCTTATCTGATAGTGAACATCCTCTTTATTCACAATTGTTTCCTTGTATCTCTTCGGGTAAGACCAGAAGAAATTTTATAAACATTTATGCTCGTACTACAAAATATAAAAATTCGACCGTTCCATATTTGGCACGAGTATTGTGTGAAGAGACAAATATCAGAAAAGAACTTTTACAACTTTTGAATCATTAACTAAACTATAAAATGTAATGATGCATATTAATGCAGGTGTTATTTGTTATATTATTTATTTATTATTCACTATGACCTAGCAATGGTGTGATTTTGTTGGGGTTTTATTTTTTCCTATTAACTATCAATATTTTAACATTTTATACATTTATATAATTATAAACAGAGCTAAACCATTGCAATATGTAAAAGAAACGCTGAAAATTCCATGCTGTAAATTGTTATTGTTGTGGAATAAATTGATTAGTATTATTGTTAATATTAGCTGTAATTTGCGAATGTGTGGCGTGCGATTCACTCGCACCGAAAGCACGAGGATATTAGAGGACTGGACTACACCAACTCCTGGATTAGAAATAGGAAATCAAGTGGTAGAGCACGTTGACTGCTTCACTTATTTGGGAAATATCATCTGCCCCAACGGGTTGATCTCTGACGAAATCTCAGCACGAATACAGGGGGCTAGTTTCGCATTTTCCAGTTTAATCCGACTCTGGCGTAGACATGATATCGGACTATCGACCAAGTGGCGGGTGTACTGCTCGGAAGTCTGCTCCGTTCTCTATTATGTCTGTGAGACCTGGCCATTGAGAGTGGAAGACATGATATGATTACCTGTCTTTGATCATATGTGTCTGCGTCCTATTTCCCGTGTGAAGTGGTATAATAGAGTGAGCAATATTGAGGTTAGGCGTCGAGTTCTAGGTAAGGAAGGAAATCAATCGGGGAGGCTGTGAAGTTACATCGACTGAGGTGGTTCGGATATGTGTTACGCATACATGTCTAGTCATCGCCTTCCTCTGTGGTAGAGCAGGCTGCTAGCCAATTGGTAGACATTAATCGACGCTGATTGGTAGACATTAATCTAGGCTGATTCAACAACCAATCACAGCAGACTTAAACGTGGGAAAATATGATTCGCAGATAAATGGCTCTACTTTCCGAGAAATATCGAAAACAACCAATCAGAAGACCGCCTTTTTCTGCTTGCATAAGCCTTATCAATGTACATAAAATATATATAAAAATACGTGTTGATTTTCGTAATAAAACGATCTGTTGCCTGGCTCTTGTCTTCTCTTGTTACACCTCGACATGCCATGTTAGCTGACATAGGGTCAGTCTGGAAAAGAGCTAGCGGCGGTCAAACCAAAGCATGACAGCAGTCAATGAAATCTACAACAGTTAGTCTAAGCCACGTAGGTAGGTGTGAGACTTACTGGTTGGCGGTCTTCGGGACGGTATAAACCAACGGCTGGATACAATTGGTGATATGGCTCAGAATTGTTGTCAATGGTCGGCGCAGATGCATCCACTCCTTGTGACTTATGACTTCCAATGAAACTGTTTTGTTCTTCGTTATCACTGTTCCTTTGTCTCACACCTCTGTTTACTATTTCTATTATGCATTTCTTCTACTTTCTTCTCTTGGTTTGTGTGCTACATACAGGGAGTGTGGCGACTTGAACTGCCGCACATCGGTGCAAAATTCTATGTCGTATACAGATAGACTTCTGCTTTCATTCCTTTGCGTCCCGAGAGGAACATTAGGCTTCAAGCATGGACTTTGAAGTTTCAGTAGGAGTGATGCTTTTTTTCACGAGATAAAGTTTTTACCTCCACACGCAAATTTCCCTCTTTACCCGTGTTAATAACTGACTCTGCGAAGTTATGGAATGCATCGGCCAGGAATTGGACCTTGGACCGCCTGAGTAGTTTGGTGAGCATGCTACTATTGAACCGCTGAGGCACATTATATATATACATAAGGTGTACACTTGTTGTAGACAGTATTCCTCTATCATGCCACATTATAGGCAGAGTGGATGATTTTTCATGTTGTTGTTGCTGCTGATTTGTGTTGCTTCTTTTTTTTCCAAGTCTCATTTTTCTTTTTTGACTTTCTCTTAGTTGAGTCTTTTTTTTACTTAAATTTTTTTTTCACTTACAACTTTAGTCTAACCAATGCGGCTGTGAATGAGAAATTAGAAAATCATAATAATAATAAAAAAGCGAATAAAGTCCATCATTCTTCACTACTCGATGATGACGATGATGATGATGAAGGGGAGGACAACAAAAATAACGACAATCATGATGTTGATTTAGACAAGTATAGTCAGTCAACAATATCTCTTTCTAATAGTAAAACCAGTAAAAAGCCTAATAGGCGAACTCGGAGAGTACTTTCTAGTTCTGAATCTAATGGTGATGACGATGATGATGATGATAATGGTGAAGAAAGTGAACAAAGCACATCTAATGAATCGCACAATTCTAAACAACTAAAATCTCGTCATAAAGTCAAATCGAATAAGTTAACAACTCTTCGAATTACTAGATCACAAAAACAATTACCGTCAGGCAAATCAAAAGTGCTTCGCTCTGATGATGATGATAATGGTGGTGGTGGCGGTGGCGGTAATGAGGATGCGGAAGATGAAGACAATGACGACGAAGAAGAAGAGGAAGGAGATGGTGAGAAAGAAAAGAAGAGGAAACAGAAGGAGACAAAGAAGAAGAAGAAGGCGGATGCCGATTCTCCAACTGACGAAACAGTTACTAAGAAACGTCAACAGAAATCTTATCGTAAGCGAAAGCTGAGACGTGTACACCTAGCGAATTCAGATGAGAGTGGTGATAATAATAATAGTGAAGAAGATGATAATGATGATGATGATGCGAATCTAAAGAAGGCCAAAGAAGATAAAGATAAAGCAGAAAAAAGAGGTGAAGAGGAAACAGATGAAGGATTAGATTCGAAAGGTCGGAAGAAGATAAGACGAATATACACCACTAATAAACTGTCTGAAGCTACTAAGGCTGCACAAGCCAATGAAGAAGAACGTCGACGTCGTATAGCTGAGCGACAGAAAATGGTAAGTCCTGCCTGTTCAGTATTTGGTTTTATTCACAGTATTATGTTGACAAAACTGATTTATTACTGATAAGCATGTTTTATGCGTCAAAAAAGCATTATTAACCGCTGTGCGTCGGTGGCACAACGGGGCAAAGTTAAACTTTAGACACCACTAACAACCAATCAGCAAACGACCTCGAACGGACCAATCACATTAAAGAGGCATATATGATGAATGGAAATGTATATTTATAGAAAAAAAGCATAAAATAGATAATAAAAAAGGTTACGTGGCATATCTTTCTCGAACATGTGAGAGAAAAATCTCCCAGTTTAGCATGGAACTGTCAATGGAGAAGTTACACCATATCCTGTACATATATTCATCCAAATGACTATAAATGAGATCCTTTTGAGATCTATTTATAGCCCTTATCCTATTTTCCAACCTGCCCCAAAATCCTTCATTAGCATTTGTATGTGTCCTGGTAACGGGATCCACAAAATCACTTGAATGGTTGTCTCTATGATGAATATATCCCAGAGATGACAGCGAATTGTAGCCTTTCCGTGTATATAATTGACCCCCGCTTAACAAGTCTGGTAATAATAGGTATAAGAGTAGTTGTTATTCTATCTGCTATCCTTAGGGAGAGAAGCGACCTAGCAAAAAAGTTCTTACGAAATATTAAAATTATCAGCTTACCCTCTCTAGCGTTAGTAGGCTTCAAACATATAGCACAACGGTGAACAAACCCATCAGTTGATTTGGTATAGCTTTTTAAAGTCATGATACCACCACACAAACGAATTCGCTCTTTCCGGAGCAACTCAAATCCAGGAAATACTGGAAAACACTAACCTCCTCGAATTGCAACAATAGCCTTGTAAGGTCACGCATTAGAAATGAATCAAGCGCTATACAACATTGAACTGCGTTCGTGAACCTCATTGGATAATTCGACATCGTTCGTGAATCTCATTGGATAATTCGCTGATTGGTAGTTAGTGGTGTCGAAAGTTTAACTTCGCCCACAACGGTTAGGGCGCTCACCGACCATGCACATGGTCCGGGGTTCGATCCCCAGCCGGCGAGGTACTCCTTCACCTCGCTAAGCCAAAAATATTGCTGGTAAAGAGGAAAGGTTGGGCATGAGGGTAGAAATCTCATCATGTAAAATTAAACACTGCTACAGAAACTTCAAGTCACTAGCTTGAGGCCATATGTTCCACTGGGAACGTGAAGGAAAAAAAATGTTTTATGTATGGCGATTAAAATAACACTCAATAGAAAGATGAAAATGAGAGTGGTATTATATCATCATTTTCATGCTAATGTTGTTTAACATCAACTTGTTTAGTTTGGTAAATATACTCAGTGCGACTACTAAGTGGGTTTCATTAAAGTATGTGAGTTGAATCATAGGTGCCTGTGTTCTATCTCCTGTGTTAGGTGCTTTGATAAGGTGAGCAATATTGAAGTTAGGCTTCGGTTGAGTGCTAGGTAAGGAGGGGAAATTAAGTGACGAGATTGTGAAGTTACATCGATTGAGATGGTTAGAATATGTGTTTCGTATGCATGCCTAACCAGCCATCGCCTTTCTCAATGGGCAATGTTAGCTGACATAGGTTAGAAAAGAGAAAGCTAGTGGTGGTCAAACCAAAACATGGTTTCATCCATCGGTCAATGAAATCCACAACAGTTAGTTTAAGCCAGTCAGCCAGTCATGTAGGGAGGTGTAAACCGTCTGACTGGTTGGGGTCCTCAGGATGGTAAGCACCAATGACGGCTGGAGACAATTGGTGATACGGTTCAGAATCGTTCTCAATGGCTGGTTCAGATGCATTCATTCTTTGTGATTTGTCATATCCAATAAAATTCTGTTGTTTTTCCATATTACTATTCTTTTGTCCTCATATTTCTGTTTATCATCTCTCTTTTGAATCTTTCTTTACTGTCTTCTCTTGCTTTGTATGCTACATGGAGGGGAGAGTGGCAACTCGAACTACTGCACATCTGTGCAAAGTTCTACATTAAAACCAGTCAGAAACACTAAAAACCAAGAATTTTAGGACTACACATGTTTAGAAATACAATAGTGAGTTGTTTTATTCCTCATGCGGAATAGATTTCAGGATAAAGTGTCTCAGGGAGCACGTTATTATTCCTGGATTGAATTGAAGTACTATAGATATAGTTCCTCAACTGTCAACAATCCACAATGTCATTGCAGATGCAATTGATGAGTAACTGTGTACAACATATTTGATAGATAGGCTGTAATAGACACGGCTTTTAACTAGAGCTTTGATAAGTCCATCTCAAAGCTAGTTTATAATCAATTGTGGATTGATATTAGACAATAGGTATAAGTATTTAATCGTTTTCAAGGTAAGTTTAATAAAAACAAGTCAGGAAGAAAACTTTGGTACAAAACCTTACTAGCAAACGGTTTTATTTCTGCACGGTCATGGAGCCTAAGAGGAGAGACAGCTGCTTGAGATCGGTAGTAGTATGTAATCTACTTAAAGGTGGAGAATTTGAATGTCGATCCTTACAAAATGCTTCCCGGCGTCTATGGAACTCTTTAGGGTGATGTGTAACTTCACGAACTTCGTGGAGTGAACAGGTAGCATAACTGACTTGCTAGTCGTCCTAACTTAGTATAAACAACCTACACTATGCTTTGTGTCTAAACCCTATATAACTGATTTTAATTTAGCATTGTGAGTCGGTGACTTAGCGGTAGAATGCTCGCCAACCATGCATGTTGTCCGGGGTTCGGTCCCTGACAGGTGATAAAACCGGTAAAGAGGTTAGGTTGGGTGTTAGGCTAGCAACTTCACCCTTAAAAATAAACACCTCTGCTACTGAAATCTCAAAGCTCTAGCTTTGAAGCCCTATGTTCCCCTAGGAACTTAAAGGAATAAAAAAAGGGTGCGGCCTATAGGAACATTCGTTGAAGCTAGTATAGCTCGTTCAACCGTTGACACAGTTGTCAGTAGGAAGTAGTTACTTTCAGATGGACGTATTCCAGCACTGGCGTTCTCTTAAACTTTTACCAACTAGGGTTCGATAAAGAGCTGAAACATTGTTTACAAAACTTTGCAGAACACTTAGGTTAACCTTTTATACATTATTTTTTTCTAAAGTTCACTTTTAGGTTGATAATTTTTGGTTTTTCTCAAAATCTCAAAGTCTTTTTAGAAATTCAGCTGATAGCATTATTATAATTTCAGTCTGTAGTTATTCGGCGGTTATTGTTGCTTTGAGTCTTGAGCACAAAAATACTAGGAGGGTAATATTTTTTTGCAGTTCAATAATAAAAAAAGTTTAGTTTAATGAGATTGAATTTTAATTTCCTCTATGAAATTTTCTTTACTATTAATTAGTATAATGAATTCGTTGTACAAGATGGTGAAGGCATCAATACAGTTACAACAAAGTTGATTTTAGATCCTGGTGATCCTATTATCGAAGTACATCCAGGAATATTGAAGCATTTAAAGCCACATCAAGTTGAAGGTATGTTTAAAATAGTTTGTCATTGTGTGTGTGTGTGTGCGTTGTAATAATGTTCCTTTGTAAAAAATGATTGCATAGTGCCATATTATTGACAAATTATGTAAGTGAAGTGTGCTTCGGTGGTACAGTATTAAAATGCTTGCCAATCAAAAATATGGTCCAGAGTTCGACCCCGGCCGATGCACACTCCTAAACCTTGCTAATCCAGTGGTAAAACCGATAAAAGAGAGAAGGTTGGGCATGAAGCTGGTAACTTGCCCCTTAAAAATAAACACCACTGTTACTGAAACTCCAAAAAAGCTTTAACTTAAAGCTCTATGTTCCATTAGGAATGCAAAGGAATAAAATAAATAGAAATAATAAAGTAAATGAAGTGGTGATTTATTGATTTGAATACCATTTCAGTAGGATTATGATGATATAATTCTGGATTTTGTCATGTCATTAGCATCAGTCGGCCTTAGGGTTTCATAACAGCGCTTAGTTGCGCAACTGGAGCTATTATCCAATGACTGAGGTTGTGCCGTTGTGACCGAGTAGAGGATTTCAGGTTCACGTTTTCAGCGTGTGTTGTTTGTGTAGGAATCAGGGTTAGATTAACTAACTGATTTCAGAGTAGCTGATCATGGCGGTTACTAAAAGTAGTTAAACTGAAGCGTTAAATATATCTCAATTGAAACTATTAGTCAAAGGAGCGAATAGGAAATATTCGGAGTAAACTCGTCGCCTGGGCTCGAGTCCCGCTTGGGTTGGGTAACTGGGTTGTGTCACCAGCATTCACACTATAAGTGTGACTCATATCTTGGTAGATAAGGAATTCTTCCCGTTAATAGAATTCTAACTAACTAACTTTCTACGAACTCTGATCAACATTTGACGGTATCGTTCCATACTAATTGGGCACCGAGTGAAAATTAGACTTATGTGAAAATTTTATTTGTATGAATCTCAGCGAAATTGAGACGAATAATTCTAACGTTTCGTTCGGCAAGTTGATCTAAAATTTTTCAAGGAAATAATAAAGGTATATATATATATATATGATGAGAGCTGGCTGTTAGCCAAAATTGGTGGACAGTAATTTATGTCAATGTTTATGTCCCCAATATCGGTCGTGAGCAAAATGAACAGAAAGGCTTTGCGTAGGCGCATACAGTTAGCATATAGGTGATATGACATTCAAGAAACAGTCACAAAGAGATGCAAGATTAACTTTCTGTGAGAAACAACCAATCAGAAGACTGTTTTCTGCTAACAATAATCTATAATATGCACATGAAAATCTATAAATATGTGTTGATTTCCTTAGTAAAGGATTTGTTTCCTGGCCCTTGTCTTCTGTTGTTACATATAGACTCAAAGGGCTTAAGCTATGCTGCTAAAGTCTTCAGTCGCATTCACCATCTTCGCATTGTAGACGTTCGAATGTAGGAGATTGAGGCGGTAAGCGATTAACGTTCACAGTTGTGTGTACCTTTTCAAGAGATATGCAGCTGAAAATTCTTTTGCCTCTTACAATCTTTAACATTTGTTCATGAAAGATACTCAGTAGTAGGTTTGGTGACTGCTATTGGTTAGGACACTCGCCGACCATGCATATGGTCCGGGGTTCGAGCCCATGCCGACGCACACCTGATATCTATGGTCGGCCTGCGAAATTTGGGCTACCGATATCCACGCTGAAAATTCCATACTTGTACCGAAAATACGGTGTGGAATCAAGCTGTAATCAAAAATAAAATAAAAATATTAAAAGTGTTATTACGCCTGTTGTCGCAGTGTTCACCATCAAATATCGTAGTTTTGGAGAAAAGCGAACAATTCTTATCCCCTCATCTTGTTAACTTGTGAAAGTTTCTTTTGTTTCAGATACTATAGAATAAATTTATCAATTTTCATTCTGCTAACTGTTAGTCCCTTCTGTAGTGTAATAATGTGTAGGCTTTTGAAATATATATATATATATATATATATATATATATATATATACATGTGTTGTCATTATACACGTATGCCTGCAGATGTCCGTTACGAACTCCGAGAAGAAAAACTGATCACAAATAGTCTCTTGTATGTGTTGATTCCCATGTTTATTTGTTCATTTCTTTTCCACTTTTTTTCCTCTTCACAACTATAATAACTGGGATCGAATTCCTGGGTTGAACTTTGTGTGACTATCATAAATTTGATTACTATAGTTTACACATGCCTCTATCCCTATGAGTTATTCATATTTTTTTAGATAATATTTTACTTGGTCGTACGTGTGAAATGTTATCGGTCTCATTGTCTTATGATTAGTCACTACTGAGTTATTCAGAACAGGTATCTCATGTTTCTGGCAATGAGTTACAGTCATAATTGTAAGGTCCTATGGAATTACCCAATTGCCTGGGTCAGGCTTAAGCATTTGGGGTCAAAATTTGGAAGTGGAGCACAATATCTGAAAGCCTAGTAGCCCTTAAGCCACTGAGACTGTATCACTAAACTGAGAGAAAACTGGCTGATGATTACAAGTAGTGTAAAAGACAAGGGCCAGGCAACGGATCGTTTATTTAGGAAATCAACAGTTATTTATAGATTTCCTCGCTGAACGTTAATCTTTCATCTCTTTGTGGCCGTTTCTTGACGTTCAGATTATCTATCTGCAAATTGTATCCGCCTACGCAAAGTCTGCTGTAATTGGTTGTTTAGCCAGTCTTTGTTCTTATTTTTCTCATGACCAATATTGGGGACGTGCACATTGACGCAAATAACTATTTACCAATTTCGGCTAGCAACCAGCTCTCACCACGATCTTTCCCCCGCCAAAGAATTGTGACTGAAGCTGGTTCGGTCTTCTTGGTTCTAGGGGCTTTGTTCGTTTGTCTTGATGTCTGGAATCTCAGCGCTCGCTGATGTCCACCCGTTTCTCTTTGTTTACTATTGTGATTGTGTCTGCATAACCCCATCTCTTAGTGACCATATGTGGTCCTTCCCACTTTGGAAATCTTTTGTCTAACCCTGTCGCACATTCGTCGGTATTTCGCCTCACACTTTCATATGCTACTTTCTCCCGACCTCCCAGCAGCGTCACAAGTAACTGCCTTATCGTTGATGGATCTTGAACGCCTCTCAACTGTGCAGAAGCCTCGAAGTCCTGCCTGAAGATTTATATACCTCTATCAAAAACTGCAGGGCATAGGGTTTCCATTTGTCGGTAGGCGGCGATACCAAATGCAACAATGGAAGACAAGGGCCAGGCAACAGGTCGTTTGTTGAGAAAATCAACTTATATTTATAGATTTTTATGTACATTATTATTCGTTTTTGTTAGCGGAGAAGTCACGTCTTCTGACTAGTTGTTTTCCAGCTGAAGGTTGTTCTGTCATCGCTTTGTTGCCGTTTCTTGCAAAATCAGGCCAATATATCTGCGAATCGTATTTCCACACATTAAGTCTACTGTGATTGGTTGGCGGGCTCCTCAAGGTTAAGCTTTGTTATTGTTTTTTTTCTCATGACCTCGATTCGAGACGTAAAGATTAACGTAAATTGTTGTCTGCAATTTTAACCAGCCGACAGCTGTCACCGCAGTAGTGATAAATCTGTGTAGAATCTTTCAGAGAAGTGTATTTTCTAAATTTTTGTTTTCATATATGAAGCTAGTTTTCAAGGGGTGAATGATTCGACCTCACTACGTAAGTAGTACCTTATTAATTGTCTTTTCTTCTTGGCATGGTTTACTTTCGACAACTCATAACCCTATAAGCTAGAATATGTGCGGTACATGTTTTATAGGTCAACGTGATTATTCTGGACAGTAAGCACCATCTGCTCATTGTTTCATAATCGTCATAGTTTCTTAAATATTTTATCTCGCTCTTTTTTCTATTTCTATCATCCTGATCGAATATTCTATTTCAGCTGTTCGCTTTCTATGGGATTGTACCATAGAATCAGTGGAGCATCAAAAATCGTGCAATAATGAATCATCATCTTCGACAACTGGGAATGGTGCAATTCTTGCTCATTGTATGGGATTAGGCAAAACACTGTCTATCATCTCTTTCCTGCATACACTACTCAGATATCCAGAACAATTAAATATTCGAACATGTTTAATTATCTGCCCAGTGAATACATTACTCAACTGGAAACATGAATGGGATATATGGTTGCCGGAAGATGAACCTGTCGATGTATTTGAATTAGCCTCAAAAGGTAGTAGTAGATTCAAGTTGGATATTCTAAACAATTGGCATAAAAATGTAAGCACTTTTTTCTTTCTCTTAGGTATTTTTAAATATATTTAAATTGCTAAAATGATGTGTGTTCGTAAAAAGAATGGACTTGAGAGATTTCAATATTGTTCTACCCGACAGGTCAACCCAGAAGGGGTTTTAACTTTTCCGCAGTTATACACTGTTGTTGAAGGTCGTTGTAAAGTGATTGTAGGAAACGATAAAACTACACTGAGGTTATTATTATTATTTCCTTTAATTCCCAGAGGAATATAGGGCTTCACCTGCACGTCTCCATTGCGTTCGGTTCTCTGCTAGAGTTTTCACCTGGCTCCAAGTCTGCCCACATGCTTTCATCTCCTCTTCACATGACCTCCGCCAAGTCACCCTTGCACTGACGACCAACTTGCCACTTCCCTTTCGGGTTCCACTTGAGCAATGGCTTGTCTAGTGATGTCACTTGCTGGTTTCTTCAGAGTATGGCCGATCAGTCCAACTACATTTCATCCTGCCTATTTGTTGCACAATCGGTTCCTGGTTGGTTTGCTCCCAGAGGTCACTATTGCTGATTCGTTCTGGCCATCTGATCTTTAGTATTAAGCGAAGACACCTGTTAATGAAGGTCTGTAGTTTGTTTGAGATGCTCTTTATGACTCACTGGCCATGTCTCTGATCCGTATAGTAAGTGGCACTCACTTCACATGGGAGTTGAAAATCCGGATGTTATTTTTGATGCTGAATAATGTTGACCTCCACACAGACATATATCATCATCGGCGAAGTCCAGATCCTCCAAGTTTTTTGTGAGGGTCCATTTTATGCCTGTTTCCTCGCTACCGGTGTCTGTCTTATTGTCCAATCTACTGCAATCAGGAAAATCATTGGCGCTAGTAGGCAGTCTTGCCTTACTCCCGTCTTCACTATTATTATTATTATTAGGTGTAAAATAAATACAATGAGCATTCACTGTACAAAAGGCAGAGATGATACCTTTTTGTTACTACATATATGTGTACTCAATTAATTGCCTTCAACTGGAATATTTATATTCATGTTCATAACTTTGTTTTAATTATTCATATCTGCCTTATGAGATACACATGAAACAAATTTCATCATTGATTATCTTCAGATTTTTATTTATGTGTCACCACTGAGTACTACTATTCATCTATTTTGTGCTTTTTATTCTATAAAACCGTTTTAATAGAAGTCGCTATCACTCTGAATTTTTCTTTTCCTCAAAGCGTTTTGAATGACCTACTTTTCGTCTTCAGGGATATTTGAATGTTAGTGCGGTTATTGAATTTTATAGTTTGAAGACTGAGATATATTCAGATTTACTGAAGGTTTCAGTTACTGTGCTTTTATGAGTACCAACCAGGAAGGAGATGGAGCCTAGTATGGTTTCTTCTAGCTTTGGTAGCTGTAGAAATTGTTATATTATCGATTAGTTTTGTTTATATGAGTGAATGTGTCTGACTTGATTGGCTATGGTCTTTTTAATATTCTGACCAACAGCAATCACAACAACAACAGACACCAATCAGCATAAATGGGAGGAGTCTGAAAGAAACAACCTCCTTTACCTACCTATCAAGAAGCATCGTTCTAACTACAGGTGAACGGAACTGACGAGGATATCAAATCGAGGATCGGAAAAGCAAGACAAGCTTTCATTACTCTCAAGTCTGTGTGGGGGTCAACAGCACTCAGCATGAAAATGATAATAAGATCCGGATTTTCAAATCCAATGTGAAGTCAGTGTCACTATACGGATCAGAGACTTTGTCCCGCATCACGAAGGGCACTTCGAACAAACTACAGACCACCAACAGCTGTCTTCGTATAGTACTGCTGATGATCAGATGGCCGGCCAGAAAAGATCACCAATAGTGAGGGATCTCTGGCAATGAGCGAACCAACCCATCAAGAACCAATTGTGCAACAAATATGCAGGAGGAAATGCAGGTAGATTGATTGGCCATACTCTGAGAACACAAACCATCAAATGAGTGACATCACACACCAGACCATCGCTCGAGTGGAAGCCGACAGAATGGGAAGCGGTGAAGTTGGTCGTCGGTACGAAGGTGAGGTGACATGGAGGAGGCCATGCGAAGGGGAGATGAAAGCATGTGGACAGACGTTGAGCCAGGTAAAAAGGTTAGCGGAGAATCGAACGCAACGGGAATGTGTGACTGAAGCCTTATGTTTCCCTAAGAACTAAAGGAAGCAGTAGTCTACAATAATAATCGTTAATTTCTTACCTGAAAAAGGGCTAGTCATAGATTCTCTGTTCTGTATTGTATTAGTCAATTTGTTGACCGTTGAAATTGTTAGTCAATCTGAATGATTATTGATGGCTAGAATATCACTGAAAGCCCTTATGTCGAAGAAAGTCTTCTCAGAGGACAGTTATAGTAAGTCATTCCTTAACATTTATAGAGATTTACCTTGTTTCGATTGACCAACTGGCGTTTGAACAATGTACGTTGGTCTTTGGTTAAGACACCTAAACTGCCAGCAACAAACACCAATCACCATCAACAAGAGAGATTTGAAGGAAGTCACTTTTGTTTTACTTATCTAGGTGGTATCGTTTCAGCTATAGGCGGCCCGTGATTTTAGCACAACCACGAAGCGGCATAAGTTAGAATTCATGGGCCATTGAGTTGGGTCCCAGTGGTTGAATGGTATACGAGCTTGCCTTTTAACTGGAACGTCCTGGGTTCAAACCCTGGAGGTGGGTGCGTACTGCCGACGAGTCCCAAACTAGTCTGATAAAGCTGTCCAGTACTCCGTGCTGGTATTCAGTGGTTCGCCAACTGATATCGATCCGTGGGCAAACTTGAAAAATAATAGTAACGTTCCTATCTGCTGTTAAGTGAGAGTACCATACGAAGCTTTACTACTTTAATTAGGTTGTGTTTGTTTACTTTTATATCTGTGTATTATTCATTTGACACCTTCTTTATGATAACTAATAATGTATATATGTTAGTTTCACCTTGATTTTATTTGTTTATTTCTTTTTTTCCTAAAAGGGTGGTGTACTTATCATTGGTTATGATATGTTTCGTAATTTTGTTATGACATTAATGAAACGATCAAGAAGTAAATATGTGAAAACTACAATCTCAACAGGTTTACTTAATCCTGGTCCAGATATTGTTGTCTGTGATGAAGGACATTTAATGAAAAATGCTAAAACGCATATATCGAAGGCTGTAACACAAATTCGTACTACTAAACGTGTTATATTAACTGGAACACCGTTACAGAATAATCTCAATGAATGTACGTTGTCTGTTTTATTTCTATATGTGAAAAATTATATATATATATATATATATATATATATATATATATGCATGCTATGATTTCATTTTATTCTTTTGCGTTCTCATTGGAACATAAGGCTCCAAGCTGAAGCTGTGAATTTCCAGTAGCAGAGGTGTTATTCTTTTATGCGTGATGGTGTGCAAGCCTTAGGCCAAATTTTTGTTTATTCCTTCATGTTCCCAGTGAAACATAGAGCTTCTAATTACAAACTTGATGTTTCTGTGGTAGTGTTTATTTTTACAGGATAGGGTTGCTGGCCTCATTTTTAACGTTTCCTCTACACCAGCACTATTTTTGGCTGAGCGAAGTAGAGGAATGCCTCGTCGACCGGGAATTGAACCCCAGACCATATGCATGGTCGGCGAGCGTCGTAACCGCTGTGCACCGACGCCTTAGGCCATTACTTCCCTTTTTTACCGGGCTTACTACTGACTAAGGGAGGTTAAGGAGTGCGTCGGCCTGGGATCGAACCCCAGGCCATGTGCATGGTTGACCAGCATTCTACCGCTGTTAATCACCGACTTGCATGCTTTCTATGAGCTTTTACTAATTGTCTGTATCTGGTCTGCTCACGTAAATCTAGCTGCATGCATTAGTTCAACAATGCCACTGGTTGTTGTTGATATTTCAGCTCAGTGACTAGAGACTAATAGTTATAATTGTTGCACAGAATTACACTTTTAAACTGACATTATGTAACTACTGTTACACAAAGATGTGTGTTCGATTGGCAAATTAATTTTATCATACATTCAGGAAATAATACACAACTATCATTGATTATGCTAAAGTGGTTTTGGTGTTCCCTTTTGAATATCTGAACTGAACATAATGAACATTCAATATTTGTTTCTTATTTTGTCTTTCAAATAGATCATGCAATGGTTGACTTTGTCAAACCAAATTTATTAGGTACTCTTAAAGAATTTAATAATCGTTTCGTTAATCCAATTAAAAATGGACAACATTCGAATTCTACGCCAAGAGATGTTAACATAATGAAGAAAAGAGCTCACATTTTATATAAAACGTTGGATGGATGTGTTCAGGTAAAAATTAAATAGTTCAACTAACAGTCTTTTGATCATATTTCGAATTATTTTATATTATTATTATTATTATGTAATTGTCAAGAAGCCTTAGACCTTGGCATCGTTCTTGTTGGTACTCGTTAGAAGTAAGGCTAATATACAACCATGTGGGGACTATCTCCTCTGAAATTCGAACCTGCGTCACCTGGTGCTGCAGGTAGAGACATTACTCAAGCCTCGAATATTTCGGTGACAAAGTCTTTGATTGCAGCACTGAGTGACACATTTTTGAATTAGTCTTTTACCTCCTTGCGCGTTCTCCCCCATGTCATCCTCGGATGTCCACTTGCCATTTCCCACTCGAATTGCATTTGAGGGTTGGCCTGGCACTCGGTGTAATTCGACGGTCCTCTCAGTGTGTGTCCAACCCATCTTCATTATCTTCAGCGTATTTGTTAAACAGAATATCTTGGTTGGTTTGCTCCCATAGTTTCTTGTTGCTAATTCTCTGTGGCTGGCCATTCGATTTTCAATATACAGCGAAAAGTTTGCAGTAGCCTGTTGGGAAGGCTTTTTGTGACGCTCAGTGCAAGTTTCTGACACTTATAGAAGAACTGACTAACTTCACATTGTTGTTGAAAATCCGACTACCTTAAGGTAGGTTTTGAGATACACCAAATTGATGAATACCAACAAGCTCGAAATCTAGACTTAGAGTCTCCTGCCAATTGTAATATTTCAAAAGTGCAAGATGATGTCGAACCTCCTAGATTGGTTGATCACATAACAAAGTGACTGGTGGGATTCATTTGGTACCATTAAGGATTGGCCACCTAATACTAACTGATATAATGGTGTGGAGTGTAAGACGATGTACGTCCTCACTACAATAGGCATTACTGTCGCCCAACTTATTTCTCCCTCAATGTTTCTTTCTGTTGATTCTCTTCATCACTGAAGTGATGGGAATCGGCAGGCAGTTGAAGTGCTGATCACATAATTCCATTAATCATTTGTTTTGAAAGTAGACATTAGTAGTCATTGATTGTGAAAATTTTTTGAGAATATGTATATGTATTATGTTAAAGTTTGACTTGTTTTTTTGGGGGGAGGGTGGTTGGTGGTGATGATTATAACTAGTTCATATTGATGGTTGTATAAAGCTTTCTGGGAATGCCGAATGAGCTACTCCCCTACAAGTAGTAATACATCATGTAGTTATCAAAGTGACATTTGGTAGACGCAATTATTCAATGCGAAGTTGTGCTTCACAAAAATCTTGTCGTGGATTATTTTATTTATTTTTATTTATTTTTGATAACAGCTTGATTCCACACTGTATTTTTGGTACAAGTATGGAATTTTCAGCATGGATATCGGTAGCCCAAATTTTGCAGGGGGGTTAATGTTGTTGTTTTCATTGCTTTGTGATAATGGTGATTATTAAGACTAAGACTACAAAGTAAAATATTTAACTAACATGCAAGCCAAGAAGGTTGAAGATGAGGCAGTTACTCATCGAAGAAGACATTGCGCTATGTCATATATTGACAGAAGTTATAATTCAAGGACCATTGGATCGGGTCCCAGTGGCTCAATAGTCTACGAGCTCGCTAGCCTTGTAACCAGAAGGTCCTGGGTTCGAACTTTGGCGGTCGGTGCGTACTGATGAAGAGTTCCAAAGTAGGACGAAACGGCTGTCCAGTACTCCCAGCTGGTTTTCGAGTGGTTCTCCAACTGATGTCAGCTCATGATGAAATCCTCCATGGAATATGTAACTGTTGTGTATTTTTATACCTCATACTTTTAGTATTTCGTTTAAGTGTAGTGTGAAACGTAAATTGGCTACTGGTGTTTCTGCATTATGTTGAGTGTCTTTAAGCGTTCTACATACTGGATCTCTGGATGATAAAAAATGGTTTCTTTGTGTCCTACAATATCGTGGGTCTTCTACCGGAAGCATTCTAACTTTATGCATCACTTGGCTATATATTTCACGCGTACCATCATTTATTTATGTCTTTTCCATTCACTTGTTGTTTTTTGCAGCGCAGAGATTACAGTGTATTAACTAAATATCTACCGCCTAGGCATGAATATGTGATTATGTGTAGATTAACAAAAGTTCAACAAGAATTATATGCCTATTATTTAGAAAATTTTAATGATCTGGATATCACTAATAATAATCGAGATGATACGCATCGTCGGAAGACATTGTTTACAGTTCAACAAACACTCTATCGGATATCTACACATCCTTATGCATTACGAATACATGAAACCAAAGAAGCTCGTAAAGTAAGTTTGTATGTGTGTGTTTGTGTGTTTGTAATTTTTACTTTTATTTATTTTATGAGAAATATTATTTTATGTGGATATGAAAGGATGCTTCTAAAAGAAAAGGCGATATCATTTGCAAGCTTTAGAATTGCATATCTATATACATAAATATAAATTTTCTTAATAACAAAAGGAATGTTACCAAAGGTGTATCATTCGAGCTGTAATTTTTAGGTGGCAGTTGTGTAACAGTGGGAGCGTTAACCATGTAGAGACTGAGAATAAAATTCACTAAGAAAATGGAGGGGGGGAGGGAGGAGAAAAATAGCATAATCGAAAAACAAAATATCACGTATCCAGTGTTAAGACAGATGAGGTACACTGTAGGTTCAGTGACTGAACAAATTTCTTCTGTATGTGGAGTCTGGGATTTAACATGTAGAGATTGCCATCGCTTCTATGGTTTGAAGAAGTTTGGTTCGTTCTCCTTTACCAAGATTCCCACGTATTCTGTAGATGACTTTGAAGTTGGTTACTAGGTTCGCTTGGTGTATGGAGTCGTTCAGGTATTCTAGAATAGAGCCATGACGTGAGGGGTCTTTTTTCTCCTTTACAAAACCATGAGTATGAGTGTTCGATGATACGTTTGGACAGTGAACGCTGGGTACGGCCGACATATCTAACTCGACAGGAGCAGGTGAACTGATAGATGCAGATTATTAAAGCCAGTGGCGGTAGCTTATCCTTCATGTTCATGCGAATCATTGGTTTTTCTAGAGAAAGTGAGTGTAAGTTCAACAGCAAAGAAGGTTTTCTTCATTGACCGGGACAGGGAGTTTCTCAATATTTCTGCCGATGAGTCTTCATTTGAATTGTAGATTCAGATATAAAAGTTTTTTTTTGGGGGGGGGCAGAAAGTGTAGGTAGTTTTAGTGGTGTAGGTATCATGGATTTTGTGATGAAGCGTTCCGGGTAGCCATTTTCAATGAGAACCGTTTTTAGAGTGTTCAGTTCCTTTTCCATAGTGTCATGACTGCAAATATTACGGATTCAGTGGCTCAATTAACTGATTAGGTTTAGTTTTGTACATGTGAAAACACCCAGCTATAGAAGTTTATGAGTTGTCTGTTCCACTTCAGCTTACTGTGAATGGATCTTTCCCGTGTTCCATCTTGTCCGCGTCTTGTTAGTTGAACGTCGAGAAAACGTATTTTTGAATCTTTTGAAAAAACCCCAGAATGTCCTTCGAATTCTCTTGATTATCGAAAATATTGCAAGTGTCATCCATGTATATCATGTAAAATCCACAGGTGTCAGTCGTTTGAGTTTCAACATGAAGAAATCTGCAATCCCATTGGTATACCATCATTTTCTCTACATATTTCAATACTGAAAGAGAATTGAACACATTTAAGGTTCATCCCAACAAGCGTCCCTCAAAATAATCATCAGGTATTCCAATGATTAACCTGTTTGAATCAATATGTTCGCATATATAGCATATTGTTTCAGTTAATAATGGGATATTCATAAACAATTAGGGCACATCTAGCCAAAGAATGATTCGATTCTTCTAAAGATTTGAAATCATACAATTAGCTTGTCTGAGTTTATTATGAATTTTTGAAAAATTATGAATGCACATGACTTTTGCAAGTTTGGTTCTCTCCATTCTACAATTAAATGACATGAGTTTATTTCAGTGTTTGAGGCTGTATTTGACTACATGAATTTTTAAACACTATTGCACAGTTGTGTGCTATAGAGTTTCCACTTGTTGATGAGAACCGTATTCATGTGATGTTTGTTTTCGTTATCCCTAGGTTTATATTCATGTCTATAGAAATTCTTGTGAGACCCAACTTTTGTTCTATTCGATACCTATTATCATAGCCAGTATAATTCTTTTTTCACTCATTCAATAGCAGGGATTAGATTGGTTGGTTACAGGTTCAATCATGAGCTGACATCGGTTAGAGAACTATTGCGAAACCACGGAGTGCTGCTGGACAGCTGCTTCGTTTTTTATTTGGGACTCTTCGTCAGTACTCACATACGACTTACTGGGTTTCAAACCCCAGGACCTTCTGGTTGAAAGGTGAGCTGTTAGACCAGCTAGCTTCTGGCACCTGAGTCAAAGGTCTATGAGAACAGGCACAGATTACACAGGATGACTGTAGCGCCTTATATTGTGAATTGATGAGCCATTTTAATCGGTTCCCAGTGGCTGAATGGTCTGCGAGTTTACCATGTGACCAGAAGCTCGTGGGCTCAAACTCCGGCAGTTAAGTACTGATGAGAAGTCCCAGACTGGGAGAAAATGGCTCTCCAGTACTCCCTGATTCTCCAGTGCGTTCTCTAACTGATATCACCTCATGACCAAACCTGTAATTCTTTTTGATAGAAAAATAATTGTAAATATTTAACAGAATGAACATAAACCGCGATTGGAGTTGAATGAGTGGACGACGTGCTTAGTGTTTAGGGTAATGTGAGCCACACATATATCTTCACATATTTCCGTCCTAATTATTTTGAATTCTACAAACGATCATTATTATATTACATGTGTGAAAATTTTATCGCCTAATTTAAACTGTTTCTTTTTTGTTTCCATTTTCCTCTTCCATAATAAACAAAGATGCTTCTAATGAGTGAGGATAGTTTTATTGATGATTCAGCAGATTCATTAGAATCTTCTACATCAAGTAATTCAGCTCCTTCAGATACTAGTGAAGAAGAAGACGACGACGATGATGTTGTCGTTGATGCTGATGCTGATGACGCTGTTAATAATCCTATTGGAAAGAAGAAAAAGACTAAAATTGATCAAACTGGTGATAATGTTGACCAAAAGAACAAAGAGAACAACAATACAGTGAATAAAAAATCTCGTAGTCGACGTCGTCGTCCTTTAACTCGTCAAGAAGCAAAAAATCCAACAACAGTTATCCTTGATTCAGACAGTAATCATGATGATGAGGATGATGATGGTGATTCTGACAGTGTTACAGACATTGATGGATCTCAAAAACTCTGGTGGTATCAATTTTATAAAGATGAATATGACTGGCAAATTAATGTAGGCGCTAAAATGGATGTTCTCTTTAATATATTGAAACGTTGTTCAGATATTGGTGATAAAGTGATCATGTTTTCGCATAGTTTAATATCATTAGATTTAATTGAAAAGTTTCTAGCTGAAATTAATCGTCAATGGTCAGTTCTTCAGGTAAGATATTTTAATTTATTTTGTCCATTTATCAATTTCTTATTTGTTGTTGTTGTTGGTGGTGGTGGGTAACCTTTGTTGACAGTATTTCAATATGCATACATACATACATAGTCACTGAAGAATGTATGCCTGTGACAATAATTTCCATCAGCCTTTTTCGTAGTGTCTAGATGATGATAGGTGGTCATCATTTTACTGTGATTGTGAAAGCTAAAAGAGAGAGAGAAAAAGAGGTTGGAAAACCAAAAAGTTCAACAAGGATAGATAATATTCAATTGAGACTGTATCAGTCTTCTTGATTGTTTGTTTCCAATGGATTTTGCAGTCCCTGTTGTAATCATATTGGCAGTTCTAGTGAGAAGTCGTGACCAGTGGGATCCTTTCCAATGGCACTGGCCAGTGGTCGCGCCATACCTTGAATCGACAGAAGCTGGATGTTATGGGTCATTGAATCAGGTCTCATTGGCTGAATTTTCTGTGAGTTCACCTTGTAACCATGGATCCGAACCCTGGCGGCAGATGCATACTACCGATGAGCCTCAAACTAGGACGAAACAACTGTTCAGTACCCTCTGCTGGTTTCTAATGGTTCTCTAACTGATATCAATCAGTGATCGGATTTGAAACATATCGACTTGTATTACTCAAAGTCCGACAGTGTCTGGGGGATTAAGATGATGTTGCTTGCTGGGAAGTAACTAACAGTAGAGTTCAAAATGTGAGTTTCGTCCTATTTGGGACTTGTTAGTTGGATGTACTTACAATCACAATCCTCAGCAAGAATGAGTGATGATGTTTCCACTGAGACTCGAAGCCATCACCCAATGTTGCAATACTTGATTATGGAAAAAGGAATGATAATTAATCACAAACGATAGTGAAGCGAAATGTATTTTCTATGTGACGTTGACTAAATTATCTTTCATTGATTTATTTTCCCACGTCTTTATATAAAATAGTGTAGTTAATAATGCCAATTAATTTAGGATCGCTGAATATCTTTTAGTCTTTTGATACGTTTATGCAAATTTTTGAAAGTAGAACACAGAGGTTCATGTAGTTTTATTTGTTATTGTCAATGAAGCTGCAATAATAGTAGCAAATAGGATACTATGAGCGTTGATCATTTTTCAGTCTGGATGACTTACTGTTATTCAGTGATATCATATCTAGGAATAAGGTTAAGGGAAGATATTAATGTCTTCAACCCTGAAACGCACAATGGTCCATTGCCCTTAATATTACATGAGTATGAATGGGTTGGCAAATAAATGCTATCGTCCATTTCCTTCTACTACTTGTGGTGAGAACAGACTGCTAGCCAAATTGGTAGACATTAATTTACACCAATGTTTGTGTCCCAAATATTGATCGTGAGAAAATATGAACAAAGACTGATTAAACAACCAACCACAGTAGACTCTGCGTAGGCTGATACAGTTAACATATAGATGATCTGACATTCAAGAAACAGCCAAAAAGAGATGCAAGGTTAACTTTCAGTGAGAAACAACCAACCGGAAGACGGTGTTTGTTTGCTTAAATAATCTATAATAATGTACATGAAAATATATAAATGTGTGTTGATTTCCTTATTAAACGATCTGTCGCCTGGCCCTTTTCTTCTGTTGTTACTACCTAATATTTTCTTCCTGGATTTTATGTTCATCATTTTCTTCTCTCTCTAGAACCAGTCTTCAGACCAGAAAACGGATGAGAATGTAGAAAATGCTGATACATTAAATCGTCCAGATTTATCAGCATATTTCTCTGATATCGGACATAATACATGGATACGTGGTTTAGATTATGAACGTATGGATGGTAGTATGAATGTGAATGTACGTAAAGATTTACAGGCACGTTTCAATTCAACAACTAACACACGTCTACGATTGTTTATTATATCAACTAAAGCTGGTGGTTTGGGTATTAATTTAATCGCTGCAAATCGTCTTGTCCTACTCGATGCATCATGGAATCCAAGTCATGATATACAATCAATATTTAGAAGTTATCGTTTTGGTCAGCATAAACCAGTGTATATTTATCGTCTGATTGCCCAAGGAACAATTGAAGAAAAAATCTATGATCGACAGGTATACACAATTATTGTATATTTAATAATAATTAACCTAATGTATCCTAGTTGATAGTTAGTGTTAAATGAATGCTAAAATCGAAATGTGAAATATGACTATTGAATGTTGAGGAGCGTATATCGTAGTGTCAAGTGAAATTCTCTCCTCCTCCTCCTTTTGGTTTTGATTGTTTTGCCTAATTTATTGTTATTATTTCCTTTAGTTCCTAGAGGAACATAAGGCTTCAGTCACACATTCCCGTTGCGTTTGATTCTCCGCTAACCTTTTCACCTGGCTCAACGTCTGTCCACATGTTTTCATCTCCCCTTCGCATGGCCTCCTCCATGTCACCTCACCCTCGTACTGACGACCAACTCGCCGCTTCCCATTCTGTCGGCTTCCACTCGAGCGATGGCCTGGTGTGTGATGTCACTCATTTGATGGTTTGTGTTCTCAGAGTATGGCCAATCAATCTACCTGCATTTCCTCCTGCATATTTGTTGCACAATTGGTTCTTGATGGGTTGGTTCGTTCATTGCCAGAGATCCCTCACTATTGGTGATCTTTTCTGGCTGGCCATCTGATCTTCAGCAGTGCTATACGAAGACAGCTGTTGATGAAGATCTGTAGTTTGTTCGAAGTGCCCTTCGTGATGCGGGGCAAAGTCTCTGATCCGTATAGTGACATTGACTTCACATTGGAGTTGAGAATCCGGATGTTATTTTTCATGCTGAGTGCTGTTTATCTCCACACAGACTTGAGGCTTATGAAAGCTTGCTTTGCTTTCCCGACCCTCGATTTGATATCCTCATCAGTCCTGTCCACCTGTAGTTGAAACGATGTTTCCAAGATAGGTAGGTAAAGGAGTTTTATTCTTTCAGAATCCTCTTATTTACGCTGATTGTTGTCTGTTGGCCAGGAGTCTTCATGGCCCCTGTTTTCTCTACGTTCACCTGAGGTCCTTCTTATCTTTGATGCTTCTCCTACCAACTTGTTGCTTTCAGATATATATCATCGGATAAGTCCAGATCCTCCAAGTCTCTTTTTGTGTGAGTCCATTTTATGCCTGTTTCCTCATTGTCCACTGTCTGTCTCATTATCCAGTCTACCGCAATTAGCAACATCATTAGAGATACTAGACAGCCAGCTTTGTCCTACTCCCGAAGGATTCCGTGAGTTTCCCGATGTGGATTACTTGGCCTGCAGTATTGTCGTACTACTGTTGGATGAACAGTGGGGTTAGACAGGGTTGCCCAATCTCTCCATTTCTCTTTAACTTTGCCATCGATGACATTCTGGAGTTAGCTCGGAAGGATGTGCGTGAAGGTGGTGTAGATCTGCTACCTGGAGATAGACTTTTCGACCTCGAGTATGCAGACGATATCGTCTTACTGTGCGATAGCATGCAGGCTGCCCAAATCGCACTTAACCAGTTGACGATCAGTGTCTGTAAGTATGGTATGTGCTTTGCGCCGTCTAAGTGCAAAGTACTGTTACAAGATTGGCAGGAGCCTGTACCTGCACTCACTCCTGCAGGTGAACCGCTTGAAGTTGTTGATAAGTTTGTGTATCTGGGTAGTCGTGTGAGTGCTGGCGGAGGGGTGACGGATGAGATTTCCAACCGTATAGTGAAGGTTAGGGTGGCATACATCAACTTGAGCCACCTCTGGCGCCGTCGCGGCGTTAGCCTGGCTGTCAAAGGTCGGGCATACAATGCTTCGGTGCGGGCTGCGCTGATCTACGCCTGTGAAACCTGGCCTCTCCGAGTAGGCTGAGGATGTGAGGCGGCGACTCTGCGTGTTCGATCACCGCTGTCTCCGCAGGATTGCTTGCGTTCGATGGCATCATCGCGTGAGTAATTCTGAGGTTCGGCGGCGTGTGTTTGAACACACTGGAGATCACCATTCATTGAATGTCGTCATCTGGAAACACCGGCTCCGGTGGCTTGGACATGTGCTGCGAATGTCATCCCAGAGGCTTCCGTACATGTCTCTGTTCTCTAGCCAGCCATGGGACGGGATGGGAAAGACGGAAAGGTGGTCAGTCCATTACGTGGCGTCGTGGGATGAAGAATTTTTGTGCTAGATTAGCATCGGTTGGTGTGTCACGACTCCCTGGTTGGGGTCCGAGAGATAGCTCAAATCGATGGCTGGAAACATTATCGGATATGGCCAAGAATCGTAATCAATGGCGAATGTGTTGCGATTTCCTTCTTTCTTCCCTTCCCGATGATAGTTAACGAACACTGTTTGAACTAGTTAAGCATGACTGTCTTCCTTCCAGATGAAGTTCTTTATCCGTTCTCTACTTATATATATATATATTTCTTTTCCTTCCTTCCTTTTTTGATCTATGTTTTATTATTATTGTGTGGCGCATCCTTTTTGGTGCCATATTGTACCAAGTTTTTATGCATTTAAATAAATAAAATAAATAAATACTGTTGGATGAGAGATGTTTAATTGTTTTTGGCACCCCTTGGTAGTAGTGAAGTAGTTTCCAAATCACCTCTCGATCGACGCCGTCGAAGGCCTTTTAAAAGTGGATGAAGTTGAGATAGAGAGGTGACTGCCATTCCAAGCTTTGTCCAATGATGATCCGTAGTGTGGTGATTTAATCAATACATAACTTGTTCCTCCTGAATCCAGCCTGTTCCGGTCGAAGTTTTTCATCCAGGTTGGCGTGTTTGATTCTCTGCAGGATGATGATGTGACGCAGTATTTGCTTGATGGATGTATTACCTAATCGATGAAATTTTTCATTTTGCTAATTCCTACTTACTATTATGTCTTCGCTTAATTTTTCACTTTGATGACAATTTGTTGCCTGAATATGTTGTGAAATAAAATCTGACAGAGATATTATATACTTAGAGAAAATGAAGATAAATAGTAATTTACTCGCTAAGTGACATTTTCTTTTAGTGACTTGACTCTTCTTTTTAGTTTAATATTAAACCGAAGTAAAGTTAGTCTCCCATTGACGTCCTTATCAGCCTCCTCTTCGTTGGCCTTTTATCACTAATCTTTTGCCTTCTGTGTTAAATGGTATACTACTGTGAATAATATTGAAGGGATGGAGGAGAATTCAAAGGAGATGAGGTTGCAAAGGTGAATTGATTAACATAAGTAGGAACACGTGTGTTATGTCTACCACTTTCCTCATCGACCTATGTTAGATGTCATAGGATTAGTCTAGAAAAGAATCAGAATCGGTGTGGCTAGATCAAAACCTGGCTAGCATCAACCTATGTGAAGTCTTTGACAGTTGATTTGCACCAAACGAGATCAGGTGTAGACTGCTACTTTGGTTGTCTTCGGGATGCTGAGAATCAACAGATAGAGGTTGTTGGTAATGTGACTGGAAACTACTCTCAGTGGTGCAGATGCATTCACTATTTGTAATCTTCCACGCCTGTTAAACCGTTGTCTTTTTCTATGTTATTTACTAGTCGTTCTCCCGTACATTTTCACCAATGGTAGTTCTTTTGAATCTCTTTTGTCTCTACGCTTGTGTGCTGCATGATGATAAAGTGCAGCAGCTTGAATTGGTTCACTTCTGTGTAAAGTCCTCTGTTGAAACTCAATTAGTATGTCAATCAGTGTTTTGTGCATCGGTGGCACAGCGGTAGAATGCTCGCAGGTCGTGGTTCAAGCCTCTAGTTTGTGGCCCTATGTTCCACTGGGAGGGTGAAGGATTACAAAAAAGCCAGTGTTTTGTCAAAATGAAAGGAATTCTAACATTTGTTTTCTCAATACACGTAGTTAGTTAGATTTATCATGAGGAGAAAAGGTGAAGAGGTTATCAGAGTAAAGATGCATTCTATTACCCATGTGAAATGATGAAATTTGTACATATATGGTTGAGCGAATTACACATAATGTATAGAAACCTACTGTTTTGTGAATTACTTTAGTCAATACATGTAATAGATTCCTAGGTGTGTTTATTGTATATATTTATTTATTTAAACGCATAAAAACTTGGTACAATATGGCACCAAAAAGGATGCGCCACACAATAATAATAAAGCAACATAGATCAAAAGAAAAAAAGAAAGAAGAGGATATATATATATATAAGTAGAGAACGGATAAAGAACTTCATCCGGAAGGAAAACAGTCATGCCTAACAAGTTCAAACAGTATTCGTTAACTATCATCGGGAAGGGAAGAAAGAAGGAAATCGCAACATGTGTAATAGCATGCGATAAGTTTCATTGATTGTTTGTTGCTTCATTCAATTCATTGTGTGAGGGCTGAGATACTGCCCAGGTGCCCAAACCGAAGCAGGTGGTTTTATTAAGGGACCAGCCCCCGAACCTTTGACTTGGAGTCTAATCCGCAAGGCAGCGGAGCAGCGCCAGGAGCTGCATTCCCATGGTTTCCGGTGACCCATATGGGCTCATGCGCCATTTGATCCGATTGGATACTGGAGCCCATGTACCCCATGGTAACTGCTTTTAGCTTAACCGCTATCCAAACAACCTTCCTGGCATGGTAGGACCTGCAGGGACAGAGTCCCAGTCAGTTTAGCATGTTGGGCCATTACGGTATTCAAGCCAGACCACCACGACTGGAACGCTGGAAAGAACACTATGACAAAGAGTCTAGTTGGCCTACAGCCACACTCAACTTACCAAACATCAACACATCCTTGAATGGGATGTAGACACAGGTCCTCCGTCCCTAACTGAGGTTACTAAGGCTGTCACTAGTCTGAAACGAGGCAAAACAGCAGGACCTGATGGAATGACTCCAGAGGTATTTAAGTACGGTGGAGACAGTTTAATGTCCGCGTTAACTAAGGGTACTAGGCACCGTCTGAGAATCAGAGGAAGTCCTGTCGGGTTGGTTTAAGTCATTGATTATCCCGATATAGAAGACCACTTGAACCTTAGTTACGAATTATCATTGTCCAAATTGTTCTATTTTCTTTAGCAATCTGTTACGTAATCGACCTGTGCACACCCTTATTCCTTAATTATTCTTCATTTTTCCAAAATTATGCATTATGCAATCCACTTGTTGTAACCATTTCCACCTTTTTATTATGTATATTAATTTTCTTCGTTAATTATCACCCCATTGACATTTTGACACTGACTAATTATTGTTAACAAACATACCGCCACTTGATTGGTTAATTATTGTGTATTGTAATAAAAATGCTATATATTCATATTAGAGTAGAGCCAGAGATGAGGATCTAATTGAAAAGTAAATATTTCTTCGCTCAATTTTTCTGTTTTCTAAATAAAATTTTATCCATAATGGAGTTATACTCTCCCACAGTATCCAAGTTTTATACATATATCAATAATACTTAATGTTATTATTATTATTGTTGTTGTTCCCCTTAGGTAACGAAACAATCTTTATCCCTACGCGTAATTGATGAACTACAAATTGATCGACACTTTTCAGATGATGACTTACAAAAATTGTTCACTTTTGAACCAGATATCTGGAATCCTGAAGATAATGACGATAAACGTCCAACACCCATACTGCCTAAAGATCGTTTACTCGCTGATCTGCTTACAGAATATCGACATTTAATAGCCACCTATCATAATCATGATTCATTATTACAGCATAGAGAAGATGAAGGCTTAACAGAAGTAGAACGTCAAGAAGCCTGGCGAGAGTATGAAGAAGAAAAGCAGTACGGTATGTCATTAGCTGAACATCAACGTCTAGTAATGTTACAACAACAATGGATAGCTCAACAACAACAACAAATTCAACAACAGCAACAATTATTTCATCTACAATATCTTCAACAACAACAACAACACCAACTACAGCAACATCAACTCCAGCATTTTATATTGCCAAATTTTCAATTTCCTATCGTCTCATCACCAAATACTAGTGGACAGACAATTGTTATTAGTGATGATAATAGTAATAATAGTAATAATAACGATAGTCAAGTAATAATAACATCACCACCACCAGTGCTGCATAGCGGTAATGTTGTGCCTAATAAAAATACTAAGAAGAATAAGAATAATAATATTAATAATACTGCTGTGACAAATCTAACTACAGGTTCTCCTATCATCACTACAATGACGACGACAGCATCTGCTACTGATGTTCATCATTCAGCTGGCTCGCAACTAATTGCCGATATTAGTACCATTACTAACAACTTTGGTAATAGTAGTAATAGTAGTGCATCGATAGCTGTACAACCGTCAAGAATGCAACAAGCACGTTATATAACACCAGCTATTAATAATTTGCCAAGTTAGTTAGTTAGTTATCCATATTAATACGTGAATGTTTGCTGTAATATTTTTTACTTGTCTGTTTCTTTTGGAAAGCATCAGTTTTTGAAATTGCATAGAGATTATGCAGTGTTCTCATAGCACACTTTTTTAGTGTGTACATTACTCTTTTTGTATTGATTATAAATTAAAGTAGAATAATAATCATAAAGTTCATAACAGTAACTGCTATGAAGAAGCTATTAGAAAATTCTCATGCGAATGGGATACAGACATGCAGTTTAGACTGAATTATTCTCCTTTGGGTTTCGAGTGGAATATACGGCTTCAACACCACACCTCGATTTTACTTACCGGCGTCCAACAATCATTATCTTTTTCGACCTAAAGGCGGAATTCGATTCTGATTCGACCGAGAAGTACTCTGGTGACTCTTGGCTGTAAAAGGAATGACGAGAAAATACATTGCACTGATCAAGGCCACTCTATTTGAACTCATGTAGTCAGCCAGGTGAGAGCTTACGGTGAGTTGTCATTTGAACTGGTGACAACTAGTGGTGTCCGTCACGGATGCTCACTATCCCCATTTCTTTGGTTACAGGATTTCATCATGAGCTGACATTGGTTAGAGAACCATTGGAAATCCTGGGAGTACTGGACAGCTGTTTCGTCCTAGGTTGGGACTCTTCAGCAGTGCGCACCCACCGAGGTTCGAACCCAGGACCTCCTGGTTACAGGGCGAGCTTGTATACCATTAAGTCACTGGGACCTGATCCAATGGCCCATGAAATCTAACTTCTATGTACTGCTGAAGAGTCCCAAACTAGGACGAAACAGCTGTCTAGTACTCCCAGAATTTCCAATGGTTCTCTAACCAATGTCAGCTCATGATGAAATCCTGTAACCAATCAACCAAATCCCTACAAACCAATACTTGTATCCCCATTTCTATTCAATTTCATCATAGACGCACTAATGGACTTAACTCTAACTCACTTCAGAGACTCAGGGATTGACTTTTCACCACCAGGGAATAGTCTCGTTGACTTAGAATATGCAGATGATATAGTCCTCTCACTTTGGTGCAGACGCTTACAAAACACAGTAGTGTCTTCTGAACACCTTGAGCTGCAATCTATGAATGTTTGGCATTCGATTCGCTCCCGTCGAATGTAGGAAGACACTACAAGACTGGACTTGTGGCGGTATGATACAGACATTGTGTTCCAATGGAATATAGTTCTCACCTATTCCCACAGTTCCATACGGGATTAGCAACAGAATAAGATATATCTCTTTGAACATTCCTTTTGTTGCTAGAGTCAGAATATTATTCTCACAGTTCAATACTGCGTTAGCAACCGAATACTATGTTTATTTGAACCTTCCATTTCGTGTCGTTTAGTGTAAACCAAAATCAATATATATGTATATCCACGTTCTCAGTGGAACATAAGACTTCAAGCTAGAGACTTGAAGTTTCTGTAGCAGTGTTTATTTTTACAGGATGGGGTTGCTAGCCTCATGTCCAACCTTTCCACTTTACCAGCGTTATTTCTGGCTAAGCGAGGTAAAGGAGTGCCTCGCCGACCATGTGCATGGTTGGCTAGCGTTCTAACCGCTGTGCCACCGACTCACAGAGCGGTTTGATCATTTGAAAATAAACCTTAGCTTCCGTGTCTTGCCTTCTGTATTTTACACACTGACTCTTCGTATATTGTAAGTGTGGTACAATGTCTAACTCATCCATTCATACTAATTCCATTTGAGATATAGTGCATCTGTAGAAGTGATGAATATTCATATACACTATACTGTGCTATGGTGTTGTTAGTTAGTTGTATGACGTACTGGCATACATAGAAAAACTCTTCTTTGTGAACAGTGTTCATCACTATTATTATTATTGTTATTATTCATTGAAATTTGTTTGAAAAAAAGTACTCTGCTTCTTTTAGTCTATAACCTTGTGTTATTTGTTTTTTTGCTGTTTTTATTATTTTGTGATTTATTTATTTTTTACTTTTATAAATTATTATTAGGTAATGCTTATGGTAGAATGTATTCACAAGTTCGTCGTGGTGCTATCCTTAAAGATCCTAGTTTAATATCGGATCCAGAGAAATTGGATAAATTAACAATGAATAAATTAGTGAGTGTATTAACCACTCCAGTGTTAGTCAATACTGATGATGTACAGGATCTGAATTCTTTTGCAATGAGAAGTAAAACAACGTCACATCCACAATCAAAAAATTAATTCACACTATCATTCAGCTTAAGTCTTCATCACAATTTTGAATAAAACACAGATATGATCTATAATTGTATATACGTATGTAATACATTATATAATCACATAATGAAGTAAATTTATAAGAATTATTTAGTAAGGCTTTTATCGTTGTAGTGTGTCACATACAAAATTAAGTCGTATGGGTGTATGTATGTATGTGTGTGTGTGTGCAGGACTGTCTGTCATTCATGCACCGGTGTTGCTTATAGACACACACACACACACACAGAATTTAAGAGAGACCAATTGGTTTATTATAATAAAGCATATAAACATGTGTATATAATTATATAATATTAAGAAAAAGTATTCACTCTTTAATAATATATATATTTATTTACATACCTAAAACTATTTTATACATACATTATATTATATTGTGCAACACACACCATTGTAATCCTGTGTAATTTCTTTTGTCTCTACGCCCATTCAAACTTTTCGTATCGAGTTTAAAATTTTTGTTCAACCTGTTCAATCTCCCTTCTTTGCCATAAAGAAATAAGTAATAATAATAATCGTAACTATGTAAACTTATATGTATATAAATGTGATTGTACAGCTGCTTTTGAAGATGATATCTATCTCTATTCTGTGCTTTTTGTTCTTTTGTTTCTCTCACTCACTCTCTAACGTCCTGGTGGGGAGGTAATTTTCAGGATTATCCTAATTTCAGACTTTGGGATAATTAAAAAGAGAGAGGAGAATTGGAATAAGTTGTTTTCGAATTCATTCGAAATTTAGGTAAAGTTCATTATAGACCGGCCGACCGCCAACTGTGATGCTCACTAGCGACTGACCATATTCAGGTAGGTAGTAGTTACCTGGGGTTCTAGTGGGAAGATGTGACGACCAGTAGTAGGGTACAGCAGGTCGAAGATCAAGACAGTCACTCATTGAAGAAGACATTGCGAAGTGGTCACACTGTCATGAATCGGCAAAAGTTAGAATTCATGCGCCATTGGACTGGGTCCCAGTGTCTTAATGGCCTAGGAGTTCGCCTTGTAACCAGAAGGTACTGGGTTCAAACCCCTGTGGTGGGTGCGTACTGATGAGGAGTCCCAAACTAATCTGACGAAACAGCTGTCTAGTACTCCCTGTTGGTTTTCTAATGAATCTCTGACTGATGTCAACTCATGATGAAATCTTGCTACCAATCAAACAAAAATCCCTACAAATACCAATACTTGAAAATGTTAACTTCCCAGATTTTTAAAATGTGTGGATTTTCACCTTCATGAATAATCCGCATTCAGACATCGATGAAATAAAACACCGTAGTTCTGCGAAGACTTACGCTTTCTGGTTGAAAATAATTTTTTACGTGTGTGTGTGTACATTAGGTTTGTGAGACAAGAATAAAAATTAGTTAGGGTTGTGGATTTTGTCATCAGAATATACTTCGAAAAGTGCGATGAATTATCAAATTATAACTAGGAGGAGGGTAGGGTGAAGATTTAGTGAGAGGCTAGTGGTGATGAGTTGTCAAAAAATAGTTGTTAATGTTAGTCAATGCATACGAGAAGTTGAATTAGTGTATTGTATTTACTTAATAAGATGAATAATTTTATGAATGAGTTTTACACATATATTAATATGAATGAGTTTTGATTAGAATGTACATAGAAACGACGGGAAATATGGAATTATGTAAGAATTTTAAAGAAATACAAGATTTAGGAAAGCAAGCATACAAACACCGAGTCAGTAGAAATCAATGCGGTTGTTGCCATGATGGTAGAAGTGGTTGAATGATTTTCTTATGTTTACATAACTCTGGTTTTTCCAACTGAATGGCTAAGGCTTCAGTAATAGAAAGGAGACGAAAGCGTATTGCCTTTGGTAGGTTATTGTTGACTCTGTAGATTGCTTTGAAGGAGGCGTTTGGTGAGATAGAATGATTAGTGTTGACGTGTTTGGTTGTCACACTTCTTATAGAGCCATTGCTACATTTTCGCAGCCATGCGGGATAGTGTTCTTGAATCCTTTCGGACAGGATATGCGTTGAACAACCAATGTATCTGGCACCACAGCAACAGGTGAACTGATATATGCACATGGAAGTGTTCAGATGCGAGATCTTGTCCTTCTGCAAACCGATGGACGACAAGAGAACACTACTCTTAGCGTTGCTGCGAAGAATTTCCCTCTCAAAGATAAAGATGCTGAAATTCTTCTCTTAATGGTATCGCAGACCAATTCTCCGTTGAAGTCCAGGTTCGTGTAAAGTTTCTTTTTTTTGTGGGACAAGTAATGCTTCATTCCTCTGAACTCTATTAGTCTGATATTTTTGACGATGAATCTTGGTGATTGCCCATTTTAGATAAAGGTTTCTTTAAGGAAAAGAGTTTGATATATTTCGAATCATTCATACCTTTCAGTTGTACTGGCGAATGATCAGTGCATAACTGACAATTCTGTGTTATAAAGCATATTGAGAGGAATTACATCATATAAGTAAATAGTTAGTCTGGGCGAATCGCAGGCATCCTGGATTCCACTGCCAGTCACTAACCGCCAAATTACTTCGGACACCATTGAAGGATCCCTACTAAGAACAGATATTTCAACAGGGACTGAACATTTCGGTCCAATCAATCAACAAGGAAATCAAACTTGACTCAAAGACACATCTCAGCATGTTTTGCGAAGCGATTATAATACAATAAGCTCGAAATAAATGAGAATAACAAATCAATTTTCGAAAAACGATGTATAATTAAATCCTGTTAGATGTTATTCAGAATTCCGTGAGGTTTAAATGAGAAATCAAATAGTTCATGTTCTATATGTTATGAATCTTTACCACTACAATAACTCAGGTGAATAATGACTGTAGGATGAAATTGCTTGGATTTCCAAGGGAGAAGTCGTAATCACTGGGGTACACTGAGTCGAGTATATGAATAGAAATACTTACCGACGCCATTGGCTAGCGGTTGGGCTATAGATTGCGAATTAGTAAGAATTAGAATTTATTTACTTTTGTATTCCATCTCAGCGGCTAAACGTTTGATAGGCTTACTTTTTAACTTGAGCGTCCAGGGCTTGACCTCCAGTACAGTTGAAGCGTGCCAAATGTAGATGAAACAGTTGCCCCATACTTGTTGGTTTTCAGTGTTTCTCTAGCTGAATTCACTTGGCAGTCTAATTTGAAATCAATCGAAACCCTAGAAACCAACACTTGGAATCTTCAGCAAACGATTGCTGATTGGAACATGGAACCAACGTAAAATAACTATAGGTGTTTGTACTTAGTATTATGAACATTTTATTAGCATTGTGATATTCTCAGCTTCATACTTTATAATGTAGATTTCGAACAATAGTTATCTACTTATAAAGATATTAAAGTAATAACATCTGCTTTGCATTAACTATGAATAGAATAATGAACCTGATAGGAGAGATGGAAATCATGTTTTCTGACAATTGGTCCTGGGTTTCAGGGTCACTAAGAGGACTGCTATTCACTGCAAAGTAGGTACTTTTAGGTAACAAGTCTGAATTAAGGTAAAATGTGCATTTAGAATTTCCGTGTTAACTTCCACCAATAAACAAGGGAGAGAGAGAGACATTTTATACCTGCCATTCAGTAAAGTGACTAACAAGAAAAAACACACTCTAGTCGAACTTCTTTATAAAGTTGAAGTGAAGGAAATGTGCCATGCACTAGAAATTTTAGTCTAAACTATATAAATTCTCCTAAGCTGATGACATCTGTGAAATAACCAAAACCGATGGACGAAGACAAATTATGATAGTAAGAAAGAAGGATCATAGTTTTGATGAAATAACTCGTCTATATTCGGTTTAATAATTCATAATTTCCTCTAAATCATTCTACCCTCATATATGACCGATGATGAGTAGACTTTGGTCTTCTTCTCGAAATGCCCTAAGGCCGTCACGCGTTCAAAGTATCTATCAGGCGCGTCTCATCCACTAACCTCACTCCACGGCGGAGGTGTTCCTCACAAAGCTCAAAGGACGAATACGGACGTCTGGCGCTTAAAACTGAGATGGTTGACGTGCTGGTCTACATAGGAGGAGGGCTGGAAAACTCTGATTCCAAACACAAGGTGTGTGTACATGGGCTCCAGGATCCGAATGGTGTATGAACCTGGTTTAATTACCAGAAATTGTAAGGGCGTAGCTCTTGACACTGCTCTATTCACTGTTGGCGTAGACTTCAAATCAATGACTCGAGGGGGACGTTGGCTCCTTAAGACAACTATCTTCTTCGATCATGCCACTTGAGCAGCATCCCAGCCCTCCAGCAAACTACCAGATTTTGTGCGGTACATGTCCTGATACCAATAATGAAAATAAATCAAATTGTAACAACAGAAGACAAGGGCCACGAAACAGATCGTTTATTATGGAAATCAACACGTATTTATATATTTTCATGTACATTATTATAGATTATTGTTAACAGAAAAACACAGTCTTCTGATTGGTTGTTTCTCACAGAAACTTAACGTTGCATCTCTTTTTGGCTATTTCTTGAATGTCAGGTCATCTATATGTTAACTGTATCCGCCTACGTAAAGCCTTTCTTCTCATTTTTCTCACGACCAATATTGGGGACATAAACATTGACGTAGATAACTGTCCACCAATTTTGGCTGACAGCCAGCTCTCACCACAAAACTATTCTATTCGTATTATTTTCCCTCTTTTGTACCCTTGTCACCATCTATTTGTAACGCGAATATGACAACTTGAGTGAGCTGTTAAAGAACACAATCAATTCTTATTTTGATTAACACCTGTTTGGTCTGAATTGATACTTACATACAACCTAACCACAGTGAATTCGAATAAGTTTATTAACAGTAACCCATTCCAAGGGAAACTTCTCACAGTTGACACTTTCAAGTGTTGGCCGTCGGTTCGTATCCTGCTAAGTGTGTATTTCTGAACAGTCCTAATCTAGGGGGCCAAGCAGCTGTCCAGTACTCTCTGGTTTTCAAAAGCTTCTCCAACTGGTGTCATCTCGTGATCATACCAATCGAACCTCTGCGAACTAACAGTTGAAAATTAATCTGATGTCCGCTAGTGACTAGCTCTATACAGGCAGTTACCTGGAGTTCCAGCGAGAAGCCGTGATCTGCGGGGCCCACCAATTCGCTGATGACATTGGCCGGTAGTTGCGCTATACTTCGCGAATTGGCAGAAGTTAGAATTCATTGGTTATCGAATCGAGTCCTAGTGGCTAAAGGTGTTGAGTTCAACCGCTGGGGAGGGGGTCATGGATGCCTATTACTACTGAAGAGTCCAAAACAAGGAGGAGTACAAACTGTCCAGCACTCCTTAGTGGTTCTCTAACTGATGCCAATGCTCCTGATCAAACCTGTAAACTACCAAGTGTTTTAAATGAATCTAAATGTTACACGATTTCATCATGAGCTGACATTGGTTAGAGAATCATTGGAAAACCTGGGAGTACCGGACAACTGTCTTTTCCTAGTTTCCGACTCTTCACAGTTAACTTCCATCAGAGTTCGAACCCACGACTTTCCGGTTACTAGGCGAGCTCGTATACCATTAAGCCACTGGGACCCGATCCAATGGCCAGCCCATGAATTCTAACTTCTGCCAATTCATGACATAGCGCGACCCCTAGCCAATATCTTCGGCAAGTATTTGTTCTCATACCCGACCTGCTGCACCTTACTGGTCACGACTTCGAACCCTGGCGGTGAGTGCGTACTGATAAAGAGTACCAAACTAGGACGAAACAGCTGGCTGTCCAGTACTCCCTGCAGGTTTTCCAATGGTTCTCTAACTAATGTCAGCTCATGATGAAATCCTGTAACCAATCAACCACATCCCTACAAACCAACACTTAAATCTAAATGTGTATAAAAGTCATTCACAAATGAATAATCACCACTTTTTATTTTTTTGAAATGTGAACTAACAATACCCCATAACTGAATTATGCTTATCACATTTTCTGTTAAATAATATTAGATATAAATGAATAAATATTTCATGATTGAGGAAAGAAAACAACAAATGACCATTGCGCACACAAGTGCAGAATATTCATGTATATATATCACTGAATACACGGAAGAGGAAGAAACAAAAGACAATTGAGAAATATTCTTCTTTACAATAAGGAAAACAGATTGCGTAATAGAGAAGAGAAGAAAAAGAAGTCATTAAATTCAGTGAATGAATGAATGAAGGGAAGCTAAATTATTATCACATCTGATTATTATTATTATTCTGATAGCTGGTAGTAGCTGACAGTAGTAGATACACATTTCAAATTATTGGAATGAACACAAGAGAAAAATAATGAGGAGAAACTCCCTGAAGAAATGAAAAGTGTATTATGTGCACCAGCTTGTTATTAAAATGAAGAAATCGAATAGGGACATTTAAACAAACTAGTAAGTATTAAACTGCTTACTAGAAGAATAAACTTCCATTATATCTCAAAATAACATCAACAAAAAGCAAAAACAAACAAACGAAATAACAGAAAACAGAAAATATTAGTGACAAAATATATACTTAAGAATATGAATTTATGATATGTAGTGGGTGGGTTACAATTAACCTGTAATTGTCATGTCATGCTAGTTAGATAGACAGGTGGATAGATACATTTTTGTCTTGATTTCAAGAGTAACGCTGTTGAAATTCATGATGCCATTGATTGAAGTCGACAAAGAATACAGCTACACAGCCTGATTTGAGACCAGCAAAAATAAAACTATAGATAAAAAAGAAAGAAAAGTGATGAATAGTTTGGCATATAACGTGTAGTGGCAAACTAATTAATTATGCGCACCAGTTCATATATTGATCATTTGATAGAATTGAATAATTAAAACAGTAAGAAGTGCAGAAGAGTTTAAGCAGTTTTTTTAGTGGATGGAAATTTTGGTAGCCCAGTGATTTAAGCAAGTCGCTTGTGCATAGTAGGGTTAATAAAATAGAAAAAGTGAAACTACCAGACTTTTATTTTTTTTACGATTTGCACATGAACACTATAAATATGTTAATCAGATAAGATTCATGTTCAATGTATTTTAGAAAGGGAAGAAAGAAGGAAATTGCAGCGAATTCGTTATCGATTGCGACTCCTGGCTATATCTGATAACGTTTTGAACCGGCGATTCGAACTTTCTCTCGGGTTGAGCTACATCAACTGATGCTAACCTAACATAAATGTTCTTCATTTTATGGTACTACACCATAGGTTAGTCACAACTCCACTTTTTCCATTCAGTATCAGGACTAGCAAACGATGACCGATACGAAAGCATCTGTGGTGACGCTCATAGCACATATCTTAGCCGCCGAAAACGGTGTTTAAAGGATGACTAAACTCAAGTGATGGTAACCTTCTCCATGCTCCAAGCATACGTTCTACCAGACCACAGAGTTATTTGCATAACGATACCATCGGATGCAATCAATTCTAAGCAGGCAGTGCTGATCGAATATATTGAGTCGCCACACATCATCAGCTCAGAGAAGTCAAGTTTTACAGGTGTAGTACAACAAAACTACGTGCGCCGATGCATTGTAAACCAGGCCTTTAACAGCCAGGTTGATGTAGTGACCCGAATCGGCATCTGCCATCCTAGCTTTCATTATACGATTAAAGATTTAGTCCGTGACACATCCACCAGCACTAACGCAACTAACTAGATACAAGAACTTGTCAACAACTTCAAGAGGTGCAGATACAGGTTCCTGCCAATCTTGCTGAAGTACATTGCACGTAGACAGCCTGCATACTATCACATAATAAGACGATGCAGACTTCAAACTCCAGGAAGTAGATCTACACCACCACCAAGCATGCCTGATCAATAAAAGGTCATGGAAAATGAATTAAGTTTTAAACTGATTATAATTACTAAGGTGTCTTCATCCAGGGATATTTCAAAACGACTATATTGCAAGTAAATATAAACATGCATTGAATAACAAATAATAAACAGTAAAAGTAAGAATGGTGCGTCAGTGACACAGGGGTAGAATGCTCGCCGACCACAGAAGTGGTTCGAGGTTCGATACCCGACCGACTCACTGCTTTACCTCGCTAAGTCAGGAGTAAGACTGGGGTAAAGAGGGAAGGTTGGGCATGAGGCTGGCTAGCAACCCCATCCTTTAAAAATAAACACCATTGTTACAGAAACTTCAAGCCTTCTAACTTGAAGCCCTGTGTTCCACTGGGAACGTAAAGGAATACAAAAAAGAGAGTAAGAATAGAAAAAAAGTATCATCGAAGTATCACCATAACTTACCGTTGGTCATGACTTAAGCTTAACGATTCAACTGATGTATCACATTTAGGAAATGCATGAACTGGTAACAGATTATAACTTCTTAATATCCATATTACACCATCATTACCAGCGACTAGGATATAACGACCACAATCACTAAATAGCATAGCATTGATATGATAGACAATAGATGAATTTGTATTATTTGATAGAATACCTAAATCATTGGAGTGTAATAATTTTCCATTTAAAGTATACACTGATAACCAAGAATGATCAAATTGACCAAGTAGATAACCTTCACGATGATATGTAAACAAATTTGGCTGAGCTTGTTTGGAATTAGACAATTCACCTAGAGGTGTTAAAGACGACGAAGATGATGATGAGGGTAATGGTGTTGACATTTGATCAAGTGCTGTTGTGTACGGTGAGCATAATGAACGTAGTAGTTCACCACGTGTTGAATGCAACAAACAAGTCCCATCTGGATATAACAAGAAAAATAAACATTAAATGTTATTGTAATGATTACTGAAATATCTGTGTATACCGAGAAAGAACTTGGCTGACGGTTATCGCCTGGTGTTACTGTAGATTGGAAATAAATGCTAAGATATCGAAGTGTTGGTTTACAGGGATTTGATTTGATTAGTTACAAGATTTTATCATGAGCTGACATCGGTTAGGAAACCATTGATAAACCAGCTGGGAGGACTGGATAGCTTCTTCGTCCTAATTTGAGACTCTTCACCAGTGCGCGCCCCACCGAGATTCGAGCGCAGAACTTTTTTGTTACATGGCGAGCTCACAGACCATTAAGCCACCATTGGGGTACAGTAGGTCGGATGTGAGGACAAATACTCACCGATGACATTCGCTAGTGATCGCACTATATCGTGAATTCGCAGAAGCTGGAATTCATGGGCCACTGGATCAGGTCTCAGTGGCCGAATCGTCTACGAGTCCACCTCGTAACCGGAAGGTCGTGGGTTCCAAATCCGGTGGGTGCGTCCTGTTGAAGAGTCCCAAACTAGGCTGACGAAATAGCTGTCTAGTACTCCCAGGTTTCCCAATGCTTCTCTAACTTACGTCAGCCTTTGATGAAATCCTGTAACTGTTAAGATCATTTAGCGAAGTAGGTGCTGATAAAATCGTTACTGAGAGTTATTTATCACACTGAATGATTAAACATGGTGTTGGAAAGAATGGTGATCATTTTCAAGCAGACAGTTTACACTGAAATCACTTTTACTGTTATTTCATAGTATCATTCCTCTCTTGTAATGTACACATTAGAGGTTTGGTACAGGGGTTTTCTAGCTCCCCTGGGTGGACTACCCTGTCCATCAGTTCGAATTCACCCTTTGACTTTCGTGAGGAATATCTCAACTGTGGCGTGAAGGTAGTGAGTAAAACTTACCCGACAGAGGCTAAAAAGGAGTGGCGACCCAAAGGCATTTTGAGAGGAAGACCAAAGTGTACCCATCCCCGGCCGTACCAGGTCATTTATGGGGACAGTTGGAACGATGAACCTCTAAATGAGATGTTTAGAAGCTACTATGTCTGTTTAACCAATTCAATTATTTACAGTCTGTCAGTGAAAACTGATCATCCTATAGAAGTGACACAGAATTCAAACGGCAGCTATACCCTTTGTGAGATGACAGAGACCAAAGTCAACAGTGTAGTTTAATAAAAATTATTGGAAGGGAATAGTAAATTAACGCAGCATTTCTTGAAACTCTTTTCAATACAAGGCTTAAACGGCTATGTCTGTATATCGTTACTGCTCTCTCCAGTTATGCATAAAGAAGGTCAACTACTGGTTGAAGCATCCCGGTTCCGCCTATGTAGATTACTTTTAAAAGATAATTCATATAAGGTGTTCTAAGACAGATAGCACTATTCTTCTGTGTTCACTTTGAAACAACCCACCCCCAACTATGTAATTTATGGGAGTACATGTTTTCAAAAAACAAAATAGTTAGCAAAATCAAGAAAACATGTTAATTTAGAGACAGAGAGAAAATAAAAAGAATTTTCTGATGCATTTCACTGATGAATAGATCTATGTGTTATATTTGAATTTCATGGATAAAACTTTTTGTAACTACATGAAAATTAATTTGACTTTTCATTAAAATGGAAGGATAGAAAAACGGATCCCATGTATATTTGTCCTGATAAACACAAAAGGATCATACATTAAACTCTTCAAAACTTGGATGGATGTAAGACAGTAAGTTTACTGGACTGTGTTGCTTCATGATTTATTTCATCAACTGAAATCCCAGAGTAGAAAAAAACTTCAAATTTATTCTACTACAGTTAAACACATTTCAACATAAATATCTTGAAGGACAAAGGGATATTCATTTCATCTGTACCCAGCAAAACTTTTATTATTATTATTATTCCTTTGGGTTCTGGGTGGAACATATGACTTCATCAGCACACCTCTATTTCAGCCTGTTCTTTGCCGTCCTTTCTTTAGCTGACTCCACGACAGTTCATAGGCTCTAATATCCACCTCACATGATCTCCTCCATGTCAACCTCAGACCAACTGGTCTTTTCCCATTCGGGTTTCAGTCGAGGGCTGGCCTGGCTTTCGATACTACCAAACAGTCTCCTTAGCATGTGTCCACAATCTGTATCGATTTCCCTAGGCATATTTGTTGTGTAATAGGTTGTTGGTTGGTTAGTGGCTTGCCAGAGTTCCTTACTGCTAATCCCTTTTGGCGATCTGATCTTCAGTATGGAGCCAGAGATGGCAGCTGTTGATAAAAGTTTGAAAACTTATTTCATTTAAAAATAAAAATACAAAGAAACAACTTGACAAAGTTATTGTTGCACTTACTAACTGATCCACTCAGTACTAGACCCAATTCCGCTGACAAACTGATACACTTGATACTAGCTTCATGGCCATTCAAGATAACTACTGGCTTAGGTGTACCTGAAAATAAAACGTGTTTAAAATAGGAAATAAAGAAGCAAATGAAAAATTAATACACTTAAAATTTGAAATACTAAGAAGTGGTAAGTGCATATTTTGGCAGAAACGAGCTTGCATAGATAGTTAATTTCAATTGTCAGGTTTCGTCACATACCAGCATTAGTTAGAAAGATCATTGAAAACCACAGAGCACTGGATAGCTGACCGAAGTCATTGGCGAAGGTAGTGCTACATCAGGAGTAGGCGAAATTAGAGTTCATGGGTCATTGAATCCCAGCCCAATTAGCCTCATAACCTGAAAGTCCCGAGTTCGATCACCTGTCGGGTCTTCGACACTCACTGCTGAAGACTGCTAGCTGTTCAAGTGCACCCTGGTTTCAATGATCTCTGTAACGAAATCTATGGGACAGTGGAGTCCGACAATAATAAATATGTACAGTTTACATTAGCTTAGTAACTTATCTACTAATTTAACATGTGCTACTGAGTAATTTAACGCGTGATCTCTTCTGAAAGAATCTTGAATACTAGAGAGACTAATCAATTTGTGAACAAAGGGAAATAAAGAAAATTTTGACTCTCCATACAAAAAGCATGAAATAATGAAGACAAAAGAAGCAGAGCACGAATACTTCGTGCAAATAGCAGTTACTACCACTGTATGTGATTTGGACTAATCAATAATCTTGCCACAGGTACGTGGAAAAGGTATCATGGCAAAGGCTCATGTAATGAGTGCTGATGCATGCCTTATCTTTGTTATAAAATCTTTAAGAAGATTTCCATGCCATTAGATGATACGAGGCAATCGGGAGTCTTGGATTGACATTTCGTAGTCCTTGGCCCACAAGAGGAAGGTGCACCTGCAAACTTCTAGGAATTCATGTCGTTTTTGAGATTCGAACCCACGTCATCAAGTACTGAAGTCCGACTGCCTGAAAACATCACTTCAGAGTGTATTAGTGATGGCGAGTTACCTAGAATGGTGGTCACGTTACTAAACATGACTGGAAGAGTTCAGTCAGCACCAAAGAGAAGGACTGGACGCATAACACTAGTTGTTAGTGTCCAATCAAAACATTTTCTTGATGTTACTTCTCTAATGTATCTGTTGTTGTATGACTACGTTGTTAGAAGTCAGTTACTCAGAACACGTGTTTCATGCATAAAGAAATCAGTCACACTGATTGCCTGAGGATAACTGATAATGCCACCACAATCGCCAAAGTTGAGGTAAATAGATGAAGAAATCCAAAACTATGGACCGCTGACTAAAAGTTGAATATGCATAAGCCAATCAGAACGAGATCTTGAATCGATCATATCTAACCGAAAGTATTACAACTTTCATAGGTTTTCTGTTAAATCCAATTATTGACAAATGAATATATAAACTCACCAACCCACATAATCACGCAAAGTACAATGAAATAATGAGACTCAATTATTGTTCAACCTTTCCCATTAACATTTTTTTGGCAATAGTAAGTGCGTGCGTCCAAGTGTATGTGTATGCATTTATTTACTACTTCAATATAAAGTGATTTGATACACATAACTTGCATTCACACTATTAATCTATCTTTCTTACAATACACTATTACTATTATTAAATCTTTTTTGAGAAAATTATCATACTACTGATTTCTAAACATAAGACTTACCTTGACTAGTAACAACACATAAACGTTGCATACTAAACATCCATAACATGACAGTACAATCTCGACTACCAGAGGCTAGATAGTAATACTGGCTAAAATGACATTCTGAACGGGCTAAGCAAGTCACAATATCACTATGACCAAACACTGCTTGAATTAAACGATCTATAAAACAAAATGGATTTTCTTTTATTACAACAGAACAAATGGACAAAAAAACAAACAATTAGAAAATAAAAAGCACATGTTTAACACTATTACTAAAATATATTAGTGGTAGTGTGCGTCCGCGCTTCAGTGATCGAATGCCTGCCGACCATACATGCGGTACACGGTTTGGACGCCAGTCGATGAATTTCTAAACTCCCACTAGTTTACTGGCAGGTTAGTAGACTCAGGCTTCAAGTTTGGAGCGCTATTTCTCACTCGGAACGCAAAAGAATGAGAAAACAGAATTTTTGGTGGCAGTTAGTCTGTCTGTCTATCTGTTTTCGACATAGAACTTTGCACAAATGTGCGGAAGTTCAAGTCGCCACACTCCGTGTAGCACGCGAAGCAAGAGAAGAAAGTACAAGAAAAGCATAATAGAGGCAGTGAGCAGAGGTGTGAGACAAAGGAGTAATAAAGAAATACAAAACAGTTTCATTGAAGATCATAAGTCACAGGGAGTGGATGCATCTGCGCCACCCATTGAGAACGATTTTGAGCCATGTCACCAATTGTTTCCAACCATAGATTTTTACCGTCCCGAGGACCCCAGCCTGGAAGTCTACACCTTCCTACGTGGCTTAGACCAACTGTTGTGGATTTCATTGACTGGTGCCAAGTTTTTGTTTGACCGCCGCTAGCTTTTTTCCAGCCTGACCCTATATCCGCTAACATTGCTCGTCGAGGGAGGCGATGGCTTGGCATACGTAACACATGTCCTAACCATCTCAGTCTTTGTAACTTCACGACTTCGTCGATTGATTTCCCCTGTTTACCTAGAACTCGACGCCTAACCTCCATGTTGCTCACCTTATTATGCCACTTTACACGGGAAATAGAGCGCAGGCACCTATGATCAAAGACAGCTAGTCTTTTCATGTCTTCCACTCTCAGTGGCCAGGTCTCACAACCATAAAGGAGGACGGAGCGGACTGATGAGCAGTACACCCGCCCTTTGGTCGATAGTCGAACATCTCGTCTACGCCAGAGTCGGCGTAAACTGGCAAATGCGAAACGAGCCCCCTGTATTCGTGCTGAGATTTCGTCAGAGATCAGCCCGTTGGCGTTGGCTGATGGTACTTCCCAAATAAGTGAAGCGGTCAACGTGCTCTACCACTTCACTTCCTATTTTTAAACTAGGCGTCGATGTAGTCCAGTCCTGTAACATCATCTTGCATTTGGCGGGAGCGAATCGCATGCCAAACATTCGTAGATTGCAGCTCAAGGTGTTTAGAAGACTCTGCATTTCGTCAGCGTCTTCGCCTAGAAGGACTATATCGTCTGCATATTCCAAGTCAACGAGATTATTCCCTGGTAGCAAGTCAATCCCTGAATCGCTGAAGTCACTTAGGGTTAAGTCCATTAACACATCTATGATGAAGTTGAATAGAAAAGGGGATAATGGGCATCCTTGACGGACACCACTGGTCGTCATCAGTTCAGATGACAGCTCGCCGTAAGCCCTCACCTGGCTGTATGAGTACGAGTAGAGTGCCTTAATCAGTGCAATATATTTTCTCGGAATTCCCTTTACAGCCAAGCATCTCCAGAGAACTTCTCGATCGACAGAGTCGAATGCTGCCTTTAGGTCAAGAAATATAATGACTGTTGGACGCCGGTAGGAATCTCTATGTTCTAGAATCTGTCGGAGGGTGAAGATATGATCAATACACCCTCTTCCTGGTCTAAAGCCTGCCTGGCTCTCTCGTGTTTGTGTCTCCCGAGCACCACTCAGTCTACGCATGATTATTGAGCCTAAGACTTTAGATACTATATTAGTCAAGCTAATCCCTCTGTGATTATCACAGGAAGACTTGTCTCCCTTCTTGTATATGGGGATAATCAGTGACTTACACCAACCCGATGGGACTTCTTCTGATTCCCAGACGCTGCCTAGTACCTCAGTTAATCCAGACAGTAAGCTGTCTCCACCGTACTTAAATACCTCTGGAGTCATTCCATCAGGTCCCGCTGCTTTGCCTAGTTTCAGATTGGTGACAGCTTTAGTAACCTCAGTTAGGGATGGAGGACCTGTGTCTATATCCCATTCAGGGAGGTGTTGGATGCTCGGAAGGTTGAGCGTGGCTGTGGGCTGTGTGGCAGTTAGTAATGGTTGTCATTTCGACAACATCAAGACCGGGAAGAAAACCGGCCTGAATTAAAAAAATTATGGTCTGAGTAACATTTAAATGATCATGTAACAACAGAAGACAAGAGCTGGCAGCAGATCATTTTATTACGGAAATCAGCACCTATTTATATATATTCTATGTACATTATTAGAGCTTATTCAAGTAGACAAACGCAGTCTTCTGATTGGTTGTTTTCGAGTTCCTCGTAAAGTGGAGCCATCTATCTGCGAATCATATTTGCCCACGCTTAACTCTGCTGTAACTGGTCGTTGAATCAGCCTTGTTCATATTTTCTCATGGCCAATATTAGTGACCTAGATATTGACGTAGATTAATGTCGACCAATTGGCTAGCAGCCTGCTCTCACCACAATCAAACCAAAACATCTTTACGTTGCTGTTAGTTATATGACTTAAAACGATCTCAGACTTATTATTTAAATATTCCAGTGATGATGTAACAGTATGGTCGGCTGATGAGACCTCATAAAGTAGAACGGATCAGTGGTGGTAGATCGATAATCTGACTTAAGTTGTGGAGGAATTTTTGGTTATCATTTGTGCACTACTACATTTATATTGAACACTCTTAACTGTACAACTTTCATAGACAGTAAAAGTGAAAATCATTTATTTCAAATATTTTGCTTTTTGAGTTATACCAGGCAAAGTTCAACAATAGCGTCCCAAGGGATGCGAACGCCCGGGTGACCTTCAGCTGACCAATCATAAAAATGAGGAATTTTTGTAAAAAAAATGATGTATATTTTCAAGAAAATGCATGGAAACACACTAAACAGGGTATCTTCCTCTGACATAACTTAAAAATGCGTCCCAGTTATAATGAGGAGTATCAGCTACTAAGTAAGACCAGTTTCTGTATATGTATTCGCCTAGGTGTCTAAAGATGAGCTGTTTTTGTGAATCGTTTATCTCTCTCATCCTGTTGTGCGGTCTTCCCCAAAAACCGTAGGGCTGAATTACTATGGTTTCCAGTAAGAGGATTGACGACTACTTACCGGGAAAATGTGGATGATAAAACAAATTAAAATAAGTGACATCAACTATAAATCTACCCCTAATCGTAACCCTACCCTAAATCCTGACCCTTATGCTAACCCTAACGAGCTATTAACACACTACCCAAACAGTAATTAGAAACGTAATCTAGTTTGCTTCTTAGTTGGTGAATAGTTGATATTTCAGCTATGATATTGATAGATACCATAAGCCAACGACTAGCATGCATTCAAAGTCATTAGAGCGTTCGCACTCCTTGGACGCTATGGTTGAACTTTGCCTTATACCACGGATTGATATCAGTTAGAGAACCATTGGAAGCCAGGAAGTACTAGACAACTGTTTCATCCTAGTTCTGTCTAACTGATATCAATTCGTGGTCTAAACTCAAACAAATCGAATCCTTACAAATTAACTCTTGAAAAATATTTTATCATCTATTCATTGCATTCCAAATAGAAGATAGGGTTTCAGTAACGATTCTCCACTGTTGTCGATTGTCTGCTATTCATTTTAATAACCGGTCCCACGACTGCCCACAATCGCCAATTCCTTCTTCTTCATATGGCCTTATCTTCTTAAGACATTTAACTCGTTGTTTGCCATCTGTACTCCTCTGCGTGTATCCGACCCATCTCAATTTTCTTCGCAATATTTGTTGGAAAAAAGATTGTTGATTGGTCCGCGGTCTGCCAGAGTTTCTTGTTACTTATCCTGTCTGGCCCGCAGACTGTCTGATCTTCAGTATCCAGTCAGTGGGACTCAGCTGTTAATAAAAATCTGCAGTAGCCTGTTAAACATCCTTTGGCGACAAGTCAAGTTTCTGAACCAAATAAGAGAAATGACTAGACATTAGTGGTGGAATTTCGAATCTTTATCCTTATGCTTACTGCAGGAGAAAGAGGCGACTTCCTTCACGTTCCTGATGTTGATGATGATTGCACACCCATTTTTTCTCTATATTCATTTGAATTCCTATCTTCACTGCCTGCCTCTTCCGCCAACGTATTGGTTTTTGCCTGTAGATCTCCAGATATTCTGGAGTTTTCTTGTTGGTCAAACGTATTCCTATCCTATCTTCTCGCTCCCCAAAGAGTCTGTCATATTATCCGCGATCCATTACAATTAGGAATATTATCTTGAGTTTCTCCTGTCCTCATACATCAAAAAATTCGCTGAGGTTTTCATTATAAATCATTTGACATGAGGCATTGTTATATAAATGTTGAATTAGGTGGATAACAGTTTGCGCCACTGTATATTCCGTAGTGTTGAAACAGTTTACCAAATCATTTTTAACCATTAACGTTGACCAAGGCTTTTTCAAAGTCAACGAAGTTGAAATAGAAATTTCACTGATATATACATAAAATATAAAATGATAAGCAATCCATAAAACTGAATCATAGCTAGTTTATAATTTCAATAGTACAATAACTTATGCCATAGAAGTATACAGAAAAAGGGAAGCAACTCACTGCTACGCGATCCATAAATACGAAATGATCTATCATAATAACCACATTGTATAACAGCTCTACTATCAGCGGTTACAACAAATTGATTACTGGTGATTTGCATATTTTCGTCAAAATCATTTCCTAAACACCGACCAAGTGCTGTATAAAAAGGAGAAAAAAGGAAATTTAGACAACGTACGAAAAAGAAATTCCCATTTAGAAGACAAAAAAGCATATTCATCCTTTCCTGCAGAAGTATTTACGCTTTACTGAGCCTTGAGGCAATAAGAGAGTACACAACTCTACCTCAAAGACGTTTCAGAAGGATCATAAAGAGATCAAATTAGCGTTGAAATGGTGCGGACACCAACAAAATCGCTACGCAATCTGTTCTACAAGCAAAACAACGGCAAATATTGTCTACATCATTACTTTGGAGATTTTATTCGTCACTAAATCGACCAAATGGTTTATGAGCGTTATTTGATCGTAAGATAAAACACTACGATTCCTCATTGGTCTCTCTTGTTAAATGTAGACGACGAAGAAAACCACAAAACTTCGACTGGAAGAATATAGCTATCTTATAGTGTGCAAATTTAAAGGTAAGAAACCATTTTTCAGAAGCATGGCATTCTAACAAAAACTGCAAACAACCAACATACAGTTTACTTAGAAAGAGAAACAGTCAACTGTAAATCAATCAGCTAAAAATCAGTCAAAGTGGATCAACAGTTAGAAATGATGGAAAATCTCTGTCTCTTCTCGATTACAATTGAACAAGGCTAAAAACTCGAAAGATGTGAATTTGCCTGAATAATTATGAAACTTGTAATTATTGACCCACTTCTTAGAGAGATCAATGCTGACTATCTTTCCTAGCTTGTTGATGAAATGTACACTATCGAATACAAAGCACTGAGTTGATGTTAGATGGTTGAAAGCATTCGACAGTAAGTTTTGAACCCACGTTTCATGCTTGTTGCCACTCATCAGTCAGGAAGGAGCAACTAAAATCACCGAGAAACTCATATTCCTCCTAAAATCTGAACTTGAGTCACCACCCAGTTTTGCAGTCAGAGGTGTTACAATTGAGCTATTCTGAATAGTGGTCAACAACAGGTAGGACTGTAATGGGTACTTTGATTGAACACTAAATAGTAACTAATGTAGTGTGCCTAGTCATTCGTTTGGTGCTGACTGAATTCAATCAATAAAATTTGCAATGTGACCACCATTCAGTCTCTACCAACACCAAGTATGAGACGTATTACATTATTTGCTAAAGTAGTTTCTAATCAAATTATCCGCTACAGTACTTCAGGAGGTGCTCAGACTGTCAGGAGACTAAGCATTTGCAAATTCCATTTAGTACTTGATAGCAATTCGACAATTTTAGGTAGTCTTCTATCGGCAAACAGTTATGACTGATGATAATGATTTGAGGGTAGCGGCAGAATTCAAACCAACAACTACCCCTCCCCGGCCAATTTACCGGGTCGGCTCTCTACTACTAGTCGACGAATGAGACTTCATCAAAGTTAATGCTCAGTTGTTATGTGGATGATGGATACATTTCTGTCAGTTTATCACTACACTAACAGCACATCTAACTCTCCTTTTGTTTCATTCTTAATCATACTGAATTAGGATGATCCTTAGAATGTCTATTCTTAGAATATACAAAAAATCTTTCTGTCATGCCATATATATGGCATGACTTCACATGGTAATAAAATAAAATAACCTCAGAAAATATTAATCAAAAAAATAAAATACTAACGTGTGACAAATTCTGATTTTAAAGGCAGATTGACAATTTGCTCTGTTCCATGCTTAACACGTGCATTTTCTTTAGATGATGTTGGAAAATTTGTAACACTAGTAGTTACCATTGGTGACACAGTAGCATCGATTATAGGCTGTAACGAAGATGTCGACGACGATGTTACTGATAAGTCATTATTATTATTATTATTATTATTGCTGTTGTTTGAAGTCGTAGATGGAGTTTTAGTCTGTTGATGCTTTGTATCATGATTGTTTGCAGTTGTATCGATTGATTCTGTATCATGATTTACACGAGCTGTTAGAGAAAGAGTTAAGGTAATAAAGGTAAGAAAAAGAAGAATTTTAGGCATGTTATAAAGTACCATAATTTTATTACTTATTAAAATGAGGTAATAAGTATCCCTATTTTGGATTCAGTAGTGTAATGCCTGAGAGATTTGTTTTATGAAGAATCCGTCTTTGATGTATATATATACACACTACTCGTCAGCGTCTTTGTATTTAGACACTTTCTTATTGTTAGCAAGTTATACGCAAATCAATCCACAGAACATCTGATAACCCTTAAAATAATAGAGCTTTGTAGTTCAGGTGGATGATTTGCATTTAATAGTGTTTTGTGAGCTGGTTGATTTAGTTGCGGAGCTTTCGCCCGTCTTTCTGGACGACATCTTCAGCGCAGTATTTAGGATAAAGTGAAATGATTTAAACTTTTCATGAGTGATAGAATTGCGTCTCTCGGTAACCATCTTTACATATGTATTGACCATTTTCTATTGACTTGGATTTTAAACTTTCTGGTCACATGTGATTTACTTTTTATTAGTTGGTATATTTGGTCTATATTAACGTGTTTGTTAATTGCATATTCGTTTGAGTACCAGGTTTCTAGGAATTCCCTGACTGCACTTTTGGTGTTTCCTCTGTCTAAGATTTCGACATTATCCTTTTTTGTTTACAAAAAATCTGGACCCTAATTGAAGAGGACAATAGGTAGGGATATTTCTTGTCATATTGGTGGTTCAGTAGTAGACTACTCGGTCGATGGATTCCTCCTTACCTCGCTTAGCCAGTAGTAGTAATAGCGGTTAAGAGGGAAGGTTGAGCGTTAAAAAAGTAACCTATCTCTATAAGAGAAGAAAATAACACTAACGCTACTGTCACAGTAGCGTTGTAATTCAAAGCTCAAGCTTCAATCAAGCCCTATGTTGCAATCAGAAGGTAGAGGAGAAAAGCTTTAAAAAATTTCTTGAAATATTCATAAGGCATTAACAATAAACGATCAGTTTATTTTCCTAACTCATGAAAAAAAACTGTAAAATGTATACAACAACAACAACAAGAACAACAATCAAGTTTTCTTCTTATGTTTCAATAATAACCACCAATCAAAAAATAATTGAAAATAAAAGATGACATACAGCTAAACACCATTCATAAAACACATATGTAACCAATATTTAGAAATGATAGAGAAACAATTTGTAGTTAAGATGGATGTGAGTGGGTAAAGTAGTAGTTAAATACACTGAAGGTGTTGTCTGAATATATTTCACAACTAAGCCATCAAGCAGCTTATAGAATACAACAACATCAAGAAAGGACTAAGTGCGTCGATGGAACAGCCGGTAGAATGCTCGTCAACCACGCATGTAGTTCGGGGTTCGATCCCCGACCGGCACACTACTTTACCTAGCTAAGCCAGTGTAATAAGATTGGTAAAGAGGGAAGGTTGAACATGAGACTGGCGGCTAGCAGCCCCATCCCACAGAAATAGACACCACTGATACCAAAAATCCAAGCCTCTAGCTTGAAGCCCTATGTTCCACTGGGAACATAAAGAAAGGACTAGAATCTAGACAAACTTTATTCGAATTCATTTAGGTAATTTGATTTTTTTTGGTGCGGATGAGGATGAATAGATTTTGAATCTTTCCTTTGAAATGTCTTCATGGTACCATGCCTCCATAGCCTCTGTCAGAAAAGTCCTATTCATTCACTATCTTCACGCCACAGTGTGGGTGTTCTTCAGAAAAGTCAAAGGGTGAATTCAAACGTCTGGTGTGTCAAAATCGGACTGGTGGACAGTCTCATCTACCTAAGAAAGCTAGAAAAACCCTCATTTCAAACCTACAGTGTGTGTGTGTGTGTACATTGGCTATAAAATCCGGTGGATTGAATGACGTATGAACCTAATTTGATCACTGGAAATCATGGATCAAACTTCAAGTCGAAGGCTAGCTGGGTGGCATATTAAAACAGTCACCTGCGTCGATTTAGGCATCCGGAAAGTACCCTAGAGCTCATTAAAAGTATGCAGTTTTGTGCAACGCATCTCTTGATGCTCATAATAATGCATCAAGTTTATCTTTTGTGTGTGTATGTGTGTGTGAAAGAGAGAAAGAAACAAACAACATCGTCTGTTATACTGTGAACCCATACTCTTCAGTCACAAGAGAATTGATTGCTATCCAAGTATTGATTTTGTAGGGATTTTGTTTGATTGCATGGAGGATTTCATCATGAGCTGACATTGATTAGAGAACCATTGGAAAACCTGGGAGTACTGTAAAGCTGTTTCGTCCCAGTTTGGGACTCTTTATCAGTACGCACCAACCGCCACAGTTCAAACCCAGGACCTTCTGGTTACAAGGCGAGCCACTGGGACCCGATCCAATGGCCTATGAATTCTAACTTCTGCCAATTCACGATATAGCACAACCGCTAGCCAATGTCTTCGGCAAGTATGTGTCCTCACACCCGACCTGCTGTACCCTACTGGTCACGACTTCCCACCAGAACCCCAGGTAGCTACCCACCTGAATAGGGCAAGTCGCCAGTGAGCATCTCATTGACACCTGAAATGATTGCATTGAGGGCGACAACAACAATAATAATATAAGGCCTTTTGCTAAAATCTACCAAAATAAAGTTTCATTGTATTTTCGAGAAAAAACAAACAAACAATCGTCGCTAGTATATTGTCTGCTTAAGCCTAAATATAAGCACATCAGTCTATGAATGAATGACTCTCTTATTATTTTGATTCAACACGATTATATTAGTACTAATGCAAAGCCGTTTATAACATGCCTATAACCTATCCACAAATTGAACAGCAACATTTTGACAAGAAATTCATGAAAAAAACCCCAAAAGGAAGCATATTAACTCACCTTTTCGATAGACTGCATCTGTAACATGAAGGAAAAAAAATAGAATGAATGCATTATATTGTTAATCATACCTTCTATGCAATAGCACTTACTGCTTATTTGGTTAGACCATGTATTGATATCAGTGTTAGAGAATCATTGAAAACTAGCAGGGAGTACTGAAGGGCTGTTTCGTCCTAGTTTGAGACTTATTGGCAGTACGCAGCCGCTGGTTTTCGAACCCAAATAGAATTCCTACAAACTGCTAATTCTTCAAAATTAGTCTGATGCTCTCTGGTGACTGGCTACGGTACAAAGTTGCCTGAAGTTCTAGTGAGAAGTCGTGACCAAGTCGAGGTCCTTCCAGTCGGGAGTGAGGATTGACTCCTGGCCGATGACATTGGTTAGTGGTCGTGCTAAAATAATCACAAATCGGTAGAAAATAGAATTCATCGATTCTTTGAATTAGGTCCCACTGGCTTAATTGTCTACGAGCTTGCCTTGTAATCGGAAGATCCTGAGTTCAAACCTTGGTGGTGAGTGGGTACTGCCGATGAGTCTCAAACCTGGACGAAACAACTCTTCAGTACTCCATTTTTTCAGGGGTTCTCTATATGATATCAATCCATGGTCTAAGTTGAAATAGATAGAATCCCTACAGACATATTCTTCAAAACCTACTACTTAATTTCTAGGTAATTTAGTCAAGATTTCACACAGTCATTGTAATGGACGAATTATTTGGAAAATTCCTCCTGGACGATCTGTTTATACTTATTTAGACGTTTCAACCACCTTGATGTGCGTCGGTGGCACAGCGGTTAGGACGCTCGCCGACCATTCAAATGGTCCGGGGTTCGATCCCCGGCCGACAAGGCACTCCTTTACCTTGCTAAGCTAGTAATAATGCTAGTAAAGAGGAAAGGTTGGGTATGAGGCTAGCAACCCCATCCTGTAAAAAATAAACACTGCTACAGAAACTTAAAGCCAGTAGTTTGAAGCCCTATGTTCCACTAGGGAACGTGAAGGGAAAAAAACTAGCTTGATAACTATTATACCTTCTCTCTCTAGACTGTGTATCAATAATTTGATATTTGCAGATCAAATGTTGATTTTAGCCTTTATTATTATTATTCGCCTTTGTCCTTGTTTAATCTTCAATTGCTATACTTTTCTTTATGGTTGTGTATACATTGACAATGTGAATTCGTTTCAGTGAATGTGGGTCATTCCAGTCAGGGACTGTATGCAACGGGATGCGTTGGTGTGCGTGTGTGACTAATGTGGACAGAGGTTTTGATCCCACGTCGTTGGGAATATTCTCCTCTTCGATTCTAAAGTACTTTTTACAGTGGAACTTCGGTGAATTAATTTTGTCTTACAGTACTTCTTCTGTATTTAGAAACCTACTTTGTCTGTATAGTAGCTGCCTCGCGGCACTGTTAAGGGAAATTTGACTTTAGATGTTATTACTGCTTAACAGATTCGCTAAAATATCGAAGAATAACCGTCTTTTCCCTGGTTTTGGAACATTTCCTTATAGCTCGTGGTCTCAACGAAGTTTTGTCAGATAGGCAGTAGAACGTAAAGATAGGTATTTTTTTTGCGTTCTGGCCATCACCGAATACATTTGGTTGTTACAGCCATAATATATTCATAAATAACTCGTAAAAAATACATATGCATTACACTGCATAACAGATGGAATTGAATACAGTTCAATTAAATGATGAAACGGGAGTTTAGTTTGTTTTTGATTGGAATTAACATGTACACAGAATAGAACAAGCCTCGAAGCTGTCAGTTTATACAATGCCCATCAGTGAATTACTATATTATTTTATTATTATTATTTTATTACTATTATAATTATTACTATTGTGGTGGTATAATACAGACAAAGAGTACTAACGGAGTATTAATCTCACATGTTCCCACAGTTCAATCCGGCATTAACAACAGAATACGATATATCTACCTGAACATTCGATTTGATGTTAGAGTCGGAATGTTATTCCCACAGTTTAATACCACATTGGCAACACAATACTATGTATATTTAAACATTCTATTTACTGCCCTCTGATGTAAATCGAAATCAGAAGCTCAGTGATCGGTTAAAGGACATAAATTGTAGATATGTAAACAGCGGTTTGATCAGTGAAAAGATATTTTAGCTTTCGTGTCTTGCCTTCTATTGTTACACTATTATTATTTTTATTATTACTTATATTATTATTATTGTCGTTATTATTATTATTGTAATTGTTATTTCAATACCACTCATCACTAATCTCCTCTTAAACTTATATTTCACATTTGATCACTAGTTCACTTTATTTAGAAAGCCATTGTAAACTAGATGTTTCGTCCTTCAAGTAGGAACTCTTCATCAATATGCATCTACGACCACCCACCAAGAATCGAACTCATGCGGAACCATCAAGGTGACCATGTAACCACTTGAGCTGGAGTTCAATGACCCGTGAATTTTAACTTTATCAATCCATTTTACTATGACACAGTGGAGCCTCACTGGCGACGACTTCACAGTACAGCTATATGATATTATGCATTCAATGATCAAGGAGTTGAAGGTTGATATTGAAATAAAATTACCGGTATTTGTGTAGGGATTTAGATTAGATTCAATGTCAGTTTCGTCACACCCATAATGTGTACTAAGTTTGTTTTATTTATTTATTTTTTCTTGTGATAAATATAGAAATGAGATGAAATCAACTTTTACACGAAACATTCTGATATACATATAGTCAAGTTAACGAACAAACAAGCAAATAAGCATAAACACCACTAGGAAGAAACTTACCAGCAGCTAAAGCGTTCCACCTGCATACTACTATTGTTCTATTTTCGCTTACAGCAATTACAGAAGGAAAAGGAGTTGCCTTCATCGATGTATTACTGAATAACTTTACAATTGGTGAATGCGAATGAAATTTTAAACTCATACAAAATTCTTCATTAAGAAGATTAAATATCTCTGGATTATGATGAAGTGTTGAATTCCGTCGTGGATGTGGAGTAGTTAACAATTGACCAGGTGTTTGACCAAAACTTTGAATTTGATCTTCAACAGCTTTAATGAGGAGTGGATCAGTAATCTGAAGAGAGATTAATGAGGATGCGGTGCGGGAAGATTATATAGGAATAATAATAATGACGAAAATAAATGGTGTAAAGAAAGATAAAATAAATTCAGTATCGGAAATTCTGAGCTTAGCACTGAATGTTATAGATTCTTAAAGATATAGGGTCACTCATAAATACACTTATGAGTGTTATGCAATGTTCGTAAACTATACTTAGTTAATAAAAGGATTAGCCATCAATTGTGTGTCGGTGGCACAGTGGTTAGGACTCTCGCCGACCATGCACATGGTCCGAGGTTCGATCCCCTGACGACGCACACCTGATATCTATGATCGGCCTGCAAAATTTGGGCTACCGATATCCATGCTGAAAATTCCATACTTGTACCGAAAATACAGTGTGGAATCAAGCTGTAAATCAAAAATTAAACAATTCCAAATTCTATTCTACCATAGTGCTCAAATTTCACACTAACATTGGTTTGATGATATTAAATGGTTGGGGGAAATCGGCAGCAAGCTTTGGACCTGGGTTTCATGTTTGTCGGAACTCGTCACCAAGGCATATCTGAAACATTGAAGGACTTCATGTTCCTTCTGAGATTCAAACCTGAGTCAGACCCAGTTCTGCAGTGAGAGATGTTACTACTGTGCTTTTTGGGCTCACGATTGACCTCCTGTAGGACTGTAATGGATACTTTGATGGTACACTAGGCAGTAACTAGTGTTATATGCCTAGTCTTTTGTTTGTTGCAAACTGTATTCTATCAGTCAGGTTTGCAATGTGGCCACCATTCTAGGTAGCTCACCATCACGGTGTACATTGATTTGATGATATTCGACGGAAACGTCTTCTCTGATTGCAGCACTGGGTGACACGGGTTTGAATCTCAGAAGGGACATGAGTTCCTTCAAGGTTGTGGATACGCCTTGGTGACAAGTGCAACTAGCACGAAACTCTAGGTCTAAGCCTTCATGCCGATTTCCTCCAACAATTTAAAATCATCAAACTAATGTTTGTGTAGAATTTGAGCACTGTGGTAAAATATAATTCCATATTAGACAAGTCTATTTTATATAACACACAGTAATGCAGTATGATTAACTGGTTGATCTCTCCAGAACAATCAATTGTTCAAAATCATTTAGTCAGATTCCTACGCTTCGATAACCTAATTGTTTTCCCTCTACTGAACTGATCTATATAGATGATCTCATAGTCACTGAAGGATATTGAATAAATTAGGTTATTTTATCTAATCGGATCAATAAGCACCTTGTGTGACTGAATTTTCGGGTTTGAATGCCACCCTGATTCCTGTTTTCATAAGAACGTCCTATTTAGTGTTTCACATGTCCGTTCTTTAAATCTCTTCTTATGTTATGATCAATTGTTTCATTACTACTCTGACTTTTCTTAAACTTACTAATGATATTTATGTAATGGTTATAAGGCACTAATGTTGCTTCAATTTGTTTTATTTCATTTTTCAGGCTTTTTAATGGACTACCTACCATTTTTGCTCAACTGGTTAGGCGCCTAACTAATTCTGTCTTCAAGAATAACGGATGTGATGACGTAAAGTATAAGTATTGACTGGAGTGCGACAGCTTTTCATAAACGCGGTTTTAGTCAAGCGTAGCTAGTTCTCCATTTTCTAAGTCAAATGTAAATTCATTTCTCCCTAATATCAAGTTTATGTATGTTTGACGAAATTGGAGATATGCTCTCTTTTTACCACTGAAAATACTGTTCACACATTTTCACCATATCTTCTGAGGATGAGATCAAGTATGCTGGTTGGTAGGGATTTCATCATGAGTTGACATTGGTTAGAGAACCAGTGGAAAACCAGCAAGGAGTACTCGATGGCCGTTTCGTCCCAGTTTGAGACTCAGTACGACTAAAACTAGGACGATAAAGCTGTCCAGTACTCTCTAGTTTCCATATTAAGTTAAAAACTGCTTTCACCTCTAATCTCCCTTCATTACTATGTGGAATAACTGTGACTATGCAAACTTATGTATAAAAATACGATTGTACAGGGACTTTGAAAAAGAAATCATGGAAAATATATCTTTTCCGAGCCTCTTGTTTTCTTTTCTTGCAAAATCCATTCATCAATTGCAAAGAATACTTAAGCAAAGTTGTTGAAACATTCACAATACTACCAGAGTAATAATTCTAGAGGCTAAACTAGCTAGTTAAAGAAGACAAATATTACACAGTGCGAATAAAAAGATATGGGAATTTCTATGCTATGCTATCGATATCACCAGAGGACTTACCTACTATCCACAGTGAGTGATGCTGAGTTCTCACTGAGGTTATAACCCAGGCCCCATAGTTTCAAACTCCAAAACCTCAGGGGGAACTCACCATCATTTCCCCCGGGAATGGAAGTTGTACTCAGATGACGAGCGCCAGCTAGGACGCACCCTGAATTCCAGTGCTAGTCACCATCTACCAGGTTACTTCAAGTTAAACCGTCAGACATTGTCGAAACGTTCCTAATAGGAACCGACATTTAGACAGAGGCTGAACACTTTTAGTTTAATCAGTCAATGAGGGATTGTTTGAATTCAATTCAATAAGAAGAATTGACACCTCAGTTACAAAATGGCATATGTATGTAAATCAAAAAGAAAGGAAATGTGAGAAGAAAAAGAAACTCGCCTTATCCCAGTCAACGCTTCCGTCATAGGTTAAATAATGAAAGACATTGGTAGCACGAACAGCTTCAGGACCGCGTTGTTTATAACCAAAGATAAGATCTATCCAATGGTGTAATTGACATGAGACTAGTTCAGATTCTAATGCCTTTACAAAAAATATAATAATAAAAATGAAGATACCATAAGGAGAAATTTAAACAGCTATAACAAGAACAGTTTGATAGAATACATACATTGTCACTTTGAAAAAAAACAGAATAATGAACTACATACAATTTATCTGAAACTCCACTGGATTGAGGTATAAAAGATGATGAGGCAGTAAATCATCGAAGAAGACATTGCGAAGTGGTCGCGCTATGTTGTGAATTGGCAGAAGTTAGAATTCAAGGACCATTGGATCGGGTCCCAGTGGCTCAATGGTCTACGAGCTCGCTGGCCTTGTAACCAGAAGGTCCTGGGTTCGAATCCCGGTGGGTGCGTACTGCTGAAGAGTCCCAAACTAGGATGAAACAGCTGTCCAGTACTCCCAGGTTTTCCAGTGGTTCTCTAACTGATGTCAGCTCATGATGAAATCCTCCATGCAATCAAACAAAATCCCTACAAAACCAATACTTGAAAATATAAAAAATATGTTGAGATATCATTAAGGCGGTTAAAGAGAAGACTGATTCGAAGGTCTTTTAATGTTAGTAACCTGTAACTCACACTTCCCACCCAACTAGTTGTGGTTACGAAAATAAAAGATGAAGTATCTAAGCTGTCCACCTCTTATTTTATTTATCTTTTCAACAGCTCCCGTGGAGCCGCTTATATATTGTCCGTTCCTCTAGGAACTTAATCTTAAGTGATCGGGAACACCTACCAGTATAGCTAAATGACGGTGTAGTTAAAAGCACCAACAGATCGATATTAGACCATCTGGTCCAAACAAGCCATAAAGCTCTAGCTACCAACGAAGAGTCTTTTTCTAGCATCTATCGGGTACCAAATAACTTACCGAATATTGCCATTGCAATTCGCGTTAAACAACCGAAGCTAGGTGTGTAAAAGACAAAGGTTCAGTCACTATTGTTCCTCTGGAATGCTGTGGAACCCATCTACTCATAAATTCTCTATGATGTTTCGTAATTTACCTGATATTCAGTCTAATATTACATTTTTATGCATATTATTACTAGTAGAGGCTTTCGAACAGTAAACTATTGATGTGATTGATTCAATGCAATTTAAAACAACATTAATGTTGTTAATGACAATAATTCTTTAATTATTATGGATGCGTATAACTTTAGAATCTGATAAAGAAGTTATCCATAGCAAAGCATAGTCTTTGTTCACTAATCAGTCTTTTGAAATTTTGAGTAGGCATCTTTTGTCAGTTAAACAGAAAGTATTTAGAGTATGCTACAAGTGATAAGATGTGGTTAGGTTCCAGCAACAACTCAAACTAGTTAAGTGTCAAGAGCAAGCAAACACTGGTATTACACTTTTTGACATCTCTTCATAAGGTATATCTGCTAAACCACAGAAGCTGATACTCCCCTTCCAGTGATGTGAACATACACCACTCACTGTCTTTTGAGTGGAATCTAGAGGTCTTCTAGAATATTGAATTACCAAAAATAACCTCTTTCTATCAAACACATAAATTGCCTCGAATTATGGCAGCAATCACAATACACTGAGTGGGAATGTTTAATCTTCCGCCGAAGTACATCTCGTAACTACAGTTATTTATCTTTTACCGCCGTGATCCAATATGAGTAATGACTGATGTAAGTTACTTAAAATAATGAACATTTTCTCAACCTTATCGCCTAATTTTATCTTAATAGAATGCCACAAAACAAGCTCAGAAATTGCTGGATAGATAGAGGCAGTCATTAGAAAGCCTGGGTAGTTAGGTAAATAGTAAGCAAGGCATATATTCATTCTTGAAGGAACTCATGTCCCTAGACACATCACACTAGTTACTACCTAGTGTACCATCAAAGTATCCATTACAGTCCTACAGGAGGTCAATCGTGAGCCCAAAAAGCACAGTAGTAATATCTCTCACTGCAGAACTGGGTCTGACTCAGGTTTGAATCTCAGAAGGAACATGAATTCCTTCAATGTTTCAGATACGCCTTGGTGACGAGTGACAACAAGCATGAAACCTAGGTCGAAGATTGATTTCCGACTGCCTTCAACCATCTAACAACAGTGAGGAGTGTACACTGATGGTTAGTTACCATCATGCATGGTAGCCACAATGCAAAGCTGACTGACAGAATTCATTCTGAACCAAACACGAAGGACTAAAGACATGACGTTAATTACTACCAAGTGTTCAATCACAGTAAGCTTAGAAAAAAAAATCCATTGGTAAACAGGTAAATGAATACCCAAAGACAAGAGAAATCCCAAACTTCAATTAGAATACAGTGAATAAAAAACGCCCATAGCATGCAGGGTCACAAGCTTTGAAGAAATTCTTGAAAAAAAAAATTAACTTCAGAAAAGCACGTGAACAATATTTAGACTACTTTTTGAATAACAGAAGCCGCTTACCAAATAGAAATAAACCAGATAAAATCAATAATCCTATGATAAACCAATAGTAATAAAGTTCAAATATTGGAATTACAAGTCAAGGTCAAATGAGTAGCAGATAATGTCAACAATACCCTAATAACATTCAAAGTTGACGACTGTTCTGTACGAACGTTAAGGTAAGTTACACCAATACTTTGCTTCATTTCTAATAGAAAAATAAAAGGCTTGCATTCTAAGCTTAGATAACTTGAAACAACTGTCATTATCCACTAAATTCATTTATATTTATAGTTGTGACTAATAATAAAATTATTGTATCAAATGAAACCTACTTAAAGTAGGCAAAGTTAACAGAGCTATTATGGTCTATCACACACAATAAGCTAATCTAGTTGAGGTCATGTAAATAAATTAATACTTTTGAAAGTTCTGGTGAGAATTTCCGTTATCACCACGTATTGATTACCGTGTGAATGATGAACCATAGTGAGTCTACAGTATCACAATATGCTCAAAAAAGGACTTGATAAACTTAAGAAGAACATACGAGAAAAAATATACAGGTTCTTTCTTGTTATTCAATATTAAAACCGAGTATAACATTCTCTGATCGCAGATGAGATCTGAACACTTCAATGTTAGTTTTATTTCCTTTAATACGAAAAAGGAAATGCAGGCTTACTGATTACAAAACCTGTTTTGATTAGATAGTGGATCTCATGGCTTTCAGATTATGGACTCAATTTACTCCAATGAATGAATTACACTTTCAAGTGTTGATGTGCAGGAATTAGATCACGAGCTGACCTAAATTAGAGCTATTGGAAAACACGGGAGTACTCGAGATTCCATTTCGTCCTAGTTTCAGACTCTTCAGCGGTACGAACCCAGTACGTAACTGATATGTATCCACATATATATATATATATGTGTGTGTATGGTGGTCTCTCTTTCTGTTCGCTCGCTTAGTCTGTGACCATTTCACTTTGATGAACCTGTCTCCTTAACAATGTATATTCCCCTTATATTATATATAATATAATATGAGTGTTTGTTGACAGTCCGTTGCTTGGTTACATATATCCATATATGGTGGTTGTTGACGTGTCTGCTATATTTTGCTATGTATATTTGGATCGACACTCCATTATAATTAGCCATTCATGTTAAGACTGTCTAGTGATTTTTTCACACACTTGTCTGGATGGTCATATATATTTCGCTCTCACAATTTGTGTGATTTACTTACTTACTTTGGTGTGATACCACTTATTGCTTCTCCTTGTGTTTGGAAAATAGAAGTATCATCGCAAACCTAGTGGTCTTCTGATTTCCGCCTTCTTGCGTCAGGACTATTAAATTCTCGACCAGTACATAGCAATAACTTGGCGACGAGTACATAACAGTGTGGTGAGAGCAGGCTGCTAGCCGATTGGTTGGCACTAATCTACGTTAAGGTCTAGGTCACTAATATGGGCCGTGAGAAAATATGAACAAGCCTGAGTCAACAACCAATCACAGCAAAGTTAACGTGGCAAAATATGATTCGCAGAGAGAACTCTATTTGTCAAGGAATCCCGAAACAACCAATCAGAAGCCTGCGTTTGTCTACCTAAACAACCAATCAGATGACTGCGCTTGTCTATAATAATGTAGTTGAAAGATGTATAAATACGTGTTGATTTTCATAATAAAACGATCTGTTGCTTCGCCCTTGTCTTCTGTTGTTACATTTGGTGTCGCTGCCTCCAGAAAATGAAGATCCCGTGGCCAGCTGCGTTTGAAGAAGGAGACATAAGGAGCTTCTTACGTGACTTCGAGGCTGTTGCTGAGCTGGTGGGTGTCAAGGAGCAGGCAGCGAAGGCAGTTGTCTTGGGGACGCTGTTGAGAGGCCGAGCGAAGGCTGCATATGACAGCGAAAAAAAAAAAAAAAAAAAAAAAAAAAAAAAAAAAAAAAAAAAAAAAAAAAAAAAAAAAAAAAAAAAAAAACAGACAGACAGCTAGCAATGCAGCAGTTCCGGTCAATGAAGCTTGGACCTGATGGAGACCCGCTAGTGTTGGCGGTGAAACTGACTAATCTACTTCGACGCGCACTTCCCACTTTAGATGAAGAATCAGAAGCGCAGTTACTGTCTTCCCAATTCATCGAGAGTGTCCCAGACCACATTTCTCAGCGATTACAACTGGTTAACGCAACGCAGCCGATGGATATTAGCGAGCTGGCGAAGGTGACCAGACAGCTGCTGAGCACAACGGTAGCCGCTATAGACCAACCAAAACCAAACGAATATGAGCAGAAAATTGAAGCATTGCAGCGGGAAGTGGCGGCGTTAAAGTTGGCTGATAGAAAAGACCGGTGTTTTGAATGCGGTAAGCCGGGACACTGGAGAAGATACTGCCCAGAAAGGCGAAAAAGAAAAAATTTCAGACGGTATAATGCTTGTTCTTTCTTTCGTATGAACCTAGATTTAGTGGGGGCTATTGAGAAAGGCGCTCTGTATTCGAAGTTGCGAGTGAATGATCGAGAAGTAGTATGTTTGATAGATACAGGGGCGGCCGTGTCGTTAATAGATAAGAATTTATGTAAGAGTGTTAGCCCGTGTTCATTGACAGTACAAACAGTAGGCGGGTATGTGTTGCGTATCACGGGTAGATCGAACTGTACGGTCGTTGTTGGTGGCTGCGAGGTGACGTTTCCTTTCATTGTTGTACCCGAACTACAGCGAACGATATTAGGAGCGGATTTTCTGCGTGAGATTGGTGCCATAATCGACACGCAAGCGAACGTGGTGGTCACGAAATACGGGCATATCAACATGTATGAGACCAGCGAGATAGCAGCGATTAAGCTGCCGACGGTACACAATGTGACAGAGTTAATTAGTAAATACGATCATCTGTTCACTGGAGATGGCGACCCATACGGTTATTGCGATAAGGTGAATCATGAAATTCCGTTAAGTGATCCGAAAGTAAGGTCATTTACAACGCGAAGAGTTCCATGTCATCTGGAAGGCGAAGTGGAGCGACAAGTGCAAGAGATGTTAAAAGATGACATTATTGAGGAAGCTGATAGCCCGTACAACTCTCCAGTGCTGTTAGTAAAAAAAGCGAATGGGAAGTATAGATTCTGTGTTGATTTTCGACAGTTAAACAGTATGACAGAGTTAAGACCGTGTGCCATGCCAACAGTGGTAGAAACTTTAGATCGCCTACAAGGTGCGAATGTGTTTTCGGTTCTCGATCTTCGCTCAGGATACTGGCAGATACCGATAAAACAAGGTGATAGAGATAAGACGGCTTTCATCGTGGGTCAGACACAATATCGATTTAAACGCATGCCGTTTGGACTAGCAGGTGCACCGTTTACGTTCAGACGACTGATGAAGCTATTACTTAGGAACTTGAAAAACGTGGAGGTTTATGGTGATGATCTCGTCATATACAGTCAAAACGAAAACGATCACGTCAACCATGTAGAAGCCGTGCTGCGACGCATCGAAGAGTTTGGACTACGCGTCAACAAAACCAAGTCCCAGATAGCCAAAAAGAATGTTACTCTGTTGGGACATAAAGTGGGAAATGGTGAGATTAAACCACTGCCGGAGAAAATTTTGACGATTAAAACGATTCCAGCCCCGAATTCAAAGAGAAAACTGAGACAATTCTTGGGTAGAGCAGCGTTTTATAGCCGCTTCGTGAAGAACTTCAATGAGATAGCAGCCCCTCTATACAGGCTACTAGGTGAGCCAAAGTTTGTTTGGTCGGAAGAATCGCAGAGGACATTCGACAGAATTAAACAGCTGCTCGACCACCAACAAATGACGCTAAAACTACCTGTGCCAGGAAGACAGTTCACAGTGTGCACAGATGCCAGTGACTACGCTATAGGTGCGGTCCTAAGACAGGACGAGGGAATCGTTGAGTATGCCAGTAGGGTTTTGACACTCGCAGAGAGAAAGTATTCAACGATAGAAAAAGAATGTTTAGCAATGGTATGGGCAGTCGACAAATGGAGACCTTATTTACTCGGCCGGCGGTTCCACATCGAAACTGATCATAAGCCGCTACAATTTTTGAAGACAGCGAGAGACCCACGGGGGAAGTTGTCACGGTGGATGTTGCGTCTTCAGGAGTACGATTTTACGATCTCACACGTTCCTGGAAGTGAAAATGTCTTGGCAGATTTGTTATCGAGACCAGAAGATGAGTCTGAGTTGCCCGAGGTCGCTTACGGAGTGCATGCAGTAGAACAAGACCCACTAAGACTTGCACGTAGGCAGAGGTTGGACGATACGCTGAATACAGTAATACAGGTGATCACCAACGGAATAGAAGTGGATCAAACTACGGCGAGTAAGGAGCTAACCACACTACTCAGACAGAGGGATCGACTCAGAGTGAATGCCTACGGGACTCTGACCTGGCGAGAGAACGACGGAAGCTGGCTGGCTGTCATACCTCAATCGTCGCGCCACGACATGATAGAAGAATGTCACCAGCTAGCGCATACAGGCGTGGCCAGAACGACCGATCTCCTAAGACAAAGTATGTACTGGCCAGGTATGAGAGAAGACGTAGCAAGATACGTACTTGGATGTCCACGGTGCCAGCTGATGAAAGGTGACCGGTGTATACGACCACCACTTCAGTCGATTCCAGTTACCGCGATAGGTGACTTGTGGTCCGTAGATGTCATGGGTCCATTTCCTCAGACATCCAATGGTAATCAGTACCTCTTGGTGATGACGGAACACGCGACACGATGGGTAGACGCCGTAGCAATCCCAGACCAACGTGCAAGAACCGTGACAGATGCAGTAGTTAGACACATTGTTGCAGACCACGGCGTACCGAAGACAATACTGACAGACCAAGGTCCCTGTTTCGAGAGTGAAGAGTTTACTTCCCGTTTGCAACAGCTGGGCATCAAGAGGATCAGAACGACCCCATACCATCCACAAACGAATGGCCTAACGGAGAGAAACAACCGTACACTGAAGGAGTGGCTGGCCTCGAAGGGCGGGAACTGGGAAACGGAGCTTCCACTGATTTTACTAACACATCGCGCTACCACTCAGGAAACAACGAAGAAGTCACCCTTCCAACTGATGTATGGTAGAAAACCACGATTACCGGTACACAATGAGACCTGGCCCATGCACCAAAAGTGGAGTACGACGAAATTAAAAGCAGAGAGGAAAGAGGCAGTCAAGAATGTAATACGGAAGCAGCGCAGTGATGTCATGAAGTCTCAGATGAAAGAAAGGACGCAGTGCATTACCTTTGCAGTCGGGGACCAAGTGAAGTGTAGAGACAGGAGATATACAGTTGGAGGCGGGCTAGGTTCACGGAAACTCCTTCCAAAGTGGGAAGGACCATACACAATCACAAAAAGACGGGGTCAAGTATATACCATCCGAAGAGGTGATAAACAGAAACGAGTTAACGCCAGTCAGCTCCAAAGATGGGTACAGTGGGACAAGCCGGTCAGTAACAATCCTCAACTAGAGGATGTAGCACCCAGAAGGTCGGAACGTCTGCGCACGAAGCTATTTGACGGGGGGACGAGTGTGGTGAGAGCAGGCTGCTAGCCGATTGGTTGGCACTAATCTACGTTAAGGTCTAGGTCACTAATATGGGCCGTGAGAAAATATGAACAAGCCTGAGTCAACAACCAATCACAGCAAAGTTAACGTGGCAAAATATGATTCGCAGAGAGAACTCTATTTGTCAAGGAATCCCGAAACAACCAATCAGAAGCCTGCGTTTGTCTACCTAAACAACCAATCAGATGACTGCGCTTGTCTATAATAATGTAGTTGAAAGATGTATAAATACGTGTTGATTTTCATAATAAAACGATCTGTTGCTTCGCCCTTGTCTTCTGTTGTTACAACAGTAACAGCTACAAGATGAGTTCGCAGACTATTCAGAGACTGGATACAATTGCCCGTGAATTCCTTTTCCTAATTCCCGACATATATATCGAAACCGTCATTGAATATCATCGCCGAGTAACTGTCCCCATACGTGACTTGTTGGATCCCACTAGTCACGGCTTCTCATTAGAGCTTCAAGCAACTTCCTGTATAGAGACATTCACTAGTAAGCATCCGACTAATTTTCAAATGCTGCTTTGCAGAGATCTGATTGGTTAGAGGTTTCATAATGAGCTGACGTTTCACTCCAATTGCCACCCATTAAGGCACAGGTGATAGAATGATTAATTAAAACAAAAACAACACAAATATTGAAACAATTTCATGATCAACCTACCTCACGGTTAATTCGTACAAATTCTTCGGGCGTTTTTGCCCATGGTGGAAGTATCACAGTATCAACATGAATACCATCATCTGTTATGCCTAAATCTAAGTCATTTAAATTTTCAAACATTTCAGGAAAGTAGAAGAACTCCGGGATTAATTCTTTGACATCTGATGTATTAATCTGACAATTCTCCCAGGTTTTTGCAATTGAAAAGAATATTCTATCAGGATGATCAAATTTACCACCCTTCGTTAAAAGAAAAAGTAATGAATGAATGAATAAAGTGGAAGAAGAATAAAATCAGAATACAATTTTGTTACGAAACAGAAAAAAAGGAATACATGCTATTCATCATTGCAAAAAGGTTGTGTTATTTAGAATAACAATAGGCAACCTCATGGTTTCAAGAGTTAGGGTTTTCAGGTATTGGTTTTGTAGGGATTTGATTGCATGGAGGATTTTCATCATGAGCTGACATTAGTTAGAGGACCATTGGAAAATCTGAGAGTACTGGACAGCACCTACCGGGGTTCGAACCCAGGACCTTTTGTTTACAAGGCGAGCTCGTAGACCATTGAGCCACTGGGACCCGATCTAATGGTCCTTGAATTCTAACTTCTGCCAATTCAAGACATAGCACGACCACTTCGCAACGTCTTCTTCGATGAGTTACTGAGTTGGTTTTTTATTTGTTTCGAGCTTGATCACGGATTGATGCCGATAAAAGAATCACTGAATTTTCAAGTATTGGTTTTGTAGGGATTTTGTTTGATTGTATGGATGATTTCACCATGAGCTGACATCAGTCAGAGAACCACTGGAAAACCTTAGATTACTGGACAGCTGTTTCGTCCTAGTTTGGGACTCTTCATCACTACGCACCCATTGAATTGAAAAACGTTAGAATTCATAGGCGTATTAAACTTCCTGCCCGAGTGACTAAATAGTGAACCATCTTTATCATGTAACCTGAACGTCTTAGGTTCGACTTCTGATACGGTCGTGGCTGTACACTGATGAAAAGTCCCAAACTAGGACGAAACAACTATCCAATATTCCCTACTCTTCAATGTTTCTCCAGCTGACATCAATCCGTGATCAAATACTTGGAAAGTAACCTAATGGGGCTTTACGCAGTTGAACTGACCAGATCTATCTTTATCACCGCTTAGAGTGATGGGTATTGGGATGAAGTCCTATGAACAACAACAGCTTCACACAAGGTACAGAAGTTGAAGAGACATTAAATAAATAAATAAATAAAGTAGTTTAATGCATAGTACAACTGATTACGTCATCCGAAATTTCATTATTGAAGTAAAAAATGGATTTTTAAAAGCTTTCTTTAAAAAGTGTCATTTTTTCGAAATATCAACAGGCCTTCGATTTGATATTCACACAGTGAAAAGGAAACAACGGTTGTACAACAGCTGGAAAAGAATGAAATCCTTTCACTTGTGGTATATTTTAAATTTTGAGTCTTGAAACATCATCTTCATGTTTTCCTGCTAGTCCATTTAAACGTCTTTCTCAACTTTTAGGATTGATTAGATGGACAGTAACTTCAGTCAACTTTCATTGAATTCGTGTTTACGAAAAAAAACTGGCTCTACAGAACTGTTTAATCCCTTTATTGGTCCGGGGTTCGATTCCCGGCTGATGCACTCTTAAACCTCACCTAACCAGTAGCAAACCGGATATCATTGTTGGTGAACATTGAATGAGCAACATATGGTTTGTTTATTTGAACTGATCTCCATTTGGCGGGAAACAACAGTCGCAATCATTGCCTAAGCGGACGCTGGTTGGCAGAAGATTGGAGAGAAATGATCAGAAGTACTATTGTGATCTATGTTGACGTTTAATTACAGATTCTGCGCATTGTTACCCTGTTCCATTGTCGGTGAAGAGATAAACAATCATCGTGTTTCCAATCGTTTTCTGATATTCTTCCGTCGGTTACCGCACACAGTATTATAAGGCAATGATTAGTCTTCTGGAATCATCGATAGGTTCAGGACCTTTTTCGATTTGAACATTTGACACCGGATAAAGGGGAGAAGGTTGGGAGTAAGGCTAGCAATCCCACCCTGTAAAAAACACCAGTGCTACTGGGACTTGAAAGCCCAATCTTGCAGTCCTATATTCCACTCAAAAATCTAAGGAATAAGATTTTTTGAATCATGGCATCCATTTGAAAACAGATAAACAACAATGAAAAAGTCACCCAAGCAGCGACTGACTAGTTTCAACGTAGAACTTTGCACCGATGTGCAACAGTTCGAGTCGCCACACTTCACTCACCATACAGAGCAAGAGAAGAAACCAAAAAGAAATGCAAAACAGAGACAGTAAACAGAGATATGAGGCAAAAGGAATAGTAGTATGGAAGAAAAGTCTAGTTTTATTGGATATTATAAGTCACAAGGAGTGGATGCGCCAGCCATTGAGAACAATATTGAGCCATATCACCAATTGTCTCCACACGTCATTGGTTCTTACTGTCCTGAGGACCCCAACTAGTCAGGCAATCTACACCTCCCTACGTGATTTAGACCAACTGTCGAAGATTTTATTGGCTGCTGTAGCCATGTTTTGGTTTGACCACCACTAGGTCTTTTTCTTTGCAAAGTTATCCTATGTCAGCTAGCATTGCCCGTCGAGGAAGGCGACGGCTGGCTAGTAATTAGCAACAAATGTCCTAACCATCTCAATCGATGTAACTTTACAACCTCATTTATTGATTTTCCCTCATTACCTAGCACTCAACCGAACTATAACCTCAATATTACTCATCCTATGATACCAACTAACAAGGAAAATAGAACACAAGCACGTATGATCAAAGACAGCCAGGTAGGCGGCCTTTCCATGTCTTCCACTCTCAATAGCCAGGTCTCACAGCTAGTCGTAAAGGAGGACAGAGCAAACTGCTGAGCAGTACAAACGCCCTTTGGTCGATAGTCGGATATCACGTTTACGCCAGAGACGGCGTAAACTGGCATATGCGAAACTAGCCCTCCGTATTCGTGAGGAGATTTCGTCAGAGATCAACCCGTTGGGGTTGTGTGATGGTACTTCCAAAAATAGTGAAGCGGTCAACGTCCTCTATCACTCTACTTTCTATTTCTAATGTAGGAGTCGGTGTAGTCCAGTCCTGTAACATCATCTTGCATTTGGCGGGAGCGAATCACATACCAAACACTCGTAGATAGCAGCTCAAGGTGTTCAGAAGACTGTGCACTTTGTCAGCGTCTTCACCTAGTTGGAAGGACTATATCATCTGCATATTCTAAGTAAACGAGATTATTCCCTGGTGGTAACAAGTCAATCCCTGAGTCTCTGAAGTGAGTTAGAGTTAAATCCATTAGTACGTCTATGGTGAAATTAAACAGAAACATCTAAGCATTACAGCATAACACTAATTGCATGGGGGAAATGGCACAGGGTAGCCAGATTTACCACAATGAATTCACTCCTTAAGATAGTGGCATACATTTGCTGAGCTAATTCTAACCAGCCGTAATATATAAGTTGTAAAGACGAGAGTGGAACAACACAGGTTTCAATAAATATGGACATACTTGTAGATTAAGAAACACAGTAGTGAACGGTTCAACACGTAGTAAATAATTCAATACAAATGCAGCTGTACTATAATGTGTACCATAATGAAATGGTGGTCGACTTTCATCTTCCCAATTATTATAACGTTCATCAAAAAATGCTTTACGTTTAGGATTTATAGCACCAATCGGTTTAGATAAATCACGATAATTAGATGGTGAGGATAAATCTAATTCGCTGGCATCATAATTTGAAATAACCCATGGAAATATTGGATATTGATTTAAGTCATTGTAACTACGACCAGCTATTGTGTTTAAATACATGAGATAATCAAAATTTGACAATTCACGACGTTGCCAACGTTGTGTCATATTGGATAGTTGAAATATTTTACTCGGTGGAGCTAATGTAGACGATCTGGATGCCGGTAAACCATATCTTGTGCCTATACCCACTTCAGGTAATGCATTAACAATTGATTTCATAGTGGCAACATCTTTGAACGCGAAAAGTACGGAACCTAAGCGTAGAAGAAGAAAAAAAAGGCATATTATTATGATGTTGTATTTAAAAAGGTGTGGCTAACTGCACAACTTGTTCCCTTATAAAAGAAGTACTGTGTTGATGGTGGACTAACAGTGGAATCCAGGATGGGTATTTCATCCCATCTGGGATTCGTCAATCTGATATATCTGGATTCCCAGACAGGATTTGTACCCTACATCCATCGTTCCAAACACCAAAGCATCAATCACTAGGGTTATATAAGGGATGAAATGTACTTCCTAGACTCCACTGTTAGTCAACATCAACCAAAATAATTTCATGTTAATCCGAAAACATTCTCGGAGAGTCCGTAGTAGGAGCCGACAGTCTAACATGATCAATTAATCAGTCAGCCAACGATGAAGTGGAAAATAACCTAAAAGAAGATACTTACTTACTTTACTTTACTTCGGCTATCTCCTACGGGAGGATGAGCCGGCTTCATGAACGTCTCGAATCATCGCTGCCCAGGCGCGGCGATCTGAAGCAAGGTTTTGGGATAGGGATATCCAATTCTTGTTCCACATACGGAGTCCGTAGACGGTTTGTAGCCCCAGGCACTCCATATCTGCCTTGACTGTACCAAGCCATGTTTTCAGCTGTCCGCCTCTGCGACATCGCCAAGATGGTAATGGCGAGGGATTTAGAACTGATTTGACCAGATCGTCATCCGGTCGGCGCAGAACATGGCCAAACCACCGAAGGCGGCGTTGTTGGACCAGTACTGGAATTTGGTTGATGTTGTAGCAACGCCGACGCACTTCCTCGTTGGAGAGTTTGTCCTGCCAACGAACATGCAGAATGTACCTGAGACACCAATGGTCTAATACCTCGAGTCTGCGTAAATCTTCCGCGCGAAGAGGCCAGGTCTCACAGCCATACAGCAGAACGGGTCGTATGGAAGCTTGGTAGACCCGAATTTTAGTCCTGAGACTGATTTCTCTCTTGCTCTATAGAACGCTCCTCAGCTGTAGAAACGCATTCCGGGCGTTGGAGATTCGCGCATTCACTTCGTTTTTCGCTTGGCCGTTGGGGAGCATTATGGATCCCAGATATCTGAAGGATGGCACAATTTCAATAGGTGCTCCATTTAGGGATAAGATTTCATCATTGCCGGTGGATGTGTTCGAAAACATTTTGGTTTTGGAAGTGTTAATTTTCAAGCCGATAGTAGGCGCGAGGTGATTTATCTGGTCGAGCGCCTGTTGCATATCGGGGAAGTTTTCAGCTAACAGCACGACGTCGTCGGCGAATTCGAGGTCGGTTATGTTAATATCGGGCGAAAGTTGGACGCCGTGGTGCTCGGTTAGGGCGTGCCGCAAAATCCAATCAATTGTGAAATTGAACAGGATGGGGGATGCTGGACAACCTTGCCGGACACCGCTGGTTACCTCAAAAGTGCGGGACTCTTCACCGTTCACTCGGACTCGAGCTTTGGTGTTGGAGTAGTATGACCTGAGCAGGTTGATTAGCTTGGTCGGAACTCCGTCGAGCTCCATTAGATACCAGAGTGCTCCTCGATCAACTGAGTCGAATGCCGCTTGGAAGTCGATGAAGCAAGCAATCGTCGGCTGTTGGAATTTGTCCCTGTGTTCCAAAATTCTTCGCAGTGTGAATAATTGATCAACACAGCCTCTTCCAGGTCGAAATCCAGCTTGATTTGGCCTTGTTCGCACGTGGCGTTCGGCCGCGAAGCGGTTCAGGAGAATGGAAACAAAAACCTTAGCAGCGATATCAATCAGACTTATGCCTCGGTAGTTCTCGCATATTGACCTGTCTCCCTTTTTGTGGAACGGTAGCAGAACTGAGGTGCTCCAATCGGAAGGAATGGTTTCGGACTCCCAAATTGAGCAGAACAGCGAGTGCAGTGCATCGATTAGCGCTGGAGTGCAGGCCTTGTATATTTCTGGGGGTAGACCATCTTCGCCCGGAGCTTTTTTGTTTCTGAGTCTGTTAATTGTTTTAGCTATTTCGGTTGCAGTGGGTGGATCGCAGTCAACTACGTAGGGTGTTGGTAAGTGTCGTATCGGTCGATGAGACGGTTGACCAGCGTCGCGATTGAGTAGCTGCTTGAAGTGTTCGGCCCATCGTTCCATCTTACCATTGGTGTCCGAAATAATTTCTCCTGATGCTGTGCGTAACACAGCATGACTGTTAAGGCGTTTGCCAGATGATTGGCGTAAGAGGCGATAAAGTTTTCCGAAATCGCCTACATTTGATGCTGCTTCCATGTTAGTCGCCACGTTAGACCAATAGCGATTTCTGTCGTTCCTAGCAGACTGTGTAGCTTTGCGCCTGAGGGAGCGATAAACTGGAGACTTTGCTAGGCGAGCGTCTCTGGCTTGCGAGGATAGAAGCATGGTGTGCTCTGAAATCCAGTCTTTCTGCTTCTTGGATGTGGTACCCAAATGCGACATTGAAGCTTTAGAGACTACTTCTTTGAAATGATTCCATCGTGTCTCGGGTGTATTAGAAGATGTGGATGTTGGTTCATCTGCGGCGCTTAGTTCGGCCTGGATTTGTTTGGACAAGGCTTGTCGTTTTGTAGAACATTGAAGCGGGGCAACATTGATACGCTTCGGAGGTCGCGCCTTCTGGCGTGTCGTTAAACGAAGTTTGAATTTCGCCCTAACTAGAGTATGGTCTGATCCCCCTTTATTTCCGGCCTCTGCTCCACGATAGGATCGACAGTCTTCCACCGAGGAGATCCAGCGTGAGCGCACTAGGATGTAGTCGATCTGATGTGCAGTGCGACCGTCGTTCGAATACCAGGTGAGAAGATGTTTTCTGGGGTGTTGAAATCGAGTGTTGGTGATATATAATCGATTGTAATCAGAAAAAGCTAAAAGTCTATCACCATTACGGCAGCGCTGATCGAGACCGTGTTTGCCTAGTATATGTTTTGTCGCGTCGTCTGAAGGGCCAGTGCGGGCGTTCCAATCGCCGGCTACTATGAGAACGTCACGCTTTGGGATTTTGTTGATTGCCTCTTGAAGATTGTCATAAAATTCGTCTTTGATACTTTCATCAGAGTCGAGGGTTGGGGCATAGACAGCGAGAACAGAAATGTCGAGCGGGGAACCCTTGAACCTAGCGACTGCAACTCTGGAGTTGACCGGTTCGAATGATATTAGGGCATTATTGGCTTTGTTACTGAGAGCAAATGCTACCCCATGTTGTCCCGAATTATTCTGGGGGCCACTATGAAGCAACCAGAATGAAGAATCTGTTCCAGGAACGGCTATTCGGCGGGAGCCATGATCGGGTAACCTCACTTCAGATAGACACGCTATGTCTACCTTGTAGTCATATAAAGAACGCATGGTGATATACTGGCTACCAGGATCCAACAGCGTCCTAACATTCCAGCAGCCAACAAATAGTTGGTTTCTAAGTGTTAATTTCCCAGCTAGCTTACTTTTCACACTGGCCACCGGGTGAGCACAGGGCGCGTCGCTTACCGGGAACGCCGTAGCATGGTGAGAGTTGTTTGTAGGAGAGTTCATGAAGTTTCTTGGGAATTTGGTACGAGTGATGTCCCCAGCATCGCTCGGAAGATGTATTTGTTTAAAGCACAGTTATACCATTGTCCATGTGATCGATAGATACCAGTCAATGCTTGGTACTAGAGACAGAGATGTGCCTCACTGAATCGAAGTTAAATTACAGTTATTCAACATAAGATTAGAATCCCACCTCCTATGCTTCAATCTAAGTGATTAATTGGATAGTATCATTAGCCGTCATAAAAAATAATACTTCACAGACTGTCTGTCTGTCTTCAACAAAGGAATTTGCACCGATGTGCAGAAGTTCGAGTCGCTACACCAGTTAGCACACAAAGCAGCATAAGAAGAAAGTAAAAAGAAAAGCAAAATATAAAAAGTAAAGAGAGATATGAGACAAAAAGAACAGTAATAACGAAGAACAAAACGGTTTCATTGGAAATCAAGTCACAAGGAGTGGATGCATCTGTGTCAGCCATTGAGAACGATTTTGAGCCATGTCACCAAATGTTTCCAAGCATTGATTTTTACCATCCCGAGGACCCCAACCAGAAAGTCTACACCTTCCTACTTGGCTTAAACTAACTATTGTGGATTTCATTGACTGGTGCCATGTTTTGGTTTGACCGCCACTAGCTAGCTCTTCTCCAGCCTGACCAGTCCTATGTCAGCTAACATTGGGCGTCGAGGAAGGCGATGAATAGGCATACGTAACACATGTCTTAACCATCTCAGTCGATGTAGCTTCACAGCCCCATCGATTGATTTCCCCTCCTTACCTGGCATTCGACCAAATCCTAAACTCAATATTGCTCACCCAATTATACTACTTCACACGGGAGATAAAACGCAGGCACTTATGATCAAAAAAGTTAGTCTTTTCATGTTTTCCACTTTCAATGTCCATATCTCACTCACAGCCATAAAGGAGGATGGAACGGGCTGCTGAGCAGTACACCCACGCTTTGTTCGATAGCCGGATATCACGTCTACTGGGCCAGAGAGGCGGGGTAAACTGGCATATGCGAAACGACTCTTCTGTATCCGTGACGGGATTTCGTCAGCGATCAAACCCCTTGGCGACTGGTTGATGCAACTTCCCAAATAAGTGAAATAGTCAATACGCTCTACCAATTCAAAGACAGTCTGACACAAGGAATGTCGAAATAATTTAACAGGCAGGTAAACTGGTTACTATACATACAGTGAAACTTGTTTTAGTGTACAATTATGATATGAATAATTTAAGTGATAAAGGAGTCGAATTCGTCACTGAATGACGTAACTTCAAATTACAAAATGCGGACATGTTTGGTGAAGGCTGCGGATAAACTTATGCCATATAAAGCCAGATGAGTTTCCCTTTTAAATTATTCTTAATATTTAGTATATTGAATTTTATTTCAAAAGACAAGAAGGAAGAAAGTAGTAGAAACTACTTCAATTACTAATTTTTATAGCTCCCCTGAATAATAGGTGAATGACACAACTGAAAAGCGATATTATGACGCTTAAACGCCATAAAATGATTACAAGCAAAATGAAGCTTAGAGCTTATTATCCCCACTCGAAAGCCTGGAGCATGATATTAATCGACGGTCACCTCGACGTATGTCCAATCTATCTTCATTTCGCTGTGCATATTTTTGTTCGGAGTTAGGTTCGTGGTTGGTTCGTTCCTAAAGTTTCTTGTGGTTAATCATTTCTGGTCATGTGATCTTGAGTATTGAGCGAAGACAGCTGTTAATGAAGGTCTGTAGTTTGTTTGAGATGCTCTTCATGACGCGCTGGCCAAGTCTCTGATCCGTCTAGTAGCACTGACTGACTTCACATTGGATTTGAAAGTCCGGATCTTATTTTTGATGCTGAGTGCTGTTGATCTCCACACAGACTTAAGAGTAATCAAATCTTGTCTTGCTTTACCTATCCTTGCTTTACTAGCCTCGTCAGTTCCGCCTGTAGTTGAAATGATGCTTCCCAGTGTTAGGTAGGTAAAGGAGGTTGTTTCTTTCAGGTACCTCCCAGTTATGCTGATTGTTGTCTGTTGTTGTTGTTGCTGTTGATGTTGGCTAGGAATCTTCATCACCTACCTCTGTTTTCTCTTTGTTCACCTGAATTCCTATCTTCTCTGGATGCTTCTTCTGCCAACTTGTTGCTTTTCACTTGCATATCTTCCAGTTTGTGGGAAATCAGACACATATGTCATCGGCGAATTCTAGCTCCTGCAATTTTTTTGTGTGGGTTCATTCTATGCCTGTTTCTTCACTGCTCAAACCATATACAATAACTGACTTGTAATGTAATATATTAGAATACCCTAATGCTAACAGAGTACAGATGAGTTTCTATAGATTTCAATGTTTAAAATTTGCTACAGTATTAACTAAAATTAGTAACTCTACCAAACATAATTGACTATCTAAACTATAAATTAGTTAAACAAATTTCTCATGTTAATTTTAACTAGTGAGTGGTAATGGTAATGATCAAGGCCGAGTTATCACCATCCAACTTCTCGTATCGGTCAGAAACACGATGAGCTTTGATGAAGTTAGGAGCAGAGACCTTCAGGTTATAAAGTGAGCAGCTGTTTAGTGTTTTCTGGATTTAAATGATATACCAACCGATGTTGTTTTGTAATCAATCCACACCCCCAGAAAAACCCAATTACTTGATAATTCAAATATTACCTAATCGCTAATTCACCCAGGTATATTATTATATACTGAACTGTCAACGAAAGGGTAATTTAGAAAAATAAATTCTTTTGGCTTGTTGTAGTCAACCAATTGTAAAAGCTCACCTCTTGAAGCCACAAATATTTCCAATGCAACTTTACGATGTAAAAACGAACGATTAAAGATTGCGCGTATTTCTGACAATGACCATCTACTATAAACATGTTCAATATACGCTAAAACCTGTAAAATAACAGAGAGAAAATAGAATGAAAATAAAAGACAATCCAGTTTACGATCATTTTGAAGTGGAAATTTCCAGACTAATTGTTTTAAGAGTTTATGATAGATGGATAGAATTAATGCAGTAAAGTGTGCTGTCATAATATGCTAGCTTTGGATTCCATGAGGACATTATATTCTGAAGTAAGCATCAATCTTGTTGACTTGGAACGCCATATGAAGGTACCGAGGAATGTATCATATAAAGTCATATGTTAACATTATGAAAGGTAAAGGTAGACAGTATCAGTAAGATCAAGAATAGCCAGATAATTGGTCACTATTTCCACGCGTTATATCTGCACAAAGAGTTGGGGAAGGAGTGTAAGAAGGAGAGTTCTACAAAACAAGCAAAGGAAAAAGATTCACATATACATCTGCCAAAAAATCAACACTTCCTTATACCTGTTTTCAAGGAATTCAATCGCAGTTTTACCCTTGGATAAAACACTTCCTTAGGTATTTTAATTCATTCTGTATTTTTCTGTCTTATAATTTAGTACTCACCTCGACAAAGCTTATACAAAAGTTTCTTTCAGTTGTCAAAGTTCTTGATCAACACCGTCTTTACTAGAAAAAAAAACAAGTTTTATTTTTGAATGGACATGGGGACAAAACTGTAACAACTAGTCAGTTGTCCCACTTCGTCTATGTCGATTTTCTGTAAATTGACCTTTTATTATCAACCTATCAGGTCTACTTTTGTGAGTAGCACATCAGAGAAACATGTGTTGCATATAAACTTAAAATTTAAGCCTGATATTCCGATTCCATATCATCGTGTGACTATACTTTTCTTTCTTTCAACTTATTTCTATTCTTATTCTTAAATATGTAAAACAGTATTTGAGCCACATGCGAAACATCATAGTTTAGTTGGCTGTTTTAAGGGGGATAAGATATCCAAAGTCTATGATAGTTAGAACCATACAAATAGAAGAAAAACAAACTACAACCTATTTTATCAATTAGTCATTCATGTCCGTTTTTATTGATTAGTCAGTGAATAGCACTCAGTGAGGGTAACTTGATTTTGTGTTTAGAATATCAATACAGAATTAGAAAAAACATAATAACTATGTTATAATTGTTGGATTTTGCCGACAAACAACATCGGTTAGAAAATCACTGAAAACCAGGGAGTAGTGGATAGTTGTTTCGTCCTATTCGGGACTCTTTGCCAGCCAGCAGTCGCGATCCAACAAAGGATCGAACGAAGGACCCTTAGGTCACGACACTAAAGTCGTTGTCCATTCAGCAACTTGGGCTGGAATTAAATGACATATGAATTCTAACTATGTACAAATAGTAAATCTTGTTTGGTCAATAATTATGCTTCATTATGACCTGAAAAACACAAGGACTACCATGGACTGTGCGTATAGAAGCGGTTTATCCCATCTCGTGTACCACTGTGGTCTTAAACTTTCACTTCTTTAACTCGTACAATAATATGGCATCCACTGGGTTTTCGTCTTTTTCCCTTTTCATCCCTTCAAACTGTTAACTTTTATTTATACTTTATAAATATTCTGAATCTCTTTTCTTACTCTTTTGAACAAGTGAGCGGTGACTCATCATTTGCTGGTTTTCGATTACGTGATTTATCGTTTTACTTGATATGTGAATTCATATGTCTTGTTACTAAATGATATGAACGACTGGCCTTATAGGTGTTTCCCTGACCTTTCACAACACTACAATAATAATAATAACAATTTCGCTTTATTCCAGAAACAGTACTTGTGGTACAGTGTGGAATTTTCAGCACATATCTACAATATTGCATCTAATTTGATCGTACATTTAAAAGGAGTATTATAAAAAAAATATTTAAAATAACAAAAAAAAACAATAACAACAAAAAACCAAAAAAGAAACACAGAAATAACAAAAAAATGCAATAAAAATACCAAGTAAAAAGGAAGATAAACACAAATAATGAAAAAATATTTCAGTATTGGTTAGTGGAAGCTACGATATGAGTATGCGTGGTGAACAGTAACAGCTATAATCATACGGGAAATTATGAGATGTTCTTAAAAAATGTTTATAGCCAAGATGATCAGTTAATTTGATTGAACAACACTAAGCAATCATAAGATAAACATTTCAGGTTGTGTTTTTTTTTATTGTCAGCACTAATGAGGTTGTTTGTAGTGGTAGTGTGAGGAATCATGTATAATACAAAATTTTTTAAGATGGTGATAGTGGCAATAACAAACAAGATTGTCAGTTAAATAGTGCCGAACAAAGAACAACCACAAAACTAATATTACATGATGGTTAATGACAGGACAATTTTTAATAATCATAGTGATAATATAGTCGGACCCAGTAGATGTATAAAGAAGGAATAGAATAAAGAATAAAAATGTAAGCCAATGATAATAATTTTAAGCAGCTAAGTATGTTTAAGAAGGTTGTTCACTATAGAGTACAAATAAGAGAGTGTAAGGGGGAAATAACAAGGGCCAAAATTATGTTATTAACAACAAAGCAAGTCATAGGTTTCACGCTTAACATTGTCTCTGTCACTTAGAACACGGGCCAAATATGGTATCGTTGAGTTCCTATACTTGGTCGTACGAGCATATATTATTTTGTACTGATTTCTGGTTCTACCTGATGAGATGCAAGGAGAGAGTTGGGAATAGAGGGGGTGTTGGCAGTCAGAGAGTATGGTTTTAGACCATTTCTCACATGTATTCAGATGCTTATCCACTAATGTTGTGACGAGCTGACTGAGTTTTACACCGCTAGTCCTACTAACTACCTTCAACATCCTTCTCAGGATGGTATAATCCTTTTTCAGTAACCCAGGAAAGACTAACGGAGAACAGTAAAGTAGAATAGGTAGGATACGAGAGTTGACAAATTGTGAAAGCAGAGGTTGAGGGACTCCAGTTAGTCTGAGTTTCTTAATGTAGTAGGTTAGACGAAACACTTTCTTGGAAATCATTTGGATATGAGATGACCAGGTAAGGTCGGAAGATATAACTAATCCGAGGTATTTTGCATTAGACTTTGTTTCAATTATAGTCCCCTCAATTCTACAGACATCATGAGTGCTTACTAGTGTTTGTAGATCTCGTTTGTGCCTAAAGGAGAAGTCGACAGTCTGGCATTTTGAGGGATTCAGCGTTAGGCCATTTAGTTTAGACCACTGATTGATGTCAGACAGGAAGCTATTTAATTTGAAACAGTCTGACTGAGACTTAACGGGAAGCGAAACAGTCAGGTCATCTGCATATTTGACGAAGTTGATTTCGTCTGAGAGAGGTAAGTCATGTAAGAAGAAGGAAAACAGAAACGGTGAGAGAACAGCACCCTGAGGAACACCAGCTTCAGTAAGCAAAGGAGAGGAAGCTACACCATTATATACCGTGTATTATTATTATTATTATTATTATTGTATCCTTTAGTTCCTAGAGGAACATAGGGCTTCAGCTGCGCACCTCCATTGACTTCGGTTTTCTGACAACTTTTTCACCCTGCTCCAGGTCTGCCCACATGCTTTCATCTCCTCTTCACATGACCTCCTCCAAGTCACCCTTGGACGACCAACTCGCCGCCTCCCTTTCGGGTTCCACTCGAGGGCTTGTCTAGTGATGTCACTTGATGGTTTCCTCAGCGTATGGCCAATCCATCTCCATTTCTTTCTGCCTATTTGTTTCACAATCGGTTCCTGATTGGTTCGCTCCCAGAGATCCCTGTTGCTGATCTTTTCTGGCCATCTGATCTTGAGTATTGAGCGGAGACAGTTGTTAATGAAGGTTTGAAGTTTGTTTGAGATGCTCTTTATGACTCGCCAAGTCTCTGATCCGTATAGTAGCACTGACTTCACATTGGAGTTGAAAATCCGGATCTTATTTTTGATGCTGAGTGCTGTTGACCTCCACACAGATTTGAGAGTAATGAAAGCTTGTCTTGCTTTTCCGATTCTGGCTTTGATGTCCTCGTCAGTTCCGCCTGTAGTTGAGACGATGCTTCCCAGGTAGGTGAAGGAGGTTGTTTCTTTCAGGTTCTTCCCATTTATGCTTATTGTGGTCTGTTGTTGCTGTTGATGTTGGCAAGGAATCTTCATCATCTCTGTTTTATCTATGTTCACGTGAAGTCCTATCTTTGATGCTTCTTCTGCCAACTTGTTACTTTTCATTTGCATATCTTCCAGTTTATGGGAAATCAGACATATATCATCGGCGAAATCCAGATCCTCCAAGTCTTTTGTGTCAGTCCATTTTATGCCTGTTCCCTCGTTGGTTGCCGTTGTCTGTCGCATTATCCAATCAATTGCAATCAGGAAGATCATTGGTGATAGTAGACAGCCTTGCCTCACTCCCGTCCTCACTTCGAAGGCTTCCGTAAGTTTCCCGTTGTGGATTACTTGGCATGCAGCATTGTCGTATAACTGTTGGATGAGGTGTATAATTGTCGATGGGACCCCGTAGTAGCGAAGTAGTTTCCAAATGACCTCTCGATCGACGCTGTCGAAGGCCTTTTCAAAGTCGATGAAGTTGAGATAGAGAGGTGACTGCCATTCCAAGCTTTGTTCAATGATGATCCGTAGAGTGGCGATTTGATCAATACATGATTTGTTTCTCCTGAATCCAGCCTGTTCCGGACGAAGTTTTTCATCTAGGGCTTGTTTGATTCTCTCCAGGATGATGCGACTTAGTATCTTGCTTGGAATGGACAGAAGCATAATTCCACGCCAGTTTTTACATTGACTTAAGTCTCCTTTCTTTGGAAGTTTGAATAAGTAACTGTTCTTCCAATCCTCGGGTACTTTGCCCTCTTTCCACACCTTCTCCAGTAGTGGTGTCATCAAGTCCGCTGTTGTCTCTGGGTCTATTTTCAAAGCCTCTGCTGGGATTCCATCTGGTCCCGGTGTTTTCCCAGTTTTAAGCATCTTGATTGCATTCAGGACTTCTGATTTCGTCGGGGGGTCAGTGTTCACTGGTAGTTCTGCTTCCGTTGTTGGTATTGCTGGACGTGTTGTAGGTGGCGGACGATTTAGAAGTCTTTTGAAGTGTTCAACCCAGTGCTTTCTCTGTTCCACCTCTTTGGTGATTGACTTTCCATTGTCGTCCTTTATTGGCTTAATCTGTGTCGAACGTTTGCCCGAAAGGTTCCTAGTTGTTTGGTAGAGTGTGGCGAGGTCTCCTTTGCCTGCAGCTTGTTCTGCTTCGTTTGCCATGGTTTCATAATATTTTCTTTTGTCTTCCCTGGCACTTTTCTTCACTCTTTTGTTCAGTGTATTGTAGCTTGCATTCAGCTCCTGTTTTTGTTGCTCGTCCGTGCACTGGATAATCTTTTGCTTCACTGTCCTTCTCTCTTCTATTAGTTTCCAAGTGTCCGTAGTGAGCCACTGTTTGTCCTGTCTCTTTTTTCTGCCTAGAATTTCTATGCAGGTTTGGCTCCACACCGTTTTCAAGTTGTTCCAGTGCTTTTCAACGCCGACCTCTTCGCTAGTGTTGATTTGTGTCTCGGCTTTGTCCTTTATGCTTGCAATGAAGATGTCCTTTGTAGCCTGGTCCTTCAGCTTTTGAGTGTTGAACTTGGCTTGTGGTCTATCTGCAGCTCCTGATTCCCTGAAAGCTTTTAATTTGATTTGGATTGTCCCTTGTACGAGATAGTGGTCTGAGCCAACGTCTGCTCCTCTTCTTGCTTTTGTGTCCAGTAGGCTGCGCCTCCACTTCCTTGAGATTGAGATGAAGTCGATTTGGTTTTTGGTTTGCCCGTCTGGTGACACCCATGTAGCCTTGTGGATATCTTTGTGCTTGTATACACTGCCACCAATCACCAGTTCGTTGAAGGCGCAGAAGTCGGCGAAGAGTTCTCCGTTTTCATTCATTTCTCCTAGAGCTTCTCTACCCATGATGAGTTCCCTTCCCGTATTGTCTGGTCCCAGTTTGGCGTTCATGTCTCCCATTAGTATTTTCATGTCGCCAGCTGGAGTATTGTCCATTGTTGCCTGTAGTTGCCTGTAGAATTCTTCTTTCTTCTCGAGGTCTGCGTTGTTTGTGGGTGCATAACATTGTATGATTGACACTTTCCTTCCTTTGGAGTTGAACCTGGCGGTCATTATCCTGGACGAAATCGCCTCCCATTGTATCAGGGCTTTCGTTGCCGTTGGTGACATCATGATAGCCACGCCCTCGGTGTGCGTGTGGTTATCTTCTGGGTGACCGGAGTAGATCACTGACTCACCTGTTGACAATTTGGTGAGTCCACTCCCATTCCATCTGCTCTCACATATTCCCAGCACTTGTATTCCGTATCTTTTCATCTCGTTGGCGATCTGGGCAGCTTTTCCAGTCTCGTACATAGTTCGAACGTTCCATGTTCCTACACAGACTTTTTCTTTTGGTGCAAGGAGGTTCAGCATACTGAAGATTCTGTAGCAATTTTTGTTTACAGGGTGGGGTTGCTAGCCTCACGCCTGAGAAAAGAATGATTACATTAAGTAAAAGTTTAGAGAGAAGCAACTTTTTGGGTTGCTCCCCTCAAAATCAGAAAATAACGGACAAACAATGAGAACAACATCAACAAAGGAAACAGTTCACAGAAAAAAGGGCAAAAAGCGACGACAACTATACAATAAGACAACATGCAATATAGTTCAGTACATATAACTAAAATGATATCTTAACCATAAACTCACTGACTTGGAGCAACTTGAACATATAAATCCAACAATATATACAATTATAGATGTGTTTATGTTTAAAAATTCCACAAATCCAAACAGTGAGTTATGTGTATTATCTGTCAATAAGATTGTATTTTTTGGATTCAGTGTTCGAAAGGTTAATAATTGTGATAATTTCCGCAAACACTTTGCATAAAATTTTAGAGTAATAAGATATTTTATTTATGACCAAAATGTAGCGTAATAGTCGAAAAGCGCGCATGTACTGCATCCTATTGGAGAAGTAAGAGTGCAGCCATTTGATAGCCCAGGACTCAGTTTGTGTAAGGCTAAGCTTGTTTAACAAAAGGCCTCTAGGTACAGAGTCAAAAGCAGATGTGTAATCAAGGAAAGTACAACGGACATACTTGGCCCCTTTGTCTAAGGAGGATACAATGTTGTGATGAAACACAGCAGCAGCATCCAAAGTACTTCTACCCTGTTTGTAGGCAAACTGCTTTGGATCGTTTGAGAAGCTTAGGGAGGGAATGAGTTTTTGTAACAGTAATTTCTCCATCAGTTTCAAAAAAGGAGAGGTAATGGCAATTGGTCTAAACTTAACACTATCTCCAGAACCAGACTTGGGTACAGGGATGATTTTAATATCTTTCCACAGAGAAGGTACACTATTATTAGAAAAAGAAGTATTGAAAATGCTTGTAAGTGGGTTACTTAAAATATCAGCACATTTCTTTAAAACAATGGCAGGTATACCATCGGGGCCTAGACTCTGAGAAGGTTTAAGAGAAGTATTGAAACGATGAAAGTCACTGGTCGTGTTATTAGTTAAATTGAAGGCAGAAGGGACATTTGGAGGGCGGATGAAAGATCTATTGAGAGTATTTACATCAATAGAAGAGGCAAAATTATTATGCTTACCACAACCAGTAATTTCTCTAAAAAGTTTCTATATGTTTTCTGATGTTTTACAAGATAGTATTGTTTGATTATAAATGTTGTTTAGTCTCTTGATTTCAGATTTAATTTGGGTTCCAAATGGAGCATAGGGCATCACAACAACGCATCTCCACTTTGATCTATTTTCTGCCGTCTTCCTTAGGTGAGCCCACAATCTCACATCTCCGTCTCGCACGATCTCAACTATGTCACCCACGCAATGACAACCCACTTGAGAGCCTGGAGTGCGATGTCATTCAGCGATCCTCTCAAAGTGTGCCCAATCCATCTCCATTTTCTTCTGCACATATTTTGAACGATAGGTTATTAGTTAATTTGTTCCCATAGTTTCTTGCTGCTAATTCTTCTTGGCCGGCCGGCCATTTCATCCTCAATATGGAGCCAGCAAAAGAAGGCAGCTGCTGTTAAAAGTCTGTGGTAGCTTGTTGGATGTGCTTTTCGTGACGCACAGTGCAAGTTTCTGACCCATATAGAAGAACTGACTTAACAACAACACTACATAACTGTACAGTTTTGAAATGAATTTACGAAAACAGCATTTTTTTTATCCTTTTGATTGAAACAAACGAACATTTTACAAAAAATAAATAAAATACATACACATGAGGTGATTTATGTTTAATTTAACAGTGAACTTACTCGTTGGTCAATTAATTCATTCAAAGGATTAGCTGCATCCTGTTCAAAGTATAATTCATGCCTTGAAACAGATAATGTCCCATGGATAGTTACGCCTAATGAGACTAGGATACATGATACAGAAAGGTTGGCATTATCTGCAAAAAAGGCGAAACAAGATATTTTGCAATATTAAAAGTTTGTATAGTTAATTAACCGAATCAAAATTATGTAAGTGAAACATTTCTCACTCTCAAACACTGCGAAGCAATGAATCTTATTCTTCCAAGAAGTCAAACACCCTAGCAATCAATGATTAATTTCAAAAGGGATTGTCAATTGATTTACGTTTATTTCTTGTGTTTTTATTCTTAGTTAATGATGAAATACTGACTTCAGAGATTTGCCAAATGTGGTCAAGAAAATATTGATTACAATGTTAAGCTTGGTATGATTGCATAACATGGCCTGTAGAATGAAATATGCTGTTTGTACAAACTCATGAACAGGACTATGACAGAACTAGACGAATGAGGGGGGAGGGTGGTTGAAGGCGAAAAATGGGGAAAGTCAACGAACTCACAAATCATGTTAAAAATCTTACAAAGAATGAAATCTTTTATTCTGAACACTGTTTATATATATATATATATATATATATATATATATATATATATATATATATATATATAGAATTTTCAGCCCGGTTTATTAAATGATATTTTCTCTTCGTCCAGGATCTTCAAATAAAGAGATAAATTGACAGCAGATCGTGTGACACAATGCTATCTGACCGGAAGCGCAAACCAATAATCTAACCCATGATGATATCTCTTCTTTTTTCTCTTTCGAAAAAGCAAACGACATTTTGTTGATGAATACTGATAAAAAACAGTTCAGAAGTCTATTTTGTCAACAAAGAGCACCACTCAGGAACGGTCATCTCATGTACTGGGATACGCTGCCATTCAGGATAATGCTTATTATCTCATGTTACGTAGAAACGTGAGAATCAACAGATTGTAAATGTTTTAAATACACACCAGAGTAAAAACAATACTATTAGATTTAAACAAATTGAATAGAAGATACTATGTGCAATATATTGATGGAGGTTTTCAGTAACACAGGTTTTAAGCAGATCACCAAAATATATAACTGAAACTGAAAGAAAAGGGGCGACTATATGGCATATGCCTTTTTTAAAGTGGCACCACCTGCTTTATCCCGCAGGTATTATAGGGCGTTTCAGTGTATATAAATAGGCCAAAATATACCAGCATAATTTCATGAAGGAAGAATTCCACAGACAACTACAGGCAACAATGGACAATACTCCAGCTGGTGACATTAAAATACTAATGTGAGACATGACCTCCAAACTGGAACCAGACAACACAGGAAGGGAACTCATCACGGGTAGAGAAGCTCTCGGAGAAATGAATGAAAATGGAGAACTCTTCGCCGACTTCTGCGCCTTCAACGAACTAGTGATTGGTGGCAGCAGATTTCCACAAGGCTACATGGGTGTCACCAAATGGGCAAACCAAAAACCAAATTGACTTCATCTCATCACTGCTCAAGGAAGTGGAGGCGCAGCCTACTGGACACAAAAGCAAGAAGAGGAGCAGACGTTGGCTCAGACCACTATCTCGTACAAGGGACAGTCCAAATCAAATTAAAAGCTTTCAGGTAAACAGGAGGTGCAGATAGACCACAAGCCAAGTTCAACACTGAGAAACTGAAGGACCAGGCTACAAAGGACATCTTCATCGCAAACATAAGGGAAAAAGCCGAGCGAAAAGGTCAGCGTCGAAAAGCACTGGGACAACTTGAAAACGGTGTGGAGTCAAACCTGCATGGAGGTTCTAGGCAGAAAGAAGAGACAGAATAAACAGTGGCTCACTGCGGACACTTAGAAACTAATAGAAGAGGGAAGGGTAGTGAAACAAAAGATTATCCAGTGCACTGACGAGCAACAAAAACAGGAGCTGAATGCAAGCTACAATACGCTGAACAAAAGAGTAAAGAAGAATGCCAGGGAAGACAAAAGAAAATATTATGAAGCCATGGCATACGAAGTTGAACAAGCTGCAGGCAAAGGAGACCTCGCCACACTTTACCAAACAACTAGGTACCTATCGGGCAAAAGTTCGACACAGATTAAGCCACTGAAGGATGACAATGGAAAGTCAGTCACCAAAGAGGTGGAGCAGAGAAAACACTGGGCTGAACACTTCAAAATCGTCCGCCACCTACAACCCGCCCAACAATACCAACAACGGAAGCAGAACTACCAGTGAACACTGACCCCCGACGAAATCAGAAGTCCTGAATGCAATCAAGATGCTTAAAGCTGGGAAAACACCGGGACCAGATGGAATCCCAGCAGAAGCATTGAAAATAGACCCAGAGACAACAGCGGACTTGATGACGCCACTGCTGGAGAAGGTGTGGAAAGAGGGCAAAGTACCCGAGGATTGGAAGAACGGATACTTATTCAAACTACCAAAGAAAGGAGACTTAAGTCAATGTAAAAACTGGCGTGGAATTATGCTTCTGTCCATTCCAAGCAAGATACTAAGTCGCATCATCCTGGAGAGAATCAAACAAGCCCTAGATGAAAAACTTCGTCCGGAACAGGCCGGATTCAGGAGAAACAAATCATGTATTGATCAAATCGCCACTCTACGGATCATCATTGAACAAAGCTTGGAATGGCAGTCACCTCTCTATCTCAACTTCATCGACTTTGATAAGGCCTTCAACAGACAGCGTTGATCGAGAGGTCATCTGGCAACTATTTCGCTACTACGGGATCCCATAGACAATTATACATCTCATACAACAGTTGTACGACAATGCTGCATGCCAAGTAATCCACAACGGGAAACTTACGGAATCCTTCGAAGTGAGGACGGGATTGAAGCAAGCTGGCTGTCTATTATCGCCAATGATCTTCCTGATTGCAGTAGACTGGATAATGCTACAGAAAACTGGCAATGAGGAAACAGGCATAAAATGGACCCACACAAAAAAATTGCAGGAGCTAGAATTCGCCGATGACATATGTGTCTGATTTCCCACAAACTGGAAGATATACTAGTGAAAAGCAACAAGTTGGCAGAAGAAGCATCCAGAGAAGATAGGAATTCAGGTGAACATAGAAAAAACAGAGGTGATGAAGATTCCTAGCCAACACCAACAGCAACAATAACAACAACGGACAACAATCAGCATAACTGGGAGGTACCTGAAAGAAACAACCTCCTTTACCTACCTAACACTGGGAAGCATCATTTCAACTACAGGCGGAACTGACGAGGCTAGTAAAGCAAGGATAGGGAAAGCAAGACAAGATTTGATTACTCTTAAGTCTGTGTGGAGGTCAACAGCACTCAGCATCAAAAATAAGATCTGGACTTTCAAATCCAATGTGAAGTCAGTGAGTGCTACTAGACGGATCAGAGATTTGGCCAGCGCGTCATGAAGAGCATCTCAAACAAACTACAGACCTTCATTAACAGCTGTCTTCGCTCAATACTCAAGATCAGATAGCCGGCCAGAAAAGATCAGCAACAGGGATCTCTGGCAATGAGCGAACCAAACAGGAACCGATTGTGAAACAAAAGGCAGGAAGAAATGGAGGTGGATTAGCCATACGCTGAGAAAACCATCAAGTGACATCACTAGACAAGCCATCGCTCGAGTGGAACCCGAAAGGGAAGCGGCGAGTTGGTCGTCAGTGCAAGGGTGACTTGGAGGAGGTCATGAGAGGAGGAGATGAAAGCATGTGGACAGACCTGGAGCGGGGTGAAGAAGTTGGCAGAAAACCGAAGGCAATGGGGGTGAGCAGCTGAAGCCCTATGTTCCTCTAGGAACTAAAGGATGCAATAATAATAATAATAATTAAATCACTGTAGCAACGAACTGAGAGGTTAAAATTAGCGGGAATATGCTACCAAGCCCCTTCTGAAATCACACGGAAAAAAAACACCCAGCGGAGAATCTCTTTTCGGCAAATTCACTAATTTAACCGTCTAACAACAGTTATAAATAATTACTTTTGTGTGCGTACATTCAGTCTGTCAAAACACATAGTATACACAGCGAGATATAATTGGTTGTTCAATGTGTATTTTATCTAAACGAGTCAAAGAAGAACATTATCCTGCTTGGCTATAGAAATGCTACAATGGATCAATAAGGAGTGTTATTAAAATTGAACTATACATACAACACTGTCCCAGCAATATATAAGCAAAATTTATTCAGAGTTATCTACAAGGTCAAAAAAGCTTCCCGAAAATGGTACACTTCCTTATACTATGTATTGCTAGGGTCTTAACGATTCAAATGGAAAATCCCGATCTATGCACATAGAGGAAAATTCTCTATCCTCTCTTTTTACCTTGGTTACAGTCCAAAGCTCAATTGTTATCAGTATTTCATTATTAACACTGTTTTGTATATTTTTTTGTTTGACACGTATTAACATCTAATTGAATTTTTAGATTTTCCCGTCGATTGATTGGACCGAAGTGCTCGGTGTACAAGAGGTGGCTCTCGTGGCCCAAGTGGTCTAGTGGATAACGCTTTGGTGTTTGAAACTATGGGTACTGGGTTCGAGCCTCGGTGGGAACATCATCACTCACTGAGAAATGCAGGTACATCCAGCTGACGAGTCCCAAGTAGGACGAAATGCGCATCCTGGATTCCACTGCTAGTCACCATACACCAATTAAATGTATTAACATCATATAAATAACGTTTTGTTCACTCTCCTCACTTATTACATAATTTATTTTGATACTTGTTCTCACACTGTTCCCATTAACATACAATTTTTTCGAACATTTTTTCATATTACGCAACTTTAGTGTGAAACTTACTACTAGTCCTCACTACCCTAAACTTAGTTACATTTTGATTATTCATCACTGTTTTGAAATATTTTGATGATTTAAAACACTACTGAAAACTAATTTTTATTTTTGAGCTATTTTTGACAAACTGAATGAGCACACACACCCACACACAAATAATCATATAGAACTGTTTTTTAAGGGTTGATCACAGATTGATATCAGTTAGAGAACCATTGAAAACCTGCCACAGGGAGTACTGGACAGCTGTTTCATCGTTCTAGTTTGGGAATCATCGGCAGTACGCACCCACTAGGGTTCGAACCCAGAACCTTTTAGTGACAAGACAAGCTCGTATACCGTTCAGCCATTCATGAGTCATTGAGTCGGGTCCCAGTGGCTGAATGGTATACGAGCTTGCCTTGTCACCAAAAGGTCCTGGGTTCGAACCCTAGTGGGTGCGTACTGCCGATGATTCCCAAACTAGAACGACGAAACAGCTGTCCAGTACTCCTGTGGCAGGTTTTCAATGGTTCTCTAACTGATATCAATCTGTGATCAATTCGTAAAAAACAAAACTAACCCTTACAAATACAAACTATAGAAAATATACAATTCTGATTGTACAGACAAGGGAGTAAAATCTCCGAAAAAATGGGATTCTTCACTGAACTATTTGAAATTGGACTAACCTTTAAAGTCGATGCATAAACGGCCAGGATAAAGCATATCTTCTTGAAACCAGGTTAAAGTTATAGGACCTAAAGTCTCAGTAGTAGTATCCACTGATTCATTCACAGTTGAACACACAGATGTATTATCAGGTGGCATTTCAGTTGACACTGAGTTTACTTCAGTGGCTGATTCATCACTGACAGAAAAATCTCGAGCATGTTGTGCTCCAGCTTCTTTGAAAAGATTTGCCAACTGATCAGACTGGTTTTGAATAGCAACAACAGATCGACGACGTATATTTTCATTGTAAAAGACAGCTGAAGAATAACTAGTACCGTGTGGATTTGGAATGAGTCTACGGTGTCTTCGACTATCATCTTCCCAACCATCTAGTCGGTAATAATCTTTCCTGTTAAAATAAGATTATTTCAATATATAGTCAACGAATGTATATATATGTAAGCAGGTAGTAGGTTAATTAATAAAATTTCGCAGAAGTGTCATAAACAAATATTCGTGTTTGCTTAAAAAGTGGCACTAATTAGAGAACGACTGGAAAACTAGGGAGTACTGGACAGCTGTTCACATCCTAGTTTGAGACTGGTGGTTGCTCTGTATAATATAATATCACGAATCAACAAAAGCTGGAATTTATGGGTTGTTGGGTCAGGTTTCAATGACTCGATATTTTACGAACTTGCCTTGGAACCGGAAGGTCCTGGATTCAAACCCTGTTGGTTGCGTACTGTTGAAGAGTCTTTAACAAGAACAAAACAGTTGTTCAGTACTCCTTGGTTTTACAATGGTCCCCTAACTGATGTCAGCTCATGACTACACCTGTATGTAGCCAATGTAAAATCCTTGCAAACCGACACATGTGAAAATACTTTTGTGCATAGAAATCAATTCACAGCATTAATGAAAAAGAATAAATTAATTGAAAAAAACAATAACTGTCAAAATCTGTAATTTGGTCGTTTTATTTGTCAGAAAGTTCAAGAGAATTTATGAATACCAACTAAACAGTACAAAAACAGTGACACAATACACCATCAATGACATTCATACACTTATACACCAGAAGTAGGACACTATTTACTGGTTCGGTTAAACGTCAGGATTACAAAATATTGAAAACTGAAAAAAAAAACAAGAGAATTCTTCTAGAAAAAGTATACTTTAACTAGGGAAGATATCAGAAAAACACTGATTGACATAATGATTGATTCTATACACATATCCAAATTGACAGCTAATAATCAAGGCAATGCCGCCATATAGAATTACGTCTTACATTTTAATTCATATTGTCGCAACAACACAAAAGTGTAGTTTACAGGATTTCATCATGAGCTGACATTAGTTAGAGAACCGTTGGACAACCTGGGAATACTACACAGCTGTTTCCTCCTAGTTTAGGACTCTTCAGAATATCAATGAGATGCTCACTGGCGACTGGCCCTATTGAGGTAGGTAGTTACCTGGGGTTCTAGTGAGAAGTCGTCACCAGTAGGGTGCAACAGGTCGGGTGTGAAGGCAAATACTCGCCGAAGACATTAGCTAGCGGTTGCGCAATATCGTGAATTGGCAGAAGTTAGAATTCATGGGCTGGCCATTGGATCGGGGTCCCAGTGGCTTAATGGTCTACGAGCTCGCTGGCCTTGTAACCAGAAGGTCCTGAGTTCGAACACTGGTGGTGCGTGCGTACTGCTGAGGAGTCCCAAACTAGGACGGAGGAAACACCTGTCCAGTACTCCCAGGTTTTCCAATTGTTCTCTAACTAATGTCAGCTCATGATGAAATCCTGTAAACCGATTAAATACCTACAAACCAACACTTGAATAACAAAAGTGTAGTCTTTCACTAAATAATAGTAAACAACATAATAGCAAAAATAAGTTGAACTACAATATGTGAATCTTAAAGACTTCGCTAGTGACGATTATGTTTCTTGTCTTAGCATAATTGGAAGTGTTAGTTTGCAGGAATTTGATTCCTATCAAGCTTTCCTATGAACTGACTTCAGTAGTGACCAGCTGCGTCTACCAAGTTTGGTTTGACAGTAAGTACTCATAATGACCTTGGTTGGCAGTTGCCCTCTTCATATCACAAATTGTCAGAAGTTGGAATTTCGTTCCAATGGCTGATTAATCAACGAATTCGCTTTGTGGCTTGAAGGTCCTGAGTTTCATTTCCAGAGGTTGGGTCATGGACATGCACAGCTGACGAGTCCTAAGCTAAGAAGAGGCGGATATCCGGTGCTCCATGGATTTCAACAGTTCTTTAGCTGATTTTTCAGTTCGTGATCAAAACTTCATATCATTAATAGTCTACCAGCTCAAAACTATTTCAGTCTCACCATCAAAAGAAGAAAATAAAACACTTTGTGGAGTAGTTTCATAGCTTTTTAAGCTTGGATTTAGCTTCATTTTTGATATGTATTGATTGATTTTATTCCTTTGCGTCCCAAGTGGAACATAGGACTTCAAGTTACAGCTCTGAAGTTCCGATGACAGCGGTGTTGTTTTTACGGGATGCGTTTGCTAGCCTAACGCCCAACCTCCCCTCCTTTAAAGCTCCTATCACTGGCTCAGCGAAGTAAAGAAGTGCGTCAGCCAGCAATCGAACCCCAGGTCACATGTATGTGTGTGTGTGTGTATAGCGAGTATTCAACCACTAAGCCGGTGACGCACGTTTTTGATCTTAGTCATAAGGGAATTAGGCGTATAATTAATTACACTAGATATTTAACTTTTTTTTAAATGTTAACACAACCTGTAAGAGAAGTAATTTACTTGACAATAAACATGTTCAAACTTGAATATAATTCATGTTATCAGTGGAAAAGAATTTAACAATAAGATAAAGCAACAAAAACTAAAATGAAACTTTTTCTGCTTCAAATAATCATTATTAGCTAGAGAGTGACTAATTCACTCATTATTTTGGTGTGAGGTAAAATTGGTAATTACGGATATATATATATATATATATATATATATATATATATATATATATATTGTTGGATAGTTGTAAGGAATCGGAAGGAATTCTTGGACCTAGGTTTCAGGCTTAATCTTGTATCCGAAATCTTCAAGGGTCTTATGTCCCTCCTGAGATTCGAACCCAAGCCACGCAGTGCTGCAGTCAAAGACTTTACTACTGAGCTATTCGGGTTAGCGATGGCGAAGTTTAAGAATAGCGTCCCAAAACCTTCAACGCTCAAATGACCTTGAACGCATGCTAGTCGTTGGCTAACGGTTCCTGTCATTATCATAGCTGAAATATCAACCCTATTCATCAAATAAGGAGCAAGTTTCACCCAGATAACACTTTTATTACTGTTTGGACAATGTGTTAACATCTCGTTAGGGTTAGGATAGGGGTTAAGGCGAGTATTGTGGTTAGGGTTAGGGGTTAGGGTTAGAGGTTAGGGTTAGGGGTTAGGGTTTAGGGTTAAGGTTAGGGTAGCGATTAGGAATAGATTTTTCGTTTATTTCAAGTTCTTTTATTATCCTTATTTCCCTTGTATGTAGTCACCAATGCTCTTACTGGAACCATAGTAACTAAACCGAGGGCTTAGGAGAGGACTACACAGCAAGAGAAGAGAGATGAACCATTCCCAAAACAGCACACCTTCAGTCATTTTGGTGAATACAACTACAGAAACTAGTCCAAATTAGCAACTGATACTCTTCATCGCAACTGGAACGTATTTTTAAGTCATATTAGAGAAATATAATCCGTTTAATGTGTTTTCATGCATTTTTTTGTGAATATACGTCATTTTTCGTGCAAAAATTCCTCATTTTTATGATTGGCTGCCTGAAGGTCACTCGTGTGTTCGCATCCCTTGGGACGCTATTGTTGAACTTTGCCTTAGCGATTAACCTCTTGTACAACTATAATGGGTAATTTAATTGGACACTAGATAGTAACTAATACCATGTATCTAGTGCTTACTCTGGTGCAGACTGAATTTTATCAGTCAGTTTTACAATGTCGTCATCTTATCAGGTGGCTGACCATCATCAGTAGAGGGGGAAGCAATAAGAAAATGATCACACATGCAGATATATATATATATATATATATATATATATATATATATAATTTTCAGTTATTGGCTGATGCCATGAGAAAACACTTTGTTTTATAGTTTTCTGAATGTATATTTCTTATTCTTTGAGTCAATTAAACCTTTTTTTTAGCAACCGTAGCATTAGAGGAGGTTGAAAAGAGTCACAATCCAACTGAGTCATCTCACTAAACATTTAAATATTTGTGTAGAACAGCAGTAATAAGCATATTTAAAAAGTACAAAGAAACAGTGCGGATTTTGAGATTCAGAAGCTTCAGCATTTTATCACTAGGCTATTTCGATGAAACAACTAATGCCAGAAGACCAGTAAATGAGCTGTAATCAGTATTCATATAATTCTGTGTATCATTGTTAAACTGCTCAAGCAGATGCTGATAAGAAATTAGCAAAGGTGTTCAGCCCAAAATAGCTCAGATATCATACCAGTGACTGTATTCCTAGATGATAGAATTTCGGATTCCTTAGTAGGTATAACACCCACCGCTTAGGTCACAAACATGCCTGATTAATGAGACTCAGACCATTCTGAGACCATTTTCAAGAGTTAGTTTGTACGCATTTGGTTTGTTTCAAGTTTGATCACGGACTGATATCAGTTAGAGAACCATTGAAATCAGTACGAACCACACGATCCCATCAGGGATTGAACCCAGGATCTTCAGGTTACAAGGCAAGCTCATTGACCAGTCAGCCCTTAGGGCCAAAATTCAGTGACCGCTGAATTCGCGACATACAGCGCAACCACCAAGCAATATATCATCAGTGAGTATTACTCCTCATGCGCGCGACTTGGTGGACCCCAATGATCACTACTTCTCGCTAGAACTTCAGGCGATTTCATCCTGTGGTCGGTCACTAGCGAACACCTAACATCAATGTAAATTGCAATACGACGGTGAGTATTGTAGTCTGGTGACTATAACTACACGCATCATCGGAAGAATTCTGTACTCCACATAGGAATAGATAACTTGAAATCGCTTGGAAATACTGTGACAAATTACCACAATACAATTGATCACAAAGAAAGTCCTTGTCTATAGTGAAGGATAGCTCATATATATATATATATATATATATTTTTCTCGAAAGGAACAAAATAACAGTAAACATTTTATAATCACCTGGCAATAAGCCACACTTATTACTGGAACAAACTACAATGAACAATATAAATGCATTGATTGCATTACATGGAAATAGTATAATCCAATGTGTATTAGGTATGTTTCATTATTCTCACTGTCTGATTGTTCTCAGGAATGCAACCTTTTTGTGTTTCTTTTTTAAGTAGCTTTTCCACTGATTTACAAATTATCACTGGTTCTCCAAAACATGCTGATCGCCATACTATTTATGCCTATCTTTTAAGTAGCACAGAGAATACGTGTCACAAATATTTTGCAGTGGTTGGTTTACTGGTGATATAAATTTTTAAAAGTTAGAACAGTATGATAGTACAAACGACAGTTTGAACGCTTATAAATTTAGTAGACAAAGAGTAAAGAATATTCTTTTCGATCGTTTCCTTTTCCAGCTCTACAATCGTATTTCTATATTTAGTTACACAGAATATTCTAGAATAGTTGTATCATTAACAACATTGGTGCTTTTTCTAAGATGCTATCGACTTCATAAGATCAATAAAATTGCAGTTCAAGGAAGATAAATAAGTTTTGATAGGTATAAGAATGTAGTAGTAAATAGAACATAAAATAAAATTAAGGATCATTGAAACCTTCATGGCCAGCGGGGTAAATAAAGCATTCGAACCAGTTTCTTTGGGGCACATTGATTATGCTTCTTGGTGTAGATTCCAACAACATAATTAATATGTAATAGAGGAACCCGTGAAACAAAACTAAGCCTAATCGGTATACGTAGATGACTTTGGAGGCTGTCTTGTTAACATCAATCTTGTACATCTATCTACGAGAAGAGACAGTATAGAACTATGAATCGATTTTCTTTCTCCCTTACTTAATCACGCAGGATGGGGTGTCTGGAAATCCGATGATAAACACACCTAATTGTACGGTCTATGTAGATGGTTTCATAGGAGCAGTCAAATTGATAGATACACAGAGAAAAGACGAGACTAAGTAGTTTACCTTTAGAGCTGGAAGACGGAATTATCGAAAAGAATATTCTTCGCTCAAATTTTCTGTAGTCTTCTAAATGTCTGAAAGAATATTTTAGCTTGTAAATTTGAGAAAGGTTACTCAGTGTTTACGAGGTTAAGGAGTGAATACCACTTTTGATTGTGTCGGTGGCACAGCGGTTAGGACGCTCGTCAACCATGCACATGGTCCGGGGTTCAATCCCCGGCCCACGAGGCACTCCTTTACCTCGTTAAGCCAGAAATAATGCTGGTAAAGAGGAAAGGTTGGGCATGAGGCTGGCTAGCAACCCCATCCCGTGAAAATAATCACTGCTACAGAAACTTCAAGCCACTAGCTTGAGGCCCTATGTTCCACTGGGAACGTGAAGGAATAAAAAACACTTTTGATAAACAATGTCAACTTACTTCAAAGGATGAATACTAGGTAAGGTGGAAGATGTTGAAGGCAGTGATGATGATGATACAGTTGAATGATGATTTGACTTGCACCAAGTAGAGAGAATAAACAAAGTTAATCGATTAACTTTATTATTCAAATAATTTGCCAGTTGTACATCACGTAGACGTGTTGACTCAATAATACTCGTATATGATTGTTCTTCTTCACGACAATCAGCCATGATATGCGCAGTAATTTCTTCAAATTTAGTATGTTGTTGAATATTGGATACATGTAATTGATTCAAAAGTATATCACCTTCAGCAGCTACACGATATAAATGATCACGAATAGAATGTGAGATAAGACGTCCTTCATTGACTAATTCAATAAATCCTAATCCACCATATTTTTGTAAAGATGTTTGCCATTCCTGAAAAAGGAAAGGAGGTAGAAGCGAAACAGTAAGAGTAAGTTATCAATATTTACAATGGAAGGAAGCAGATATTTTGAACAACAGAAATGTGAATTGACCACAAAAGACAGATTAGTCAAGTGAAGGAAGGTGTAGACTGGCTGTCGTCTGGTTGGGGTCTCCTCGGGATGGTAAGAACCAATGACGTCAGTGGCACAGCGGTTAGGACTCTCGCCGACCATACACATGGTTCAGGGTTTGATCCCCTGCCGATGCACACCTGATATCAATGGTCGGCCTGCAAAATATGGACTATCCATATAACATGCTGAAAATTCCATATTTGGACCAAAAGTGCTGTATGGAATCAAGCTATAATCAAAAAGAAAAAGATATGGCACAAAATTGTTCTCATTGATGGTGCAAACGCATGTACTCTTTGTGAATTATCATATCCAATAAAATTCTATTCTTCTTCCATATTCTTTCTGACTCACATTTCTGTTTACAACCTCTTTTTTGAATCTTTGTTTGCTATCTTATCTTGCTTTGTGTGCTACATGAGGGGGGAGTGTGTCAATTCGCACAGGTACACATCTGTGAAAAGTCCTGCGTTGAAACCAGTCAGTTAGACACATAACGGGATTAATCAGAGTTAGTTGGACTTGTGTATTGAAAATTCCTGAACTGCACAAGCTTACACCAGTATGAAGTTATAATTCCACACAGATTAACATCAAAGAAACAACTTTTGAAATTAAATCAAAGATTCCAAGATGAAAATATTGCTGGAACACAGGAGTATGACAGGATAACTGGAACTAATATAGAAATCTATGGAACACATTTTCTGAATAGTTAACGTGCTATATATAACAAAAAAGATCACCTTGAATCAAGAATATTAATCAACGAACTTTGAAAACTTGTCAACCATGTGCGTGATCCAGACTTGATTCCTTGCTGATGAACTCATGCACCCGACTGAGTCGGTAGTAAGCCCGCCAGAGAGAATGGGCTGAGCAGGAGGCTGGCGACCGCATCCCGTAAACAGAAGACACTACCACTACAAAGACTTCAAAGCCCAGACTTGAAGCCGTCTGTATTTCACTCGGAACAGAATTAAATAATACTTCAAAAGGGAGGTCTGACAGTTAAATATATACCAATATATCCGTCAGTTGGTAACCACAAGCTAACCGATTTAACTTAAACTTTCTCAGCGTGGATCACAGTCTGTTGGTCAAGTGTACACTGTAAACCTCTGTATAAAAAAGACCCAATGCACATTAGGAGATAAAATTAAACAATTAAACAACCACACACACACATTCACAAACTCACTTGTGAACACAATAACATGACCAGTTCAATAACAGAAGAATTATCTTGAAGAAATGGTTGAACACTTGGAAATAATTCTTGTCCATGTGTACCAATCAATGTTCGAGTGAAATAATCTGTAAATTCACTGAATAAAGCTTTTAAAACTATTCCAGTTGATCCAAGACAAATGTCAAGGGAATCAGTTAACGAAGTTAGCCTTTTATTCTGTTGTGTCATTTCATCAAGTGGTATATCAACTAATTCATATTCTTCACTAACAATTGAACTGCAATCTACAAATAAGAAAGCATAATAACACCAACATAATTCGTTATCAAGATACACAGACAGACTGTAGAGTAATGTTTAATGTGGTATATCATTTGAGTGATGATACCTCACTCCGAGTTTGATTGCAATTCGTTTGACACCGGTTAGTTACTTAATCAGAACTCAATTAATCACCCAATGTTGGGCTATGAGCCACACTTAATGCATGTGTGTACGTACGTGTGTGTGGCCTCTGATGTTGCTATCCACTTACACAAGCTGAAGTACATGTTGCAGTACATTCGAACCCAGAAACTATGAGCTAAATGTCAAACGCTCAGATTACTGAGTCACCTCAGCACAGAGAGGGATTGATATTGCCAGTGATAAGTGAAAGCAGAAGTCTAGGTAGCCTCAAGTGGATACATAATATTAATTGATCAAAAAGTGTCAAATTAAAATCTGAATTCACTAAACTTGAAATTAAGATAGGTAGTAACTGTTCCATTAGAGAGCCTGGCACGTACTGTCATTCAACGATCTCTTCAGCGTATGTCTATTCCATCTCCATTTCCTTCGGCAGATTTTATAGGTGATACGCTTTTGGTCAGTGTTCATGGTGTGCCACAGTTCCTCGTCCCTTATTTTTCCCAGGAGGCAACTTGATCTTCAATACCGATCTAGAGGAGGCAGCAGTAGCCTGTTGGAAATGGTTTTCGTGTCTGAACTGATCTGAAGTTGATGCTGAAGATACTGAACTTGTTCTTTAATCTGAGCACAGAAAATTTCTACACTGATTTCAGAGTAATGAATGCCTGTGTTGCTTTCCTGATCCCGTCTGGCTTTGAGATCTTCATCTGTGACTTCTTTCAAATTCCTCTTACTAGTGATGATTGGTGCTTGTTGTTGTTGTTGGTAACCGACTATGTTCATCACCTGTATCTTCTTTATGTTTACTTTAATTCCCGTCTTTACTACCTAGTTTTACCCGGTAGAACTCCGAGTTTATGCAATATTACACCAAAGTCCTACGCGATACCTAAATCTTCTTGAGTCTTTTCGTAGCTCCCAACAGTCTGTTGTATAATCTAGTCCACCAAAATCAGGAATAACATCCGTTGTAATAGTTGGTCCGACTATCTAAACGGTAGTTTTGGAATTGCATACTGTCCCTATTACTTTGTATAATAGTATGCACATCAATTAAACAAGCTATACAAATAAAAGCGTAGCAGTAATAAAGTCTAATTTAGTATTCCGTATACAGTCTTATCTGATCTAGGATTTTAGAATTAAGATAAACGTCTTCTGTATACACGATTCTGTTTTAGTAAGCTCAGTTCAGCAGCTGCCTCCCTAATTTGAAGAAGTCGAAGATAGACCCTGCATGACATTTATGCTAAAATTAATTGTACCAACCAGTGTGAAGGTTGTATTTATACTATATCGACGACTAGCTGTGCAACCAAGCAATTCCCCATTTCTTTTAATCCTTCTATAGTTGACTAATAATACTCTAAGTATTTTGAAAAAAAAAACAAGACTGATTAACATCAATACGTAGAATGATGTAAAACCTCGAGGGGTTTCGTCTACCTAATAAGTATAACCTAACGGAAATACAAGCAACACTTCCCCTTGAGACGTTTACTCTCTTTATGATCGATTCGCATCAACACAAAATTGCTCATAAGCTTGAAGAGTAAGTAGTTGGAACCGACAGGTCAGCGACTAGTTGTGTAATATTATGAAAGATTCATCATTCCTTTTTACACTAAAAGTCTCTCAATCACATGAAGAATGTTTCAAATAAGTTCCTTGTTCACAAGGTTCTCGGTAAATGACATTATTGATATTATACGTTAAAATTCTGATCTTCTCCTTCTGCCATTACCCGAATTTAAACGTCTGCTACTACTACTACTACTACTACTACTGTAACAACAGAAGACAAGGGCCAGGAAACAGATTGTTTGTTAAGGAAATCAACACGTATTTATAGATTTTCATGTACATTATTATAGATTATTGTTAACAGAAAAACACAGTCTTCTGATTGGTTGTTTCTCACAGAAAGTTAACCTTGCATCTCTTTGTGACTGTTTCTTGAATGTCATATCATCTATATGCTAACTGTATCCGCCTACACAAAGCCTTTCTTCTCATTTTTCTCACGACCAATATTGGGGACATTAACATTCACGTAGATAACTGTCCACCAATTTTGACTAACAACCAGCTCTCACCATACTACTACTAATGTCTACCACGAATGTGTAATTCTAGTTTGACAATACTCTTTACCGTAAAATAGATAAAGCAGCTATGGGCGGGGTCCAGTAAGAGTCTTATATTAGCAGACATTTTCATGTCTAATACAGAGGGCGAATTTGAAGTGGGTAAAGGACAAGATAACTTATAGTGCTTTTAGAAGACAGATTATCTTAATACATTTTGAACAGCCTCATCATACACTTACTTGTCAAATCAATTTATGTGAAAAATAAAGGCCAATTAAATGAAACAAAGCGATGAGAGGTCTATTAATAATAGGAATAGTGAGAATAGTTTTGCTCTATCTTTGGTAACATACCCTAGATAAGGATTATCAATCAAGGCAGGCAGGTTAAGAATAAAGTAATAAGGTGATTTTGTACACACGGGCAGAAGCGAGGGGGGGCCTAATTTTACAGGTAACTATCGCCTCTGCGTATTCCAGTAACAGCCTCTGGATATATTTTTTTATAGATAATCTTGACAACTGTTTTGATATTGGTCTTGTGATAGATTTACGTTTTATTGTTTGGCTGGTAGTCTGCCACCTGTATCAGAGTTAAATTAATTGATTGACCCTGATAAGTTAAAAATTTTAGAAAATAGTTCGGCCATCGCAATACATTCACTTGCATGTAATCACACACAGTAGGGAGGGGGGCAGGGCGAATATATTAAAGACTTAGTGATATGTAGTCACATGATGTGTGTTTTGTTTTTGACAATCTGTTATATTTTGCTATGTGTATATTGATAGATATTCTATTATGACGCACAATATGCTATGTCTGTCCATTAACTACATAAACAATGCATGACCTTTTCATCACATGACATTACAACCAATCAGAATCCAATGACGGTAAGATGTCTATCTATTGGTTCATGTATATTAGTCATTTCATATATACTCCTGGTTTGTACACTTTTATATACACTCGTTCACACATTTCGTACACTACGTACCTATCACTCTCACACTTGTATGACAGTCATTTTTTTCCTTGTTGGGAAAATACAAGTATCATCGTGAACGTGGTGGTTTTCTGATTTTCCGCGTCAGGACTATTAGCCACTCAGCAGTACATAACACTTAGATAATTACACATTTGTAAAAATTACATTTGCAAAATCTCAGTGAAATTGAAATGAGTAACTCCAACGCTTCGTCTGGCAAGCTGGTCCAAACTAAACTATGCCAAAATTTATCCCCCTTTATGAATTTGAATCAAACCAAGAAGAACGTTTTATGCGCATACAAATATTGAATTTACTATGGAACATGAAGATGATGGAATGTTCGTTGATATAGGGGGCATACAACGCCAAGAAGATGATGGTAGTCTCCAGAAGTCAATTTACTGAAAGCCGATATGGAACAGACAATGCTTACATCTTAATAGTGTTTTGTCCATATAGCTATAAACAAGCACTAGTAAAAACTCTGTTCCATAGATTCAGGAGAATATGCTCTACAGATAAATTAGAGGCAGAATTTATGATTCTCGAAAAAAAATGTTAAGAAACAACAGTTACCCTCAGAGATTCATTGACAAGTACGGAAGATGGGAAGGCTCAAATATCAAACAAATCATATATATATATGTATAAAGAACGTCAGTATATATCATAAAGATGGTGAAAACCACGAATGGATGATTTGTTAAGATTCTTGACTTTCTAAATGTCACAAAATCAGTACAAAATTCATGATAAATATAATCTGTTTACCTGCATCATTTCCACTGAGGCTAACAACGCCTTCAGAAGTAGCATTATTAATAGTATTATTGGTATCAGTATGACCAGTTGTATCCGCTTGACGGCAGCTTTCACGTTTTACTCCGTTGGGATAATTGACATTAGAATTTGAGTGCGCACGACCTAACTGACCACTATCACCACTATATGGTAGCCATATTGGATTGGAATCAAGAAAATCACGATATTTGGAGACCATCATTACAGACAGAAAGTATACTGTTGCTAGAGCTAAAGATTCAGGTGATTTTGATGTTTCCTTGATTAAATATTTATAAAAAAAACAATAACATGAATTTAGAAGACATAACCGAGTGTCATAAACATTCATTCAAATTACCTAGAAGAAAAATTCATTGTGTGAAACAAAAATGACCGCGAAATTAAAGTATTATCAGAGGCACAAGCTGACATCCATTAGAGAATCACTGAAAAACCACGACGAAGTACTGGATAGATGTTTCGTCCGAGTCCCGGACTCTTCATCAGTACGCACTCAAAAGCTTATGGTTATAAGACGAGCTCTCTGACTAGTCAGACATTGAAATCTGATCCAACAGATCACGAATTCCTTCACCTAATTCGCGACTTATACGGCGCAACCGCCAATGAATTTCATCGGCAAGTAGTCGTTGCGCCTTCCTGACCTGGTGAACCCATCTAGTCACGGTTTTTTCACTAGGACTTCAGGCAGCAGATTAATTCTCAAGTGTTGGTTTGTAGGATTTGATTGGTAACAGGTTTGATCACCAGCTGACCTAGGTTACAGAATCACTAAAAAACCCGGGAGTACTGACACAGCTTTTTCGTCCTAGATTGGTTGTCTTCACAAAGGTTACTACCGAAAAGCCAGGACCATCTACTGGCATCCATCCACCAGTAGAAAGACATATTCCACTGACCTCAGGCAAAATGAGATACCCTATCACATTGTGTGACGGATCTAACGCTTTTGTTAGCGCTACTGGATAAATATAACTGACGAAAGTTAACCACACAAGTGACTATTGAAAAGATAAATAACTCTACTTAAAAAGAACGTCTACTGAAAACCTGTCTGTCTACAATCAAATTGTCTGATTACTTTCGGTCCTTGAGAAAGTACTTTTGAAAATAATAGCACCAAAATGAGGTTCACAAAACAAAAACCGCGTTACCAACATCAAAAATGGGCTTGACTTGTCAAGTTAGTTTGTGAAAAGAGAATAAAAGTGTATAATAAAGTCTGTCAATAAAATACTGTAACAAGAAAAAGCAAGACATGCAAGCCAAGGTATATTTTCAAATGATCAAAGCCCTATATATATATATATATATATATTCTAACCAATCATTGAGCGTTTGCTTTTAGTTTACATTAAACGACATGAAATAGAATGTTCAAACAGATATTATCGTATTCTGTTGCTAATGCCGTACTAAACCGTGGGAATATGTGAGAATAATATTCCGTTGGCACACATTTTCTGTATCACACCTCCACAAAACTAATAATATTTCACACATGAGAAGAAATCTCAAACATCATTATTCGACAGTAAACACATTTGATGATAGCGATAAAATGATAGATTTCACTTAACAACACACAGACAATTCAATTTAAATTAACTAGTCACAGGATAGTATTAGTAGTAGTCATTGTAATTCCTTAGTTAATAGTGTGTTGTCTGAAATATCTTTGATCGAGTGAGCGTTTATAAATAACCAATGAATTAACTGTGGTACGACCCGGTTAAGCCCTAAGGTGCGAATATGCACTTGAGTAAGGGGCAGATCCAATTTAGCGAATAAAAGAAAACATTGCATAAACAAACGCTTTGTTCATATGATTGCAAAGAGAAACATAAGGCCTGAGCCTAAACAGAGTTTCGCCAGTCGACTGTCAACTAATGCAGGTACATACAGGTGACATGTCCCAAATAGGACGAAATGCGCATCCTGGATTCTACTGCTAGTCACCATCGTCCAATTAAATTCTGATTACATGCTCAGACATCGTAGAAGCATCTGCACAAGAAGCTGACGTGTCAACCTGAGACCGAACACTTCGGTCCAGTAAATCGACGGGAAAATTTAAAATTGAATTAAATAACTCATATGACCAGTTGCACGAGAGGTGGTTTTCGTGGCCCAAATGGTCTAGTGGATAACGCTTTGGTGTTTGAAACTATGGGTACTGGGTTCCAGCCTCGGTGAGAACATCATCACTCATTGTGGAATGCAGGTACATCCTTGTGACGACTCTGGAATAGGACGAAATGCGCATCCTGGATTCCACTACTAGTCACCGTCCACCGATCAATATCAAAACAATTCACACTCGAATGTCACCTTAGATATACAAAGCTTAATATGATCTGATTTAAACGCTGTGTGTAGTTTATACTCAAGGTAAGATGTAAGGCTGCGTACATATTAACTTTATCAAACATCAAAGTGTGTAGTTAAATAGTACAAATATTATACATATGATAAATGGTCATATTAAATCAAATACTACGAGTATTTATTTTCAAACAACAAGTTCACTTTCACTAGATTTTCTTAGCGCACGTACTGCACTGGGATTACAACATTAACTTATTTTATAACACGATATATTCGTTGCCATAGTGTGTTCATAACTAAACAAAATTTAGTTTAATCTAGTACTTTGCAGACGAATATGAGGACAAGTATTTTATGGGTTAAAAAAAGTAGGCCAAGATCGATTAGATTAGTTGAGTGAAATCCAGATTAGTGTACGACCTAATAAGTTAAGAAATCTAGAAGAAAAAAAACTTCCCTATAGAATTAATTACATGCTGTTTACATACACACCAGTATACAATAAAGTGGAACAAAGTGACAGTCTTAAAACGTAATGTAATGGGGTGGATGGAAAGACTGATAACTGACACTGTATAGTTATTGAACCGATAAAGAATATAACATGCAGCAATAGGAATGATTCAACACTCGTCCCAGACATGAAGAATATGAGAATGCACGAAAGGGGGATAAGAAAAATAGAAATGCTGCACCAGTGGTTCACAGCGAGAGAATGTTCGTCAGCCACGCCCGATGTGGTCCGCAGCTCGATTCTCTACCGATATACTTCTAAACTTCACCTAACCCTAACCGGGAGCAAACCCGTTAACGAGAGTATAATGGTCATTAGGCTGGCAACGAGGATCTCCATAAAAAAAAACATGCCGTTAGTCAGTCCTAAAGCCCTATGTTTCACGGGAAACGCAGGGATTGAGAGAACGATACTAACGACAATACCGTAATGAATCTTATGAAAAAAAAATAAAATATAGAATAACATTACATTAAACAATGTCCAAGTTTTACACACATATTAAGTGTGCATTTTGCCAACAAACGTTTACACAACACACTACGACTAGAAATTAATCACTTCTTCTGACACAATACTACCAACATATTTAAATAATAATAATAATAATAATAATAATAATAATAATAATAATAATATAATTGACATAGCAGTAGTTGCACATTTAATTAGCTTCTATATAATGTGTAAACATTGAATTAGATTGGCGTTTTATTAACTTTAACGATCGATAAAAGTAAGCATAAGTTGAAAAACACATATCTATATATATGAAATCAATTGTGTGTAAGTATGTGGTTGAAAATTTTCCTCAAGCAAGAAATATATTATTCCTCAATAAATTCCTAAAAGCAAAAAGATAATAAAAACATGCAATCACACACACACACAAAACTACAGTGCAAACGTAATAGCTATCATGAATGAGATAGAAATATTGTTTACTGTGTATAGTTTATTAAATTGTACGCGTCATTGGTAGAATTCCCAACAATCACAACACATGCATGGTCTGGGTTCGATTCTGCGGCTGACGTACTACTGGACCGCCCACTCCCTTAACCGGTAATAAGCTCGGTAAAGATAAAAAGTTAGCCGTGAAGCTATTAACCCCACCACACACCCCGGTAACAACACAACACCAGTGCTACTGCTTGAAGTCTGTTGTTCCACTGCAAACGCAAAGGAATGAAGAAGAGAATAGTTTATTGTATGAATGACAATACATGAACTTAGAGCTTCAAGACATTGACTTCTATGTATATAGATACACATATATGACTAGTGGTCAGTTGCATTACAGCTAACAATCAAATTAGCGACATTAAACTGGATGGTGTTAAACAGCTGATTACTATTCAGTTAAATTTTATAGATTAATATTTATTGCATTACGAATATAAACTAAACGACAGTAATCAAACTATGTCATAGAGGTGATAGTGTTCATAACATATGAACAATAATCAGAAAAACGATGCATTTTAGATGTCTGCATTAAAAACTGGCATTATGTTGAAGTATAGAATGCAGCAGGCATGTTTTAATCTTTCATGAGAGTGCGAATTTCAACCTAGAATTTCGTCACGAACCAGTATTGATTAGAGAATCTTCAAAAATCAAGAACCCATCGGTATCTACCTGTTACGTCCTAGTTCAGAAACAGTCAACAGTGTGCATCTAATATTCCAAGAAGGACTGAACTTACAACCTACAAGTTATGAGGCCAGTCTGTCAACTATTCAAACACTGAGTAGGATATAATCTAATGACCTGAGAATTTTAGCTTTTGTCAGCTTGCAACAGAGTGCTACGACAACTCATTAGAGCTTCAGATCATCCATCCTATAACTAGTAATGAACCAGAGATTGATATTTAGATTCTATGTTGCAGGTGCGAAGGCCTAAACATGAACGAAACAGGTATCCTGTGTTCCTTGATTTTCAATGATTCCTCTAACCAGTGTCAGTTCATTGTAACAACTAATTCATATTGAACAGCTGAACACCGAATAAGTTGATTACTAACTAACGATTCATCCATTTATATTATTCAAACGCGGTTTTAAACGACATAATTGAATTTACAATGACGACAAAATGCAAATAGTCTACTAATGAGGGAATGTATTGCCGGTAAACTTGAACTGTGTATATACTCTATATATCCAAACCAAGTTCACTTTTAACGCTTTGAAAAAATTTGGGCATTGGGTATATGATAATGTGTATATACTCTGCTAAATTTCAAAATCTAAGAGTCTTATGATGTAGCAACGAAGGATGAAGCGAGTGTTATTGTGCTAGGTTGACATCTATCAGTGACTCACAACTCCTTCATTCAGTCCAGTCCGGGAGATAATTCAAATCATTGACCCAAGACGTTATCAGATATAGTTAAGAGTCGTAATGAATGATGAACATGTCACAATATTCCTAATTTCTTTCGTTTCTGAGAGTAACAAGAAGAAATGAACCATCCTTCGAACGTTTTTGAGAAGTATTCTTACCTGAATTTTGAATAGTGTCCTTCATGTGCCGTATCCGTGTTTTTCTTATACTTTTGATGCTTGTATTGTAACAGGTTTGTATTTTAATGAATACATATAAGGTGATAAAAGCTCTATGTGTATACTAATAACTGCCGTTTATAGCAGAGATGTGCAATACAGTGTGTGAACAATAAAAAATATCAACTGGTCTTCGACATATTATTCGATTGAGTTCAATTAATTGATATTTTTTCAAGCTTGACAAAAGTTCAAGAGTAGTTAAACGACAATTTTCAATAATAGAAGAAGAGTTGTTGTACACAATAGTAAAAATCTACTAACAGCTAACCAAAAGGAGTTATAAACGAGAGAAAGAGGGCTTTGTTAGCGAAGATATTCCAGCATACATGAATGTCTACTGAAGTTTCGAATAGTTATCAGTCTTTTACACAAAGTATTCTGGTCAAACTGAGACTGACAGTTACCAATTGGGACAAAGTTAAACTATCATAGTCAAAACCACAGTGACCTTGGACAAACAATCAGAATTTAGATGCAAAAGGTCGCGCAATCATTGGGAAATACATTAAAAAATATTGCAAACGCGATATTACACTGTATAGTTATAGCTTATGTGCTGTAAGAATATCTCCCAGTCAATACAGAGATATTCTATAGAGAAATCGTACCATACACGATATATCGATTCATCTCGGTGACTGTAGGTCATGGTAATTTGAGATCCATTGATATTTCTTACACACCTCTCCAACCTACTCCTAACTCTAACCATAATCCTAACGTTAACCCTGAGCCCTAGACCCTAACCCTTAATCTTAAAAGTTATAACCCTACCTAACAGTATAGATTTGTACAAAAGGTACCTAGTAAATTATAAGAATACTGTATCTACCCTCTGCAAGTTCAAAAAGGTAGATATGATTTGATTAGGAGTGACATTTCATAGCAGTTCAGGTATCTGATCGGTTCTTGATGGTCAACTTTTGAAAGACCTTCACTTTGGCTATGATACTTTAACTACACCCTAATTGCAAATGCCTGATTTCATCATGAACCAATATCAGTTAGAGAGATCATTTAAAACCAGAGGGCATTAAGACAAGTATTTCGTCCCAGCGGCGGGCTCTTCACTAGTTCACACCCACTAAGCTACAAAGGTTCAAACCTGGGATCTTCAAGCTATGAAACCAGGCTCATTGATTATTCAGCCGCTTAGACCAGAAATCGATGACCCGTGAATTTCATTTAACTCAGTTAATTTTTGATGAGGCGCTAATCTCAACCGATGCCTTCAATGAGTATTTACATCACCTAGACATGGTGATACCGAATGGTCACAACTTCTCACTAAGGCCACCAGATTTAAAAAAAATAGTTTCCATAGTTCATTCAATACAGAATACAAGAATCTGATTACCTGACGATTAAGACACAACCTTGGTACATTATGAACAACAAGAGATGCGCTACACAAAATCACATACTTTGTACGAGAGCCAGGATGTTGTCCGGAGGCCTAGACTGAACAGGTGGTTCTCTTAAATGGCCACCTTCGAGCCCTTAAATTGATGTTGAATCGAGAAGACAGTGAGACAGTGTCATGAGCTACGTTCCCATGGTTACTGAGGTTCGAATCAGATTCCATAGACCATTCGATCCTGACAGATCCTAAAGTCCATGTGTATTATATGCTTGGAATCAGGGTTTTGCAGCTACCCAAAGGTACACCTGCATGTCATTGGTTCGGTTGTAAACTCTGGATGTTCCTGTTCGCCCCTTCACTTTTGTGAGGAAGCCACCCACCACGTGAAGATAGTGAATCGAATTTATCTGGCAGGGGCTGTGAACGCGTGACCACATAGCCAGAAAAAAATAATATTTCAATCTATCACAACTCAAACTTCTACTCAGTTTTAATTTGATTTTCATGTAGAATTAGAAAATCTGAGAACAGTAAACTAAAAAAAACAACACAGTAAAGTACTCACTCCATATCTATTAATCAGATAGTGTATTCTCAACAGATCAGAATTTTGCATAAGTACTTGAAAATCTTTAATTGGAGAGATCACAGTATTTTGAAAAAGTTCATTCTAGGGAAAGAAAAAAAACAACAAGGGAAATATTTATCGAATGTTAATCACAAAATGAGAGGAAGATAAGAAGTTATTGAGGACGAATAGGTGATCAATCCCCTACAGAAACACATCTATATGATGATAATATTATTGTCATAGAAATTGTTATATAGTAGTAAACCTATGTGGTGTTTCAACTCAATTTCCAATAATACATATGCTTAAAAAGAAATAAGTAGTATTCGTTTTTAAGTTAGTTTTGATTTTTCCGTTGAGTGGTTCTATATTTGACCGAAATGTTCGACATCTGGTGACAAGTCGGCTTCAACTACAAACGCTTCGATAACGTCTTAAGATTAATGTGAAGTGAAGAGTAGTGGAATCTAGGATGAGAATCTGGTCCTATTTACAACTCATCATCTGGATTTACCTGCAGTCCTCAGTGAGTGATGCTGCCCGTACTAAGACTCGAACTCAGTATTCAATCTTTCAAACGCCAAAGCGTTGTCCACTAGACCACAAATAACAACTGCTGTTAGCGAGTGGCCCAAGTAGTGTAGTTGATAGCATTTCGGCGTTTGAAACAATGGGTATTGGAGTTCGAGTCTCAGTGGGAATCCAATCAGTAACTGAGGATTGCAGGTACATTCAGTTAAAAAGTCTTCAAATATGACGATATGCGAATCCTGAATTTCACCACTAATCACCATATCCACTTTAAGAACTTTAAGAAATAATTATTTTCTAAACTGGTTGTTCTGCTATGAAAGAAAAACAAGTCAGATTCAATGATTAAATAGAAGACACAAAAAGGAACCACCAAAACTAAAACTATCTACACTTTTTTCAATGACCATAATACGAGTAGCAAATGCAATTCAGATAATATCTACAAATTCTCAGTTCTTTTTCACTTAACAAATCGACTGAACTGTTAGAAAATATTTTGAACAACAATACTAGTTAATTTGCAACTATAATGCAGTAAAAGTAAAACAGTATGTCGGTGGTTCAATGGCAGAATCCTCACCGCACGTGATCTGGGTTCAATTCTCGGTTGATTCACTCCTAAACCTCGCCTAGTCGATGGTGAACACGGTAAGAAGGAAGGAAGGGTTAAGGATGGGGCTAGCAACCTAACCCTGTGAAATATTAACGCCGGTGTTACAGAAACTTCAAAACTCAAGCTTGAAGCTCTGTGTTCTCCTTGAAACGCAAAGGAATGAAAAAGTTGTGAAACATTATGCAGAATACTTAACAGACCGAAAGATGAAGTATGCAACACCACTTACTCGTCTCTAGTTTGTTATCGGTATACTTTAGAGATGCGAATTTTGTATAAATTCGACTGACTTCCAGTTAGATTTTGTAACCAAATGACGTCAGTCAATAAAATCACATACACCAAAACTAGTGGACGAGGGTAGATAGCTGCTCCAACTTACTTCCGAATAATTCAGCAGTTTGCACTCACTATCTGAAGAGAATCAAGTCTAGGACAGATCAATGAGTATTCAGTGGACGTATAGGGATCCAGTACATTGATAACATCCGAATTCTGTAGATTCACAATATCAAATCACGAACATCTAATGGTATTTATAACTACTCCCAATTCATAGCTTGAGGACATCATATGTAAAGAATAGTGTGCACTATACAGCAATTCTATATATCTTGCTTTACAATCATTAAGCAAGTCCTCTAAAATGAGAAGATATATGATGATTACGAATTCTTTTGCTTAGAACTGTCTTTTTCGCACACCTAATAATCGTAAGTGACATTGAGACTAATGGAAAGGTGTCAGGTAAGGTAGAGATTACTCAATCGATACGGCGACGGAGATTCATGAAATGACAAAGAGTTACGTTTGTGTCGAAACTATGACAATATAAAACACTTCTATTAGAAATATATGTTTAAAACTTTGTCACTGTGGTAGTATGTAATTCTATATTAGTTTCTTAATTAGATATATCACACAGTGAAACAGTATTATTATTTACTGGATGACGTTTTGAACCCAGTTTATTATTGTGCATGATCATTGCATCATTTAAAATCACACGACTTCGAAACTTTCAGTTTATAGTTTTCTTCATTCCTCGCTATTCATCGTACGGGTAGTAGAATTTTCCAGGTATCCGGCTGGACAGGTGTTAAATCATTTCTTCTGCACGAAGCATTTTCAGTTGATTGTATAAATAAAGTTTCCGTTATTAATCTCTCCTCCAAGCTGTTCCATTAGATCATAGAACTGTCATCTCATCCCATTCTATTGTATGGTTCTGTGTAATTGCATGTAGTGAATGCTACAGGCTGAACTATTCTCCAGATTTCTTATGTTATTGGGGCAAATGAATCTAAATTTTACCAGATTTTTATGTTGATTATCAGATAGCCGGGGCGTAATAGGATTAGTAACAAGCAACTCTGGAGACGACCCAACCAATAACTTATCGTCTAGCAAATCTGCATCAGATGGCGAATATCAACTGGACATACGCTGCAGAGACCACTCAGTAACATCGCGCGCCAGGTCATCACTCAAGTGGAACCCAAACGTCAAAGACGACGAATTAGGTACGGATAGGAAGGTGACATGCAGGAGATCATGTGAAGTAGAGATGAGAACTTAACGACGATTGCAGAAAACAAAATGAGATGGAGATGTGCTAGTGAAGGCCTACAGTTCTCTTCGAAACTTAAACGCTATAATTATAACAATTATAACACAAAGTCAATATAATCGGAACTTACTCCATAATTTTTTGGATAATTGAAATATGGTTTAATTCCATACAACAGTTGTTGAAATGTTCCACTTAAATGTCGAATCTTCGTATCATATGCTTGTTTCATATCACCAATACGAAACAGATCAAGCGGTGAGGCTAAATAATCTGGAAATTTCCATGGTTGTACTGCACATCCTAGTCGATGAATTGTATAATATTCTAAATCGACGACAAGATGAAATCTTGACAGATTTAATACTTTACGTGTTAAATTTTCCAATGAATCTTCTAGTAGATTATTATTTTGACTGCTGGAATTATTTGGCATAGGTAGTGATAAATGTTTAGAATGAAATTCTTTCGATGTAATATCTATACCATTTGAATTGTTATCATGTTTAATCTTGTCGACACGTAGGTCACCATTCGATGTTTGTGTAGATCCACTGATTATCTGTATTGATTGTATATTATGACTACCATCACCAGCTAATTGGATAAATAATACTTCGTTCACTTCAACACCGTCATCAACAGCATCATTGCAGACAGTATGGCTAATAATATCACTACCCGAGGCTAATTGTTTCATAGTTTGTACAAGGTATGCTGAAGGCAGGAGGACGTTAAGTCGAGATTCCAGGCAGTTACGAACTGCAGTTGTTAAGTCTGTTTCAAAGAAAAGAGGAAGAAGGATACATGAGAACAGCAAGAAATCTATGAGAAGGGAATACACGATAAATCGTTTTTATAAAAAAGAGTGATGAAATAATTAAGTTAGCTGTCAACCACGTAGTTGGACCAGGGTTCAGTTCCCAACCGATGCACTCTTAAACCACGCTTAGCTTATTATGAGGAAAGGTTGAATGCGGAGTGAGCAACATCACCTCGTAAAAAGCAACACACGTATTACTAAAAACTTCAAAGCTTAGAATGTTTAAGGCCGGATGTTCCACTCGGAACGTAAAGGGATAAAAAAAAGCACTTATTGGAAAATATTCTGAATCCCCACGCATGCCTAGCCATCGCCTTCCCCGACAATGGGCAATGTTAGCTGATATAGGTCAGGTTGGAGAAAAGCCAGTGGTGGACAAACCAAAACATGGTTTCATCAGTCAATGAAATCCACAACAGCTAGTTTAAGCCAGCCACATCGGAAGGTGTAGACTTTCTGACTGATCGGGGTCCTCGGGGAAGCAAAAACCAATAGCTGGAGACAATTGGTGGAATGGCTCAAAATCGTTCTCAGTGGCGCAGATGCATCCACTTCTTGTGACTTATAATACCCAATAAAGCTTTATTTTTCTCCAACCATATTAGTATTCTTTTTGCCTCATATCTCTGCTAACTGTCTCTATTTCGCGTTTCTTTTTACTTTCTTTTCTTGCTTTGTGTAATACATGGTGTGTCTGTCTGTCTGTTTTCGACATAGAACTATACACAAATGTGCGGAAGTTCAAGTCGTCTCACTCCGTGTAGCACGCGAAGCAAGAGAAGAAAGTACAATACATGGTGTGTGGCGACACGAACTGCTGAACATCGGTGAAAAGTTCTATGCTGAAACCAGTCAGTCATTTAGCCACTCTCTACTTTTCAATATTCCCAGTAAGGGGTAAAAATTAGCAACACGAAACTACTTAAGAGAACTACTATACAAGACATTTTGTATATGAAAAACATGATAAATGGCCTTACAGCTTATAATAATATTCCAATATGCAACAATAACCCCATTGAGGATCGAAACCAAGACTTTCACGTTACCAAGCGAGCCTCACTGACCATCTAGCTACTAAGACGGAATCCACAGTAAGGTGTCATGGGTGCGCAGTATTACTGAAGGGTTCCAAACTAGGATGGAATAGCTGTCCAGTACACCATGTTCTTGAGTACTTGTCTCTAACCGGTATCAACCCAACATGTAACTTGAAACAAATCAACACCTGATAATATTTCATTATATACAAGTGAATTTCACATTATATATATATATATATATATATATAAACCATAATATCAGCACAAACTTACATAATCTTAACAGCTGACGTACTATAGACCCTGGCGTAAGATTTCTTTCAGATTCTAGTAGCTTTAAATTGTAATTTCCGTTCATAATACAAAAATCTGCTAAATAAGTTAGGCGTAACAGATATCCAATGGCATCACTCAACTCCATTCCACGAACAGATTCTAAGCTGCCGATTTCACTCTAATATAAACAAATAATTTAAAGGGAAAAGCAATAATACAATGCAGGGTGAGGAACAGTCGGTCAAGTAACATTCAACACACATACACACACAAAAAAAAGATAAGATATACTAATATCCTTAAAGACGGATATGGGAACAAACACAAAGAAATTCTACAACCGATAGTAACTAATATTATTCGTCTACTCCTTCATTTAGTGAAGACTGAATTCGATCAGTGAAGTTTGCAATGTAGCCGCCATGCTAGGTAGCTAGCCATCACTGTTGCTTTAATTATTCAATTAATGTCCATGGGTCATGGAATGTACTCACTCAAATTTTTAAATGACAATGATTCGCAGTCGAAAGAGATATATATATGTTAAGGGATTGGTTTATGCTACAGATCGAAAAGTATTACGTCATGTGACGTACTATGGATTACTACTTTACTTGAAGATCCTAGATGCAGAGAAAATATTGCGCAATGAGTTATTATTATCAACATCATTAACTGTTGGGTGATGTGATCTCCACGACAACTCATCGATGAATACATAATCATACTACTACTAATAATAATAATAATAATAATACTTAAAGAATACCAAACGACCGAACACATTCATTGAAAGATATGCGAATGAAGAAAAACAAACAGTATAAAGACGGAAAATTCTAACACTGCTAGCATTTAATCCAGTTTGAACTTTCTTGTTGATGGATTGCACTGAAGTGCTCTGCCTCTGTTGACATGTCGGCGGCTCCTTGTATGGATGCTTCGACGATGTGTCTGAGGGTTTAACCTAAAGTAATTTGATGGATGGTGACTAGCAGTGGAATGGATCTCGTGACCCAAGTAGTCCAGTGGATAACGAAATAGCGGCGTTTGAAACGCGTGGGTACTGAGTTCAAGCCTTTGTAGGTACACTGTCACTCATTGAGGAATGTAGGTACATTCAGATGACAAGTCTTAAATAGGACGAAACACTCATCCTGAACTGCACTGCTAGTCACCATCCACCAAATTACTGTTAGTAATGATGAACTTCTATTTCTGAAAGAAAGTATTTACTTCTAAATAGGATGAGAATTTACAATGCTGAGCTTTTAACATTTTAAGAGTTTATTCACACAAATTTCTGCTCACTACAGATTTCATGTCTATCAGTACTCATTTATAGGATATAGGGAAACATAAGTTGTTTATTGAGAAATAAAGAATCACACCTGATTAACAGGAGGTTTAACTTAGAAGCTTTACCTTCATACTAAATCAGTTATAACTACTCCATCTATTTATGACAAGAGTGCCTATAATGAAATGTTAGCAGAATTACCAAAGACGCTTTATTGTTGTGTAGATCTTCGAATCGAGGTTAAGTCTTTCCCTCCGCTCTAGTGACTTTGCTAAAGGCCTTCAGTATCATAAACCTTGAAGTAATTTAAAAACTGCTTCAATAATACGGGAATGCCCCAAACAGTTATAAACCTCACTCAACAGCCATATATAGATGTCATTAGCCAAGTGATTCACAATGGAAAGCTCAGTGAAGCATTTGAATTGAAAAAACAACTGGGATACAGGTGCCTACCATCACCGATGATATTCCAAACTGTGATGGTCTGGGTTACACGACAGACCACGGTGAGAGAGAAGAGGGGTACACATACACACACAAAGTCAAAGATCTACAGACGAAAATCAACAAGTTGGCAGAAGAAGCAGAGAAGTAAGGAATTCGGGTAGACATAGAGTAGACAGATGGGATGATATCTAACGGACAGCAACAAGCGTTGTGGTGAGAGCTGTCTGCAAGACGAAATTGTAGACAACGTTTTACGTTATTGTTTACTGCCCGAATCTGGGTCATGAGAATAAACAAAAACAAAGCTTAACCTTGAGGAACACAACAACCAATCACAGCAGACTTAATGTGTGCAAAAACGATTCGCAGATATATGGCTCAACTATCTAAGAAACGGTCACGAGCAGTACAGAATAACCTTCAGTAAGAAGACAACCAATCAGAAGACATTTCTTCTTTGCTAACAATAATGACTAATAATGTACATAAAAATCTATAAATATCTGTTGATTTTCTTAATAAATGATCTGTTGCCTGACCCTTGTCTTCTATAGTGACAGCACCAATCACCATCAATGCAAGTAATAATACAGGAAGTCACCTCTCCCACTAGACAGAGTCGTTTTAACTACATGCGGAACGGATGAAGATGTCACAGGCTAATTCAGAAAAGTGTGAAACAGACCTTCATTGGTCTGAAATCAGTGTGGCATAAGAAATAAGGTTCAGATTTGCAACACTAATTACAAGTCAGTCAATGATTCTGTGTGTCAAAGACTTGGTGCGCACGTCACGAAAAGCATTTCTGACAAGGCTTCGCACTTTCATCAATAGCCACCTTCGCTGGCTGGATATTGAAGATCAAATGGTGGTTGGTCGTAAAGGATTAACAACAAGAAAGAACTCTTGGAGGAAACCAAAGAAGAAACTATCAATCAAAAAAAATATGTAGAAGGAAATGGAGATGGGTTTCATTTACGCTGATTGAAATCACGCACCAAATAGTCAAAGTCAAGGTGCCCCTTCATGGACGACATGGAAGAGATCGTGTGAGTTGGAGATGAGAGTCTGCAGAAGCTTATTGGAAATGCTTTCAAGAAATGCACACGCGAAGTCGGTCAACCACATCTGAGTAATGGCACACTATGGATGGCTAAAACGTTCTGGTTTTGTTTTTTTTTGGTTAGAGAATGTGCTAAAATCTTAAATCTAATTTCCACTAACAAAATAAAATTCTGGACATTAGCAAAATTAGCGAAATAAAAGTTGGTCAGCCAAATTTTTCGGTAGCACGGCTAAACATACTGAATATTTTTGTCTCCCCAATCAACTGATGATAACAGAAAATGCTGTTGTTCGTACACATTTCACTACAACAGACACGAAATGTTGACTATGAATAATAATAATAATAATAATAATAAAGCACGGAGAAGTCTCGCGATTTCATCATGAACTGACAACGGTTAGAGAACTATTGGAAAACCACCAGGAAGTACTGAACAGATGTTTCCTACTAGTCTAGGATCCTTCGTCGATATGCACTCACCACAAGGGTTCGAACTCAGGACATTCCGGTCACAAGACAAGTTCCTAGGCCATCAAGCTACTGGGACCCCATCCAATGGCACATGAGTTCCAACTTCTGCAATTCAAGGGTTCGAATCCAAGTCGATGCATTATACCAAAGAGTCCTAAACTAGGAGGAAACAGTTGTCCAGTAATCCTAGGTTTCTCAATGGTTCTCTAACCGATGTCAGCTCATGATGAAATCCTGTTAACAATCGAATCCATGTAAACCAACAATTGACTACAGAGAAGCATAGGTGGTTCAGTGGTAGAAGAATCGTTAACCACGGACGTGATTCAGAATTCGATCCCAAGCCGGTGCACTCTTGAATCTTGCCTAGCCCGCAGTAAACCCGGTGAAAACAAAAGGTTGGGGCTGAGGCTAAGGACCCCACCCATTACAAAGGGATAGCATCACTGCTATCAAAACTTCAAAGTTGACGCTTGAAGTTCTGTGTTCTAGTCGGGAAACAAAGCAATAAAAAGGTAAAACACATAATAATGACATTTATTATTAATAGGGAAAAATATTCCTACTGTAGAGCTTGACGCGGCAGCAAGCAAAGGCAACAGACCTCCACACGCTCCAATAATCATATCACATAGATATGAAATAATTTGTAAAAGATTTGTAACAAAAGCAGATTCCGATTTCATATCAATGATCATAATATTATTTGCATTCATTCGGTTCCCATCATTGACTTTATTACTGTTGCTATGATTGATATTATTTTTATTATTATTACTATTATGAGGGAGATTCTCTGTTATCGATGCACTGTCACTATTATTATTATCATCACCACCATCATTATTGCTTTGCTTTGAAATAGTCGACACCTGTTTGCTGCTTATGTGTTGATTCGAAGACACTGACGATGTCGAGGAAACTGATGACAGCGTGGACGTTGATGCTGTTGGCGATGGTGATTTAGTCGTAGACTTCAATTGAGCAGGCAATGTTGACGAAAGTAAAGATTCTTTACGTTTTTTAGTCGTCTGTTTATGCTTTAATACATTATCGTATAATTCAGTTGGAGTAGAATGAAGTGAAACTCTTCTTTGAATATTTTGTTGACTGAAATAATAAACAAAGAGTAGACCAAACAATCAGAATATAAAAAGAGGAATATGTCTGTCTGTCTATTTTCGACTTTGCACCGATGTACAGCAGTTCAATTCGCCACACTCCCTCCTTGTAGCATACAAAGCAAGAGAAAAAAGTAGAAGAAATACATATTAGAGACAGTAAACAGAGGTGTGAGACAAAGGAATAATAGTAACGAAGAACAAAACAGTTTCATCATCAATTATAAGTCACAAGGAGTGGATGCATCTGAACGATTTTAAGCCATGTAACCAATTGTTTCCAACCATTGGTTTTTACCGTCCCGAGGACCCCAACCAATCAGGAAATCTACACCTTCCTACGTGGCTGGCTTAGACTAACTGTTGTAGATTTCATTTACTGGTGCCATGTTTTGGTTTGACTGCCGCTAGCTCTTTTCCAGCCTGACCCTATATCAGCTAACATTGCCCATTGTCGAGGAAGGCGATGACTAGACATGCATGTGTAACACATGTCGATGTAGCTTCACAGCCTCGTCGATTGATTTCCCCTCTATACCTAGCACTCAACCGCTGCCTAACCTCAATATTGCTCACCTTATTACACCACTTCACACGGGAGATAGAACGTAGGCACCTATGATCAAAGACAGCTAGCCAGTCTTTTTATGTCTTCTACTCTCAATGGCCAGGTCTCACAGCCGTAAAGGAGGACGGAGCGGACTGATGAGCAGTGCACCTACCCTTTGGTCGATAGCCCAAAAAAGAAGGAATATTCTTTTCGATAACTCTCTCATCAGGTTCCACAGGTATATATATATATATATATATATATATATATATATATATATATATATATATATATATATATATATATATATTGATGATGATGAAATGATCAATAAGAATATTCTTCACTCAATCTGTTTGTTTTTCATCATTTGACTTCAAATTCAAGGATGATATATGCTTGATGGCACAAAAGCTCGAAGATCTACAGCCGAAAACCAACGAGTTTGCAAAAGAAGCAGCAAGGACAGAAACCTAAAACGAACACAAGTACCAATTCCTATCATTTACCTAGGCAGAATCATTTCAACTACCGGAGGCAAGAATGAAGGTAACAAAGCAAGGATTGGAAAGGCAAGAGAAGCGTTCCCCACCCTGAAACCAGTCTGGAAATCCACTGCATTAAGCATATAAGAAACGGCATTCGGATTTCCGATACTAATGTGAAGTCGATTCATCTAATTAGTTCATAGAATTGGCGTGTGATGATAAGCATTCTGAACAAACTTCAGAGTTGTATCAACAGCTGCCTTCGCTAGCTCAACATTGAGGACTAGATTACCAGAAAGAATAAGTAACAAGGAACTACTCCAGCTGGCGAACCAACCAATAACCTACTGCTCAACAAACACGTTGAGGAAAATAGAAATAGACACAGTGCATGCTGAAGACACCGATGAGTGATATCACTCACAACGCCATCACTTAGATGGAACAAAAATGGGAAACAATGAATTTGGTGTGTGGGTTGGAGATGACAACTTATGGACAATCGTGGAACCAGATAACTGAGTGGATTTGAGATGTGCCGCTGAAGCCCCACCTTCTACTCCGAGCCCTAGGGAAAAATAATATATTTTCCACTCAGCAGAAAGAGTGGAAGTGAACAGAAATGAAATAAAATACAACGCTGAACACATAAAAAACTGAATCGAAGAATACATAGATGGGGAGAAGTAATAATGTTCAGGAGATGGAAATTCATAAGAAGTATAATATATGTGTTCCATATACATTCAAGAGTTACATTTATCGTGTTAATGACCTAACCAGATATTTGACATCTTCCACATGACTCGTAGATCACCACTTGGAGATACTTCATGAAATTGTGCCACATTTCTGTTCTGAAACTAGTTTCCAAATAAATAGTGGAACTTATTGATGGTAAGTGATAACAGGTTACTGAATCATAAAACCAGGTCAATAAAAATCTGACTGACTTAGTTCCAACATGAAAATTTGTACAAACAGACACATACCAATTCAAGTTGCTTAACTTCATGTGCAACACAAAAGTAGACAAAAGAGGTGGGGTAAAAGGATTTAATTATGCTGTAACAGACAGAAACGTGAAGGGGAAAGAACAGTAAACTGGAAAAACATGACGGTGTAATAAATTCGGGAGATCAAAAAGACTGAACGCATCTCCAACCTCTGAGAACCATTTTAAGCCATATATCTCCGATAGTCTGCAGTCGTTAATTTTTAGTATCCAGAGTATCCCCCCCCCGCCCAAACTGGGCAGTCTACACCTCCCTAGATGGCTCAAATCAACAGTCAAAGATTTCATGAATTGATGACAGCTTTTGGATAGTAGTATGAACAATCGATTTCTAGTGAATTCACTTTGACAACATCTTAAATAAATATTTACCTTATTACCCCGTTAACCAAAACAACCGACCTTAGTCACATTACCAATATTATTGTGGGTGTATAGATTACGCTGATTATCATTACAAATAAGTCAGCGCTCGAAAGCCATATTAAAAAAAGTATTGCAAAATGATAACACTGGATAAGGTATATTCAGGTTTAGGCAATTGCTGAAAACGGAAGTAAATAGAGTGAAACTTGTATCTATGATCAGTTGGTTACAGAGGTCAGCTGTCTCATAAGCCAATGGACTAAACTGACACTCAAGAAAATAACTGATGATTACGTATCTAACTACTACAACGTCATCAATATATGTGACAGACTGCATACCATAACAGGCATTTATCAGTACTAAAATCGGAGAGCTAAACTAATGAATTGAGTGTGTTGCTCCTGAAATAACTTTAAATACGTATTCTTCTTATAATTACTATTTTTGCCTTGGGCTCCGAGTGGAGCGTAGGGCTTCAACTACACACCTTTACTTTCTTCTATTTTCTGCCGTACTCTTCAGGTGGGTACACCATTGCTCATAATCTCTGATCTCCTCCTCCTCCTCCAATTCACATGATCTCCTCCATGTCACCTACGCACTGACGACCCACTACTCGTCGCTTACCATTGAATTTCCATTCGGGCAATGGCCTGCAATGCGCGCGGTGTCATTCTACGGTCTACTCAGAGTGTGCTCAATCCATATCTATTTTTTCTCCCACATATTTATTAAATGACAGGTTCTTCGTTAGTTTGTTCCCAGATTTTCTTGTCGTTAATTCTTTCTCACTGGTCATTTGATCTTCAGTATGGAGCGAGCGAAGACAGCTATTGACCAAAGTCTGTAACTCGTAAGAAATCTCATTCGTGACACGCAGTGCAAGTTTCGGACCTATATAGCAGAGCTAATTGACTTCACATTTGTGTTGAAAATTCGAATCTTGTTCTTTATGCTGAGTCAACGCAGAAGATTTCCAAACCGATTTCAGATTGATAAAGGTGTATCTTGCCTCTCCGATTGCGGATTTGACATTTTCATCAGTTTTGACTGTCTGTGGTTGAAACGATGCTTCCTAGATACATGAAGGAGGTAAACTCTGTTAAATCTCTCCCGTTGATGGTGATTAGCATTGGTTGTTGTTGTTGTTGCTGTCGGTTGGTTGGTTATCCTCATTACCTCCGTCTTCTCTATGTTCACGTGAAGTCCTGACTTCGCCACCAGCCTCTTCAGCCAGTTTGTTGCTTTTCACCTGCAAGTCTTTGAGTTTGTGTGACATTAGACATATACAATCCGTGAATCCATATATATATATATATATATATATATATATATATATATATATATATATATATGGTGGTCTCTCTTTCTGTTGCTCTCTTAGTCTGTGACCATTTCACTTTGATGAACCTGTCTCCTTTAACAATGTATATTCCCCTTATATTATATATAATATGTGTGTTTGTCTGACAATCTGCTATATTTTGCTATGTATATATGGATCGATATTCCATTATAATTAGCCAATCATGTTAAGACTGTCTATTGATTTGTTCATTTTGAATATTCGTTCACACACTTGTTCGGACATTCATATTTATTTTTGCTCTCACACTCTTGTGTGATATTGATTATCCTTGTGTTTGGAAAATAGAAGTATCATCGCAAACCTAGTGGTCTTCTGATTTCCGTCTTTCTTGCGTCAGGACTATTATATTCTCGACCAGTACATAACAATAATTTCTTTTGTTAACAAATACGATCACACAAAATAAAAAAATTTGATAAAAAACTTATTTTGTCGAATCTATAAAACAACGATGTATATCGCACAGTGAGTTTCAATGATGAATCTCAAGGATTTCAAGTTGTGTTTTTCTTTATGAACTGGTCAATTCTGAGCATTCTGTTGCTTCAGAAGTTAATAATTAGTATTATTTTATGATGTTATTTTGACTGGGGATGATTAACAGGGAAATCAAGGATGCAAATTTCTTCCTATTAGAAACTTGTCAGCCAGACGCATCTGCATCCCCATCTAGTAAGTGATGGTGTATCCAGAGGACAACGCTTTGGCAGTGTTTGTAATGAAGGGTGCAAGTCTCAAGTTTTAGAAGGAACACTACCACCATTCGTTGAAGAATGCAGGTAGGTACATCTAGCTAACCTGTATCAAACACGACGAAATGAGCATCCTGCATTCCACTGCTAATCACTATCCACGGAATTACTTCATAGATAAGGAAATATTTTATGAATCTCTCATTCTCTAGTCAGATATACATTTATATGTATTTATGTATATGCAAGACTTACACAACAATATTCTCCAGTGAACACAATAAATCATCCAACAGTAAATGATGAACATATGACCAAGAGAAATTAGCTAATTGAAATTTCACTGATTTTTTACTGCGCTTTGATTTCTCATTCATCATAACGTTTGTAACTGTTTTACTCTCCGCAATATTTACATCATGATCAGCATTGGTGGCAGCAGTATGAGGACTGGATGTTGATGGTTGCGGAGGTGAAGGTATAGGCAGTGGTGAAGACGACCTCTGTTCCACCGGTGATTTAGACACTGGTAATGAAGATATCTCGATATTCTCATAAGATAGTGTTGAATCAGATAAAGTACGATTTAAGTTGGCATCTATATAAAACAATAAGTAATAATAATAGTATTGAATTACTGACAAAATTATTATTTATAAAACACAAAATAATTGAGCAAAGAATATCCTTTTCGATAAATTCCTCTTCTGGCTCTACAATTATATATGCATGTTTATATACACAAAATATTCAAGATTGGTAGTTAATAACAATATTGGTATTTTTTAAATAATATCGATTTGTAAAGTAAGATCACAATGGAATTACAGTTCATTAAAGATGCTTAAATTATAATAGTAATATAGATATAATAGCGAATAGAATACCAACTAAAATTAGGAAATTTCCACAAAAATTGAGGATCATTCAAACCTAGATGGCCAAGGTAAGGACAGTGTCCGAACTAACTTCTTTTGGACGCACAAATTAGGCTTTTTAATGCGGATCCCAACATCCTCAGAAGTATTTAGTAATCGAATTCTTAAGGCCTGGTTAACATCAATCTTATGTCCTGCATCCACAAGATGAGCCAGAATACCGCTACGAATAGATTTTGTTTGGCCTTTGCTTAACCACACAGGGTGATGTTATTATTGTTATGGTTTCTAATCGAATCAGTTTAAGCATATGATTATAGATAGATTATCTTAAAGCAGTCAGTTCAGCTAGTAGAAATAATTATAATCTTGGAATACATTGTATTTATCTCTAAATCAGTTCAAAATTGTACAGATAACATCAAAATCAATGGAATGAAATTTATTCAGAAAACAAACAACTCATTCAATTCCATGGTCTAAAAGTAGTTTAATCACTGAACAGTGTAGAAACTCTTTTCACACACAAATTAATCAAACCTATTGACAAGGCATAGTTATAGTTCAAGAATTTATAATTTTTTATTACTTTATTCCTTTACGTTCCTAGTGGAATATAGAGCTTCAAGCTAGAGATTTGAAGTTGCGGTAGCAGTGGTTTCGTTTTCCCCACCCTTCCCTCTTTACCGGCCTTACCACCGGGCTGAGCAAGGTTTTGGAGTACATCGGTCGACGATTGATCCCCAGGCCATGTAAGGTGTGGTTGGCAAGTGTTGTTCCGCTGAACGACCAACACAAAGAGTTAAAAAGAAAACTAGTAATGATAAGGTAGATCTCCTATTGTGTAGACAATCAGTAGAAAGTAGTGATGACTGCAGTCACCTATTTGCCCCATTTCGGAACTTTTCAGAAGTGTACAAAAACGATTTCATTAGGATTAACAAAAGTGAAATTTTATAGCCAATAAATTCACATCTTCATCTATTTGTGGTAAACAGAGGTACCGCTATTCAGTGTCACCAATTATTATTATTATTCCTTTAGGTTTCTAATGGAACAAATGCACTTCGACACCAAATCGCCATTTCATGTTGTTCTCTGCATTCATCACCAGCTGGCTGCATAACCGCTTACAAGCTTTCATTTCCTACTTCAAAGATCTTCATGTCACCATCAAACTCATACCTAACTCGGCGTTTTCATTTCGGTTCCACTTGAACGATGTCACTCGACAGTCTCCACAGCATTTGTCCAATCTGTCTGTATTTCCATTGTAAATATTTGTTAGACCAGCATTAGGTTGTTGGTTCTTTCATTCCTAGAGTTCAATGTTGCTAATCTTTTCTGGTTGGTCATAAAATCTTCAGCATGCAATAGAAGGCAATTCCATATTAGTTCGCTTATTAGATGTATCACACAGTGAAACAGTATTATTTAATGGATGACATTGTTTCAAACAAAATTTATTGTTCATAATCATATCAATTGAACTCACACCACTTTAAAACTTGAGCTTTATAGTTTTCTTTGTTCTCTCCTATTTGCCGTCGTTGGGGTAGTAAAACTTTCCAGACATCTGGGACAGGTGTTGAATCATTCCTATTACATGTATTTGCAGTTGATTCGATAAACAAAGCTTCTGTTATCAATCTCTCCCTATACCCTGTGACATTAGATTTTAAAACTATCATCCTATCCCATCCTATTTTATGGTTGTGTGTAAGTGCATGCAGTGCATGAACTATTCTCTAGGTTTCTTATCTTATTCGGGTCAACTAATCTAGATTTTGCTAGGTTATTATACTCGGCTAGTCTGACTGCCCCTGTTCTGCTACTTTAAACCACGTATTTGACCTTACAATCATTGCAGGCACGGTAATAGATAAACCTAATTGTTTTGTTTTATTGGCTCCACTGGCAGGATCCTTTAACCGACAAGGCTTGTTTCAAATTGAGTTTGCAGGTTTGAATACCAGCCACTTTTATTCCTGCCTTGTTAAGAATTCCGCGTAAGGTTTCCGAGGTTCCTTCCTCGTAGGGAATTACTACTGATGACTTAGATTGCTTATTGTTGGTGACATCATTAATATTAATATTATTACCACTATTATTATTATTATCATTATTACTATTATTATCACTATCGCTACTATCATTATTTATTTTATTTTTACATTTCCTTACATATTTCCTGACTAATTTATCCGGGTAATTATTAAGTTTCAAGGCTTCTTTTATGTGTATCATTTCCTGTCTTAGATTTTCCTTGGTAATACTTAGTTTTTGTCTTTGTCATTTAAACATTTCACTAATCCTATTTTTACTGACATTGGATGGGATGATCGGAAATCCAAATATCTGTTTGAATGTGTGGATTTCCCGTAAACACTAGTGTTTAACTTCCCATCTTCTTTCCTTTTTAAGTTGCAATCTAACATTGGAAGTTCCCCTTCCTGACTTTCCAATTCATAAGTGAATTGAATTGCCTCGACCTTCGAGTTGATGTGTTCGAAAAATCTATCTATATCTTGTGTTCTAAGTACAGTGAATGTGTCATCTACATACCTCCACCATACTTCTGGGGTGGGGGTGAACGTTTCAATCGCTATCTTTTCCCACCTATCGATGAATATATCTGCTACAACCGAGGATATTGGTGATCCCATGGCAACTCCCTCAGTTTGTTTGTGTATTTTCCTTTGGAATTTAAATACTGTGGAAGTCAGGCATAGCTGCACTCCCAGCATTATGTCCTCAAGTGGCAGTTTTGTCCTAAGTTCGAGTTCTCGGTCAGAAATGAGTTCGTTTCTGACTGCCTCTATAGCCATATTTATTGGTTTACGTGTATATAAACTGACAATGTCAAAACTGTCACTGTATGATACGTCTAATAAACAAACTAAAATGGAATTACTTACTACCACAGTGCCCAAGTTTTACACATATATTAATGGAAGGCAACTGTTTATGAAAGTCTGGGACCTGTTCAAAACACTTCACTTCTTGTTACATACGGTAAGTCCCTCACCCACATAGAATCACTGACTACTTGACATGCTTTATACTTAGTGCAGTGCAGATTGCTACACTGATTTCAGATTAATGAAGGTTTTTTTGGGTTTACCTCTCCTGACTTAGACATTCTTATCCTTCAGATTTTCCTTGTTCATAGTGAGTGGTGTTTGTTAATGTTGTAGTTATTGGTTAAATATCAACTCTATCTTTTCTACGCTCACTTTAACTTCTATTTTTACTGTTTCTTCTACTAACCTGTTGGCTTTCGCGTTTAGATCTTTGGGTTTGTGTGGCGTTAAAATATGCAAATAATTGATGCAAATATTTATACTTATATTAAATAGTTAAAAAAATGAAATACTTTGTCATCAGTAAGCTGTATCGGCATTTAAAAGAGTGGTTAAATAGATCCTTTAGGACCGAATTATGCTTCATTTTGGAGATTATGCAAGCATAATTCACGCAATTTGCTACAGGATTTCATCATGAGCTGTAATCGGTTACAGAACCATTGGAGAACCAGCAGGCAGTACTGGACAACTGTTTCCTCCTAGTTTGGGACACTTCATCAGTACGCTCCAACTGAGGTTCAAACCAGTGAACCGGCAGGAGTTGGAATTCATGGGGCGCTAGATCGGGTCTCAGTGGTTTAATGGTCTACGAGTTCACCTTGTGACTATAAGATCCTGGGTCCGAACTCCGGTGGGTGAATACTGACGAAGAGTCCCAAAATAGGAGGAAACAGCTGCCTAATACTCCCTGATAGTTTTCCAATTGTTCTCTAACAGAAATAAGCTCATGATGAAATTATATAACTAATCAGTCAAACCCCTACAAACTAATACTTGAATATCACGTAACCGGAATTAACAGAAACTTCATCACCAAGAGATACCATTTCTTATGGTATAATATAATAAATAGGTCTAAATCAGTCACTGTAACCATGCTTTAAGTTGAGCGTATATCCGCGTAAAACAGCACGCAGGTTACTGCTTATTGCATATCTGCTGTAGTACTCATCCTATTTTTATCTCTTTCCATAAGAAACAACAGATTGACTTAAATATAGAAGTCTTTGTTGCTTATACAATTTCAGAAAGAACTGTACAAGGATTTAAAGTACGTTAATTTGAAATTTTAAGGTAAATAGTTTATGAGTGGTAGATCGGACCAGCTTTCAAGGCGTTCACTGAAGCAGATGAAATCACTACTGAATTCTTCACAATCTGCTTTTAATTTTGTGCGGTAGAAGTACATTAGGTTAAACACGTAAGATTTAAACATTAAATCACATATTTATAAGTCTGCGGTCACGAGCTGGCATCACATACATAAATTTCCTGGGAAGCCAGCGAACACTGGACAGCTGTTTCACCCTAGTTTTGGACCCTTCATCTGTACACACACAGCGGGAACCTAACCAGGGACCTACCAGTTACAAACAGAGGTCGTAGACCATTTAAACATTGAGAGACCGAATCTAGTGGCCCATAAATTCCAACTTCTGCAAAAACCACCGGCGAGTAACTACCCTCTGACTTGAATTGGTAGACCCCACTGTTCACGACTCGTCACTAGAAATACATGTAACTCTCTGTATATAGCGAGTTGCAATCAGAATAATTTCTGAGTGTTACCTTGCAGGGATTTGATTGGTTATAAGCTTGAACACTAGCTGACATCGGTTAGAGGATCATCGGAAAAAAATCCAGGGAGTGTTGAATAATTATCTCGCCCTAGTTCGGGACTCTTCCAAAGAATGCACCCACTGAGGTTCTGATATGTATCCACATGATGTGTGTTTTGTTTTTGACAGTCTATTATATTTTGCTATGTGTATATGGATCGATATTTCATTATAACTGACAATATGCTTTTGTCTGTCCACTAACTAAATAAATATGTATGACCTTGTTGTCACATGACATTACAACCAATCATGGTAAGACGTTATCTCATTGGTTCATGTGTATTAGCCATTTTCATACATACTTTTGCATCATACACTTGTACATTATTCTGGTTCACACACATTTCGTACATTCGTACCATTTCACTCACACACTTGTGTGACATTTATTTTCCTTATCTGGAAAATACAAGTATCATTGTAAACCTGGTGGTCTTCTGATTTCCCTCTTTCCGCGACAGGACTATTAACTACCCGACGAGTACATAACAGGTTCGAATCCAGGACGTTCTGGTTACAAGGCGAGTTCGCAGACCAATCAGCCATATATGATAGTCACTATTTAAAACATTATTATTTAAATTAAAACCCAATGAACGGCTCTAAGTTTGGCAGAATGCCATGTTAGGAATCGAGAAGTCATCGCTTAAAACTCACTTTTGAATTCTATATCAAACATCACATGAAATGAGAGAAAAAATAAAAGTATCATTTTAAAAAAAAACTATATATTCTCACCTGAATCATGTACTGGTTGTGTATCCTTGTTGCTATTATCATCATTACTATTACTACTGTTCCCAGTATTTAAAGGATGTTCAGATGGTGAATCAGTAGGTGACACATAAGCAGTTGTCATTTGATGAGATGCATAGTCTGTTAGATCAACACCTACTGAATTATTCCTTGCAATTGAGTCTTTATTTGCGAAAAGAACAGAGCTACTTTTCTGTGCTAAATTTGATTTCTTCTCAAAATCTGGATTTTTTGATTTGACAGACTTCACAGGGAAATACAGAAAAGACGTTCACAATAAATAAAAAAAATAGGCAACAGTCAGATTGAGTAATAGAACAAGATTATTTGACTAGTGTGTGTGTGGTTTAATGGTTCACTGTCAACCATTGGATTACTGATCTAAAGACTAGCTCACTCTATGCTTCAAGATTGATAAGCGTAAACATATAATTGTTACTTCATACATTTATTCCCCTTAATGAATTTGAACAAAGCAAGAACTACCGTTTTTAGCAGAATAAAATGGTACCATCTTTTATTTCGTTGCCTTCTCGTCAGCTGCTTACATGTATGAGTATATTGATCGATTGATTTTTGTTTAAACTTAACTCTGTGCAAGTATGTTAAAATTGTTGTTGTAGACATTTAATAATGTCTTTGCCATGTAAGCAGCTGACGAGAAGGCAACGAAATAAAAGATGGTACCATTTTATTCTGCTAAAACTGTAGTTCTTGCTTTGTTCATCAAATATAATTGTTAGATAAGAAAAGTGGTTCTAGCCGTTTAAGAACTGACTGGTAAAGGCTTCTTATTAATTAGTAATGAAGACGATAGTCAATAAGTTCGTAAGTTCTCTCTCTCTCTTGACATTCTTATAAAACTCTAGTATAGAAGTAATTACAAAAGAAAATGACTTTACTCAATCCAAATTCTCAGAAACTTGTTTACGATTAGATGATAAAGTATAGATGCTTCTGCACAATTGAAACATATTCATCATTTGTTTTCCTACCCGTCAGTTACAAATTGATCCAAAGGGAACTAGTTTGTACAAATTTTTAGTTTAAGGATTAAAAATAATTGAGCTTTCTGAATGAGTTGTTCATTCTACAGGCTTGTCACGTAACCTAACGGTCCTGGGATAAAATAGATAGGCATTGCTGAAGGGATCATGGCTATAGATATATTCTTTGGGAATAGTATCACTTTTCAGCTAGAAAGAATTGTAACTAAATACTACCGGCAGACTGCTTAAAACTTGGGCTACCAAAAACTTCCATCTCTCTATCGTTTAGTTTGTTTTAATAGATCAAGATATGACCTCTTATGGTATTATCTGCTCTTGTGTGTATTTAAAATGTTTACAAGCTTCTGATTCGCAAGTTACCAATGAACTTGAGGGAAGGTCTAATTTTGGGTGGCAATGTGTTCCAATACAAAATGAGATAACTGTTCTTTAGCTATGTCCGTGGGTCTCAAAATGACCTTCTGAACATCTTAAAATTGGCTTTAAACTAGATATCATGGATTCTTGAAAGAGAAAAAGCAAATATATCATAATGGAATGGTTTAGGCTTCAGCTCAAAGACCAGGAAGGATATGCTGCCAATTAATATTTTACTTGAAGATGTTATTATTATTATTATTAACAGTATGGCTGAAATAAATCAGTAACCAGTATTCACAGTTAACCTGAAAATCGAATGTTAGAAGGTTGTTGCATAAACTTTAAATATACATTAGCTAAAATGTGTCTCGCCAATTGTAGTAAATTTCTTGGGATAAACTGTAATAATAATTCCTTGCAACAATTACAATATTTTGTGGTGTAAGACTAACTACTATCAAATATTATCAGTGAATAATTATATTCACATACCCGATATACCCAGCCTTAACTTGTTGAGTTTTAACATAGAAGTTAACAAAGAAATGCACCCACCAGTTCAAGTGGCTACGCTCCACGTAGCGCACAAAGGTGAATGAAGAGAAAACAAAGATTCAGAAGTAATAATATAGTAAGCAGGAGTGTGAGGGAGAAAAATAGTAACATAAGAGATTAAAAAAAGAGCGAGAACGGTTTTAAGTCCTATATCCAGCATCATACAGCTACTAGTGCTTAGCATACCGAGGGCATCATCAAACCAGGCAGCTTGTACCTTCTTACATGGCTGGCTTAAACCGAAAATGTCAAAGGATTCAAAGATTGATACCAGGTTTTAGCCAACCTTACCAGTTAGTTAGCAACTGGATTTACTGAATCGGGAATGTCAAATTAGTACAACTTTATCACTCAATGGATTGATTTTTAAGAATTAAAACATGAAAGACAGGATAATGTTCATTTATGAATCCAATTAAGATGGTATATACTGATGCTCCTGTATGAAATTGTAGCCAGTGGAATCAACTAGGTGAGATGTAATAATAATATGTGATCTCTAATAATACTCTTATCACATCGGCAGTTCAACGGTAGGATACTTGACAACCGCCCACATGGTCCAGAGTTCGATCCCCAGTTGACCCCCACTCCTAAACCTCGTTTAGACATTAGTAAACCCAATGAAGAGGGAAGGTTGGGTCCAGGGCTAGGAACTCCACCCCGTACGAAAAGTAGAACAACATTGCTAATGAAACTCCAAAGCCCACTGTTGAAGCCCTATGTTCCGAATAGAACGCAAAGGAAAAGAGAATAAATATTAGGAAACATCTACCTGGAAGTCCTTGATTCACAAGAGCTGTGTACGCTGATGCCAGGTAGTGTGATTACACCTGCTCTATAATTAGTCCACTCGTATATAAAAGGAGCAAAGAAAACACTGGGCTAAACACTTCAAAAGACTTCTAAATCAACCGCCACCTACAACGCACCCAACAATACTAACAACGGAAGCAGAACTACCAGTGAACATCAACCCCCCCCACGAAATCAGAAGTCCTGAACGCAATCGAGATGCTTAAAGCAGAAGGACCAGACGGAATCTCAGCAGAAGCATTGAAAATGGACCCAGAGGCAAGAGCGGACTTGATGACACCATTACTGGCGGAGATGTGGAAAGAGGGTAAAGTGCCCGAGGATTGGAAGAAAGGCTACTTATTCAAACTACCAAAGAAAGGAGACTTAAGTCAATGCAAAAACTGGCGCGGAATTATGCTCCTGACAATCCCAAGCAAAATACTAAGCTAAATCAGCATGAAGAGAATCAAACACGCCACCCTCGATGAAAAACTTCGACTGGAACAAGCTGGATTCAGGAGAAAGAAGTCATGTATTGATCAAATCGCCACTCTACGGATCATCATTGAACAAAGCTTGGAATGGCAGTCACCTCTCTATCTAAACTTCATCGACTTTGAAAAGGCCTTCGACAGCGTCGATCGAGAGGTGATTTGGCAACTACTTCGCCACTACTGGGTCCCATCGACAATTATACATCTCATCCAACAGTTGTACGACAATGCTGCATGCCAAGTAATCCACAACGGGAAACTTACGGAATCCTACGAAGTAAGGACGGGAGTGAAGCAAGCTGGCTGTCTATTATCGCCAATGATCTTCCTGATTACAGTAGACTGGATAATGCTACAGAAAACTGGCAATGAGGAAACAGGCATAAAATGCACTCACACAAAAAACTCAGAGGATCTGGACTTCGCCGATAATATATGTTTTATTTCCCACAAACTGGAAGATATGCAAGTGAAAAGCAACAAGTTGGCAGAAGAAGCATCCAGAGAAGATAGGAATTCAGGTGAACAAAGAGAAAACAGAGGTAGGTGATGAAGATTCCTAGCCAACACCAACAGCAACAATAACAACAACAGACAACAATCAGCATAACTGGGAGGTACCTGAAAGAAACAACCTCCTTTACCTACCTAACACTGGGAAGCATCATTTCAACTACAGGCGGAACTGAAGAGGCTAGCAAAACAAGGATAGGGAAAGCAAGACAAGATTTGATTACTCTTAAGTCTGTGTGGAGGTCAACAGCACTCAGCATCAAAAATAAGATCCGGACTTTCAAATCCAATGTGAAGTCAGTCAGTGCTACTAGACGGATCAGAGACTTGGCCAGCGCGTCATGAAGAGCATCTCAAACAAACTACAGACCTTCATCAACAGTTGTCTTAGCTCAATACTAAAGATCAGATGGCCGGCCAGAAAAGATCAGCAACAGGGACGGATATCTGGGAGCGAACCAACCAAGAAGGAGCCGATTGTGCAACAAATGGTCAAGAGGAAATAGAGATGGATTAGCCACACTCTGAAGAAACCATCAAGTGACATCACTAGAAAAGCCATCGCTCGAGTGGAACCCGAAAGGGAAGCGGCGAGTTGGTCGTCAGTACAAGGGTGACTTGGAGGAGGTCATATGAAGAGGAGATGAAAGCATGTGGGCAGACTTGTAGCCAGATAAAAACTAGAAGAGAACCGAACGCAATAGAGACGCGCAGCTGAAGTCCTATGTTCCTCTAGGAATTAAAGGAAATAATAATAATATATAAAAGGAGAAACTATAGTTACAGAAATATCTACTCACCTGTTGCTTCTCTTTAAAATAAGAAAACCTTTCTTCACATATATGTAAATGAATTAATGCCAAAGTGTCAACAAATACTTGCCAACTACCATATTCATAGCATATACCATGTATTAATAGAACACGTATTAATCGTAAAATTTTCACAAGAAATTTTGCATTCATTTTATTATTCGGATATAATGGTGCTAAACGAAGTAACCAATCTTGCCATATAGACAGTTGAAGTATTATTCTTTATAAACACAAATATATGCGAAATTCAAAATAAAGAAAAAGAATATAATGTATGCAATGGAACTGTCTATATTACCTTTAACAAAATTATTATTAGTTATAAAATAGACAAGGATTCTTAATCGTAATTGTGTAAGCACGACCACCAACCAACCGATGTCATCAGCGGGAACTCCATAATCACTCCCAACTAGATGGACCACCTCACTGGTCATAACTTCTCACTAGTACTCCGGGGAACTCCGTCCTGTAGCCAGTCACTAGCGAGCATCAGATTAATTTTCAAGATTCGATTTGTTTTTCGAGTTAGACCACGGATTGATATCAGCTAGAGAACCATTGAAAACCAGGAAGTACTAGACAGCTGTTTCACCCTAGTTTGGAACTCATAGACAGTACGCTACCCAGTACTCCCTGGTTTTCAGTGATTCTCTAACTGGTATCAATCTGTGATCTGACTTAAAAAAGAAATCAACTATTGAAAATTAATTGTATTAACTAGGAAACTATTATCCTCACAAATATGCGGAAGGAAACGTCGAAAACTTACTTTGACGTACATACTGAGGAAGTTGTTGGCTGACACCATGAGCTAACGCCGCCGACTGAAACTTGACGACATGGGCGTTTAGGAGTAACATGGAGGAGATAATGTGAGTAGGAATTGAACAGCTTATGAATAATCAAGGAGTCAATCAAAAGAACTACAAAGAATAGGTTGAAATGGAAGTGTCCTATTGAAGCCCTGTGTTCCCCACTGGCAACCATTCATTACCCAGTGGAACCACCCTAATCCTAACGATAGTAACAAACACAAAAACTGAATCTTTGACGAAAATATGACTCTGAGAAAATGTTAATGCATCCAGCATAACCTTATACTATTCACATGTTACATTGGGATAATTGTGTTAGAATTCCAAACAATTTGTACTCCTATGAATTTGAACAGCCTAACAACAAACAGGATACAGTTAATTAAGGATGAAGCACGGCACAATGAAAAGTAATTGAAAAACACATTTATTATGAGTCCACTTAAACATAGACAAAATTTACCAATCGATAAGAAAGAAATCTCAAACACAAAGGGTCAAACTTTAGGTTGAGGAAAAAATCAGTACCAATATAGGTAGCCTACAGGGTGTGAAAACACACAAAAGCAACCAATCACATTCAAAGCCACCAAGAGAGATGACTTATAGACTTGTGGAGAAATTTAAAAGCTCACTCCAAATAGAAGTATGCGTTGAAGATGTTGTCTAGTAGGGCAATGTAAGCACATACAATATACGAGAATTTCAATGTACATTCCGTCGTGAACTAATATCATTTAAAGAGATCATTGGAAACGAGCTGGGTGCACTGGACAAGCTGTCTCGTCCTAGTTTGGGACTCTCCAACAGTGTACATCCACAACCCCCACCACAGATCGAATCCGGGATCTTCAGATTACAAGATTAAGGTCGTTGACATTCTGTCAGTCACATCGGCTGGAATTCAATAATCCGTGAATTCTAACTTCTGTGTAGTTAGAGTTACATCACGAATTGGTTCATTTGAATCCTGACCTGAGTGATCGAATGAACAATAAGCTTTGTGTGGTAACCTGAAGGTCCAAAGTTCGATCCCTGATGAGCGGTAGTGGGTGCGTACTTATGAAGATTTCCAAAGTAGGACGAAGCCAACTAATGTTGGTTCATGACAAAAGATACATTGAAATTAATCCACATCCCTACAAAAATCCATAATCGAAATACACGAGATTAATGGGACTAAAATTGTTAACATATGTCTGAACAATGTAAAAAGCTTCATTTCCACAGTTATTTGAATGAACCCCAAGGAGTGTGTACGCACTAGCACCATCAGTACTCGGCATTACTTCATTATTATGTACTCATGGAAATTCATGAGAAATTTCGTATGTCATTTTTTCTGATAAAAAATTCGTATGAAGTAGGAGAACGTAGGTGTAAATCCAGTATTTTCTGCTGATCACCTTCTTCAACAGGCCAGTATCAATATCAAGTGAGGTATGATGGGGTTAGTCATCTACCCAACTTAATGATCATGTTGCAAACTTCACTGGTAGGATTCGAGTATAAATACCAACGACTGATATCTATTAGACCCTAGTAATCAGTCAATGTGTCTACTACAATCCTAAAGGAGGTCAACCATCAGTCCGGAAAAGCCTTCGACTGCAGCACTGGGTGAGACGGGTCAGAAACTCTTTCAGGAGATATCGATTGTTTCAAGGCGGCTGATATGCCTTGTTGATGAGTGCGCCACAACAAGTACGAAACTCTAACTTCAAGAAGCAATCTGCCAACTATGTTTAAATAAATAAAATCAAGACATAAGCGCACATGGTTGTAAAGAACAAAACAACAACAACAACAAATAGAAACAACTCACTTTTTATTGGATGGATTTTGTGCACAGAATGCAAATAAATGCTGAATAAAAGTATCTTTAATCGATAAAATATCACTTGTCTGTTCCGACTGAGAAATCAATTGTGCTATAACTTTAAGTAAAGCTAAAGAGATATAAGTTCAGTGTAAAAGAAAGAAAAGAACAGTGCAAAAGGTATGAAGATAAGAAAACATGTCGCACAATAAAATTAATTTTTTTTGAATAAATTATCATATAAAAAATACGAATTAACATAGAACTTACTATTATTATTATTATTATTGATTGTATGCACCTCACGTGGCATCGTCTGTTTACTTCTAATCATATTCATTATCCCTTTTTATAATAGGAAGTCCAGGTTACTATTAATACAACAAAAGCCTAGTACATTATGGGCACTAAGAGACCAGCTGCACAAAATATCATAGTTTGTGCCAGGGCTGGGAATACTACCCCAACGCCTAGACCGAAGGTGGTGGTCTTCAGATGCTACTCCCCAACTAGATTTTGACCTGAAATCGGATCTACAATGCAGTAGAGCAGTGCCACGAGCTACTTCCCTGTGGTTGTCAGTGTCCAAAATAGGTTGGCATACCAGTCAATCCGTTAGGATTCTGGAGCCTATTATAGGCGCAACATAGGTTTGGAGCCAGGGTTTTCCAGCTCCCCCAGGTAAAGCTTCATGTCCAACAGTCCGGTAGTATAAGCCTTCTTGCTTTCATAAGGAACACCTCGGCCATTTCATGACGGTAATAAATGGTACTTGCCTGGCGCTGACCATGAGCGCGTGGACACAAGAGAGCATTCCCAGTGGATGACCAAAGTTTACCCACCTCCGTGGCCGTAACAGGTCATATATATGGGCTGGTTTTGTAAGTACACTATTACAGTAATATGTTCACTCCCCAATATAGACCGTGCACTTCTTGGAAACGTTTTCGGAATTATTTCGAGGTGATAATACAGTACGAATAAGAAGGTATTGAAAAATAGCATTTCTCATTTTAAAAAACTATCCGAAAAATTTCCAATCAGTTCGAAATATGATTTATTTAGTATGTAAGTGTGACTCATCAGTCTAGGAGTTCAACTTCCAACCATTAAGTCACCGGTTTGAGCCTTACTTAGTCTACTGAGGTTTAGTCAGTCACGACATATGAAAAAAGTGTGATTTACTGCAAACTGAAATGAAATGCAAGTAGTTGTTGAGTAACATTTTGTTATATATCCGTATATATTTAGATCACATGAAGAGGCTTTAATACATACGCCTGTATTAATGGGTTCAATTCATCAGGAACCGACATAAATTAAAGAATCTTTAAGAAGTAAGGAATACTGGGTATCTATTTCCTTCAAATATAGGACTCTACATCAGTGCACAGACAGCACCCCACTATGGATCAAATCCAAGAATTTCAAGTTACGAAGACTACACGTCACCACTCAACTACTGAGCTGAATTTAAGTCTAACATAAACATATCTTTTCTGAACGTTCAGTTAACAAGACGTGAACTTGATGAAAGCATCCATTTACAGAAAGCCGGTATGGAGCAGACAATTCATTAACTTTCATAGTTGGGTGACTCTATATACAAAACGAAACCTGATCCGTTCATTGAACCACAGAGTCAGCAGCATTTGTAGTCCCAACTCCATGGAAGAAGAGTTGAACACTCTGAAAAGAATCTTCCTTGAAAATGGCTGCGCAGAACGTTACGTCACAAAATCCATGAAGCCTACACCACTTAAACCAACCACATTTTCTGCCCTCCAAAATACCTCTTCACCTGAATCTACAATTCAACGGAGGTTCATCGGCACAAACACTGACAAACCACATGTCCTGCTCACTGAAGGAAACCTTCTTCGTGGCTGAACTTCGAATAACTTTCTCTACAAAACCAGTGATCCGCATGGACGTGAAAGATAAGCTAATACTGCTGGCCTCATGAGTTTCTGTGTATTAATTCACCTACTCCTGTGGAGCTAGGTATGTAGGCCGTATCGGCGTTCATTATCCAAAAGTATCGTCCAATACTTACCTGTATGGCTTTACAAAGAAGAAGAAAGATCTCTCCCCCCCCCCCCACTTACACACAGACCAGAGCCCTATCCTGGAACACCTAATCGAATCTGAACATCAAGGTAACCCACAAGTCAACTTCAAAGTCATCTACAGAAAACGCAAGAATCTCCCTAAAGGAGTATGAATTAAACTACTTCAAACCGAAATAGCAGTGGCAATTTATACGTTAAATCTCAAGCTCTGCATACAAAAGAAGTTTGTCCAGTCATTAAATCTTCGATGGACCTGATCTGTCTTGACACTGGATGAGTAATTTTTGCTTTTAAACGTATTATTTTCTTCTCTCGTAACCCAATTAAATTTCTGCTCCCTATTACTACTGCTGTTAATTTGACTCTCGGTCGATTTTAGTTGAAGTCTACTCAATCCCATCGATTATATCACGTCACTCAAATTATTTAGTATTTTGGTTACACGATTTCATCATGAGTTGACATTGGTTAGAGAACCATTGGAAGACCTGGGATTAATGGACACCTGCTTCATCCTAGTTTGGGACTCCTCAGCGGTACTCATCAACCACCAGGGTTCGAACTCAGGACCTCCTGGTTACAAGGCGACCTCGTATACCATTAAGCCACTGGGACCCGATCCAATAGCCAGCCCATGAATTCTAACTTCTGCCGATTCACGATATAGCGCGACCGCTAGCCAATGTCTTCGGCGAGTAACTGTCCTCACACCCGGCCTGCTCCACTTCCATTGGTCATTGGATCGGATCCCAGTTGCTTAATGATATACGGGCTCGACTTGTAACCAGAAGGGCCTGGGTTCGAACCGTGGTGGGTGCGTACTGCTGAAGAGTCCCAAACCAGGACGAAACAGCTGTTCAGTATTCCCAGCTGGTTTTCCAATGGTTCTCTAACCAATGTCAGCTCATGATGAAATCCTGTAACCAATCAACCAAATCCCTACAAACCAATACTTGAATATTATTTAGTTTTTATTTCAGTTTCTGCCCAATCAACGCTTCTTATATTACGTAATTCGTCATCTAAAATTTACAGTTCTAACGAACATATCAGTAGAAATATTCTTTTTGTTGATAAGATAATTTACCACATCTAAGCAATTGTACAACTTGAAATGATATCGCTGAAAGAGTTACTCTTCTCTGAAGGTCTATTCTTTTGAGTATTAGCCAACTTTTATCAGGTAAATGTTACAACATGACAATTACATCGAAAGACTTAATGTGGCATTTCAGTTTCAAGTTTGACCACAGATTGATATCATTCAGAGGATGATTGGAAAAACACGGGGTAGTGAACATTTGTTTCGTCCTAGTTTGTGACTCATCAGTAGTACGCACCCAACAGCGTTCGAACCCAGAACCTTCCGGTTACAAGTTCGTAGAGCATTCAGCCAGTGGGAACCGACTCACTTGGCTACAACAATGTGACTGTTTTTTATTAGAAAGCCTCCCACAGAAAGAAATGCATTGTAATGCTGAGGCAGTGTACTTCTTGGAGTTGATACATCTTGATCTTTCTGTTACTCAACAACCTTATAGAGACAAATCATCATGATGAAACCATATAACGTAAATGTGTATAATACACAGTAATGATCGGATTATGTTCAATTTAAGCGAAAATACTAAACACCGTTCATTAAGACAACAATTTGTGCTTATCTCTTCAGAATTACTACCCTGAGCTATCGATGCAAATGCATTATTGAAATTAAAACAATAGACTGTCATATTGTACACTGAAATATAAAGAGACTGTCAGGCTAAAACAAGGTCATATATATAACCTTATTTTGCCATATATATATATATATATATATATATATATATATAGCATTTGCTGAATATCTGACACAGTCGATATGAGCAACCAATGACAACTGCAACGGGGTCAATGAAGGCCATGATGATAATGCAATTTCTTTTTGTATTGCAAGTGTCTAACTTATCGATTTTCATGAGGTTGTCACAATCACGATTTAAAAAGCGAGACCTTCATTGCCCTGAAACCAGTGTGGAAACCAACCAACGCTAAGAATACAGAAAAAGAATTGGATTTTGAACACTAATGGCAAGTCAGTTTTTTTACCGAGTACATAGGCTATCAGTGTGTGTCACGCAAGGCTTTTGAAACAGCCTACTACCTACGTTTATCAACAACTGTCTTCCCTTCACACTGAAGATTAGATGGCCAGAAATCACATGCAACAAACAAATTTGACAATGAATCAACCAAGAACCTGTCGCCTGAAGAAAATGGAGAAAGATCGTACACTGTAAGATGACCAATGGGTGACACAATGTACCAGGCTGTCTCCGAGTGGAATCTGAATGGTGAATGAGGAGTTGGGTGTTCGAGGATGACGTGGAGGAAATTTTGTGAGAAGATGACGGTTGATGGGCATTCATGGAGCCAGCTAGGGAGGACTGTGGAGAACAGAGTGAAATGAAGAAGCCCTATGTTCCAATAGGAATAATAATAATAATAGTAAACTATCGATCTTCGTTCATTTGTCATAAATGGCATACTGCAGTACGCTGTTATTCTGTTGAGAATTAAGCAACAACATATGGAAATCACCAATCGATCTAAATTTTCTGTCCTAATGAGGATAATAAATGCATGTATGAAAACAAACAATAAGGAGAAAAAATAAGAGTAACCTTACCAGGATTTTTTATCATTGATATTGATTTCTCGCTAATAATAATCGGATGGACACGAATTTTTGGAGATATAGATTCAGTTAACACCTATAGTTGATGAAAAATTTGTTTAAAAAATCAAAATGTAAACGCCGATAGGCCTTAATAAAATAAATAATAGAGAAATTTTGTAGTGAGGCAAAACCTTTAAAAACTGTGTAGATTTTAAAATGCATATTGACAATGTAGTTAGTGGAGATTAATTCACATAAATAACTGATGTGCAGTAATTGTTAAACTGGTATTGTGTATACTTTATATAACTGCGATATAAACATCATGATTTTAAACTTGTGATTTATTTGACAGTGAAGCAGCCTCTTGAGCTCCAGTGGTCCTTACAATGGGCTCGTATTCAATAAACTGACGTCATTTCACACAGAATTGGTATATATATTCCCATGATTCATATTAATATCTATAAGAAGTTTTATTTTGACTCATTTGATTGATAGCGGTCACAAAGTGGACAGAAATAGTGCCTTCTATTCCATTCCATTAAGCCTTTCGAATGGAGCTCGAACCCCCCACATTACACATAGCCGAAGCTATGGGAATTAATTCGAGGGAATAATCCTATTCTTTGCATACAAAAGAAGTTTGTTCTACCTTTGTCTCTTCCTTGACCCTCCTTCGTACTTTAATGATATTTATTTAAACTCTGATTATCTGTCCACTTCACCTTTAGTATTGTGGTGACAGCTGGCTGCAAGCCAAAATTGTGGGGAACAATTTACGTCAATATTCACGTCCCGAATCAGAGTCATGAGGAAAACAATAACAAGGCTAAGCCTTAAGAAAATCACCAGCCAACCACAGCAGAGTTAACGTGTGAAAATGTGATTCGAAGATATACGGCTTCACTTTCTGAGAAACGGTCACGAAGCAATAATAGAATAACCTTCAACAAGTAAACAACCAATCAGAAGACGTTGATTCTCCGGTAACAATAGTCTACATAAAAAATCCGTAAATACCTCTTGATTCTCTCGATAAACGATATGTTGCCTGGCCTTTGTCTTCTGTTCTTACAGTATTACCTAATTTTTGAGATTTGACTTTGTTTATTACCTTCGTTATTCGTATCGATATATATATATATATATATTTCAGGGTCACTGAGTTCCAATCCAAGTGGCTAGGTGAACAACAAGCTGAAGCTACCGGATTCTATTCTTTTAGTGAGGTCATAGATGCTCACTGACGAAGAGCCCTAAAATAAGACGAAACATCTATCCAGTGGTCCCTGGTTTGCAGTGGTCTGTCTAACTGATTTTGGTTTCTGACGAAGTCTACATTGAAGTATATTTATACATCAATGGTTACAAATCAAATTCAATAATTTGTGCACCATTAGCAGGGATTTCAGTCATTGTTAGAGAAAAATGGTCCCTAAAACAGCGAAATCAACCACACAAATCATCAAAGTTCCATTATAGTTTGTAACAGTGACAAGAATGATGCAGTGTGAAATAAGGTATTAATTATCTACAAAATTATTGCAGAAAGAAAGGCAATTACTTGTCACACACACACACACACAAACAGAAACTCACTTCGAATAAGGCATTATACGTTAACAAAGTAAACTGAGAAGATACTGAATTCAAACGATCCTCCAGTAAAGAGAATAAGCTGAAACGTTCAACTGTATTTCCATACACCCTAAAAGTAAACAGAACACAAAACTGTCGTGTTACACATAACAGTAATAATGATAATTACAGAAAACAATTTGAACGAATACATACTTTTGTTAATTTCTCCACAGACTCTTCAAAATTACATAGTAAAATAATTAATCAAAGATATCTCATAACAGTTTTCACGAGTTAATTCATAGGGATCTGATTGATTCTCCGTTGGATCACAGATTGAAGACAGTTATAGAACCACTAAAAATCAGAGAATATTAGATACTTGTTTCGTCCCAGTTTCGGACCCAACAACTGTACGTACACACCACTCTCAACCAAGCACCGAAATCGGGACCTTCAGTATACAAAGTCAGGCTCGCTGAACATTATTCATCCACTTGAGCCTGAATTTAAATGACTGGTGAATTCGCCATTTTAGAGCAACTACTAGCTAATGTAAGTAAGAATTTAGGGATCACTGAATTCCAACCAAAGTGGCTGAATGGTTAGCGAGATTAGCCTTGTAATCTGAAAGCCCCGGTTTGATCCCTGGTAGGTCATGGATGTCAACTGCTGAAGGGCTACAAACTACGACAAGACATCTGTCCAATGCTTCCTGACTTTCAGTGATACTCCAGCTGATATCAGTCCATGTGATCAAACCTTAAACATATCAAATCCCTACACACTAACTAATGAAAATTCATCAATAATAAGGAGTACTCTTCAGAAATGACGAAGCAATCTCAATGCAGTCTACTGCTGGGAAAAAAGTAGCATTGAAATAGTGAATCCGAATACCTGTGAAAAGTAATTTAGAGTTGGTTAGAACTCAGTTAACTGGAGAGCAGATATGTATGTACCAGGCTATGAGCTAAATACATACTGTATGTGAGGAATGATGACACTACACTCAGCTGCCTGGGATGAAAGAAGTGAAGTGCGGCTTAGACCCCAGATCCCCTAACTGGATGAAAGTCAGGGTGTATAAAGCTGATGAAAAACACACATCTACTTAAAGTAAACTATAATGGTTTGCTGCAACACCTTAACCATAGTATGACCGGTAAACTAAGGATTAACAATAAATGTGTAGCATAAAGCGGCATCTTTGTAATGGACAAATTGTTTGTTGTATGTATGCTAATCTACACGTTTCATCTAACTTTGTAATTATCATACGTTTTTCCCCTAAACTGTGTACCATTAATTTGACATTTGCATACCATATGTTGATTTTGGATCTTAATTATTTGCCTTTGCCCTTGTTTAGTCTTTAACTGTAATACTTCTGTTTGTGGTTGTGTGTACATTGACAATGTTTAACGATATGAGTTTGTTCGAGTTTGTTTTGAAGGTTATTCTGACCCGCGAAGCCTTGGTGAGTGATTCTTGAGGAAAGAGCTCTTGATCCCGACCTTGTTGGAAATATTCTCATTGATTCTAAGTACTTGTTTTGTATTTATAAAAACCTAACATTGTCTACATAGCCTACATAGCTCCCTCACCACGGCACTGTTGACGTTGGTTTGAATTCCATGTTATCACTGCTTGATAGAACCGCTAAAATATTGACATATAATCATCTTCACCCTGCTTTTGGAACGTTTCTTCATAGCGTGTGTCTCAAGGAAGTTTTTTCAGCTATAGAGTAGAACGTAGAGATCAGTTTTTGCGTTCAGACGATAATCGAATAAATTTGATCGCTACAATCGAATCAAGTGGTAAAACACCCGTGGACCATGCCTCGCATGATCCAGATCTCTTTTCCCGGCCGAGGCATTCCAAAACCTCGACTAGCCGGTGTTAAGTCTTGGAAAAAGAAAAGGTTGGGAGTAAGGTTAGAAACTCCACCCTGTAAAAAATAAAAGAATAACACCACTTCTACTGAAACTTTAAAGCTCCAAGCTTGAAGTCCTATGTTCCACTCGCAACACAAAGGAATAAAACTCAATAAAATAATGAATTAACAACGAGAAAGCAAAAAACAAAGAAAACAGGGGATAATAATAATAATGTGTTCAACTTACAAATTTTTTCCATAAAGAAGATAAAGTCCGAATAATTTGATACTATAAATTCGTACATGTTCATCTTCAGAAGTGAGTAGTTTGAATACACAATGTATACCATTTGTACGAATAAATACTGCACCACATGTAGATGGATATTCAATTAAAGCACTAACCAATAAGTATAATATATCATGTATATTTTCTGGCTATTGTTTTGTTGTTGTAGTTGTTCACAATGTCATCATAATATAAAGAAAAGAAAGTAAAAATAATACTACTTGGTTACAGTGCACAAAACACATTATATATGAGAATTAAAGGAAACAATAATTATTATTATTTATTGCTCCCTTGTGTTCCTAGTGGAACATAGGGCTTCAACTGCACGTCTCCATTTGCTTCTGTCTTCTGCTGTACTTTTCACCTGCATCCATGTTAGTCCATACTCTTTCAACTCCTCTTCACACGATCTCCTCCATGTCACCCTTGCACTGACGTCCCACTCGCCGCTTCCCTTTCGGGTTCCACTCGAGGGCTTGACGCGCGATGTCACCCAGCGGTCTCCTCAGCGAGTGTCCGATCCATCTCCACTTTCTCCTGCATATTTTGTTGGCGATTGGTTCTTGCTTTGTTTGTTTCCATAATTCCTTGTTGGTGATTCTTTCCGGCCATCTGATCTTCAGTATTGAGCGAAGACAGTTGTTAATAAAGGTCTGCAGCCTTTTGGAAATATTCTTTGTGACCCGCCAAGTTTCTGATCCGTATAGAAGAACTGACTTTACGTTTGTATTGAAAATCCGAATTTTGTTGTGATGCTGAGTGACGAAGATTTCCAGATTGATTTCAGGTTGATGAATGTGTTTCTCGCCTTCCCGATTCTCGCTCGATTTGACATCCTCGTCCGTTCCTCCTGTAGTTGAGACAATGCTCCCTAGATAAGTGAGTGAATGAAGTAACCTCTTTCAAATCCCTCCCGTTGATGGTGATTGACGTTGGATGTTGCTGCTGTTGTTGTTGGTTGGTTATTTTCATAACCTCCGTCTTGTCTATGTTCACCTGGAGTCCTGTCTTCACGCTGCTTCTTCGACCAGTTTGTCGGTTTTCGCTTGTAAGTCTTCGATTTGTGTGACATCAAACATAAATCATCCACGCGCGAAATCCAGGTCTTCTAGGTTCTTCACGTCGGTCCAGGATATCCCTGTCTTCTCGTTTCCCACTCACTGTCTGACGCATAATCCAGTCCACCACAATTAGGAATATCATTGGTGATAGTAAGCACCCTTGTCTGACTCCTGTGTTTACTCCAAACGCCTCGCTGAGTTTTCCGTTGTGGATCACTTGGCAGGTGCCGTTGTCGTACAGCTGTTGAATAAGGTTGATGAATATTTGGGGTACGCCATAGTACTCGAGTAATTTCCAAATTACTTCACGGTCAACGCTGTCGAAGGCCTTCTCAAAGTCTATAAAGTTGAGGTAGAGGTTTGATTGCCATTCCATGCTTTGTTCGATGATGATGCGTAGAGTTGCAATTTGGTCAGTACATGATTTGCCTTTCCTGAATCCAGCTTGTTCTGGTCGGAGTTCTGTCTCCAGTGCGTCCTTTAATCTCTCCAGGATGATGCGACTCAGGATTTTACTTGGCGTCGATAGGAGCATGATTCCTCGCCAGTTCTTGCAGAGTCCTAAGTCGCCCTTCTTTGGTAGTTTCACGAGGTAACCTTTCCTCCAGTCAGTAGGCACCTTTCCCTCCTTCCAGACCTTTTGCAATAATGGAGTCAGCATGTCTGCTGTAGTCTCTGGGTCCGCTTTCAGTGCTTCAGGGGGTATTCCATCTGGTCCGGCTGCTTTTCCAGCTTTCAGAAGCTTGATTGCATTCAAGACTTCAGCTCTCGTTGGAGGATTGGTGTCAACTTGCAGTTGTGTGCGCGCTGTTGTTGGTATTTCTGGACGGGTTGCAGGTGGTGGTCGGTTCAAGAGTCCTTTGAAGTGATCCGCCCATTGTTTAATCTGTTTTTCTTCCTTGGTAATTGGGTTCCCTTGGCTGTCTTTTATAGGTTTCGCTTGTGTTGATCTCTTCCCGGATAGAGATTTGGTTATCTGATATAGTGTCCTCAGGTCCCTTTTGCCTGCTGCCTTCTCAGCTTCAGTGGCGAGGTTGTCGTAGAATCGTCTTTTGTCCTTCCTAGCATTCCTCTTCACTTCTTTGTCCAGTGCTTTGTAAGTTGAGCTCAGCGTCTCCTTCTCCTGTCCGTCCTTGCATTGAATCATTTTCTCTTTCACCATTCTCCTCTCTTCTATTAATTTCCAAGTGTCCGTTGAGAGCCATTCCTTGTCTTGTCTCTTCTTTCTTCCTAGAACCGTTGAACACGTTTCGTTGAGAATCGCCTTCAGAGACTTCCAATGTTCTTCCACGCATGATTCTTCAGTGATGTCGCGTAGTGTTTCCTGCTTTGCTCTGACAGTTGCAGTGAAAGTGTCTTTTGTGGTTGTGTCCTTCAGTTTTGAGTGTTGAACTTGCATTGTGGCCTATCCCCAGCTATCCTCGAGGCTTTTAGTTTCACCTTGAAAGTCCCTTCTACTAGATAGTGGTCTGAACCCACATCTGCTCCTCTCCTCGACCTTGTGTCCAGTAGGCTCCACCTCCACTTTCTTGAGATTGAAATGAAGTCTATCTGGTTTCTGGTGTTTCCATCTGGTTAAATCCATGTCGTCTTGTGTATATCCCTGTGTTTGAACACAGTGTCCTGCGTTCGATCCCTGATCAAGTCATGGATGTCTACGGCCGAACAGTCAGTCCTAAACTAGGGCGAAACATCTGTCAAGTATTCTCTGGTTTTCAACGGTTCTCTGACTTAAGTTAGTTACCCATCAAACTTGAAACTACTATATTCTTCTTTTTCTCGGTGGGTGAAGCGAGGTACGGACTCGTAATGATTCAGTGATTAGAGGGCAAGTTCTTAGAGCACACATTGAACCAAAGTTCCATGTCATCAACACACAAATAAACTAAAAGGTGCAGACAGAAACACTGGAATGAAGTTACTTACTCTCCACGGAAACTATTAACACTAATAACAGATGCTTATTGCTGTATTACTAATATCAAAACAGCATAAATCACTTCGATTCTTTACAAAATTTCTCATACAGTTAGTAAGATTAAATTAGTATGCTTACTTACCTCGTGAATTGTAGTTAAAAAGTTTAAAATTGCTTGCATTTCACTGTCTGTAATTCCACTACCACGTGAAAATAAGCGTTTTAAATAAATTAATACATTTGTACGCAATTTAACGACCTCATCAACTGAGCCTAATAGTTCATGATCTAAATACAGTTCACAGAAAACAAAAAGAAAGTATAAAAATCAATATATATATATATATATATATATATATATATATATATATATATATATATATATATATATATATATATATATATATATATTGAGACGGAAAAAATATACAAAAGATCTCAAATATTAAGTACAGCTTCGTTTCATCTGCAGGTGGTACACGGATGAAAATGTAAAAGGCCGGATTGTAAAGACAATATATCCCTTCGTCACTTTGTGATCGGCATGGAAATCTACTGCATACAGTATACAGAACAAAATTCGAACTTTCAACATTTATAATATAGTCAGTTCTTCTACATGATTCAGAAAATTGGTGTGTCATCAGAGGGATATAGAACTGGTTACAGACATTTATCTACACTACACTTCGCTGGCTCTGGCTCTATACTCAGGACTAGATGGCCAGCCAGGGAAGGAATGGCAACAAGGAACTCTGCCAGGTAGCGAACAATCCAAGAACCTATCACCCAACAGATATGATTCAGGAAGTCGAGAAGGATCGGATGCAGTCTGATGAGACCGTTGGGTGACATCACTGCATGCCAAGTCATAGAGTAGAACCAGAATGGTAAACAGAGAGTTGGGCGTCCAAAGGTGACATCGAAGGAGACGAGGCGAAGAGGAAATAAAAGCTTATCGACAATTGTGGAGCCTGTTGAAGAAGGCTGTAGAGAACAGGATGAAATGGAGATGTCCCATTGAATCCCCATGTATCACTCGGAACCACCGGGAATAATGGCAATATAATGCTACAATATTGCATCATTACTTGACTAAATGAAAATAATTTAGTGCGACCAGATGGACAGTATCCGTATACAACTGTGATAATTAACTAGGTACCTTGATAAGCTCATAAATAACATCTCCTCCTAGATCCTTAATTTAGGTCACGGAAGCTGTAAGTCCCCACATCCCGTGGCTAGCAGGAATCTTGTAATTAGGAATGAACATTAAAGTATCTGTGCGTCGGTGGCACAGTGGTTAGGACTTTCACCGACCATGTACATGGTCCGAGGTTGGATCCCCTGTCGACGCACATCTGATATCTATGGTCGGCCTTCGAAATTTGGGCTACCGATATCCATGCTGAATATTCCATACTTGTACCAAAAATACGGTGTGGAATCAAGCTGTAAATCAAAAAAAAATCTTAACTGGATAATATATGATATGACACGAAAAATCTTGAATAAATAGTTCAATTTGCTGCAAATTAGACACTAGATATGGCATAAGCACTTGAAATTGTCATGCCTCATATCACCATATCACGTAAGAAACGGAACGAAATGAAATAGAAAACACAATTTGTATGAATAATTGCAAAGGAAAAGCGAAACAAAACTAAGGGAAGAATTGATGAAAGGAACGATTCGCCTAAAATTTCAGTGGGTATATGGCATAAATGCAACTGCCCTACTACGACAACAACAGCAACAACTGATTCTATGTTTTATCACTTATAACCCCTGCCCGATGATTTTAATAACCCTATAGACAGTAATGTGGGAGCCTTAAATTCTTTACATTGTTTCTGTGGGTAAGTTAAATAAGACTTCATGGATCGGTTCCAAACTGATACCTTTATCTTCTTTTCAATCGACTTACCGACCACGCAGGTGGTTTGGGTTCAATCCTCGACAGACACACTCCTAAACCTCGACTAGCTGGCAGCTAGCCTGGTAAAGAAGGACGGTTTGGAATGAGGGTAGAAACCTCACCCCAAAAAAATAAACACCACTACCACTGAAACTTCAGGAATCAAGCTTGAAACTCGAGAGCATCACAGACAATTAACATTTAACAGGATTTCTTGCTATCTATTTTACAGAGAAAGTCGCTGTTCCGCGACATAACTATACCTTAAAAATCCCCATTGGGTCATATGAAAAAGAGAAGAGGTTCGGCGAATTCATTCACATAGCTGCACAACCGCATTTATGTACAATTATTTGTGTGTGTGTGTGTCCATGTGTACGACCGACATCCACCTACTCGTGTGGAGACAGGTATGTCGGCCGTACCCAGCGTTCGCTTTCCAAGCGTATCGCCGAATACTTACCAGCATGGTTTTACAGAGGAGAAAAACAATGCCCCAGAAGCTCTATCATAGAACATCTGATAGATTCCGGACACAAAGCTACACCCCGAACAAACTTCAAAGTCATCTAAAGAGTAAGAAGTAGTCTTCCTAAATATGAACGAATCAGACCTCTTCAAATTGCAGAAGCGATGGCGATTCACTTGCGAAGTCCTGAACTCTGCATACAGAAGAAGTTCGTTCAATCACTACATTTGCAGCAATGGACGTAATCTATCTTATTACCCGACAAGTAAATTCTACCTAATCTTTTTTTCTTCTGTCTCTTCATTAGTATTATTTTGTCTTTTCAATTGTAATACTTTACATTTTCAACCTTCCTGTTCTCTACCTCCACCCGATTTAATTTCTACACCTCACTACCACTGTTACTGACTTGACCAACGCTCAGTTTCTAGTCATTTATGTTACGTCGTCCAACTTATTTGCTCGATTTCAGTCCTAATTTAAGTGGGATTATTCCCTACCGCACCTCTACTTAGTCTCTACCTGTAATTACCTCTGTTACTACCCTGACATAAGTTGAAACATTTTAGTCAATTGTATTACGTCATCTAACTTACTAACTCAATCTTACTTTAGTTTCTGTTTAATTAACCTTGTTTCTATATTAAGTCATTCTTGTATTACCTGATTAAATGTCTTAACTTGAAAAACCTCATGTACACACACAAAAATAATTATATATAAATGCGACTGTACAGCTATGTGGATCAATTAGCCGAAAAGTGTCTCTTCGCTGAATGTCTTCTCTTTATCATATAACTATATCTATGTTTTTAATTATTCTTTAGTTTTGAAAAAAAACCAGAAGATACGTTTAGTAAAGTTGAGCATAATTTTTACGGAAAGCGTAAGGTGATCGATCGATCGATCGATCAGTGGGGATATGTGTTTCTTCACCAACTGAATTAGCTAAGACACGTGTTATACACATTTCAGTTACTCCACTTAACTTCGCCACTGTGGAATACCGTCCTTGGTTTAGGACGGAAGGAGTCTTTGGAAGTGTGTGGGCAGTTATTGCTTCCCGGATGACCACGCCATAGAAGTTGAATTTTTTCCTTCTGTAACTGAAACAGAAACAGCATTGATGCATCATGACTGCAAAGCCAAAAAGACAACTGTTTGAGGTGACGTGTTTGAATTGTTTTTTGGAGTTCCGTCTACACTAAGATCTTATTACAGGCGACGGACTGTGTAAGATAAGTAAGAATGTAAAATTTTGCGGTCAATCTTTTCTAACTACCGCCCCTCCCCACCCTCAAGAACAGAGAGATGGCATGACTGGTTTGTTGATCTTTGGAAAGAAACGCCTTACTGCTGTTACCTCCTTATTCCCCAGCTCTACAACTTCGCCCACGGACCCTCAACACAGAATAAACCACTCACACTGGTTTTAGTCTAATCGCTCTCCAAACAACCTTTCTGATATCGTGGGACCTACAGGTACATTTTTTTCCAGCCAGTGTAGCTTGTTAGATCATTGCGAAATGCAAGTTCAACTGTCACGCTAAGGTGACAAATATCGGTCAGATTTGTATAGAACATATGCAGACAGAAGATGGTTAGATAATAATAATGAACAACTGTCTACAGGTACATGTATTTCATGTTACTGTTAAATAGGTAGATTAAAAAGTAGGTTTTTCCATGAATGAATGAAAGAAAATAAACAAGAGAATTGAATTTAAATTTAACAGACTCAGTATATTTTCCCATTTTCTAAATTTAACAAAGAAATCATGCATTAATAATTGCCTTCACAAAGAAAGGACAAAAGGAATATCAATCATTACGAAGACATAAATACAGCTCTTAGCCATCCTAAAGTCACAATGTAGTCCCTGAACACATTTCATGCAACAGATATAGTAGACATTGAACATGCATTAACAGACAACATACTTACTCAATGAATCAAATGAATTTGACAGGAAAAACTATAACTAAGAAATACAGTATAAAAGAAGGCTAATGTCGTCTAAACATTTGATTATATAGCAGAAGATATTATTAAGTACAAGACACTATGGAACAGTTGTCTCATTAGTCTATTGTAAACATTAATGTCAGTGAATGCCAATCGCCTTAACGGATTAACAGATAATTGTTCTTAATAAAAAGTAAGTAATACACTGAACAAACATTACACACCTGATTGTTGACTAAAGAAAACACGGGTGTCTCTCACTTTGTTCCCATAAACGACCTGCTACGGTCTAGAGTGGGTAGACTTCAGTCTTACTCTCGAAATCTTCTCATGTAACCACGCATTTAATAGCCACTCCCAAGTAAGCCCTATTCGGACTGGTTAACATGCAGGTCTACATAGGACAGCTAAAAAAACTCTGATTTCACACCTGTGAGCTCCAGAATGCGATAGAATCAAATGGTGTATGAACCCCGTTTGGTTACTGGAAAATATGGGAACGCAGTTCCTGATGCTTCTCTGCAGCCTTGTGAATCAGACTTCAAATCAAGGGTTTGGCATGGCTCCTTAAGACAAACACATGCTTCGGTCTGAGTGTCTGGACAGCATCTTAGCCCTTATACAAACTATACGATTTTTTACGGCGGCTCTCTTGATGCTTATGAGGTAACACGTTTGCGTCTTAATAATAACAGAGGAAACCTCTATAACCTTCACATCATTATTCTATTTCAAGAGTTGGCAAAATTAGCTACAGTGCAACTGTGAAGGGGGGGGCAGTAATTATACTACTGCTTAACAATATAATGTAATTAAAGCCCTCGAGTGGAACCCGAAAAGGAAGCGGCGAGTCGGTCGTCCAAGGGTGACTTGGCGGAGGTTATGTGAGGAGGAGATGAAGGCATGTGGACAGACTTGAAGCGGGGTGAAAAAGTTGGCAGAAAACAGAAGGCAATGGAGGTGCGCAGCTGAAGCCCTATGTTCCTCTAGGACATAATAATAATAATAATAAAGTAATGACAATCAATAAGTTTGGAACTAGCACGTTATCTTAACACGAATAAGTATTTAGATAATAGTAATTTCAGTATACCTTATTTAATGAGTAATATCTTAGGATTAGTTGAAAATTCTTCTCGGAGAAAAATTGGAAACTGGCTAACTACTAGTTGGCAGCTCTTACAGAGGAAATATAGGATCTAACTGCTAACAAGATGACCACCAGCTGTGATTAATGCGACGAAATGAGAGAAGGTTGGACATGGCGTTAGCACATTCATTTCTTAAAACCATAGACCACTGCTAACGAAGAAACCTCGAAGTTTGAAGCCACATGTTCTACTGAAAAATCAAGCGAATGAAAAACTCCTACAATGAATGACAGGGTGGAATTTTTCATCACACTTCACAAAAGAACTTTTGGTACTCAGACCAATTTTTAGAATCATAGCAAGGACGCTCAAATGAATATACCCAACACCGTAGAAAAACAGGGGGTTGTAAGTTATGAATGTAACCAATGATGTTGTCCTTGATTTTTTTTCAGTTAAGCAGATAATCGGGGCAGAAAGCTGATGTATGCAGAAAAACAAATTGTACACACAGCCACTGATTCAGAGTTACCGTATTTGAGGCTTTGAGTTTGGAAAAAAAGAAACCAACAGCTAAAGTCCACAACGAACTTATAACGCCATGGTTGCTTACACAGAGGATCCCATTATTAGGGACTGCTGAAAAGTCTTTAAATAGGATGGAGAATTCTTGAGTGTTTCATGGCTATAGGCGAATCCATCTGGCTAATTTAGATCTTAAAAGTAAATAAGTAGTTAAAATACATTAATTCCCAAAACTATTACTTTTCATAATCTCCCTTTACAACTAATCGTAACTTAGGCATGAAATTTCGGATTGCTAATGCTTCATCTATGCCCTGATGTCTTTATCTTACTACCTTTGAGGAATTTGATAGCATCTTGAAACGGACTTTGAAAGATTTTTCCAAACAGAGCTGAATGTTGTGAGTTCACCAGATGTCCAGTTACCCAGCCATAAACACATCTATAATCTGCTTTTTTTTAACCAGGCTGGATAGTGCTGCAGAGCGAGCTTTATGAGCGGATGTATGGTACTCAGCTCCTCAGGAAAAAGTGAACTGGTACATGTATGTTGATGTGGCTCAATGCGATAGCTTATCTTTCACTCACTGACTGAATAGTTTCCTAACAAAACATTTTACTCGTAAGCTGGCATAGAAGTATGTTTTACGGAGAAATTTTGAAAGCCGTTTTCGGAAAATTCCTGACTTAGTATTACCTTTAAATTTGAAACTCAAAAGCAGAATCTCTTAGGTGGGGGTGAGGCTGGAGGTCAACTTGTTTCGGAGACTGTATCTCGACAGCTTTTCTATCACCGGTCTAAAAGTCTCTCCCCAGCTACTTCTCAATTAAGTGGTATGGAAAATTTATCATATCTAGTATTGGCGCGGGAACGGGACTTCTTGTCTATGTAACTTACGTTTGCCGTACATGCGCGGTATTGTAAAATCGGATGGACAAAGTTGTTCATATAGTTCTATACGAATAAATGATTATTTCCTTCTTTAATTTTCTTTAATATCTCTGTCAGTTGCAGCCCCGTTTGTTCAGTAGGATCTTGTTCTCAGACGACTGCTTTAGGAAATTTTTTTCCTTCAGACAGGATCAGTGATAGTTTATCTGGACAGATACAAATCATATAGACAATAATTTTAGTGATTTTAATACGCTTGACGTGCTTAAATGTCTCCGGTCTCTTAAGCCTTCCAAAGCCTTGGTCCTGATGACATACCTGCCAATGTCCTCAAGAATTGTGCTGATATTTTGTGTTACCATCTTACTAACATTTTTAATGCTTCTTTTTCCGGTGACGTTCTACCTGTTGCATGGAAAAACATTAAAATTATCCCCATACCAAAACCATCTTCTGGTACTGATATTAAATTTAGGCCTATTGCAATTACTAATCCTTTTTTAAAATTGATGGAAAAATTACTTTTACTTCGTCTTGAACCTTCATTGAAACCTTTTAATGATCCTAAACAATTCGCTTACAAACATGGTAGAAGTACCTTGGACGCTGCGGTTGTCTTATATCACAATGTTGTTTCTTGTTTAGACAAAGGTGCCAAATATGTTCGTAGTGCTTTCCTAGACTATATATCTGCTTTTGACTCTGTACCTAGGGGCCTTTTGTTAAATAAGCTATCGTTGACACAAACAGGATCCTGGGCAAAGAGTTGGTTGCATTCCTATTTTTCTGATAGAATGCAGTATACTGTATATAATGGCAAATCTTCTACCTCACTTACAAAATCCGGTGTTCCACAAGGTGCTGTCCTCTCTCCTTTCCTTTTTTCTTTCTCCCTACACGACCTACCTCATTCAAACGAAACTAACTTTGTCAAATATGCAGATGATCTGACTGTGTCACTGCCCATCACTTCCGAGTCTGACTGTTCCAAACTTAATAGCTTTCTGTTGGACATCAACAAGTGGTCTAAGTCAGATAGTCTTATGTTAAATCCTTCCAAATGTCAGGCACTTGACTTTACTTTCAAGCATCGACGTGACTTACATGAACTAGTTAGTTCGCATGATGCCTGTAGCATAGATGGCCCGGAAATTGAAACCAAGTCAAGCATTAAATACCTTGGATTAGTTCTTTCCTCTGACCTTTCATAGTCATCCCACATCTTATCTATCTCTAAGAAAATGTTTCATCTTACCTTCTACATTAAAAAGTTAAGACAATCAGGTATCAATCAACCTTTACTTCTGTAGTTTGTAAACTCCTGTATTTTGCCTATTGTACTCTATTGCTCTCCATTAATCTTTCCTGGGCTTCTCAAAAAAGACTATATCATATTACGAAGAGTATTAAATGCTATGAGTAGGGCTTGTGGTCTGCCACCGCGTGAGCTCGCCAATACTATAGTTGAGAGACACATAAATTCCTGTACAAAATGGGCAAAGGGTGTATTTTCAGACCCTCTGCAACCCCTTTATTCACAACTATCCCCTTGTATCTCATCAGGTAGGACGAGAAGTCAATATAAAAGGTTATATGCTCGTACCACTAAGTACAGAAATTCTACTATATCCTATTCAGCCCGTACTTTATGTGGCGAAGACTCTGTTAGACGTGAAACACATAAGTTACTATGTAATTAGCACAATGAATCGACCCTTTCATTGTTCATCTTTCTGTATTTTATGGTGTCACACTTTCTACCGTTTAATTATAACTCTGCCATTTTATTTTAGTTGTTATTACTATAATTTTATACTTTATGCTTATTTTTCTCCTTATTGCATACAGTAATTTGCTATGTAGCTGCTATAACGTTTTATTATTATTATGTAATGTTTATTTTTTTTATTATACTTTTTGTCGATTTTTGAGTAAATTAGATGCAATATTGTACTGAATGCTGAAAATTCCTTGCTGTATCATTAGTACTGTTTTTGGAATAATGCAAAAATTATTATTATTAATAACGACCCCAACATATTTATCCAGGCATGTGTCATCATCAAGTTCCCCTTTCTCTTTAATTTTCCCTATAATTCAATGTAGATACTCTGTAGTTTACAGAATAGCAAAGACATATCATAACTTGTTGAAGTATATCTAAATATCGACATTTTCTTACAACTTTTAGTATCTAACGTCTATAGATTGTCTTTTGTAGATAGGGTAACACAAATTATATGAAATGAAGCCATATTTTAGGAATTATACATTCATTTAACAAATACACAAATTTTACCTGGTGTATTTAGTTCATATCCACTTCGTGCACGAGGACTAGCCAGTGCTAAATAATATTTCAGTGTATTTAAACAATGGATTACAGTCCCTGTTCGACCAATATATCCAGAGATAACTGCTTCCATAAAATCAGTAGCTAAAAATTGATACAATTGTTCTTGAACCTATAGAAATTGAAGAAAAGAAAAAAAAGAAAACTGTATTTATTGAGAAAGCATGAAAATGTTAGTTTCATATGATTCCTACTTAATATATATATATATATTTTTTTTTTTTCAAGAGTTGATTTGTAAGGAATTTATTCATTTTACGAGTTAGATCACGGATCGATATCAGTTAAAGAACCATTGAAAACCAGAAAGTATTGGAAAGCTGTCTTGTCCTAGTTTAGGACTCATCGGCTGTACGCATCCACCACCCGGGTTTGAACCCAATACCTTCCGGTTACAAGTTGAGTTCGTAGACTATTCTAGCCACTGAGACACAACTCAATGACCACCGCATGAATCCTAACTTCTACCGATTCGGGATTTTCAGAGCGAACACCAACCAATTTCATAGGCTGGAACTCCATCCTAACTCCCAACCATATATATATATATATATATATATATATATTTCCTTTAATTCCTAGAGGAACATTGCCTTCGTTTCTCTGCTAGAGTTTTCACCCCGCTCCAAGTCTGTTCATACGCTTTCATCTCCTCTTCACATGACCTCCTCCAAGTCACCCTTGTACTGACGACCAACTCGCCGCTTCCCTTTCGGGTTCCACTCGAGCGACGGCTTGTCTAGTGATGTCACTTGATGGTTTCCTCAGTGTATGGCTAATCCATCTCCATTTCTTCCTGCCTATTTGTTGCACAATGGGTTCCTGTTGGGTTGGTTCGCTCCCAGAGATCCCTATTGCTGATTTTTTCGGGCCGGCAATCTGACCTTGAGTATTGAGCGAAGACACTACTGTTGATGGTCTGTAGTTTGTTTGAGGTGCTCTTTATGACACGCCAGGTCTCTGATCCGTATAGTAGCACTGACTTCACATTGGAGTTGAAAATCTGGATCTTATTATTATATATATATATATATATATATATATATATATATATTATGCTAGTGTATGCAAGTGTTACTATGCTACAGATGGACAAAAGTTAGAAACCATAGGGTATACGATTTCAATGGACTCAGTTGGTAGTGGGGGAAGAGGAAGTGTGTTTATCTCGACATCTCACAGTTCCTCATGTGATATAATTTAAATTGCATGGAGAATTTCATCATGAGCCGACATTAGTTAGAGAGCCACTGGAAAACCTGGGAGTACTGGACAGCTGTTTCGTCTTAGTTTGGGACTCTTCATCAGTACCCCCAGGTTTTCCTGTGGTTCTCTAACTGATGTCAGCTCATGATTAAATCCTCCATACAATCAAACAAAAAAAACCTACAAAACCAATACTTCTTTTGGTTACAGCTTGACTCCACACCGTATTTTCGGTACAGGTATGGAATTTTCAACATGTGATATCGGTACCCCAAATTTCGCAGGCCGACCATAGATATCAGGTGTGTGTCGGGAATGGATCGAACCCTGGACCATGTGCATGGTCGGCGATAACAATATAAAGTCATGATTTCGCACTGTTGAAAATTGTCAAATTAAATAAAAACTGTTGTTATAGTGGTTGTTCCCACCCTCAGTAGAAGTGGAACTGTTAACCAGTAATTAACATGATATCTTTAAAACAACAAAACGCAAATAATTCAGCGAAGAGGCTTTTTTCGGCTTTTCTTCTTTAGCTAGCTGTATACAATCTTACTAATATACGGTTTTTTTCTCACAAAAGAGCGTAGTAGCATAAAAAAAGATGAGTTGTCATAAGCATAGTTGTTAATATTAATCGATACATAAGAAGAGTTGGATAAGGGTATTAGAGTTACGTAATAAGTTAAATAAATTAATAAATGAGTTATGATCAGGATGCACATAGAAACGGATCGGTGTCAGTTAGGAAATAGTTATCAAAACAAACAGGTATTACTGGATATCTGTTTCGTCCTAATTTAGGACTCTTCACCGTTAAGCACCCACTTTCAGCAGTTTGCGATACAGAGCGACCACCAGTCAATGTCATCAGCAAATATTTATCGTGACTTGAAGCTCCTAGTCAGGTCGCGAATGCGAACAGCTGAAAAGCCCCAAACTAAGACGAAACAATTGTCTAGTACTCCATGCTGGTGGTTTTTAACGATTCTTTAACTGTTACCAAACTTGTAACAAATAAAATCCTTTCGAAATAAGTCTTAGAAACTAGGATTTATATTCCAATAATCGTCCAATGAATATAAACAATAATTACTGAAGTATTATAATATCTTAAAAAGTGAGCAGTGACTAGTACATTTAACCATCTGACCTTGGACCAATAGATGGTTACAAATTCCAGTTGCAATCCGTCTCATTCATTTGTCATGGTTCTAACATTACAACCAATTAGCATCATTAATCCCAGTTATATATATATATATATATGGGCGTATTATGAGGCTTCCTTCAATAAACAGTTATTTAATTATATTACATACTTGTTTTTCGTCTATACTCATTTCAAATTACACTAAAGGATTGATTATTTATGCAGTTAGGTATTTAAGAGTAGTGAAGAAATTTATCATGAGTAGCTTAAAGATATCCATATATATATATATATATATATATATATTTGTGATAACTAATCAGGAAATAAACAAATACGCAAAATGCAGAAATCTCGTTACCACGGCAACGCGTAAACAAATAACGATATGAACCACTTGTCAGATTTCTATAAAAGCATTGCACTGTAGAAAAGAGATTTCTCGTCTTTCTTTTTATGAAATACTTGCTTCAAAAACATATTTATTAAGTTTTTAGAAAAAGAATGTAAATGGTCAATGTGAATAAGTCTTCGTTTACAGATTTACTCCGGAGAGGAGTTATAATAGACAACTGTAGAGAGATGTATTGTACACAATTATGTAATTGAGTCATTAGACCACAAACAGAAGCGCGCTTAAATCACTTGGCTGACTAGTTTTTACATCTATAGAAATCTATCGTATTTACTCCACTTCATATTGTTTTAATCATCCAATTAGATCTATGGAACGCAATACTTACTCCCGCACATTTTCAAATAAGTTTCTACCTATAGCTATGAATGTTTTATTTTGTTGTTGAAAGAAATGGAGGAAGAACATTATGGAGTATTAGAACATTCTTTGGATGCAACGATATTGCATTATATGATTATTATGACTATTACAATTACTTGAAAACTATTCACCAGAAGTAAATGCCTTGCAATTAAACACGCTGAAAATTCTGTAATGTGCATAGGCGCATTTTTTCAAAACAAACCTACTACATATTAAATTACTTTTCGACTGATATCACAAGGGGGATTTCGACATTAACTGATTTCAACTACAGGAATTCTTCAACAGTCCCCATACAACACCTAATGAGGAGTTACATTCAGTGCTGTAAGATTCCAGGGTGATTATGTAACCATTCAGCTACTGTATTCCTCTGAAACCTGCAGTTATTTGTGATAAATCACCATCCATTTCTATCGGTGAGTAACTCACCTCAGGAGCTAGGTGATGAACTGCCACAATGTTAGGAACGACTTCTAATTAGAACTCGGTGAAGTCTATCTTTAATCTTGATTTTCTTTCAAGAACTAAGCCCCAAGATCTATTGCAATATACATTAGGAATAGACAAAAGCTGGGATCCACAGGCTGTTGTTCTTAATTCAAATTATATGGGAAGTTTTTTATACTTTAAAGAAATGCATTTATGACTGAATCTATTTGAATAAAAGCCCCTATTAACTCTTTCAAAGAAATTAAAAGATCATTAAAATAAATTATTCTCTATGCCAATTTATATAGTGATGACAAATAATATTTCAATGTCTGAATTATCTGTATAGTTTGACAAGTAAGTATATAAAACGAACAGCTTATTGGAGTTGAGGCTCATTGGTCTAGGCGGTTAACTTCCTGCCAGCGGGCCACGGGTTCGAATCCCGCTCTACATACCAAGGTGTCGGCAGCCCAAAGTAGTATAACAAACCATCACCCAATAGCTGGAACTTATTGCCAGATGTGCATGGAATTGCAAGTGACTGACGACTAATTGACTTTAGCGACTTGGGGTTTCACCTAGTACCAGGGATAAAGTCTTGTTGACTTAAAATATTCGGATGGTATAGTCATGTAAGTGGGTCGCTGTGTAAGAAGGTGAAGTCAATCGATACGGTTGTGAATCTACATAGACTGAGATAGCTAGAACGTGCTATGCATACCTAGACATCGTCTTCCTCAACGGGGGATGTTAGTCGACATATGATGAGATTGGAGAAGAACTAGTGGCGATCGAACCGAAACTTGATATCAGTCTGTGAAATCTTTTACGGTGAGTTTGAGGCACATAGGGATGTCTAAACTGTCTGATTTGGGTCCTCGTAATGCTAAGAACCAATGACTGGAGACTGACTCGAAATTGTTCACAGTGGTGCTGATGAATTCACATTTTGTATTTTCCTATATCCACTATATCCTAGTGTTTTTCTGTGTTTCTAATCTTTTTCCTTCACGCTTCTGCTTATTGTCGTCCCCTACAATATCTTTTTCCTCTTTTTGTCATCCTTTGAGTGCTAAATGGAGTATGGCAACTCGAACTGCTGCATTTCTGTGCAATGTTCTATGCTATAACCAGTCAGTCAGTCAGCTGACCAACATTAACATTTGGATATAACTTAACTGCTTTTCCTTGGATAGATCACCTGATGGTTGAAAGTCAACTGTTCTCAGACTAATGATCCATAGCTTCCTAGTCTTCAATGCTAATCTTAGTATCGATTTGTGTAGTACAGCTGTTGCATATGACTATTACACAATACACTTGAAATACAATCATGAAATTGAATCACTATGCCACTTCCTACCAGTGGGCCACGGATTTGAATCCGCACCCCCCCCCACGGACCAAGGTTTTGGCAGAAAGAATTAGCAACAAGAATTACTGGCTGACAACCAACCAAGCAAAAGACAATTGCTCAAAAAATATGTAGAAGAAAATGTAGATGGACTGGGCACACGTTGATGAGACCATCGAATGACATGGCGCGCAATGCAGGTCATCACTCGAGTGAAATCTGAATAGGTCGTCAATGCGAAGGTGACATGCAGGAGATCGTATGAGGAAGAGGTGACATATTATGGGCCACCGTGGACTAAGCTGAAGAGGATAGTAGAAAATAGAAGAAAGTGGAGATGTTTAGTTGAAGCTATATGTTCCACTCGGAACCCAAGGGAACAATAATAATAATAATAATAATAATAATAATATATTTCAGGATTTCATCATGAGCTGACATTAGTTAGAGAACCATTGGAAAACCTGGGAGACTCTTCAGCAGTACGCACTCGCCGGGATTCGAACCCAGGACCTTCCGGTTACAAGGCGAGCTCGTATACCATTAGGCCACTGGGACCCGATCCAATGGTCCTTGAATTCTAACTTCTGCCAATTCAAGGACCATTGGATCGGGTCCCAGTGGCCTAATGGTATACGAGCTCGCCTTGTAACCGGAAGGTCCTGGGTTCGAATCCCGGGGGTGCGTACTGCTGAAGAGTCCCAAACTAGGACGAAACAGCTGTCCAGTACTCCCAGGTTTTCCAATGGTTCTCTAACTAATGTCAGCTCATGATGAAATCCTGAAACCAATCAAATCCCTGCAAACCAACACTTGAATAATATATTTATTGGTGGGAAATATAATTTATCTGTAATTGCACATAATTTACGAGAAAAAAAATCCAACTCACATCAACTGTTGCTCGACACCAGAGTTCTGAATTACTTATTAAATAACCGTACATTTGTTTCAGTAGGATAATGTGAACATTAGAATTCATTATTAGATTATTGTGTATATTCAGAGTATTGTTGTTATTATGATTCTGACTATGATTATCGCCCTCATCAACAGTAATATTATTTTGAGTTGAACTGATTCTTTTTAACAGATAACGTGTAAACTGGATAATTTCATCCAATAGACTCATTGTTAGGTGTTTCGCCTCAGACTGATTTAAAGCATTAGCAATGATAAGTAAACCTTTAGTTGAAATAAACTGATTTCTCAATGTAATCGATGTACGAACTAGACTGAAAATGAGACGAACTAAAATTGTTCTATAAAAAATAGAAAAAGAAGAAGAGAGAGAAAATGAAAGCTTTTTACTTCAACAGAAAACAAAAATAACAAATTGTTCAGTTATATATATAAGCCCATTATTAATACTGTTATTATTACTAAAACAAACATGGTATGCATTATGGGCATCAAGTGGTGAGCTATGCAAAATCTCATAGTTTGTGCGAGGGCTGGAATATACTCTCTGGACGCCCAGACCGGAACAGGAGGTTGTTTTCCCAACCGATAAATGCTATCTTGAAGTGTTGGTCGGGCTTGCACATCGCAATGACCCAAGAAGCTGCACCGGCTGGAACTATTGTTTCTACAGGTCCTACCATGCCAGGAAGGTTGTTAGGATAGCGATTATACTAAAAGCAGTTACCGCTTAAGTGTGAGAATTGTTTTTAAACTATACTGGGGGCTGTGGGAGAAGTCGTACTGCTGGGGAACAGGGATATAACAGCAGTAAGGTGTTTCCCTCAAATTATCAGCATGCCAGCCAGCTATGATGTCTTTCCACTCTGGAAAGAGAAGGTTGGAAAAGGTCGACCTCAAAAATTGTACATCCCGACTTACCCCACCTACAGTGGTCCGTAACCGGTGGTTAGTTTGCTAATACGGAACCAATCCCAGAAAGCAGTTCATACAGGCCGTGTGTGACTGGCCTTGAGCAGTTCTCCCCTTGGCTCTGCGGTGACGCAATACTAACCCTCTTTCTGTTTCAGGTACCCGACGACTCAATCAACTTCCACGTTGTGGGCAAACGGGAAGTAAAAACTGCCCACACACTTCCAAAAGCACACGAAGCCTTTCTGAGCGTCATTCTGCTTTATCCACACCACCAACGTCTTACTTTCCTACAGACGGTTGTTTTAAGGTTTGATCAACATGACAGTCAGATAGCGTCAAGAACTACGTTCATATGGTGTTTAGTGACCAAAGCAAGTTGATATGCTATTCGACCCTTTCGGGATCTGGAACCAATAGGTTGGAAATCAGGTCCCCTAGATAAACATCGATGGCCACCAGTTCGGTTGTAAGCGACAGATATTTAAATTCGCCGCCCTTTCACATTTATGGAAAGTACGCTAACCGAGGCGTGAAGGCAATGAATAGTATTTGCATGAGAGACTATGAACACGTGCCAATATGAGAGCTTTTCGAGAGAAAGACCGAAGTGTACTCACCCTATGTCGTACCAGTTCGTTTATCGGGTGGTCCTACTACGAGAAGATTAGATTAGGAGCCGAAAACTCAATCTACTTGCTATTCATACTTTCATTTCCCTCCAAATCTAATTTCTTATCACAAAATAATTGAACAAAACAGACTATGCAGGTTTAGTATCGTTAGGAGGAAGCTACTACTGAATATCTTCGTGTCATAATCAACAGATATACAAATAACTGTTTACATACAAACGTATTGAATGAATTAGAGACTTTATGTAGTTGGTGAACGTTGAAATCACAGTCCACTTTTTACGAGCTGAAATCAGTTAAAAGAATCAGTAAAAAGAAGAAACGACTGAATAGTTGTATTCTTCCAATGAATGGCTCCCTTCAGCAGTGTACGTCCATTACTACGCTAAGAATTGAATCATGTACCTTTAATTAACCAGAAAAATACTTTATCGTTCAGTTATTGAATTGTAATCTACTGGCTCATGAACTCCAACTTTTGTTAACTCGATACATAATGAGCTATCACCACCACCTAAGATTATCGATAAGCATCCAACTTTATCAACGGCCCCGCCTACACAGCCACGCATTACTACTTCTCATTCGAACTCTACAAATCCATTTTGAAACTATTCAATACTAAGCAGTGGAGTTATGCGAAGTTAGATTCATTGAATTTTGATTGAAGTCAACATAAGTTTGACAAGACAGTGGCTACCAACTGAAATGACTGCTTGAAACTCAAGCAAGACTTACCAGTTGTTGCTGACTAACTAGGGATTACTCTCATAGTGTGAACGCAGCTTTATAATTCAATTTTCTGACCGATATCACTATGATGTGATAAAATCAACCCTCCTCCCAGAAAGTACACACAACGTAAGTGAAAGCTACTTATAATGATATTTTCCTCATTTTATTGCATTGAAACGGTGATTCTTAATATCTCTGTCTCATACGGCAGCATGATGAAATTGTATTACCGTTAATGCCCACTATCCCCATTGCTATTAAGTTTCATCATAGATGTACTAAAGGAATTAACCCCAAGTGACTTCAGCGACTAAGGGATTACCTTTTTACCAGGGAATAATCTCGTTGACTCAGAATATGCAAATGATATAGTCCTTCCAACTAGGTGAAGACGTTGTCTGTCTGTCTGTCTGTTTTCGACATAGAACTTTGCACAAATGTGCGGAAGTTCAAGTCGCCACATTCCGTGTAGCACGCGAAGCAAGAGAAGAAAGTACAAGAAAAGCATGATAGAGGCAATGAGCAGAGGGGTGAGACAAAGGAGTAATAAAGAAATACAAAACAGTTTCATTGAAGATCATAAGTCACAGGGAGTGGATGCATCTGCGCCAGCCATTGAGAACAATTTTGAGCCATGTCACCAATTGTTTCCAACCATAGATTTTGACCATCCCGAGGACCCCAGCCTGGAAGTCTACACCTTCCTACGTGGCTTAGACCAACTGTTGTGGATTTCATTGACTGATGCCAAGTTTTTGTTTGACCGCCGCTAGCTTTTTTCCAGCCTGACCCTATATCCGCTAACATAGCTCGTCGAGGGAGGCGATGGCTTGGCATACGTAACACATGTCCTAACCATCTCAGTCTTTGTAGCTTCACGACTTCGTCGATTGATTTCCCCTGTTTACCTAGAACTCGACGCCTAACCTCAATGTTGCTCACCTTATTATGCCACTTTACACGGGAAATCGAACGCAGACACCTATGATCAAAGACAGCTAGTCAGCGTTTTCATGTCTTCCACTCTCAGTGGCCAGGTCTCACAGATGGCCATAAAGGAGGACGGGGCGGACTGATGAGCAGTACATCCGCCCTTTGGTCGATAGTCGAACATCTCGTCTACGCCAGAGTCGGCGTAAACTGGCAAATGCGAAACGAGCTCCTTGTATTCGTGCTGAGATTTCGTCAGAGATCAGCCCGTTGGGGCTGATGGTACTTCCCAAATAAGTGAAGCGGTCAACGTTGGCAAAATACAGAGTCTTATATACACCTTGAGCTGCAATCTTCGAATGTTTGACATGAGATTCGCCCCCCACCAAATGGTAAGATGATGCTACAGGATTGAATTACATTGACTCTTATATTAAACATACGGAGTGAAATAGTAGAACGCGTTGACCATTCACTTATTTGGGAAGTTGCATCAAACAACACAAACGGGGTTGATAGCTGACGAAATCTCAGCATGGATACAGAAGGCTCGATTCGCATAAGCCACTTTACTCTATCTCTGGCGTGGACGTGATATCCGGCCGACTATCGACCAAAGGACGTGTGTTCTGCTCAGCTTTTCACTCTGTCCTCCTTCATGGCTAGCTGTGAAACGTAGCCATTGAGAGTGGAAGACATGAAAAGACTGGCTAGCTGTCTTTCACCATGGGTGCTTGCGTTTCATCTACCGTAAGAAGTGGTATAATAGGGTGAGCAATATTGAGGTTGGGCTTCGGTTGAGTACTTGGTAAGGAGGGGAAATCAATCGAAGAGATTGTGAAGTTACATCGATTGAGATGGTTAGAACATGTGTTACGTATGCCTAGCCACCTATCGTCTTCCTCGACGGGCAATGCTACCTAACATAGGATTGATCAGATTGGAAAAGAGAGAGCTAATGGTGATTAAACCAAAACATGGCTTCAACAGTCAATGAGATCCACAAAAGTTAGTTTAAGCTGGCCACGTAAGAAGATGTAGACCTCCTGGTTGAGATCCTCGGGACGGTAAATGCCAATGGCTGTAGACAATTGGTGATATGGCGCAAAACCATTCTCGATACCTGGCGCGGATGCATCCACTCCTTGTGAGTTATAATTTCCAATGAAACTATATTCTTCTTCGATATTACTATTCTTTTTGCTTCATATCTTTCTTTACTGTCTCTATTTTGCATTTCTTTTTACTTCCTTCTTCTTTGATTTTGTGTGCTGAGTGAAGTATGGCGACTCGAAATGCTGCACATCGGTGCAGAGTTCTATGTTGAAACAAGTCAGTGAGACAGTCAATCAGTCAATAGTACGGTTAAGAAATGAAACATTAAGCTAAATTTCTAGCATTATTTGTACTTTGTGCTAATTACAAATTAAAGTTATCAGATAGACAAAAATATACATTCTTTACTATTCCTGTAGGTCAAGTATAAACAATAGATAACATTCTTGATTTGAATCAATACACCGCCTGTAAGGATAAAACAATCAATGTAAGTCTGATTTCAGTTGTTAGACTTCGTCACGAACCAAACATTAGTTGGAGAGATCATTGAAAATCAATTAGAATTGAAGAGTAGTCATTGAATTCCCGTCTATGTGGTTGAATGGTACACGAGTTCACCTTGTTACCTGAAAGTCCTGAGTTAGATCCTTTAGGTTATGGATGCGTTCTACTGAAAAGTCTCAGATAAGAATGAAACGGCATTATATTACATTTTGGTTACTAGTAGTTCTCTAAGTGAAGTTCATTGGTGATCGAAATTGAAATCAATGTAAATATTTGACAGTGATAACATATAAAACAAATTAAAGAGTAAAAGTCTCACTCTTTCAAAGTCCCTTTCGAAAAATAAAGCATAAATAAATGTTTTTTTCATACAACCAGTTCCCTTTATTAGTTTGAATAAAGAAAGAACGAACATATTTGCAAAAAGGATAATAATACGAGCTCATTTTATTTCGTGGATTCTCTCTCTTCAACTGCCAACATCCTAAATAAATCAATTAAATGTTAGAAAATGGTGTCTGAACATACTTTTTACAGTGAATTCAAGTTAAAGATACAAAGCATAAGCAAAGATGATGTAAGTAGACACTTATTTAGTGTTAAAAGAGTAACTATTCATATGGTAATTAGGCAGAGGGGTCGAATTCAGATCTCTCTTGGAAACAAGGCTGGACTAGAGACAAAATACAAGACAGAACAACAGAGTTAACTTTTACATATTATGGTGGAGAGTTCAGGAGGGTGGGGGTGAATAGTGAAATAAAATTATAAAATAAACAAAATAATTTAATTTAGCGGATTTAGAACCTTAGTAGTGAGTTTAACTCAATGAATGAAAATCAGAATCAAGATTGAGTGAGGTGTTACACAACAGAACAAAAAACTCAAAAGCACATGAACAAAACCATTACGGTTACCAGGGTAGTGAGAGATTAGTTACTCCATCTTTTTGTATACATGGGTTGGGTCAAAGTATTTTCATAGAAAATGGCGTCTGCAAACCAAGGTAGTCATGATTTCCTTTTCTTTGTGTATTGATTATTTTGAAAGCCTGACGAGTTTCTACAGTATGTCCCATGTCAAATAGGCATCTGGCGATTGCACTTGAGAACACTTTGCTGCTTTTCAAACGGAGACTTTTAGGGGTACGCTAAGAGAATCTAGTAGATGCTGTCCTCTCAGTCCTTCCTATGTACTTGCTACCGCAAGGGCAGGTGAATTGGTAAATCCAGTTGGAGTTGACATGCGGAGCAGGATACTTACCTACTTTTGACTGGGATAACGAGCACACTGTGTTTTTCTTAATGCGCTTCTATGGATACTTCTTCGATGACGAAATAAAACGAGCTCGTATTATCCTGCAAATATGTCTGTTCTTTCTTTCTTTATTCTAAATAAATAAATATAGCCGCTAAAATCAAATCTTATGAAATACATCGCCCACATCCACCCAGCTTAAACCTATTTCTGTAGGAATATGAACTAAGGTGAATCAAGTTTTGCCAAGAAAAATATATGTATAATAACAAATACAAAATTATTTACGGTAATACTTACTGAATTTCTGGTGTAGATGGTTGAAGATTTGCAAAAGATGGATGAAGTGAAAGTATCTTTGAAAGATCTGTTTCATTGTCAAGACAGTTAAACTTTTCAATTGACCAGTCTAAACGATTGAACAAAGGGTACAATAGTTGGATACCACCAAGTCGTATGAGTAGATCTGGCACTGTTAAACTTATCACAGTAGAAACATTCTAAAAGAAGACAACAATTTAGGATAATAGAGTTTCATAACCATTAATGATAGCACTATGCATTATCTCATTTGTCATTATTGTGGGTTAAGCAAAGTCAATACTGATGATACTGTTATATTAACTTTATTTTATTCCTTTGCATCCTTAGTGGAACATAGGGCTCCAAGTTTTGACATTTCAGTAACAGCGGTGTTATTCTTTCTTTCACGGGGTGGGGTTGATAGCTTTATGTCCATCCTTCCCTCTTTACCGGGCTAACTACCGGCTAAACGAGGTTAGGGAGTGCGTCGGTCAGGGATCGGACCCTAGACCATATATTTGATTAGCCATTATTATACCACTAAACCATCGATGAGAATATGACGACAAAGTTTATGTAAGAAATAACATACAAAGGCTTTTTACAGTCGGGATTATTTAGTTAGACAAATGAGGACGGGCACTTAGGAGTATGATTATATCAGCGTAAAGGTTTCTGTTTTCTTTAGTATTCTAAACAGAAAACTGTATTATTTCCAAAGATATATGCATGTTGAAACTGACAAGCAATAAAGCATACAATGTATGACCAGAATCAACATTAATATAATTTGAGGAATGGTTATCAGCGACAGCTGATAATAGATATAAATTTATCTGCGTCGCACTCAATAAGTACCTTTCTAAACATCTCACAAAGTAATCTTCAAATGTCTGGCATGCGATTCTCTCCTATCAAAAGTAAGATGATCCTTCATGATTGCACTGTACCAACTCCTAGACTGAAGATACTAAGTGAAGATGTATAGCCCGTTGACCACTTCACTTAACTGGGAAGTTGTATCAGACCTAATGGACTAATTGTTGGAGAAACCTCAGAAGACTCTTGTGGCATTTGCCAGTTTTTGCCACCCGTCAAGTGGAGGTCAAATCCCGTTACCGATCACAGGAAGTGTGTACTGCGCAACACTTCACGCTGTCCTTTTTTGTGGTCATTGAAAGTGGATGACATGAAAAGACTGGCCGCCTTCGACTACAGATATTTGAGTTCTATCTCCTACTTTAAGAGGTGTAACATAGTGAGTAATATGGAAGTCAGGCGTGGCATGTTAGGTAAGGAGGGTATGTCAATTGATGGAGTTGTGAAGCTACATCGACTGAGATGGCTAGGACACGTTGTGCATTCCGAGCCATCGCCTTCCTCAATGAACGATGTTGGCTGACAGAAGCATTCATTCTGTGTGACCTCCCATATTCACCGAACCGTCATATTTTTGCCATGTAACTATTTTCTCTCCCACACATTTCCGTCTATTATATTTCTTCTGAATCTCTTTTCCTCTCTTTCGTCTACCCTTGTGTGTGGCGACTTCAACTGGTACACTTCTGTATAAAGTATATAAATATATATATATATATATATATACATGCGTCGGTGGCACAGTGGTTAGGACTCTCGCCGACCATTCACATGGTCCAGGGTTCGAGCCCACGCCAACGCACACCTGATATCTATGGTCGACCTGAGAATTTTGGGCTACCGATATCCACGCTGAAAATTCCACACTTATACCAAAAATACGGTATGGAATCAAGCTGTAATCAAAAAATAATAATATATACATATATATATATGACACTTAAGAAGGATAAATAAAACATCCGCACTTTTCGGACTTTCGCAACACCTCATTTCTTTAATTAACTGCTTCACAATGCTACACAGAGTTTTTCAATATTGCACGAAAGCACCTCACATAAGCCATTTATTGTATATTTCCTACAGTTGGTTTGTAAAGGTTAGTTTGGTTTTTATGAGTTGATCACGGATTGATATCAGTTACAGAATTATTGAAAGCCAGCAAAACTGGACAGCTGTTTCATCCTAGTTTGGGAATCATCAGCAATACGCACCCAGGACGTTCCAGTTACAAGACAAGCTCGTATACAATTCAGCCACTGGGACCCGATTCAATGGCTCGTGAATTCTAACCAGTGACCAGTGAGGTCCATCCATCCAGTCAAGTTTGAGGATGGATGTCCCACCGACGACATTGGTTGGGGTCGCGCTAAACCACGAATTGGTAGAAGTTAGAATTCATGGGCTATTGAATCGGATCCCAGTGGCTGAATGGTATACGAGCTTGCCTTGTCATCAAAAGGTCCTGGGTTCAAACCCCAGTAGGTGCGTAATGCCGATGATTCCCAAACTAGGATGAAAAAGCTGTCCAGTACTCCCTGGTTTTCAATGGTTCTCGAACTGATATCAATCCATGATCAACTCGTAAAATGTATTATACAGCCGAATCCCTGGTTATTACGAACCTGAAACCGGATCTCTGTGTTCAAAAGCATTAAACATATTCCATCACCTTACCATAGTCACAGTAACGTTTTGTTATCACAATTTCGTTTCATTTCATTGTTTAAGTCTATTATTATGATTCTGTAATTAATCTGTTATTTTTTGTGATAAAATCGCACTTTTCTTTCCGATTTTAAACAAAAAATTTACCATTTCTGCATTAGTTTTTGCCTAATTTGTGCACTTATACTGATTAGTCATTTTTTCACACTTATTACGTCATTTTATCCTTGCACCTCTTTTTCTTGTCTCCACTTGTTCACTCCCGTCTAGATTCTACCTCATATTATGTGTGATTCACACTTTCTAGAACAAAGTTATCAACATCTGATTGGTTTTATGAGTTATTTGTTAAGTTTAAATACGATTGTATAGCTTTTGAAAATGAATCGTCGAAAAGGAAATTTCCTCCGCAGTTCACGTCTACTTTCTTTTGCATATATTTGTCTCTTATGGTTATTTCCGCTATGGAATCTGACTACAGAAAGTATTTCTGCAGATTTAGATTCTGAAATACCGATGAAGGTTTGGTAACCAGAGTTTGATAGACATGACTCTGAACTATGGTTTGTCCAATAAAAAAATTAGCAAAACATAAGACGACCTAATCAGCACCACCAGGATGTGGAAGATTGTTCAGTATTCATAAATTGAGTTAAACTTACGATATCCATAAGCCAAGATTTCAACATAAATTCTCATTAATTATATAACTATCCAGTGTTGGTTAACGGGGATTTCACTGACTATGGGTTTGATCACAGGTTCACATCAGTTAGAGAACCCATAGGGAAACCTGCGACTACTGAACAGTTTTTTCGTCTTAGTTTGGGACTCGTCATCAGCACGCAAATGCTTGAGTTCGAACCCGGTACCTTCCTGTTACGAGGAGAGCTCAAAAACCATTCAGTCACTGGGATCCGACCCAGTGGTGGGTGCGTACTGTTGAAGAGTCTCAAACTAGAGCGAAACGACTGTTCAATTGAATAACTGACTAAAAAGGTCAACCATTAGAAATTTCAAAAGACTGATAACTGAACGAAAAACATACTTTTCGATAACTTCTCTATAAATACGAATGTACACCTCTTACAAAAATGATTCCTCAAAAAGATGGATTAGTTGTAAAAGAACAATAGTATGACGTTTTGTCTTCAACATGCCCAAAGAAAGCGCCTGTATAAACTTAATCGAATTCTAAAAGTAGGTGAAAAAATCACTTACAGTAAATAATACTGTTTCACTGTGTGATACATCTAATAAACAAACTAATATGGAATTGGTTACAGGATTTCATCATGAGCTGACATTAGTTAGAGAACCATTGGAAAACCTGGGAGTACTGGACAACTGTTTCGTCCTAGTCTGGGACTCTTCATCAGTGCGCACCTACCGGGATTCGAACCCAGGACCTTCTAGTTACAAGGCACGAGATGGCAGAAGTTAGAATTCATGGGCTGGCCATTGGATAGGGTCCCAGTGGCGTAATGGTATACGAGATCGCCTTGTAACCGGAAAGTCCTGGGTTCGAATCCCAGTGGGTGCGTGCTGATGAAGAGTCCCAGACTAGGACGAAACAGTTGTCCAGTACTCCCAGGTTTTCCAATGGTTCTCTAACTAATGTCAGCTTATGATGAAATCCTGTAACCAATCAAATTCCTACAAACCAACACTTGAATAATATGGAATTACTTACTACCACAGTGCCCAAGTTTTACACATTTATTAATATTACAGAAATACTACTACTAATACTACTATAAACAACAGTAATGAAAGGCTTACCCCATTCATTATAGCGTGCAGTGATGTCTGACTCGACTGGTGGAAATTCACAGCCTGATTCAAACACAACCGACCATCAGAAGCAAGAGGACTGTATGCAAATACAAGCGAATTGTGTAGCTTATTTAAGTCAATCGTAATTTTGCTTTGATTAGAAATTAACTCATCACAGCTTTCCGTTTCAAAACGAAATTGTCCCTAAAAAGTGAACAAGAAAAAAACACCACATAAAAGTGAATTGACTAGCACAAAATACAAATGGAAGTATTGTAAAAAAGAAACCCCTACCAGAGGCCTGAAATTCCTGAAATTTCTGAAAGTATTACTTACAACTACGCCAAACACTTCCTACTGAACTCAAAAGGCACTACTCCAAGACCAAGGGTGATGAACATTTAGGTATGTTATTCTGTGTCAACAGTTCAGAGTAGACATTTCGCAAAGTTAAAGTATACTAGCCAAAGGTCTTTCAAAAGTTGACATTCAAGAACCGATTAGATACCTGGACTGCTATGAAATGTCACTCCTAATCAAATCATATCTACCTTTTTGAACTTGCAGAGGGTAGATACAGTATTGTTATAATTTACTAGGTACCTTTTGTACAAATCTATACTGTTAGGTAGGGTTAGGGCTCAGGGTTAGCGTTAGGATTATGGTTAGAGTTAGGAGTAGGTTGGAGAGGTGTGTAAGAAATATCAATGGATCTCAAATTACCATGACCCACAGTCACCTGGATGAATGCATCTATCACGCATGGTATGATTTCTCCATGGGTCATCTCTGTAGTGACTGGGAGACATTCTTACAACACATAATGCTACAACTATACTGTGTAATATCGCATTTGAAATATTTTTTAATGTATTTTGGTGTTAAATAGCTATCCTATAAAATTCATTAGGAAGATCGAAAAAGGCCAAAAGAAAAATAAAATTAATTGTGAAACTAGTAATAATAACATAAATAAGAGAGAATATAAGTCATCTACAGTTATACCATATAAAGAGGGGACATCTGAGACCCTACGTAGGATTCTAAATAAGGCAGGAATTAGGGAGGCATTTAAACCTACAAACTCACTCAGAGACAAGCTCCGTAGGCTAAAAGACCCGGTGGACCCAATTAGACAAAATAACATAACTTACAAAATACTCTGCAACGATTGTGAGGTCAGCTACATAGGTCAAACTAGTAGGTCAGGGATAGTCAGATTATCAGAACATAAGAATTTAGCTAAGGTAAGAATAGTCGACCCTGAAAAGATAAGTAATTTAGAAAAAAGCTCAGCTATTGCACTTCACGCAATAACAAATAACTACACAATAGGGTGGGATAGGTTTAAAATCCTAAAAAGTAATATAGGTAGATGGAGAGAGAGGTTGATTATTATTTATTATTATTATTGCTCCCTTGGGTTCCTAGTGGAACATAGGGCTTCAACTGCACGTCTCCATTTTCTTCTGTCTTCTGCAATACTTTTCGCCTGCATCCATGTTAATCCATCTTCTTTCAAATCCTCTTCACACGATCTCCTCCTTGTCACCCTTGGACGTCCCACACGCCGCTTCCCTTTCGGGTTCCACTCGAGGGCTTGACGTGCGATGTCACCCAGCGGTCTCCTCAGCGAGTGTCCGATCCATCTCCACTTTCTCCCGCATATTTGTTGGGCGATTGGTTCTTGCATTGTTTGTTCCCATAATTCCTTGTTGGTGATTCTTTCCGGCCATCTGATCTTCAGTATAGAGCGAAGACAGTTGTTCATAAAGGTCTGCAGCCTTTTGGAAGTATACTTTGTGACCCGCCAAGTTTCTGATCCGTATAGAAGAACTGACTTTACGTTTGTATTGAAAATCCGAATTTTGTTGGGGATGCTGAGTTGAGTGACGAAGATTTCCAGATTGATTTCAGGCTGATGAATGTGTTTCTCGCCTTCCCGATTCTCGATTTGACATCCTCGTCCGCTCCTCCTGTAGTTGAGACAATGCTCCCTAGATAAGTGAATGAAGTAGCCTCTTTCAAATCCCTCCCGTTGATGGTGATTGACGTTGGATGTTGTTGCTGTTGTTGGTTGGTTATTTTCATAACCTCCGACTTGTCTATGTTCACCTGGAGTCCTGTCTTCGCTGGCTGCTTCTTCGACCAGTTTGTCGGTTTTCGCTTGTAAGTCTTCGATTGTGTGTGACATCAAACACAAGTCATCCGCGAAATCCAGGTCTTCTAGGTTCTTCACGTCGGTCCAGGATATTCCTGTCTTCTCGTTTCCCACAGTCTGACGCATAATCCAGTCCACCACAATTAGGAATATCATTGGTGATAGTAAGCACCCTTGTCTGACTCCTGTGTTTACTCCAAACGCCTCGCTGAGTCTTCCGTTGTGGATCACTTGGCAGGTGCCGTTGATTACGGAATCCTTATTCATCGAGTCTACACCCAACACATGTAACAGAAATGATTCAATGCAAATACCAGAAATATGGAAGATGTTATTACCTCAAGTCAAATCAGAACAGGATAATAAATAATCTTAAATTTCTATTTCAATTCAAACACATCAAAACATTCTAACAAGTAACTTATTATTACTATAAAAAAAACACTCGTATAAACAGTCGTATTTCCCACATAATTGCAATGGGTCAATAACACTCGTACTATTATTTCTGAATGGATATTATCTCATTGATTTTAAATCCAATATCTAATCGATTCCACCCATGTATATAAATGAAAGAAAAAAGTTGTGTGAGTTACTTGATATGATTATGAGCAATAGTTTGTGCTCGAAACGTCATCAGTTAATATAACTGTACAACACTGTGTGATTTATCGAAATAAAATCTTATCCATAATGGACTTATACTCTACCACAGTGCCCAAGTTTTATACTTATATCAATACTACATGCCAATAGAAAATGATAATCCCCAGAAATTACAAGTTTAAATAAATAAATACTAGCATAAGTTATTCAAACGAAGAGTATTTAAAACCTCAGAGATTATGCCAGACAGAACTTCTATTCATTTTGTTCCATTCACGTTTCAAGTGGAACATTGGTTTATAAGCATGTGCTTTAGGCTTTGAAGTTTCAGTAGCAGTTGTGTTGTTTTCATAGGGTGACGTTTCTAGTCTCAAGCTCAACTTTCCCTCTTTTACTGACTTAATACCACCTAGGCAAATCCTCCGGGAATCCCGGACAAAGTGCGTGACAGGCGAATATTTTACCCCTAAACTACCGATGCAGAGAACGCCCATTGGTATAAGTATAAAACTTGGGCACTGTGGTAGAGTATAATTCCATTATAGATAAGATTTTATTTTGATAAATCGCACAGTGTTTACAGTTATAACTGTAAACACTGTGCGATTTATCAAAATAAAATCTTATCTATAATGGAACGCCTATTGGACTGTGCCAAACAAAGCCCCGAATTCCTCAAATAAAGAAAAGAAATGAATGTGCCTCATACGGCAAAGTAAGTAAGTTATCAGTCCATTTTGAAATGAAGTCATCCAAAAAAAAAAGAACTGTCATAATAGTGTTGAATTTCCCCACCAGTTCCAATAAAGTTAAGACTTACAACTATTCAGATTTCATATGTATGGGTAACCCATGACAAACCGTAACACACACAAGAACAGAACTAAGGTACTCTGGTAAAGTATGATTCCGTAAAACAATGTTCTTATAGTTTGTTTTTCTTACAGTGACACATTATTATTTATTGTATGCGTGTATCGATGTGTGCTGTCTAAGAAAAGTCATTCAACCATGCAATCTAACGGGCCAAAATGGAATGGACTGCTGTCAAACTTTGACAGTTTTTTCCCTAATAAGCAGAAAAAGAAATCTCATGGCTTCTCTTGAGAAGAGAATTTACAGCATATGCAGTTAAGATACATTGAGTAAGATATTGGAATCCTCTAGAAACGCTGGAATCAAAGATGCACATCCAACCTGCCTTATTCACTGAATATCTAAAGGAAAAGACAGATACTCTGCGAAACCGATATGTCCCAAAGAAAAAACTAATCTAAACTTTAAAATCCAAGAGGGATACAATTAATGAAGTTCTCCGAAGCTGTCTGTCGAGAGTAGTTTGAAGAAAGTTCGTTGTTGCATCCCTACTCTTCACCTTCTCCACACATAATCTTATTAACCAGAACGTCAAAGAAAAGATTCCGTTGCTGGCAAATTCAACGTTCATTTACCAATTCATTTGCTTCTGTGCAACCGTGACAGCAGGACATTATCTAGACATGTCCATGAACACTTAATCAACAGCTCATATCTGGAGCAAATTATTACTTCTGGTCAAGCAGTGTCAGAAGAGACTCCATTCAGAGTCATATTATAAAGTACAACCAAGCCGTTCAAAAGGATTCCTTCCACATCTTGATCATACAGCCCAAGCTTTAGTTTCTATGCCTGTCAACTCTCAGTCAGATTGTACCAAATTAAATAGCTTTCTGTCGGAAATTAGTCAGTAGTCCTCTTCAAACGGACTTAAGCTTAATCCGTCTAAATGTCAGGTAGTCAATTTCGCTTTCAGACGTAAATGTGACCTACAGCAACTAGTTAGCTCACATGGCCCCACTCTTATTGATGGTACAGAGGTTGAAAATACATCTTATGTCAAGTACCTTGGGCTGAGTTTTTCCACCGATCTTTCCTGGTCTTCCCACATCTTGCTAGTTACTAGAAAGATGTTTCGCTTAACGTTCTACATTAGGAAATTTAGGCAGTCTGGCATAAACCAGTCTTTGCTTTCTCAGTTTGTAAATTCTTGTATTCTACCCATCCTCCTTTACTGCTCCCCATTAGTCTTTCCTGGACTACTTAAGAAAGACTTTGCTTCGCTGAGAAAGGCACTAAAAGCTGTTAGTAGGGCAAGTGGGATATCGTTAAACCAACTGGTGAACACTATTGTAGATAGACATATTATGTCATGTAAGAAACTAGCGAATACAATATTGTCGGACCCCGAGCATCCTCTCTATACGCATCTATCTCCTTGCATTTCATCTGGAAGAACTAGAAGCAGCTATAGGAGGCTATATGCTAGGACTACCAAATACAAAAAGTCCACAATACCATATCTGGCACAGCTGTTATGTGATGAGAAATCCGTTAGGTATGACACGATAAACTTACTGCAGCACTCTAACAAATAGTCTCATTAGGTTTTCTTTTC